CGATTCCGTAAACTTCTTGAAGACCAGTTTTTAGAGGCTTGTTGTTTGGAACCTCTGCGTTTCCCACACGGATTCCTTGCACTCGTAATCCATGAAACTGCAGAGAACAGTGAATCAGAACAACTAGAAGAAGAAGAAGAAGAAGAAGATATAAAGCTTTGCTTCAAGCAGAGAGGAGTTAGAAATGTAGCAGCTTCAGTTCACAGAGAAATGTAAAAAAACTGGATTTAATCATCGATTAGCATAAACATAGCAAACCAAGCAAACTAAGCGAACATACACATCAAGAATTATCATTTCTGGGAATCGGAATTTTCACAGAACGACTAAAGAAGAGTTTGTTCGATGCTTCATAAAAGCAAATGGTTTAAGGAGAAAGCGAATTGTCTATCTTCTCAATATCATACATTGAAGCATTATATTAGACCTTACAAATCTGAAAGTTTTTTTTTTCTCGCATTTGTCACAATTCGGAAACCCAAAATCGACCACGAAAACGGACGATTCGAAGCAAATGAGAAATTTCTAGGTGGAATCGAAGCCGAATGCTTAAACAGAGGGGTCGATTTGATCTATTGAAACTCTAATCCGAAATCCCTAAATTAGAGATTGAGGCGATTAAAATGTCAGAAATTCCTATACTTTCGGGTGTAGATTTGAGACGGGAATTGAAATGGAGAGAGAATGGAATAAGAAGACGAAGAACTCACCGATAAATTACGAAGGAGAGACTGGCTATGGTCGAACAAGGTCGTCGCGGATCTGCGTAAACCCAACATCGTCGTCGAAGCTCTGAGTTTTGAGAAGTTTCACGGTGAAGGGTTTAAAGATCCAGTGTCCAAACGCAAACGCAAACGCGTGTCCCTCTATTTTTCGTTAACTTTGCTCTACCTTTAATTGGGCTTTTAAATTATTGAAAGAGGCCTCGAGTCCAATATGCTATATTTACATCAATGCTGTTAGATTTTAGGTTGGTTTTTTAGTAGGGACCCAAATTTTATAGATGTTAGTAAAAACACCCATTTTATTATGAATGAGTTTTGCGAAGATTAGAGCTTGTATAAATTCGTCAACATCTTCGGTCGGAAAAAAAATGTAAATCGTTATCATCTTCGTGAATCTTAATCGTGGTTAATTCTCTTCACCTCAATCGCGGCATAACAGCACAAAATCGAGTGATTTTAGTCAGGAAAAACAAACCAATATTGTTTTAGCATATTATTTGCACCTCAACAGTTAAAGACATTGAACCTAATCATTAGAACTTTAGAAATATGACTAAATAAGTATAAGAAAGCAATAATGTTTAGTTTGTAATTTTTGGAACATTAACTAATCACTTCAACAAATAAAGCACTAAGGGATAGTTTTATATTAGCTCCCTTTTGGGTTAAGAGAAGCACACGTTTTTAAATATAAGAAAAGATCGTTCGGAGTATATAGAAATGGTTGGCTACCTGCAAAATATTTTGTCCTTTCATGAATTAAATAAACGTAAGGTGTTAGATCGTAGACAACGCGAACTCTTAAGATTATAAAGTGTTGGTTAATAATTGGAGTGTATCTTGCGATAATATAATGGAACTTTTAAAATGTTTTTTTCATCTTAAATATTTAATTTCCAGTGAAATGATTAAAAATTCCACAGAGTAACCACAAGATCACTAACTCGAGATTCACATAGCGCCTACAATATATTTTAGATCACTAACTTTTTGGGATCAAATTTGTTAGAGAAATACAAATATTATGTGCATGCAACAATCACATGCCAAGTTAAAATGTATGGTCATTTTCACGAAGGAAACTTGAAAAAGTTGGCAAAAGGGTACGATAATGACTCAGACGTGTTAAGCACGGGACAGATTTATATGTATCAGCATGTGGTTTATATTACATTCTCTTTCCCATTCTCTTCCATGTTTGTCAGGAGATATTTTCCTTTTTTCTCATTCACATCATCAAACAGATAACAGCTCATATACTTTTACTTAAAATGGTGAAAAAAAATTGAAAACGTACTAATAGATATTTCTCACTTTTGTGATCGTAATCGACTCTTGGGTCAAAACTCAGACGTATTAGACGTTACGTCTCACATGACAAACTAATATCATAACTCAAATTTGGACAATCTCCATTATTAAGACGTATAGAGTTTAATAGGGGTTTAAGTGGCTAACCCAATATTTACAACGATGTCAGCGAATAAGTTAATAGATATTTTATATATTAGTGGCAAATGGCAAAACATATACTGTAATATATTTCAAGAATATGATGATCAGAAGAGCATGCATGAACAGTGCCGCTTATTCCACATTTCCACTGTTATTTAAAGATAGTGTAAAAATATTTTAAGTTTACGAATATCACACTCAAGATTAGTATAACTAATGTGACTAATTGCCCATCATAGCTGTTTTTATTTCAAAGTCAAAAGCTATATTGATATGTTTAGAATAATGCCATAGTAGATTTCCGTACATGTATAAACTATTTTATTAGGGATTTGTTTCCAACTACTAGGATTTAGAAATTCCGGTGATAATTTTAATTGATTCACCCACTTGAAAGAAATAAAAAAAACTCCAACGGCTTGGCAATGGAGAATTAGTTAATATATTTCCCAATGTAGTTGGAGCCATTCCCAATGCTTTTGGAAGCCCACAAATCTTTGAATAATCCAACCTTTTCATACTTTGCCTGTTGGCTGTGAGAGCTACTTAATCAATACAATAGTAACATTATCATACTAATAAACAAATTAATCTTATTAACCAGCAATTAGTGGAGTATTAGTTTGAAAGACACCTTAATGACCCCGGTCATCTCTGTGTCCGACTCTTAATAGCCATAAGGGACGTCTTTGATGAACTTATTCATCTTGTTTTCTTGGTAAAGTAATGAGAGAGATTTAGCTAATGATTTCATAAAACGACAAATGTTAGACTTAGAATCATTTAGCTTACCGGACCATTGCACCGCTGGATCCATAAAGTGTTAGTAATTACAACGTTAGTATGGGGATTGTAAAATAAGTGTATAATAGTAATCCTAAATATTGGAGTTGTATGAAAACTACCTAATACGTATTGCATGCAAAACGTGAATTTTCAACTTCTTCAGGCCACATATTGGCGTGATGGTTCGTACCCTTCGGGTATATTATTGCTCATAAAAGAGGTGGTCTAAAAAAGACGTAGATGTTAGAAATGGACACTTGCTCGAAATTAAACAATCTTCGCGACCCATCGAAAAAGAGTGTGGCCTCACTTCGAATAAAACAACAAACTTTGTGGATGACAAAACAATATCTACCAGACAAATGGTGACTTTAGTGTATTTTATAAAGACGACATTTTTTTTGCGGCAAAGAGGAAAAAGATGACGTTAGCGAAAACAGTGGTTCATGATCATGAAGTATACCAAAATTTCCTAAGTTTTAGTTGGATTTTTCTCTAGATGAGGAAGACTACTATACTACACAACACAAAAAATGGAATAAAGGAATATATCTAATATCTACATATATGGTTCTGCTATAAAACTCGGATGTTTTTCATATAATACAATCCTTGTAAACCGAAAGTTAAAGATGACATTTTCTGTAAATATACATATCAATCGTTTTAGCTAGACGCAAATTGCATATATATGCTACATATATAACGTTGATGAATGCCTGAGAAAATAGTTAGTTGCAGGAAGAAAAACTCTTCAAATTTCGGACGTCATTTTCACGAGGGACCGAGATAAGTAGAGAAAGAGGACATGTATACAATTCAGAACTACTTACAAAATTAGATTATATGAAGAATAACGACAAACCACAAGAGGGTGTTTTATAATCTGATAAGAGAGAGAGAGAGAGAGTTTGGATATGGTTGACACTTGACCCTTGTAAGCACGAAACAACGTTCTTTAGGAAAACATAGAGAGATGAGAAAAAAAATCAGTCAGCGTCTCGCCGTCTCCGCAGTGGTCGGGACGTCCCTTGTTACGAGGTCGCGGCTATACGTTTTCTTCTGCCTACCTTCTTTCTTTATTTTTCTTTCCACTTTTATTATATTTTTTCTTTATTTAGGAAGTTTCCTTTCTTTCTATTTAATGGTCTAAAAAGTAACTACGTGCCCTATGCATGTCCCCATTGCTTCGACGAATTTTCCATGAGATTTAGAGCGGCGGTACATTCATAGTTTAAACAAAAAATACATGTAAGCCATGTGTATCGTTTTTGTTGTATATAGTGTATGTTATAAGAAGAGAAGTACTAAGAAAAATGGAGAGAAACGTATTAATTGACTGTTTCTTATAATTATCGTATACATTGTTGAGGCGATTCGAGACCGTGATATATATTCCATTATACTGATATTGATTTTGATATCGATATATATGACTCCTTATTTTTCACTTCATTTTAATATGAAACTATAGATTATTATTACTGGTAAGATGCGTATATGAACCTCAAACCATTTTAGATATTTTTCCTTTCTTTATCAAACACAGCAGTGTAGCATTATTCGTCTCCCTTTGACAACAATAATAGAAATGTTACATTGTTTGCATTAAACATGTTTTTTTGTATATACAGTACTATCCTTTTTTGTTATCACTGACAACTGAAAGCAAACTGACTACACGAGCACGAGTGGTAACTATAACTTGATAATAACAGTCTCACACACGACAAACGTTTCCCAGGCGTGCTTAAATGAATAGCACATGATTTGAACTATATAATTAACAAACTTATTATACGACTAGTAACAGGTGAAACACTATGGAAGCATAATAATTCAAACTAAAGATTAACAGAAAAATTCAAGACACGAAAAGTATGAGTTACATGCTTTCATCATTAATCATCATCATCAATAACATACACCATAAACACAATTTTATACAATATACATTTGGAATATGAAAAAACTATAACAAAAGTACCCAAATAACCCATCTATTTACAATGCGTAATATCTCACGTAAATCTCTCAGAAGATCAAGAGATCTTCTTTCACGTCGTAACCCATCTTCTCAAGATTCGGCTGCAACGCAAACTGAATCATAGGCGGTGGTCCACACGCGAGCGCAAGCGACTCTCCTACCTCACCTTCAGGGATATGTTCTCTAAGCACAGCTTCGGTTATAAAACCGGTACTGTAACTCCAACCTTCCTTTGCGATCTCAACAACGTACCAAATCTTTAGCCTCTCCTTATACTTACTAGCCCATCCTTCAAGCTCCTCTCTCACAAGAATATCATCCTCGGTCCGGTTTGCGTAAACCACAAACATCTCGGTTTCGTCCTCCGGATCACTCAGTACCGATTGAATGATTTGGTAGATCGGAGTTATTCCTGTGCCTCCGGCGAGCATTGCTAGTTTCTTGGCAAACTTTGGTTTACCGCTAACCATGAAATGTCCTTTGCCTTGGTACTCGATGTGACCTAACGGACCTTTAATGTCCAAAACCGAACCGATGGTTAAGGAGTCTAAGTGCTGTGACATGAGTCCTCCGTTGGGGAATCTTGGATGCACGTCTTTGAAGTAAACCTTGACGACTAAGTCGATATGTCCAACGGCGTCGACTTTGCTGGTCGGAGTATAAGCTCTTAAGCAGAGTTTGTCGTTAATGTTTGCGCAGAGGAAAATGTGTTTCCCTACCGGTAAACCGAGCTGCTGGTCTTCTGATGGTAATGCGAACCGGAATCTACGAACGTCGTGAGAGATTGAAGTCTTCTCGATGAGTCTAACCGGGACTTTCTCACGTGGGTTGACTAAAGCGATGTTCTTTGTCGGAGCTAGCTCTTTGATCGGAGCTAGTAAAGAAGCTACACTTGAGCCACCGTGGACTGATACGTTAGGGGAAGAGTCGTAGCCGGTGGTGATGAGTTCTCCGATACGGTAGTCTTCAAGAAGCTTCTTGGCTTTGTCTGAGTGAATCGCTTCGAACTCTTCGGTGCAATCTGTGCCGGCGTTGATGAGGATCGAGTCTGTGCCTCCGGGATGATCTTTCAAGAAACGTGTGCAGTCGTAGATGTGACCGTGGACGATGATCCATGCTGAGTCAGCAGAGTTGTGTTTTCTGACTTCGGAGATTGAATACATTTTGGAAGCAGTGTTCATGAAAGGAGACGAGACTGATTTCTTGAGAGTGTGGTTTGACTCGGAGGATATCTCGAGCTGACGCTCCTTTGCCATCCACCCACCCGTTTGGTTTCCGGGTCGGGTCGGGTGTTCGAAAACAATCCCTATCTCTCCTCTGTGAGGCTTGCACACGTTGGTTCTCACTCGGAACCAACAGTTGTTCATCATGCCCTGTTTTACCAAACACCAGTCAACGTCATTAGTCAAACATCATTAATTAAATCAGTGTAATTATTATAATCAAATTAGCTGGAGACCATGGACTTGGACTTCTCTAAGTTTTATATAATTGCCCGCATGAAGGGAAATGACAAAATAATTAGCCACTGAAAATGAACTGTACAACAGAGACAATTAACGAATTTTTCTTAATTACATGTTGATTAGAGTTTGTATTAAGAAATTCCGAAAAGCGAAGATGGTAGGTAACACGTTTTTAGAAAAAAATCATCATCAACATCACAGTAGTTCCAACTTTGTAGGACGACGACAAATACATTAATTATACAAAAAATACTATTTATACTAATAAAAAAAGTAATTAAGAGACAGAGAGAGAGAAGGAGAAGTTACCATGAGGTTCCAGATGAGTTTATCTGGCTGTGTATTGAAAGACTCGTCCCAGGCTCGAACCGCGACGTCTTTGGCGCTAAGCAGATCAAGAACCTCCACGTCAAGTGACCAGAAACACCAGCACCAGAATTTACCATACTTGTTAGCCTTCTCTTGGTGGTCAAGCTCACAAACACTCCACGTGTCTCCTCCGTCTAGAGTCACCTCCACTCTCGTCACCTTCTTTCCTCCTCCTGTGTTTTCCATAACCATTTTCATTCAGTATTTAACATCTTAATTAATTAATCAAACTTTAAAAGTAAAAAATAAAAATTACCAGAGTAAGCGTAGCCTTTCATTGTGTACGGCTTCTGAGTAGTAAATGCATTAATCGGTAAAATCTCCTCGTGGCCAGGCGTTGTTATCACCGAGTTTATATTAAGCTCGTTGATGACATATTCAGGCTTATACCACCAAGCTGCAACACAAGAAGAAAAAAAATTACTATCGTCTGTTCAGGTTAAAAAGTGAAAAAGGTAAAAAAACAATCTATACCTTCTGCATTTGCCAGCTCAGCATCAACGAGAGAAGGAAGGACTCGGTTATCTTTATAGTGATAGTAACTGTCAGATTCTTGAGGCGTGACGATGATCCGCTTCAACCATTTCACCATCCGCCCGCCGATGAAACCGGGTATAATGACCCGAACCGGAAACCCGTGATCCGGCGTGAGAAGCTCACCGTTCTGCATATACGCTAATATGATGTCTCTCGCCGGATCTATCGCCATCTCTTTCTTAATGCTCGTTCCGTATTTAGATCCGCCGCCTCCGGGAAGATCCTCCGCTCCTTCGAAGCAGACGTTGAGCGCGCCGCCTCTTCTGCTGTAGATCCCGCATCGGCGGAGGATTTCGCTGAGTGGGACGCCTTTCCAGAGGGAGGTGGAAACTCCGGCGGATCCCCAATTGAATCCGATTGTTTGCTTCACCATGTTCTGTTCCTTCCGGCGATTACCGGCGCAGACGAGCGTGACTGGGAATTCGCGGCTGGGGAACTCGGAGATTAGCTGCTCCATGGTGAATTTCTCCGGGCGTTTGACGAGTCCGGTGATTTCGATCGACCAATCGGACCAATCGGCTTTCGGGACCGCGCCGTGGTTGCGGACATAGTGGAGAGGGACGGGAGTGATGAATCCGTGGTGCATGAGGCGAGGGAGAGGCGCTTCGGCGTTGAATGGGTGTTTTCCGGTGAGACGGACCATGGAGGAGTTACGCTGGATCCAATTGTCAGCCGTGGATTCGTCTCGGGAGTCTAGAATCGACGGTTCTAAATCGCTGTTGGATTTGCGGACCATCTCCTTGTAGTAGGCGACGTTGCGGTTGTGGCTCTCGTCCTCGTCATCGCTGGAGTCGTAACGGTCGTCGTCGTCGGTGGTTTCGTTTTCTTTGACGAGTTTTTCGGTTAGAACGGCGACGACAGTCTGGTTTTGGTGACGGTTGTGGCGGTCGAATGAGCGGGAAGGAACTGGGGGAGGTTTGAAGGAGCGAACGACGCCGTTCATGGTGGGAGTGAGGCGGGGGTAATGGCGGTTATCGACGGAGGTGGCCATGGAGGAGCTATTGAATTCGGTGAGATGAGAGGAGAGGAAGTGTGATTTGAGTTTCTTTTTCTCTGGAAATAAAAGCTCTTTTTTGTTTTTTCTCTTCCGCTTTGGTTTATGATATTTTGGTTTCTCTGAATTCTGTACTCTGGCTTGTAGGGGTTTGTATTTATAGGCCGTTACAGAAATCGATGAATAAAATAATAAATGAAAAATGAGAGAGTGAGGAGAAATTGACAAATGTGAGTTTATGTGGTCTCGAAGTCGTGGGACCCGCCTGCCTAGATCCTAGGCTTTGGCCTTTAAGGCGGGAACAAATTATTTTTTAAGGCTTTTTTTTTCAAGACTATAGTATTTTATTTCCTAATATTTTTGTTAAGAACAATATAAAAATAATAATCGCCAACCCAGGGCATCGAACCATGGTTTGTACTTTTACCGTGAAGCGGTGAAGGCTACTATGAAACATGCATACTATTTCATAATGTTGGCTTTGCAAAATATCAGAACTGAAATTCATATGTATATCATCGGGGCAATAAATTTGCAGTTATGAGCTATATATCACTTATTCAATAAGAATGATATACAACTTAAAAAAAACAACTTGGATTGGTCCGTATATAACATAAAGATGAGTAGGTTCAATTATAAGTTGGAATGGATACATTTTATATCAAAAGTTATGTCACTAAGGTCCATGAGACATGTGAATATCCTGGTCTTGATGATAGATTACGTACTGAGCTAGTTATTATCCATTAAAAAATCAAGAAAACTCGTCGTTTAACACTTGAAGTTATTTTCAAGAGATTTGAGTTTGCAGCAAAAGAGTTGTAGTAACAAAGTTCTGATGGGGTTGAAACAAGCTTAGGCTTAGCCTGATGAATGATTACTAATGAGATTGGAGGAAAAAGATCTTGTTTGTGACCATTTTGAATTTTGAAGACGGTTGTAGCTAGGAATATGGACCGATGAATAAGATTAAGTTAATTAAAAAGAAAACCAGTTGGTTTGGCAACTGAAAGAAAACCATTGCAGGAAAAGTGGAAAAGTAGCATTTTTAGAGTGCAAATTATACAGGATATAAAAAACCATGTTTTATGCATGATTAAATATATAGGTTTTATGTTATATATGCACTCCGACTTTGAATTTGGAAAAGTCATATAAGCCCTAATTTTGGAGTGTGTACGAAACTTTTGGTGAGTATAGAACATGCATTGCACCTAAAGAAGGAGAATATATATATACACTATATATATATAGACAGAATACCAACAATAATAGTCGAGTATTTACGGGCAAGATACACCTTCCTATATCTCGAACTGAGATAAACCTTCCCCTTGAAGCTACAAAAATGGTCTCGCTGTATCGTATACCAACTAAGCTTTGTTGTTCTTTGTCAGTCACTACTGTTTTACTAGACAGTGTTCTATTTTTACTTGCGATCTAAACAAGAAAATATTTTTATTTTACGATTTATGGTAAAAGTAAAAAACGGTTAAAACAGTTAAACTTATCTGGAGTTGTATACAATGGCCAATTGTGTGAATACAACAAAAATCAAAATTTGAGACTAAAGTTTTACTAACTGACAACTAAATCCTTTTTTTTTTAAATGCGTCATTACAACAGACTAGTTTGGATTCAAATCTGCAATATGCACAAGTTGTATTGCAATTTGCAAGACCAAGATTACGGATTACCTATACATAGTTATATACGATATGACATTAATCTACGAAAAATCACTTTCGTTTATACCAATTGATATGATACGATTACATAAAAGACAGCAAAATAACACGTAAACTCGCTAATATCTTGGGTCAAAATTGTGTACGTTAAGGAATGCAAAATATAGACGTATGACTCAAGATTGAACTGCATCACGTGTGGGTACATATATATTACAGAAATGGGTATTAATCAGCATATTCGCAAATAGATTTTGTTTATCTTGACTTCATTTTCTTAAAATCAACGTCAAACGTTAGTGTATTTATAAGAAAATGGAGAATGAGAATCCGGTGGGTAGCTATATATAGTTTATAAACATATATCTATGAGCGTATTGTTGACTTGATTAATACAGTATAAAAGAAAATGTATTAGTTAAGTCGAGAAAGTAAATATCTCGAAGATTTTTGTGGATTACATGACGATTAATAAGATAAAGCGCAATTAAGTATAAACTAAACAGAGATTATGGCTTAAAAAAGGAGATTAGAGAGAAGACTTTGGAGGCTAAATGGCGCATGGAATCACCAACGGCCAAGCAAATACACGAACGGGGCAACCATACAAAGGGACGGGTCATAATATTATTTTTGTCATTTTTATTTTAGATTTTCAATTATTACGTTATCATTATAAATGATACATGAGTAAGAACGTATGGACTAATGGACCCACTTATTATTATATTTTTTGCAGTCGATGTGATGAAAATAAATTCAAGAGTCAATCTTGGTAAAGCTTCAAAACTATATTCAACTCTGCACAGCCTAGAGAACATGGAGAAGGTGAGTTTGTTTGATTTTCTGTTTTTTTTTTAAATTAATTACACGAACAAGATTCTATGTATTTAATATATTCGTACCATTATATGAAAGACGAAATCTTGCATATAGTCTCGTTTTACCTTTAAGCTAGCTTACAATACTTAAAGTGGCATTTTGATTTATTTGTAACATTTTAATTCTCGAAAAATGTAACATCTCGATCATTTTCATGGCTCTTTAATTCTCTCACCCGAATCATTAATCTATTATCAACATCATTGTCCAATGGTAGGTTTGTTTACTCAATAAAATTTCAAATATTTCTTTCATCCTGATTATAACACCTCGAATATTTTTTTGTTTTCTCCTGGGTTAAACAAATGTACCATTATCATATTTATTTGTTTTATATAGTACAAAGTACCATCAATCATAAGTTCGATATCCGTTGATATTTTGATTTAAAGGACTATTCATTTTCTGGATTAATATTAAAACAGATGAAAAGTGAAAAAGGAAATGTGAAGAACATTACTTCATATTTGATAAATAAATTAATAAATGAGGCTATATTATTTGAAGATAGCATACTGTTTAAAAATGTAAACGTATACAGTTTCATATAATCAGATAATGCAGTACTTTTCACAATATCCTTATTTTTATTTTCTGCACCACTACACAACACAACGCAGCTTCTTTCTTTCTTTATCTTTTTCCTTTCTACCTATTACTTTTTTTTTTTTTCTACCTATTACTGACGTCGGCAAAGAAGATTGTCCCCATTGATTTGAGAGTAATAAGTAATAACAACCACGAAATATGATTTGGAGATTCGGTACCCGTGATTTTCATATGACTGATATTTACGACTGGAATTTTTAGTTCCCACGATCAATCATGAACGAATCTCGTTATCATTCTAGTATTTTTTAAATTCTTTTACCATTTTTGATTGTTTTTGAAATTGAAATTAATCTGATGCAGACAAAAAACAAGAAAATTGTGCCCTATATTAAAAAAAAAGGAAGCCAACTTGGGGAGCTTGATGCGGTTACGGGAGACATCGACCCTTTCGTGACCCTTTGAGCCACTTTTCACTGCATTTACTTTTTATTCGTTTACATTTAAACCATCTAGTAACGGGAAACAGTAATATATACATGTCCTGGACTGGAATATTCTACTCGCAATGAAATTGATCATTCTTTCTATTATTTGAGTCTTTCTATGCTTGTACCCAACAGTTGTCAGTATCAAGTAGTAGCCAAAATATCCCAGACAAGACAAGACTAGTGTTTACTTGACTTACCGTCAAACACAATTATCCTGGCGATTATGAGAGCGATTAGCAGATATCATAATTATAATCCCTCTTGTTGTTGTTGTTTTCATGTTTTGTTGTTGTTTTGGCTAAAAGCAACACCTTTTATTTCATACAACATATTTAATCTGTGTAGCGAAATAATAATTAGAGCTTAATGTTCCACTAGATTTATTTATATCCTAGTTCTTGCTCGTATCGTAGGAAATATATATAATGCACTACTTGACAACAAACACATACGGCTATACATTTTTACCCATATGATATTGTCATATTGGTATAAGTGGACACTTTTACTGTTCATAGTCAAGTTCAATTTAAAAATATGGCACTTGGATGTTGGACATATGTAATTGACTGGGAACAATTTTCAACTGAAACTAAGGTAAATCACCTAATATATACAAGGATAAAAAAACAGTTTTTATGTGATAGGGTAACTTATTCAAATGAAAAAGCGAAAATGGTTAATATATATGTTAAGTTTAATTAGTTACAAGAAAGGTAAAACAATGTTAATTAGCCATTGTATTATAATGGAAGATCCAAGATTCATTTTTTGTTGTTAAAGAAGATTCATAAAGTTCAATCTAGACAAACACTACAAATTAAGTAATCACAGACTTTTATATACTATTATTATTCAAAGCGTCATTTTAAACAAAAGTAAAAAAGCAACAATGGTTTTGGCGATTGAAACAATGTGCCACTTAGTAAATGTGTAGTTGGTATGTGTATTCATCAGAAACAGTCAAGATTCTGGATGCGTAGTTTAAACAGTTGAAATGACAATTATACTTTTCACTGTAACATTTATTGTGAAACAAAAACATGCAATAACGCAGTCCCGAAATTTTTTGGTAGGAAAGTCCAAAGTTTCTGGTCAGTTTACCGCCTTCAACGCACATGGTATAATAATACATATACGTTTTGGTATTGTTCAGAAAAGTAGATGCATGAGAAGAAAATGAAGTAGTATATTAAAATATTGTTAGAAATAATAAATTTGTGCATGAAAATCAGAGAAGATCCGAGAAAGCTTTAGCTATAACATTCACATTTCGCAATAGCAAGGGTCATATTAACGCATATCGCCTCCCCTGGATATTCCCTTTTATCTGTCTTTTTTTTTTTTTTAATTGCAATAAAGTTTTTTTTTCATCTTGTGTTACTTATTGTGAAGACTGTGAAGTGGAAAGATGCCACACTAATTATTATCATTTATTTTTAATGAATCAATTAGAGCACTATTAAGTTGAAAGTGTTTTAGTTGGAATTAACCCCCCTGGTTTAGAAGCATATCATAAAGCAGTGGTCCACGGGCTAAGCCTACAACTTTGTTCCATAAAGATTCAATTTTTATAATAATTAATTATACAGTTTTGGAACATTGTTGTTGCCTGTTGGTAGTCAAATTATTACTATAATTTTCCATTCTTTATAATGGATAATTGTGAGATTCTTTTCAGCATTTTAATAACATTTAAACTCTGTCATTGTATAGTATCCATATATCTCAACCTATAGTAAATCAAACAAATTGCAAATTTCGTCACTAAGCAAAGATTAATGGTTACTGTTGATTTGGTTTCATAGGTGTTATGCGTTGGAAAAAGATAGGCCCGATATAATGCAAGACTACATCTCTACTATACTTAGGCCCATTAGACCCATGTGGTATTCGAAATTTCGAATTCCATTTTTGATAATTTATAAATGAGTCAGCATTTTTAGATCGTTGACTGTGGAGTAGTTAAGACTTACTACATGAAGAGCAGCAGCAGATGATGACACGTGTCATTCCGATTAAGAAAGAGATTTGTTTCTTTCCTGATTTGCTGCTTCCTCCTAAATAACAGCAAAATCCCGATTCGAGAGTTGAAGAAGCCAACAAGAAAAAAAAAAGTAAAAGTTCATAGAATGCAAAATGGGAGATGAAAACCCCAGGATTATGTACGGTGTGATCATCACCGTTTACGTTGATCGTGAAGCGACGACCGTCCGATCGTTTCGAAGGAGACAGAAGAACGAATGGGAGAGTTTCGTTGAGCGGACGTGGAAGCGCGAGATCGGAAAGATACGTGGATATGATCGGAGAGCGAGTCTGTTAGCATATCTTCGTCAGATGAGAGCCGAGAGTCTCGCCGGCGAATCAAAACGCGACGACGGAGAGAGTGATGACAAATCCGAGCAGCCGAAACCGAAGGTAACGTTTTCATTTTTTTCAGTTGACAAAATGAGCTTTTACGGTTCTATTGGGCCTTTTTGATGTACAGTTGTGGACAAGGATTAAACCTACTAAGCCTTATTTTGTCAATATGTTGTCTGTTTTCTCTTAGTATTACTAGTAAACAAGATAAATTCAGATGTTAAGTAAATTTTAACTTGTAGTTCCTGTTATTGTATTGGTGAAAATTGGCAGAAAAAGAAAAGAAGGTGGTACAGAAAAATGAAGAGTAAGTTCCGATTACCGTTTCTCCGGGCATTTCGTCGGAAAAACAGGACGTGGAGGTATCGCCATTTCGTTCCAGATGAAGAAGGAGAAGCAAAGAGCAAAGCTCACAATTCAGATATTTGGGTACTACTTCGTGTTCCCATTCTTTCTTCTCTTCAACAGATTCATTCAAATAATTTTCTTAAACTATTGTGCTTTGTGAATGAAGAAAAAGCTCAAACATATGGTTGGAGGCTTATCACGCGGCTGTGTAGGAAGTAGAAGAAGAGACTCGTGAAGACAAAACAAGAAGTTGAGAATTGATAAGTGAGAACATCTTTTTCTTCTTTTTCACATAAAGTTTTTATTTGTTCTTCCACAGCTTTAGGAAGATGGAAATCAAATCAATACATAAAATGATAAAATCAGGAAATAAAAAATGAAATTTGAAAAAGGCATTAGAGATCAATGCCTCATTAGAGTACAACAATGCAGAAACAGTAATAAAAAATTACACAGAATACATAATTTACACTGAAAAATAAATTAAAAGAAAAGGGACGACGATTGTTCAAATTTCTTGTGTGTCTAATTTGGCTAAGTCATGTTAAGCCTTTTATACTTCTCCTGCAATATTTCAAGCCGGAGAGAGAGTTTGAGATAAATATGCAGAGAGGAGACTGAGATTCGGTTAAAATTTCAAAAGTTACCGACCTCTATCGCCGCCTCTCTGGCTCCTTTGAAACAGCAAACGGCGAATCGAACGGCTTGGAGAAGAAGCAGGGGATGACCGAGAAGACGACGCGAAGTCGCTCGGATCCATATCGATAAACCGAATATGATGGCTCTGTCCTTGCCACGAATCCAGCTCCAACACGCCGTTGTTGTCATCATCGTCTGAGCTGGAATCTTCATCGTCGTCGTCTTCATCATAAACACCTCTGTTATGCGGCTCAATCACATAATCCCCCAACACCACAGCGCCTGGAGTCGACGACATTATCGTGCTGATCACGTCTCTTCGATCTCTCTCCCTCTCCAGCCTCTTCCATTTCGTTTCCAGAGCTGGATCAACGGCTCTAGGGCAAGCGTCCGGGTGCTTCTCCTTCAAATGTTTCTTCAGCTTCCGGAAGTTTCCAACAAAGGAGCAATTCTCCTGCATGCAAGTCCTTCTCTTGGAGTTGAAATGCACACGAGCGTCTTCCACAACGGTCCAGCCTTTCACTTGACCTCTGCAGAGAGGACAGAGAAGCTCTGGCTGCTCAGAGTCTTCGTTGCCGTATGATTTCCTGTACTGGTCAAGGCAGTTGGCGAAACGGCTGCTCGTTGCACACATATACGGTCGACATCCTTTGTGGTAGGAGGAGCAGAGGAGGAGAACGGCGTTGTGCGGTGACTCCAAACATACTGGACATGTTGATCCTGCCCACTCTTTCTTGCAGCAAGACGGTGGTGATGGATAAGGTGTAGCAATGTTACCCCTACGGTTCACTTTCTTGATTTTCCCCATTTGAATCAAACCTATCCAACACAAGAGACAAAAAAGGATTGAGATTGCTGGTAAAAGTACAAACTTCAAGCCCATTTCTACTCAATTCTACTCAAGTGTAAGCTTTATTCAAGGAGAAAGTTGTGAAGCCAATGAGAAACCAGCAAAAACTCAATCGTAATATCCATGTGAAGCAAAATTCGACGAATCATCATCACCAGTAGCGATTTCAGAGACTAAGTTGACCATAGAAAGGAAGAAATGCTCTCTAATAGCCATTGACCAAGGATCCGAAAATCTGACTCAGGAGATGATGCATAAGCTATCAGATAACTACACTTTACTTCTACGCAATAGAGTGAGGATTAAACCGGATCCGGAAATTGGCAATCACAAGCGAAGAAAACGATTAGGTTCAATGGAAAATTGAATTTTTTTTCAGTTTTCAGATCTGTGGAAGCAAATTTGGCTACTGGAATGAATAATTCATGCAAAAACAAGCAAAGCAACAATGGTGAAGCAGATTTTCGATCCACGGATAAGATCAACAGTTAAAATGTTCGACAGCACACAAGCAGTGATTCGAGATCTCTCACGAACGGAATTCCCAATCGAGAATCTAAGATTGATAGATCTCTCTCCCGTAATGGAAGATCGGAGACTTGTAGCGAAAATCCAATTTAGGAAATTTCGAGAAGGAGATGGGCGAATTTCGACAATATAATAGGTTGACAGATGCGGAGAAGGCGCGGGTAAACAGTAGTACCAGAGGAGATCGCGGTGGTTTCCGGCGGAGGAGAGGAGGAGCTCCGAGCTTCAAGGATTGTTCGGAAAAAGAGAAAAGCGATTACTTCTGCAAATTGACGTACGCAAACAAATGACAGAGAGAGAGACACTTTTTTTTTTGCCTTTGTTTTTAAACTAGCGGTTAGATTGATTCCAAATGTCGTCATTTTGACGCAACCGTTTTTCTCATCCAACCAAATTCTCGTATCGAAGAAACATCTCGCTATACGATATGAGCGCCTGTGTTTTATATAATGGGCCTTGAGCCCTTTCCGTTCCTTGTTTATTATAGGCCCATCATGTAGGAGGCGACATAATATTCGTTTTCTATACTGCAAAAGATTCCTAGAGTAATAAATACTTAAATAGTAACATTATTCAGTCATATTATATACTTCATTCATTCATAGATTAAAAACAAAATTAGAAGTAATCTATAAACAAAATTACTTCCGTTTTATATTTTTTTTCTATCTAAGATATAAATATGAACCCATATAATTCAAACAGCAATCTATAAAATGAGTTTGACTTTCTCTTTTCAATTAGTTGATGTTATTCTCTGTTGTGTGTTATCTGATTAACATTTTGTTTGTTCAATCAATAGTCTAGTTACAGAAAGTAAATGCACATATTAAAATTTAAATATACGTATCTATTTTTATAACTTGAAAATCACATTTCAAATAAATGCACAAATTTTTAAATGCTTTAAAGATTTTAGGCGGGATTTTTAACACTAAAGACAATTGAGGTTATAGACTGGAGTCATATCCGGCGCAAACATGCCAAAGCTCTGCTCCACCGGACCCTCTTTCTCATTCTCCCTGAACATTTCGAACAGAAACACGTCCACCGGCGTCTCCGGCCGGCGAGGTGTTCGCATACGGAGAGCTCCTCCACATGTCCGAAGCCCCGAATTGTACGCCGCCGCGTTCTCGACGCTCGTGTACGGTGGATTTCCTTCCGTCGGCCACCCAGATTCCGCCACCATCACCACCACGTTTCCGGCGTTGACCTTCTCCAAAGCCGCGTTGAATCCGTCAACCATCGCCTCGAACATGTTGGTGTACGTCAAATCCCCGTCAATCACCACCGGCGTTTGGGATTTGAAAACGGCGTAATCGAGTGGGATCTGAGCTGGATCTGACGCGTAAGCGAAATACGGGTAAATGTTCGCCATGAGAGGCGAATTCGTCTGCGAGAGAATCGATGCAATCTCCGCCATGATTTCGGTCAATTCCGGGAGGAAAGTCGCGGCGGAAGGGGGATACGAATTGGCCAACGCGTTCATTGGAACGACCGTCGTGACAGAGATCCCTGTGACGCCGAGAAGTGTTAGCGCGGCGTTTACGTTCCGGATCGCGGCGGCGACAAAGGGAGCGATTTCTCCGGGGAGGACCTCGTTACCGATCGTGATCCATTTGATAGCGACGTCGTTTTTGTAAGGCAGGATCCAATTGCCGACGAAAATGGTTGCGGCGGCTGGGTCTTGGGCTAGTGGTTGGATTTCTTCGTTTCGAGGACCGAACGCAACGAGGAGACCTGATCCACGGAGCGCTTCGAGCATATCGGCGAAGGGCTCGTAAATACGAATGGCGTCGATTTTGTTGCTTTTGTATAAAGCTATGGTATCTGCCGGCGACGGGAGATTGTTGCCGTTGCGGCCGTAACAGACTCCGGTGATATCTCCATAAACACCTGGAAGCAAGCAGAACGTGAGATTAATTTTCAGCTTACCGGAGATAAACCAATCCGGTTTTATAAATCAAATCGATTGGAACAGACTTAAACCGTATAATATTTGGATAAAAGAAACACGAATACGAAATCAGATTCAAAGACCGGATTTATAACCAAATTAACTGAAACTAAACCAAACAAAAAATAACTTAATTATGATTTAATTTGGTTATGATTTAAGATTAATCTTTACCAGCTGGGCTAAGGATTTGGATGAACAGAAGCATAAAGATAACAACAGCTAAACCGGCCGGTTTGGAATCCATAGATGCTGCTTTGTGATGTCTTTGTTGCGTGTAAAGGTACTTACGGAGAACGGTACTGATCTTCTGAATGTTTGTGTGGAGATGATCATTTTTGGTGAGTGTATTTAAGGGTAATTTTAGGAAGCATGCATAAGGCATTACTACTTAATGACATTTGATCATGGCTATCGATATCACAGTATAATTAATGAAAAATCTCGAGCATGGATTGCAGCATTTAAAACAAATTAGTGACGAATAGTATAACAACATGTTGTAAAATTTGGAACAAATATGCAGAGTGAAATGAAATGATAGAACGTAGTTAAAGTATCGTGTATTAAATGGTTACACAATGTTAGAACGACGAAACGAAGTTAAAGTATCGTGATTTCCACCTACTTTTGTGATGAATAAAACAAACAATACAAAATCGCGTTGGCTATGTCATTGAACGGATGATCAATCAAAGCCAAACTTTTATTAGCTGGACCAACATTTTACTATTTATCAATAGAAGCCAAATTAAGTTTTGTCATTTAACATTTCCGTAGAGTTAGTTTATAATAACGTGAAATTACCTCAGCTCATTAATTATACTTGCACTAATTAAGAAGCCAGCCAAATGCTGTTTCAGTCATCCAGTGCCATCTAAATTTGTGTACACTCTGTTAGACTTGAAGGTAAACCGTTCTAGATAACGGATTCTAGTTTAATTTGGTGGGCTCAAAGTGTCATTTTCATATTAATGTACATCACATGCAATTAATACATTCTCTTTCTCTTTCTTATGAATCAATCAAAATCAAAGTTTTATTTATAAACTTAATGTTGTAATATAGAGCAAATCCAACATGAACGAAAAATAGTGGTATCGTCATAAACATGAAGGCACCAAATCTAGAAAGTTAAAATTAATTAAACTAAAATAAAAGAGGATTTGAAAGGAATCTTACTTGGATCCGATTGAACTTCTGAAAAAGATATGACCAATAATCTCCATTTTCAACAAAAAGAGGGATCATATAAATAATTAAGGAAAGTGCGGTAAAAAAAAGCATATCCGTACGACTTTATGAAAATAGTGGAATAGATTAATGAATTAAAGCGCTCGTATCTCGTGAGTCATCTAACGAGTAAAAATAAACCACGTGTCGAGACAAAGGAGGTGCACGAGTGCTACCCTACACCTCACACCTCCCTATCATATTCTCTAAACAAAACCTGCAAATAAAAAAAAAAATTCTGCCAAAATGAACCGTTCCTCTGTTGCCTGCAAATAACGCGAAAATCTCTCTGGAAAAAAAAGGAAAAAAAATTAGAAAAAAGAACCGAACCAGTCGTGTGAAGGATCCGAAAGAACATGAGCCAGAGAAATTTTTGAAGAAACCCTAATCTTAGCCTCGCTTTATCTTCGTCTTCTTCTCTTCTTCGATTGTTCCAATCTCGAAGCTGCCAAGATTGGTATCGGCGAGCTAGGATAGGGTTAGGTTTAGGCTTTCCGATTTAGGGTTAGGGTTTTGATTACCGGCTGATTTTATCCCGGTTATCTGGGAAGAGGAAATTGAAGGCGGAGTCGATTTGGGGGAGATTGGGGATTTAGGGTTAGGTGGAAGAAGTATTCCGTTTCATGGGCCGCGCGGGAATTTACGGTGGTGGTTTGTGTCGGTTATGAACGTTGACCAATGCCAGTGGCCGACGAAGATGATGGGTAGGGGAGTGGACGGAGGTTGCGGTGCTGAAGAGAAGCCTTACCGACCATTTCGCAGGGCTTCGATTGAGAAGGAGAATGGGATTAAGAGCTCCGAGGATAAGGCTTCGCCGGGAATCGATTTGTTAGCTCAGGCGAGCAAAAACCTCTCCGAGAGGTCTCCGTATGATGTTTCCGAAGATGGTTCGACTGTGGGGGTGAGTGTGCCTACTCTACCCATTGCGTTAGCTAATTTGCTGAACCAAACGGATAACAAGAAGCGGCAGAAGAAGTCTCACGCTGGGGCGGAGAAGAAGAAGAAGAAGTCTTCTAGGCAAGGGGAGAAGCTGAGAACTGGGAGCATCTGGGTTGAGCATCATGACTACTTTAGGCGCTTGGAATTGCCTGATTTAGAAACTTTGTCAGATTTAGCATCTCTGAGATCTTTATCCTCTGGAAATTGCTTTTCAATTCCTTCTGTGGAGTACGAATCCGTTAGTCTTCAGCAGAGGGAAACTGATGCCAGTGCGAAGAATGAGGATGTTGTTATGGAAGAACTTAAAAACTCTCTCAGGAAAGAGATATCTGAAGGCGCAGTAAAGAAAGAAGAGGTAAACGAGGATGTTGAGGAGCCAATGAATGTTGACAGTGTGGGAGATGAAGTCTCCTCTGGGTCAGACTGTTCCGGTAGTTTAGAATGGGTTTTAGGGTGTAGAAATAGGATTTTGTTGACATCGGAAAGGCCCTCTAAAAAGCGGAGGCTTCTTGGTGGTGATGCAGGTCTGGGAAAATTGATAGTTGCCACTCCTTGCAAAGGGAATGCATTGTTATGTGATTTTTGTTGCACCCGTGGTGATGCCAAGGGAAAGCATCACCAGTTGATTGTTTGCACTTCCTGCAAAGCTACAATTCATAAAAGATGCTATGGCGTGGTTGAAAATACAGATAAACCTTGGTTGTGCTCTTGGTGTGAGCTGGAGAATAGTCGTAGTGATTCTGAAAGAGAGAGACCATGTTCGCTCTGTCCCAAAAAGGGTGGTATTTTGAAGCCTGTTCTCTCAAAAGCTGAAAACGGTGGGCCAGTGGAGTATGCTCATCTGTTTTGTTCTCTGTGGATGCCTGAGGTGTATATAGAGGACTTGGAAAAGATGGAGCCGATCATGAATTTGCCTGGAATAAAAGAAATTCGGAGGAAGTTACTGTGCAACTTGTGCAAGGTGAAATCTGGTGCTTGCATTCGGTGTTGTAATGGTATGTATTGTTGCTTTCTGTGCATTCAGTCTACTTCTGAGCATGGGTAACATTGATATTCTTAATGACATGTTCTATTGGGTATCTTTCTTAAGCTGCTTCTTCCTTGGAACAACTTAACAAGTGTGCAAAAAATAATACGCGTAACAAAAGAGTAGCAAGTGCTTCATCTTAAATTGGGTTTAGCTGGCTTGATTGCTGTCTCACAGTCGTTGTCCTTACTTTGCCTGTTCCAGATAACCTAATTGTTGACAATATAGAGTACAATGAGTATCGTTGATTGATCAACTGGTGTTTTCATTTTTTATTTGGCTACTTTGTTAATGATTGCATCCCGATGAAGTGATGCTTTGACGTCTATCTATATGAATATTTTGCTATGCTGGGTTACTGTGAAAGTGAAATTGCACACAGCTTGGATCTTACTGAAATAATTAGGCAAAGGCCGTTGTTACCTTCCTCCTCTCCCCAGTGTCTTATGTTCTTAATTTACTTTTCCAACTTGATAGCTTCATCATGGAACTACTTTGTTGGAGTTCTTTTATCTTTTTTTCTTTGGCGAATGTCAGATTAGTAATTGATACTTTATTACAATCTCTTGATCATAGGAGCATGCAGAACATCTTTCCATCCTTTATGTGCAAGGGAGGCAGGGAATAGGCTAGAGGTCTGGGGAAGACATGGGTGTGATACTGTAAGTTTCACCATTTGCAGAACGGAATCATAGACAATGCTGCTGTTTTTTCTTTAACATTGTAAGAACAAATTGTAGGTTGAACTGCGAGCTTTCTGCACAAAGCATTCAGATAGTCAAGAAAGTGGAAGGTCCATAGAGGGAGGGGAAAATAACGCAGCTGAGAGACGTTCTCCTGTATGTCATCTTCCGTCAGAAGCTGTAAGAGAAGGTCAAGTAAGCAATGATGAGGTGGGAGTTGACGTAGGAACACCGGGTACAGGCTCTGATATTTCAAGAAACAGTGAATTGCGAGAACCGGAATCACCACATTCAGAATTTAACTGCTCTGCAACAGACAAGGTTGAATCAGGGATGACTGGGAGAAGCACCAATAATGAAAGAACTCTGTCCGAGTCTCTTAGTTTTGGATTGATTCTGAAAAAGGTGCGCAATGCATATTCTTAAAATTTGAATCATCTATACCTGCCGACTCTCTTGCCCACTGATTAACATTTTTTTTAGTTGATCGACCTGGGTAAAGTGGATGTGAAGGATGTAGCTGCAGAGATTGGGGTCAGTCCTGAAGCTTTGAGTGCCAAACTTACGGTAACTTGTAAAAGTTCTCATATGCCTAATTAAAACCTCTGTGTTCTCATTGTGGGTTTCTGTATATTGATTTCAAAGTTTTGCGCTACAGGAAGGAGACTTGTTGCCTGATTTACTAGGCAAGATAGTTAAATGGCTTAGTCAGCATGCACACATGGGTACTCGGACTAAAGGCGAAAATTTTAAAAGTAAGGACACTACTCAATCTGAGCATCGGGCAACTATCTGTTCTGAAGACATGGTTGTGTTAGAGTCTGAAATTTTAGATCCTGCTGTCTCAAAGGCTCCTTCTTTGGAGGGGACGCTTGAAAGCAATATTTGTAATAACAATACGAATAATATGCTATGTACCTCTGCTGAAAATGGTACTGGTAATGGTATTGTGGTTGATGAAGCTAAAGCCAATATACCAGTTCTGAACAAAGAGAGAGGTGTGAATTTGGCATCTGATCATTCTCCAGAAGAACAGGTAATCTCCCAATCACAACACTATGTTATGTTCTGAATATTTTTCTTTAAATCTAGATGCTTTCCCATGGACATCCTGATGATCTATTTGACCTTGTGCCTTTGTTTCTCATATACAGAAATCAGCAGTGCTTGATCAGGAAGTTCATCCCGAGAAAAGCTCAGCTAATCTTTCTGGTTTGTTTCTGACCTTTGACAAATAGTTATCCATTACTTCTTTTGTTTTACTTAAATGCTTGGAGATTTTCTACTGAGGATGTCTCTTGATCGTCTAATGTTTATTACGCATAGTTATTTATCTTTTCTTAGTTAGCTGTTGCTGATATCGTTTTTAATCTGTTGTGTAGATGCTCATGGAGAACAATCAAACTCCAGTTGTTCTGGAATGCTGGAGAACTCCTTTTCCTTGGGGAGAAATAGTTCTCAGAATTGTGGAAATTTGAACTGTCCAAGCCCCATTATCTTGGAGCTCCTGTAAGTTACGGAAACACAATTGGGCGACAGTCTCTGTTCTCTCTGCTACATAAACATTCTGCCTACTAAAATCACCTTTTTCTTTTATCTATGATGATGCAGTGATCATGACGCGTATCCTAGTTTTAATCCTCATCCTTATATCCACAAAGAATTGTCAGAAATGGGCAAGGGAAAGATCCTGAAAATCAGCTCGGATTCTGAAGAAGGAAACAAACATCTGCAGGACGCTGGCAATAACACAGGCTGTTGTAATTACCAGAGTCAAAGTGCAGACACGGGAGACACATTTGGTCAGTTATCAAAAGCTAGGAAGTTGGGCATACTGGATCTGTCTCCTGAAGATGAAGTGGAAGGAGAACTTCTATATTATCAGTATCGGTTGCTTGGCACTGCAGTTTCAAGAAAGCAACTATCTGGTGAGTTTATTGTCCATCGTTATTTGCATGGTCCCAACTCTTCATTTTTTTCTGCACTATATAATTTCTGTTATATTATTCTAAAGTTGGTCCCTTTTCTCAGACAATTTAGTCCATGAAGTTGCCAAAAAGCTGCCGATGGAGATTGATGAACAACATGGACGAAGATGGGATGATGTTCTGGTCAAAAAATATTTCGTTGATGTTAGGGAAGCAAGAAAGCAAGGTAGGAAAGAGCAAAGACACAAACAAGCCCAGGTTGTTCTAGCTGCTGCTACTGCTGCAGCAGCAACATCTTCTCGGAATACATCGGTTAGGAAAGATATGACAGAAGAACCTGCACAACAAGAGGTTGTTGTTGCCACTTTTAGATTTTTTTCCTCCAAGTATTATTCTATTTGTGTCATGTTTCTTATCCTTTATTATTCTTGCTGGTTATAAATCGGACAGGTGAGTACTTCTAGACGTAAAGTTGCTGGCAGCTCTCACCTAGTGCCACAGACAAAAGAAACGCTTTTAAAGATGACTGTTTCCGGTCCACCACCTGAGAAGTGGTCTGATCATCGTACACCAGACATTTCATCAGAAAATGCACGAAGTTGTGACATCTGCAGACGCTCTGAAACTATATGGAACCTGATTGTAGTGTGCTCTAGTTGCAAGGTTATAGACATTTCCTGTGAATTATTTCCAACGTTTAATTTAGTCATGATATGCAAGGTATGGTATCTGACCAGTCTCCAATTATAGGTGGCTGTTCACATGGATTGCTACAAATGTGCTAAAGAATCTACTGGTCCTTGGTACTGTGAACTATGCGCGGAATCTACTGGTTCTTTCAATTTTTGGGAAAAACCGGATTCTTCTACAGAGTGTTCTTTATGTGGTGGCACAACTGGGGCTTTTAGGAAAGCCACAAATGGGCAGTGGGTGCATGCATTTTGTGCTGAGGTGAAGTTTCCTTCTGCAGCAGTAGTTATTTGCAGGGTCTGGAGTACTATATCCAGTAATGAACATAATGTGGTGTTTAATTTCTTGCAGTGGTCCTTGGAATCAACTTTCAGAAGGGGGCAAATAAATCCAGTGCAGGGACTGGTGGGTTTATATTATTATAATGCAGAATCAATAACTTGTTAAAGCTGTTTTAAATTTCTAAAGCTTAATGTATGATGCTTTGTTAGGAGTCTCTGGCTAAGAGCACAAGCACTTGTTGTGTATGCCAACGGATATATGGTGCATGCATTAAGGTACTTTGCCCTTTCTTACCTTTTTATTGAAGAAATCTTAAATCAAGTATTGGCACAAAGATTGAACAAGAAAGCTTATGCTGTCGTATTACAGTGTAGCTATGGTAACTGCCAGTCGACATTTCATCCCTCCTGTGCCAGAAGTGCTGGTTTTCATATGGCTGGTGGTGGGAAACTTCCACATAAGGGTTACTGTGAGAGGCACAGCTTGGAACAGAAGGCAAAGGTCTTATTTTGTCATCTCTTTAGTCATACGTATTTTACTGTGGTTGCATCATAAGATTGCTTATATCTGTCTGATTGTGTTTGCAGGCCGAATCTCAGAAACATGGGGCAGAGGAACTGAAAAGTCTCAAGCATTATAGGGTAAGAGTCCTTAACAACATGACATTGCATTGCCGTCTTAAGCTTTTGACATTATTCTCTCTCACTAAATGTCCGAATTTACTAAATCTCTTCCAGGTTGAACTTGAGAGGTTACGCCTTCTGTGCGAACGGATAGTCAAGAGAGAGAAGTTAAAAGTAAGTAGAAACTTTAAATCGTCCTTTCATTGAAACGAAACAAAATGGTCGTTTAAACCTTTTTTCCTGGTGTATATTTGCAGCGAGAGTTGGCTATTTCCTCGCATGAAATACTTGCTGCCAAAAGGGATCAGGCTGCACGTTCGTTACCTGTCCGTAATCCATTTTCTCCTCCAGAAGTCTCGTCGGATTCAGCTACAACGTCAGTGAAAGGTCATCAAGATAGTAATATATCCGGCAGTGAAGTGGTAGCACAGAGGTCAGATGATATCACCATTGACAGCACAGTCTCTGGTCAGCGCCGAGGCAAAGGTCCCATGTTAATGGACAGTGATCAGAAAACCGACGATAGTGCTACTTCCATGGGTCGGATCTCCCGTAAGCCAAGTGAAAGACAAGTATTATCGGGGAAGACAGTTCCTCGCAAACATTGTATAGTCTCGCCTAGTGTATCAGAGGATGGAGATGATAAAGACTCGAAGCCGAAGAAGGTGAGAAGAATCTCTTTGTCCTAAAGTTAACATGCATCGTAAGTTCTGAGACTCTTTTCTGCTCAAAACTCAGCTCATTCATGGAGTCTTATATGCTTGTTAACTGATAATAGCAGCATGTAGAAACATTTGCCAAGGAGCTTGTGATGACATCGGATGAAGCTTCTTTCAAGAACCGGCGGCTCCCAAAGGGATACTTCTACGTTCCGGTTGATTGCCTTCAGGACGAAAAGCCTGGCAACCAGAAGGCGACGGCTTCATCTGAGGATCCAACCAACGAGAAGGCCTCTTCAGGTGATCAGTCAGGCAAAGACGGGTAAACACATATATCTTGGGGCTCATTGCTCTTTACCCTAAATTAGACCCATTGGTGGACATCATCACCTTGCGCCCTAATCAGGATTCATCACCAAATGGCTTAAAGCAACGAAAAAGAACAGATGGTATTACTTGCTACAGAAGAGCAGTGAGAAGACTCGGCTAAAGAAAGGTTTGAGAGTAGAGAGTAACATCTCTAAAGATTAAAAAAAAAGGCTTCAGATTGGATTCAGGGTAGCGAGATAAAAGCTCCCTAGGACCTCACTTGTAATCTGTTTGTATAAAGCGGACAAAAGGGTTGCATAAGTGTAAATATTCATCATTGTGTCTAAAATCTGACCAAAGAAATTATAGTTTTCTGAAAATTCTTTTGGTTATGAATTTGCTTCACACGTTGATTGCTTCACACATTAACACCTTAAGCTAACTCAAGTAGAGAGGAACGAGAAAGCAAAAACTATTTACACTGTTAAAGCTTTAAGGCACAACACAGCGACACTAAAGTGTCTTTGCTCGTATGTTAAAAAGGATTCTGCATTTGTTTGGTCTTTAGTTTTTTCTTTCAAGTGTGTGATTTGTATACCTTTTGGTTCTTTACAAAATTTGTCATCTCCTCAAATCTCTCTTGAGTCTTGAGAATTACTTTTAGAGAATTGCATTCCAAACAGCTCCTTCTCCTTCACTACAAACTTCATGGACTATCTTCATTCTCTCAATCGACTTGCAAATCCCACTGCAGCTCCATTCGAATGACGCTACACACACATCTCCCGCCTCTGCCTTCCATCTACAATCTATGAGAGGTACAACAAAACGGAAAAACAACCATCATAAGCAAGAGAGATAAGAAGGAGAAGGAGCAAGATCTTTCTTGTTTGTGTGAGCTTTATACCTGGAGGAGTCCCACAACAGAAGTTCCTGTCATCAATATGTTCAACCTCAAGTCCAATAAACCATGACCCCAAAGACACATCTTCATTAGCATATTTATGCAAAATTGGCCTGCACACAGATTTTTGAACCTTTAAAAATGCAGAAATGAAAGCTAAAAGGCTCTTTATGATGATGAGGATGTAGAATGATTACGTACTGGTTGATAGATATGTATTTAGCAAGATCTTTAGAGATGGCATAGATCTGTCCTGTAGCATGTCGAAAGTACTTGTTACCATCCTCTCCAAATTTCCAATACTCTGGTTCATGGTACTTCACTGTCCTGAAACAGTTTTTGATATTAACTTATTTAACCATACTCTCAACACAGCAAGGCAAGAAAAATATTTAAAGCTAGACTCAGCCAAATGAGGAAATTACTTTTGAGCAAGAACAGGTCCTGATTTCATACAGCCAATATAGACTCTCGGCTTTGATCGGTGACGAGCAAGTGTGGAAGCAAGCATACCTGAAAAATGCAAAGTTTTTAAAAACCCTTTTTCATTTCTAAAGAAACTAGTAGAAACTTGTTTTTTGGTTTTACCGAGATTGACGTGAACATCATCATCAACCTTGATGTAGAACTCTGCATCCCATTTAGCTACTGCAGTGGAGAAGAATATTTTGGTTTTCGCTGAGAGTTCATGATATCCTTCAACATGCTCCAGCCTGAGGAAGTCCTTGTGCTGAGAATCTTCTGAGTCAATAGCTCTATCCAATATACTATTCGCCATTGCACTGCCAACAAAAAATTGTATACACACTTAAAGTCAAATCTCAACGTAAAAAATACATTAACCTCTGAGAGAAAAAGAGAAGGAGCTTCACCTGTGTCCAATCATGAACTTGATTACAATTCCCTTCTCTTGCTCCAACTTCTCAAGCTTCTCCCCTTGAGGCATCCATGTTTCCCTGACTGAATCACGCCTTCTACGACTGCTAAAAGCGGTGTTTATTCCCATAACCATGAACACTTTTTTCCTTGGTGTTGCTTCTGAGCCATCACCAACTGTTTCTTGAGAGGTCCTTGTAGACGACAACTCCATTTGTATTGCATCATGAGTTCTCAAAACTTGGTCAATTACATCTTTTTCTTGTGTAGCTTTCTGCAATTTTTGGACCACAAGCAAGATGGTGAAGAAGTATAAAAGAGCTTCAAATCTCTTTGAAACAAAGTCTAGAAGCGTAAAAATCATTTGGTTGAACAATTGAAAAACTATGATTTAATCATGACAAACAGAACCAAAACAGAACCATCAATTGGTGTAACTCTTGATTTGATTAACTATTTAAAAAAACACTTTTTTTTTTAGAAACTCTACTAAATTGAGATCTTGGAGCATACTTTCTTATGACCACAATCGTCTGAGACGATCTGAAGTTCATGATCACGACGGCGCTGTGAAATCAGCTGACTACCGGAATCCGACGACGGAATCCATGACCTGAAAGCCAGTTGCAACAAAACCCATCAAAGAGGAAAACAAAAAGGACAAGTTTTTGAGGATTGGTGCAGGAGAAAGGAAGACAATTTCTAAGAAAAGATGGAAGCTTTTGAAACCTTGAGGTGAAAATTTCTCCGAGGGCGAAGAAAGAGATGCAGAGAAATGGAACCCATCTGAGAGAGATTGTTGCTCTCTTGGAGACTTTGTGCTTCATCGTGGAGATGGTCTAATGAGAGAGAGAGAGTGAGATCAGAGATGGAAGATTTAATGGGAACACACGATCGAGAAATATTCAAATGATGCAATTTGTATTTGTGCCAATGTCATGGGAAGAGAAAATGAAATTAGAAACTCCCTTCTAAATAAACATTTTACTACACGTTTTTGACTTGTTAATGTTTTTCCCACCGTCGAATATGTCAAGTCATTTTACTTTATAAATTATTAAATTCAACCAACTTAGTTGAATATTAGAGAGACAGACATGTTACCCTTTAATTATTTGATACCAAAAGAGATGAAAAAGAACAATAGTTTAAATTGTTTATCATTTGTATTTGCGTGAAATTTATATAGTTTTCGGACAGATGTCATGTCATATATCCCACTGATTTTATAAAATATTTTTCGGGTTTTACAAACATTCATATTTGAGTTTGGAAATATTGAAGCTAATGTTTAGAATTGAAAAATTGTTTTAGTAATATTTGTAAGGCTGTTTAGTGTGTTTACTATCATTTCTTAACTAAAAATGGTTGAAAAAATTAGAGTAGATAAGTTTAATTAACGTTTTCTTTATTGTCTTATAAACATTTATGAAGTTGAGTTAAATCATCAAGTTTTCTTCTGACTTGGTCTGCACAAAATGTTCACTTAATTTGCGTAAGTTGAATAAGTAACCGTTGGTACTCCAAAAATTATAATCTTGCATCCCATACGTGAGGAGTCAGATTTGGATAATGCATTAAACTGAGTAATTTTCATTTGTTCACTACTCACGATTTACTGAATCAAATCATTTTTAGGAATTAAAAAAATGGCGAACAACGCTGAACACTTCTTCAATCAACATTTGGTGAAGAATCAGGTTGTGGCAGGCGGCGGACCTTGCTTGCCACGGCGTGTTTTCAATGACTCCCACACAGTTGGAGCAGCTCCATCCTCCACTGCAATACAATTTAATATGTTGACAGCTCACTAGCTCATAATTAATATTAGCTAGAATATTCAGTTCATATCATAATTATATTTATAAACCTAAAGAAGCCAATGTGTTATCATTACAAACATCTTCTAGAAAACAGGAATTTGGGTTTGTTTCCTTGATACTGTCTCGAGAAAAGATGATGCTTAGTCACCGAATAACATACATGATACACCACTTGTGATTTTTACGTGTAGCTAGTTTTCACTCCCATGTGGTTATTGTTAAGACATGTGGTACGGTTAATAGAAAAAGAGACGAGATAATGATGGTCGGTTTTAACTTGGCCCGAGAATATATATACAACTCATTATTTACTATCACACAAAACATTTTAAAACTTTGGAAAATTGAAAAGTAAATAACACTCTTGTTGAAATATTTTTTTTTATTTGAATTTTGTTGCTTATATGAACATTAATCCCAACACATAAAATTAGTGGAAACAAAAAATAACACTGAAATTCAATAAAATAACACCAAAATCATTAAAAAAAAATGCTTAGTCTATCTTAGGAGAAGAGTAGAGTTCGGATGTCGTCAGGTGGCAAGTGTACAGAGCAGATAGGGCATTGAGGCGTGCGCAACAAGTAACGAGAGATAAAGTAGCGTGAAAAGATGTGATTGCATCTTGTTTTATGAACAATCTCATCTTCTTTCGGATACCCTTTTCCACAGAGACAACACAACTCCGAGCCTTGGTAACAATCACTTGACCAAAGTGTTGGTAAAGGCCTTGAGGTTCGACGAGGCACTATGTGATCCGCGGCTTCTTGAAGCTAGGGAACGTCGACGTGGCGAATCAGCTCTTGGAGGAGTTCGAGTCCATGGATGTTTTCTGGAGGGTATGAATGCAACAACGTAGCAGGGCTGGTGAGGGTGGCTTTCGTTGAGCACTGGTTCGAGAATGGGAAAGACGAGGAAGCTATGCGGTGCTACAAGTCTTTGTTGAGCAATGCTCAGAAGTAGACTGAATGCACATAAAGCAACGACGCATCCCAATTTCACCATTGAAACAACCAGCAAGAGATAGATCAAGCGAGAGATGAGAGCATCGACAGGACTAACAGAGATTGATCATACCTGAAATGAACAATGGATGAATGAACCATGTCACGGAACAAATCGATCAAACTTGAAAGAGTGAAGCCCACTTGTCACCTTCCCGATAAAGAAATCCGCTCGCTCGCAATCGATCTCCGCATCCAATTGGAGTTTCTGTTCGTCCCACAACCTCAGGCTCTTTTGTTGACTGTAGACGCAGATGGTGGAAGATGTGCCGGAGGAGATTACCACCGGAGAAGAAGAAGGAACGAAAAGGTGAAACGATGTCGTTTCGAGAAACGTGATGTAGTTTGTCGGTTTAGAACGTGATGTATACAATTGGATAGACCGAATAAAACTAAATCTTTAATTAAAAATAGTACATATGTATTTTTTTTAGTTTGGCAACAACATTTCATTAGATACTACTCCCACCCAACTTTGAAAAGTTCTCAGACTTTATTTGGCTATGGAGTAAGGTACAAAATTGCTCTGTAATAATGGGGTGAGCTTTATTTTATTAGTTTAGGGCATTGCTACATTACATGGTCGATTAATTTATCATGTTTCCTGCAGGGACAATATAATATGTTTGACTAAACCAAATAAAATAATAAAATAAATCTCACCGGATGTCCGAATCATGCACATTAGAAATAAGGTTTGGTTGCAATTATTTTGTAATGCTTTTTTTTAATGTTATAATATGGTAGTTGAAGAATACGCTGAGACAAACCAACGCTTAGTCCAAAACATGCATTCAAAGTTATTAGAAAAAAAACCATCTCTAGGCGGTTGTTTCAACTATGGTTAAAAAATTTCTGCTTTTTGTCTAACCAAAGTTTGGTGTAGTGTTCTGAAAATCACATTTGCAATTGGGGTATGTTGATCGATCTTAATATAAATAAGTCACATTTAGAAACTTTAATAAAATATTGTATTAAATCAAAAAGCGTGGAGCAAAAATTAAACAAATTTCGCCACATGCAATCGGGGTGTGTTTGATACTTTTCAAATGTGAAACACGACAAAACCAGAGCTTGCCACACAAAGATGACACCTGTAGGTCCTCTAGGGTTTTGCATCCCTTTGTATAAAGTAATTGAACAACAATTTCTAGATTTGAAACTGCAACAGACTTATTTGAGTTACTGCTTTCGCCATATCATATTATAAGTTTAAATCGAGTAGTTCGCATAAAAATGTGACTTTTGTTAATTATTCCTACTTTTTTTTTCTATGAATCATGAGTTACAACATAAAACACTCTGTTTACTTGTTCCTCAAGGTTTCAAAGCTCAAGGTCTATCCCAGCTCTGGCCGTCCGAGCAAACCATTTGAACACTCCCATTATGAAAAGCAATCTGCAACAATGTTTGCTCTTCTAGTTCTATATGACCAACTTTGAGCATCAAGAGCTCATAGAATCAAATGTTTTTTATTTTTTTGTAAGGAAAGTAGCTGAGTTTCATAATCTCCAAGGGTGCAACTGGATGTCACTTTTGTGGGATAAAATTGTGTGGAATGGCTCATTCACATAGATCCCACAAAAAAACTACCATTTGAGTGGAATTAAAAAAAAAAACTATCCCTGCCATTCCAGTGGGATAAGAAGGAATACTATAGGATATAGTTAAAACTCATTCATGATAAAAAAGGCTTATAAATAAAAGGAATGGAATAGCTGAAATGGAAATATGTCCAAATTACTCATGTTAGCTCAGATTATTTTGAAAAGAAATCGAACTTTAAATTATCGAAGATTATTTCAGAATAATAGCAACAGTATTTGTTGCAATTTTAAATTTAAAAGTTAGTTTAGATTTTTTAGGGAAAAAAATTTACCTAGAAAACAGACGATACTTTTTGTATCTTATAAGAATAACCACGATCATCACAATTTTTTAATCAAAATTGATCAAAACAAGAGTTCCAAAGATTGAAAAGTAAAGGTAAACAAGATTACTATCGTTCATATTTTCTTCTCTTTTTCTATTATCAGATTTAAAACTATCGCTCATCTTTCTTTCTAAAGTTTTATGAACTTTTGTTTTTGATATATATTGTTTTGTACGTTGAAATTTGTCTAAATATACACTACAAGAAAACAGCCGATATTCTGACGGAATTACCGACGGCCACAATCCGTCGGTAATTTTCCGATGGCCTTCCGACGGCATTTTAACGGCACAAAAACGGTCGGGAAACCGTCGGAATAATGGAACGATTTCCGACGACATACCGACAGCTTTAATTTCCGTCGGAATAAAGGAACTATTTCCGACAGCGTATCGACGGGTTTGAAATCCGTCTGGAACATATATCTGTTGCTTAAGAGTTGTAAGGACTTATTATAACATTTCCGACGGATTTTTGACAGTGTATCAACATTCGACGATATTCTGTCGGAAATATTATAGCCGTAAGGACTTATTTTATTATTTTAAGTAATCATTCGGACGGAATTCTGACGGAATGATGAATGTTCCAACGGTTTTCCGAGAGATTTCCGATGAGTCAAGGTTTAAGGTATCTATATTGTCTCTAAGATAAAACAAACATTGATACATAAATAAAAGGACATCTATTAATAAGTTATTATGTTTTGTATGATGTTAGAGCTACATTTTTGCAATTTCCAAAATAGTTAAGATTGAATGTTTGAAAGTGTTAGATGAAGTTTAAGAGTTTATAAGTAGTAGTATAGGTTATGAATATGATAAAGGTAAAATTTTGTGTAATTATGTTTTAAGAGTTTAGTTTGGACATTCTTTGAAGGGAATCATCAAAAAACATGTATTGTTTACTTTTATAGTTATTTTCATCCATTTTTGGATATCCTAAATCTTGAAGCGTCAGAACATCGTCGTTAAACTACCTTGTATTTCGATGGATTTCCGACGGAAAACATATTTGTGTCTTAAAAAAATCTATCGGAATGAGGGTACGTTTATCGACGAATGTCGACGGCCTTAGGTTTTTTACACGCCGCAACATTTTGCGAAGGCGCGAAAAATAATTAGGGAAAAAATTTTTAGGCGGCAATTAATTAATTCATTATTTTACCGACGGAATTTTGACGGTTGTCCATCAGAAAAAGTTAATTACCTATTCTCGACTGTTCGGACTCCCTTCATTTCCATCTTTCTTCTCTTCTGAAACCCCTAATCTCCTCCTCTCGAAAGCGATTCTCGCCGTTACAAGATTCTTCTCTCCTTATTCTTCACACCCACTGAACTCGACTCTTCCATTCTTCTCCTCCTTCTTCTCTCTTCCGCCGACTCGTCGTTCTCTCTACCGCCGCTCGTTCTTCTCCCCGCCGCCGAATCTCACTTCTCTATTCTTCTCTCCCCCGCCGCCTCGTCCTTCTCTCTACCACCGATTCGCCCTTCTCTCCGCCGCCGATTCCCGCATCTCTATCCTTCTCTCTACCGCCGCTTCGTACTTCTCTCTGCCGGGGATTCTCGCATCGCCATGTAAGTTTACTATTTATCGAGTCAATTTTGTAGCTTAATTTGTCAGATTTACTCTCAGTGTTCATGTTTTTTTTTTCTTCTTTGGATTTAGTCAGTTTGGTTACAGTTTTCTTTGTTCTTGGTTATTGGCTCAGTTTCTCTGTTAGCTTGTATCTGGTTGATAGTTTGTCTGGAAATGTTTGCGTCTGTGTTAATTTTTTTGTAAACTCCGACAAATTGCTCGTTCTTGCTTCCATGTGTTCAATTTTCAGTATCTTTTGGTTTATTTGATTGGGCTACGAATTTAAACAAGCTTTTGTTTATTGACTGGGTTATTTATTTAATTGATTGTGTTGATTTGAATGTGTTCTTCATCGAGTAGAACCAAATGTGATTAGTTAGGTTTAATTAGTACTATCTGTGAACAATCATGTAAGCCAACAAATGTTGGATAAGTCTAGTGAACCAAATGTGATTTTTGAAGAGTTGTTTGATTAATTTCGTCTGTGTGAAGCATTGTTTGATTAATTTCATAGGTCTTTGCACTTCAACTGTACTTGTTGACGCTTAATTTAGTTGGTGTAAAGAATCTGTAAGTTTTCTGAAACAGTGACTGCCTGCTTTTAAATGTGTATATTAAAAAAAAAAACGTTGTTTGCTTACTATGTTTCATTGGCAGCAATTCTACAATTGGGACCCTGAGTTGACTCCTCTCGTTCGTTCAGAGTTCAACGCACATGCCACGAAGTTGTACTCCGACCACCTCTATGCGTGGAAGCAGAAGTATTTAAAGGGGAAAAAGCCAAAGAATATTAACTTGGATGTCTTCGATGCTCTCAAGCCTTACTGGGATAAGCTTGAAACCCAAGCTACTTCAGCTACTAACTCAAAATACCGTAGAAGTGAACGAGATGGCATGGGAATGTCTACTCATAATGTTGGTGCCCAGACAATCGAAGCCCGAGAAGAAGAGATGGTATGCTTTCTTTCTTTTCTCTATGAATTACTTCCGGTTTTCTTTTAGCTTTTAAGAAGTTTGATCCGGTTGTCTTTCAGCTTTTAATAAGTTTGATCCTCTTGTTTGCAAGACGATCGCGGCCCCAAGGCGCGGGAGTTTGTGGACAACGTGAAGAATATCGTGGAGGAGAGGATGACACATCGCATACAAGAAGGCTTGGGCCCGAGAGAATATCAACGAAGTGGTTATTGAGGTAATTTTTTTTTTTTTGGGAACTCATTTCTTGTTTCTTGTGATGAATTTGCCTTTAGGTAGACATTGGAAGCATTGATTAGGTTTTTAGTTGTTAGTTTCTGGATTTGTGGACAAGCTTGTTATGCGATGTTGTTTGTGAGGGTTTCAGCTGTTTACTTTTACATCTATAACTCATTGAGCTTAGAGCTTAGACTCATAGTTGGTTTTGATCTAATGTGTCTTTTGACTGAAACTTAGACTCATGTGTGTTTTGACTGAAACTAGTGTGATTGTTAACTAATTGTCATGTCATAGTTTTGATTGAAAGTAATCTTGACTACAAGTTTTTGTCATCTTTTTGCAGAATGCTCTTGTCAGCAAAAACCGCACGTACTGTTTGGGAAAACTCGTTGATGATCCTGTCCGCCAAACTTCTTCTAGCTATCCACCCAACTCTAGCCTTGTCTAAGAAGTGAAGATGCTCAAGGAACAACATTTAGAGAAGGATGCAAGGCTCAACTCATTGCAGTCAGAGGTTGACAACCTTCGGAACATATTGAAGGAGAACTTTCCCTCTGCTTTTCCACAAACCCAGCAGTAAAATCAGATTCTAACTCAGTAGGTTTCCCACTTACCCTCTTCTTTTATCCAAATTCTACTTTCCATCTCCTTTTGCCCAAACTCTAATATTTTGTAAGAACAAAGCAATGTCTTCTGTCTACAAAACTAGTTTTAATCTTTTGTATTTCAAATATTAATTTCTATTTCAGCATTTTCCATTATTTAATATTTTCAATATTAATCACAAATAAAGCAGAAATAACAGGGTCAACCAATTTAAAACCCGTCCCAAATCCATCAGAAAACCCGTCATAAAATCCGTCGGAATTATTTTCACAACTCCATCATAAATCTGTCTAAACACTGTAGGTATTATTTTCAATGCAATTCCGACCAAATTCCGTTGAACAAATAAGTGATGCATTTCCGACGGATTTCCCAATCTCGACTGTTGTCGATATACTCTTGGTAATCCGTCGGGAATATTTCCGACGGATTTCGACGGCGTTTTCCGGTGGATTTCCCACGGGTCTCCCGACCAAGACCGTTGTGGATAAACCCTCGGTTATCCATCGGTAAATATTTCCGACGGATTCCGACGAAGATTTTCGATGGATTTCCGACGTCCTTAACTTTTCCGACAATGTGGAACTGACGGAGTGAAACGGTCGGAAATCCGTCGAAAAACATTGTTTCCGACGGATTGTCGACGGTTTCGTCCGTCGGTTTGACGCTGTATTCTTGTAGTGATAGAACAATGGTTAATCATCTTTGGTTTTATCTTTAATAAAGTTTACGATCAAAAAATGTATCTCTATTTTATATTCCATTCAATTCCTTTAAATTGTCACCAGTCATGGGTCATATTTATATTTCTCTGCAATTTTCATTCCATTCGTTTATTTATATAACTGCCATCATCCCATTCATTGGAATCCCATTTTTCTTAATTCATCTTATTCAGAGTATTCATAAAATTCAAATCCAGTTAGACCCATCAGATCAAATGGTAACATTTTTATGGAATTCCTTGGAATCCTCTATTCCATGTGATTCCATTCAGAAAAATTGCAATCCAGTTGCATCCGTTATGTCTTCCGTAACTAGTACAAAGGAAGATACGATGGCAAAACCAATAAATATTTTCAATCATCCCATCATATGTGCCATGGAGGAATAAGTTTTGGCCCTCTACGCATTATTTTTCTTTGTAGATGTAACACTTTTTAAAAATTGACCAAAATTAGGTAACACCAAAATCATTTTAAAATGCTCAATCCACGAATACACCATTACAGCCCTTTGAAATGCTTAGGAGAAGAGTAGAGTTCGGATGTCGACAGGTGGTAAGTGTACAGAGCAGATAGGGCATTGAGGAGTGCGCAACAAGTAACGAGAGATACAAGTAGCGTGAAAGATGTGATTGCATCTTGTTTTATGAACAATCTCATCTTCTTTCGGATACCCTTTTCCACAGAGACAACACAACTCCGAGCCTTGGTAACAGTCTACGATCTCCGTCGTTGGTGGAGCAATTGGTACACACTTGGTTAACGCATCTTCAACGCTCAGAACAGAGTCTCTGACTCTCAATGTGGACAAGACAGCACGCGCAATGGATGTGATATTATCCTCAGGGACATGATCTTGTTCAGAAAATCTAGTGTGAAAGTGAAAGACGAGGACGGGACAAGCCGGAGGTACGATGTCAAGATCCTTGAAACAGAAATTGGAGACAATGTAGTCGGATATCTGATTATCTATGTTGGAATATTGTTGCTCCATGAAGGACCAGTGGACCTTATCTAGGAATGATTTGGACAATCCAGCTTTTGAACCTCGTCTTCGTCTTCGTCCTGTGTATCGCGTCAACTGAATCTTTTCAATTACTGATAGACCACTTGGGTAAGTTATTATTATAACTCCGACGTCAGACTCGGAAGCCACATCAAACTTGTAAAGCCTGAGATTACCGAGACGAGATTTCATAATTAGTACGATGTGAAATCCAACAAGGTGAAAAGCTTCAAGAGTATAAACAACAACTTATCTTTATTGATTTAGAAACTCTCTCAAAACTAAACCTTTTGTCTTGAATCTTATGATATGGAACAACTCTCCATTATATAGAGCTTAGCTACTTCTAATAACTATGACAAGAAAAAAGTATAACTTCTATTTCTAATATGATTCCTATTTCCTATTTCATGTAGGACTACTCCTTTTCATAGAAATAGCTTATTTCCATTTCTCATCATAGTATAGCTTCTTGCTCAAGCGAATTCCAAAACGATGACGATGATAGTTTCTTTTGTTGTTCAAATGTCTATAATAGATTCATTCATTCTGTTTGGTTTTGTTTGTGCCTTTTTATGATAACCACAAGCGTCGTCCTATTCCAACTTATGACTCGGAGGATTCTCAACTATTTTCCAATTTCCCTAACAATTCGGATTCCTAATTACTTTTGATAATTACTGCATACGAGTAGCTAGGTCTGGTTATTCTCTCTTTCTTTTTCATCAAATTAATACAAAATAAATGAAAGAAAATTACTATTTTATCGAAACTAATTAATTAATTAGAAAAAAAGAAACTGGTGTAGTTTTAAAGAAACCGGAATCCGGTTTAGTTCTCAAGGATTTTGTTTGGCAACTCGAACCTTATGTTTGAGTCTAAATTTTCGGTTGTGAAACCACTTGTGTACGTCTGTCTTCGACTTCTTCACCGAATTTTTAAAGTTTTTTTTTTGACAAAGGGGCTTTCTTAATGATTGAAGTTGGATCGTTATTTCATATTTGTTAGAGATAGGTTACTTGCGAAAGATGGAGAAGAAATATTGCATGTGCATGAAAGATGGAGTATGTAAGTCATCATGGTGTTGGCTTTGATGATCATGATCTTTAATCCCTTATTATGATTCTTTTTTTAGCTAGACTAGGCATGATATATGGTGATGATGATAATGAAGGAGAGACATATAAGTATCAAGATGTGAATCTTAATTGATAAGAAGTACTTAGAACACCAAATATCAACATCACTTTTTATGTAGTCATTTCATCAACCATTTTCTCACGCTTGTCTTACTAAAATTAATATCTACGGTTAGAATAATTAATGAATAGACTTAGATTTAAATAATAAATATAATAAAAAGGCAAGAACACTCAGACGTATCACGTATGCATTGCATAGTTGCCTATTTATAGTACACACACGCGCATATTAGTCATTAGGAACTTCGGTATATGTATAGTTATTTGAGTTCAATTGAACTGGCCAAGTTTACATACATGCTTATTTTTGTTAATGTCTTACGGTAGAGTTAGTTCAAGCATGTAAAACTAACCTCCTTGTTTGAGATTCAATTCATAAACTTTGCATCATTTTTTCTAAATTTTTCCACCATTTAGTCGTATGTTTTGCGTTTTTTTTTCCTTTACATTTGATACGATTTATCATTTAAACATGTCTTTAGAAAAGGACCATGACTTTGCTAGTTGATATTGATCTGGTCCACCCAAGATAATCCGGATTTGGTGTCTCATTGGTGAAGCCATTGATCGATACTGGGAACATGAAGAGAAGCAACACGTTATGAGTGAGGCAATTCAAAAACCAATTTATATATCCTGTTGGATTTCGTTTAAGAGTATTTAATCGAGGTCAAAAAGATTAACATCTATTTACACAACCCGATTGAGTTGCAAAAAGGGCTATAAAACACAAATATTCAAATATATTTGCAAAGATTAAGTACGTACGTAGTAAGTAGTAAAAACATTAAATGGAGGAGTTACGTAGAAAACTCGGTTTCCGTCGATAAACATTTTAATGTATAGCTGGTGACTATTTGTTAATAAAGTTGTGCGAATCATAAAATTATCAATGTACAGTCAATTTTTTTGCATTACGCGTCTCATAGACTTGGAGAAAGTAAAATCTACGGTTAACATGGGGTTGTGTAAGTCTACAAAAGTTTTCCCGATTTGAAAAGTGGGTTTCCGTGACCGACTAAGCAGCCAGTTCTTGAGGCTATTTAAGAAAGGAGAGGCTCAGCTCAAAACAATCACATTTCTATCACATTTGTTCCGATACTTATCTCTCTCTTCAGAAACAAACGTTTGGAGATCATTCGTCATCATCATCAAGGTAATGAAATCTCTCATTTCTTCTAATTTTAATTCAAGGATTGGAAAAAAGCTTTGAATATCCTTACATACACTAGTGTGTGTTAGATTACTACTTTACATTTTATTTTATTTTTATACTATATAATAAGATAGTTCACAAAGAGCCAACAATGATTAAAAATCACTAGAAGAAAATTGATTTATTACATATTGTGTATGTTATAAACAAACACATCTGTCTTACACTCGTAACTTTGTAAAATTTGTGACTTTTGATGGTAGGATACGATCGAGTGAAATGTCCCGTTTTTAGAAAATGTTAAGAATGTATGTTTTCGGTACCACAAATGAGAAACGACCCAATGACTCATCATGTCTACGAGTCGAAGACACTCATTTCTTTTAGTGAATTTTTTGATGGAAAAATAATATTGTTTACGTTATGAAGTTTACTTTTTGAAAATGTAAACGCAACGAATAGAAAACAAAAATCGACAATTAATTACGTAACGAAGCAGCCAACTTTGTGTTATTTAAGAAAGCTCAGACTCTCTGCTCATAATTGTCATTGCTCTCTCGCTGTTCGATTGTTACTCTCTTCATGGATTCTCCGATTACTCGCTTAGACCATTGTAGTAAATGTTCGGTCTTTTTTCGTTACTCAAAGTTAATTTTTTTTCTTACTTTCAATTTCTCTTTGCTTCACCGTAATTTCAAGATTTTTGTTTTTTTTTTAATATACCATCAACTTCGTTAGACCAAAATTTTCAAGATTAGTATTCAGAATTTCTATACTTGGTTAAAGCATGTAAAACATGACCCGCTTGTTTAAGATTCAATTTATAAACTTTTCATCATTTTCGCTAATTTTTCCCTCATTTTTGCTTCTTTTTTCCCCCATTTAGTCGTATGTTTTGCGTTTATTTTACTTGTGACACTTGTCTAAAACTTGAGAATATAACACATGTCTTGAAAATGGCCTAATCTTCATAGATCCAATTATATGTTGATGTTGGTCACTTTTTAATCTAAATATTAATCGTCATAGATCCAATTATAACATTTTTACTTTTATGTATTAGATCTTTATAGTAATAAATCATTTTTTGATTATTATAAACACTAATTAAAATCTTTGCATTAACTACAATTATACTGTAGTATCCAGTATCCATTACTTTTCTTTTTTACTTTAAATTCAATTTGAATAGCCTCAAACATTAAATTAAATCTCAAATTTTTAACCTCTTTTGACAAATTAATGATATGTTTAACCTAAAGTTCTGATCTTAATTTGTTTAACATTATTCGGTTACAAATGTAATAAATTAGTGACACGGTCAAAATAAACTGGATTTTGTTTTAGTTTTTTCTCACAATGTAAAAGAAAACAATAAAATTAAAATAAATTACTTGCGGAGAAGGAAATCCTTTGAAACGGAAAATACGAAAGTAAGGAAAATGAGAAAAACAAAAAATAAATTGGATCTCTCTTTCCTTTTCCTAAAAAGTTAACCCTAATTTCTTCAACAACTCTTCCTCTTATTTAAACAAACGCCTCTCTGCATCATCTCTTCAATTCCTTCCGCATCAAATCAAAATCCTTTATCGCTCTTTTGAGTTATTGATTCCTCGTCCGCTTCGATTCTCTCCTCGTCCTACGAACAAGAGGTATTTCTCCAGATTCTTCGCCTTTTAACAATTTATTTTCCTCAGAGCCGTTTTAGGGATTCGAAACTTTACAAGGGGATAGATTCTTCCCTGTTCGTTGCTGATTTTGGTTTCAATCGTGTGGGACGTTGTTAGAGAGGTTTCGTTTGATTTTATATAAGCGTCGAAATCTTCAATATCTGATTCTCGTGAGCTAAACGATCGTTATTCCGTTTTGATTTCGGTGAAATTTAGGGATTCGTGTATTGTATAGACTGCTAGGTTTGACACAGATTGGAATTTGTATATTCGCTCTTCTTCTCTCTCAATCTGTTTTGCTGTGTTAATGGTGATTGATCGGTTTCTGTGCATTGATTTGTGATTATATTGGGGAAGAACAAATTTGATGTTGAAGTGTATGTTTGCAGATTTTACATACATTCCTCTGTATCTTCTTCTCTAATGATTTTGCTTTTTTGTTTCTGCAGAGCTAAAAAAGTTTGCAGTTTTGTGACACCTGCAAGTGTGGGATCAAAGGAATCGAAAACTTTGAAGCTTTCTTTTATGTCTGACAAGATTTCACCGTTTTGCTGTCAATCTGGTTGGTTGGAGAACACTGTCCTGCATCCAGAACTAAGGTCCACAAGCTCTTGCATCACTCTCTGCTCTCGCATCTTCAAACCGGAGACTCCTTTTCCCAAGACCGTCTCTCACTTCTCCGGCTAAAACTCTCGAAACATGGCGCTGCAGAACATTGGTGCATCGAACCGTAACGATGCCTTTTACAGGTACAAGATGCCAAAGATGGTTACCAAGACTGAAGGCAAAGGTAACGGCATCAAGACGAACATTGTCAACAACGTTGAGATTGCAAAGGCCTTGGGGAGGCCTGCTTCTTATACAACCAAGTACTTTGGCTGCGAGCTCGGCGCTCAGTCCAAATTCGACGAGAAGACTGGGACGTCGCTTGTGAACGGAGCTCACAACACGTCGAAGCTCGCTGCGCTTCTGGAGATTTTCATCAAGAAGTATGTCCAGTGCTATGGATGTGGAAACCCTGAGACTGAGGTTCTCATCACAAAGACTCAGATGGTGAATCTGAAATGTGCTGCTTGTGGGTTTATCTCTGAGGTTGACATGAGGGACAAGTTGACGACTTTCATCCTCAAGAACCCGCCTGAGTCGAAGAAAGGGTCAAAGGACAAGAAGGCTATGAGGAGAGCTGAGAAGGAGAGGCTTAAAGAAGGTGAAGCAGCTGATGAGGAGCAGAAGAAGCTTAAGAAGGAAGTTAAGAAGAAAGCTTCTTCTAAGACGTCCAAGAATCATACCTCTGATGAGGATATCAGCCCAAAGCACGATGAGAACACGCCGGAGGTGGATGACGAGGATGAAGACGAAGACGATGATGATGGGATCGAGTGGCAGACTGATACTTCCAGAGAAGCTGCTGAGAAGAGGATGAAGGAACAGCTGAGTGCTGTAACTGCTGAAATGGTGATGCTCTCTGCTAAAGAAGATGAAGAGAAGAAGAAGACGCCTAAAAGCAAAGAGAACGGTGTTGGGAAAGAGGAGAAGAAGCTAATGATGGAGATGAAGGAGTATCTGAAGAAAGGCTCACCGATAAGCGAGCTCAAAGCTTTTATCTCCTCTCTCTCTGAGCCTCCACAAGAGGTCATGGACGCGCTCTTCACTGCTCTGTTTGATGGTGCGGGAAAAGGGTTTGCGAAAGAAGTGACGAAGAAGAAGAGTTACTTGGTGGCTGCAACGGAAGAGGATGGTACACAGATGCATTTGCTCAACTCGATCGGATCTTTCTGCGGAGAGAAGGGAAACGAAGACGCGGCTAAAGAGGTGGCTCTGGTTCTTAAGGCATTGTACGATGAAGATATTGTTGAGGAAGAGTTTGTGATGGAATGGTACGGAAAGGGTCTCGCCGGAGCTGAGAAAAGCTCGGTGGTTTGGAAGAATGTGAAGCCTTTTGTGGAGTGGCTCCAGAGCGCTGAGTCTGAGTCCGAAGAGGAGGATTGAGAGAGATTTTTTGCTCTTTTTAATTAATTGGATTTAAGTTCGGTTTTCAGAATTATATTTCATCGGCGAATCTTTATTTCTTTTTTACATTTTGTTCTTGATATAATATTGCTTTGCATTTCAAGGAATTGATAAAATAAAACCATTAGGCTTATTAAAATTCTGTTCTTTTCGTTATTTTGTTGAAACAATAAAAATTGTACTTGCTTGTCTTAATTGTTTAGCCAACAGAAGGACGATTTTATTGACGTTACATTGGATTTGACATGTTTTTGAGGAAAAGTACAATGAAAAGTTAACTTTATGTTCTTTTCAATTTCTTCTTTCCCACGTGGCCAATTTTTTGTTCTCATTAAAAGTTTAAACAATAGTTGTGATTTTGCGAATTTCACTTTTACAAAACCAAACAAAAAAAAAGTTTCACGCGAGTCATATTCGAAAGATTGACTTGGGAAATCATTATGTTCTTTCAGGATGAGTCTGATTGAGAAGGTTGCATGGTCATTGACTTGTTCGTATAATTGTCATTTTTGTCATTGTCATTCTGATTTTATATTCAGTATCGTAACCTTGATGTGATAGTGGGCCGTATATTAAAATAATCGAAATATATGCAGCAACAGAAACAGGCCCGTTTGAACGGAGCAGAATAAATAGTCTTTTTTTTAGATTTAGAAAACGAAAAATTGCAGTCTCATTTATCTTTATGTGCCGTCGAAATTAACAGAATAAATTAAAAAACAGTAATGAATTTTAAATAATCACAACAAACATTCTCTCAACTGGCAACCCATCTGCTTTCTCCACGCGCCAACGGAATAACAGTAGGAATCTTTTTTGTATACCTTTCGGTTCTTTTTCCTTTTTTTTTATTTTGGTATTTAGATATCTCTTTGATGTATATTGTGTTGATCTTATCATTATTTTTTAAAGGCCTTTGTTGTTATCAACATTTAAAAACTAGAGTTTAAGGAAGACAACTTTCCAGTTAATGATCTAATTGGCTAGCATTGTAACCGTAGAGTAAAATATTGTAGGAAATTATTCTATAGTTTTTTAGCTTGTCTAAATTATCTATTGATTTGATATATTTGTTCCGGAGACAAAATGAACAAAGAAAAAGTAATGTTGAGGGTGTGAGTTTTTGGTGGCTTTTAAAACATGATATGTTAAAATAATTGTAAGAGATGTTGTAAAATATGTGTAAATTATTCTTACAATCCTTACTAATCACACTTACAAACTTTTTAACACAAATAAAATTCATATAACTAGTTGGCTATTATGTTCTTTAACAATTCTTCTTTGATCTTGCAAGTTGCAAATATTAAGCTCGTTTTATTGCTCCAAATGTAAAAGCTCTTCCCACTTTTATTTTTTGGGATCAATTTTTTGGTTGAGAAATAAATCAAACAATTCAAAAAAATAAAATAAGATCGTAACAAACATTCTCAATGGGGCCATCCGGCTGTCTCCTCACGCGCCATTGGTATCCACGCGCTATTTTCATTAAAAAATCTTTCGGTTTGTTTATTTTTTTAGGTAATTAAAAGAGACTTCAATTAAAATGTTTAGATATCTTTTTCGAATTCATCGGGTTGTTAGATTTTTCAAAGATTTAAAGTAAGACTGCACAAAATTAGATAGACTTGGATCTGATGCACTTTGATTTAGTAAAAAGAAAAAAAAAACAATACTGTCAAAAACATAAGAAAAGGTACGGTATTGACAAAAAAAAGTACCGTACAAAACAATTAAATATTGACAACAAACAAACAAGGTAATGTTTTTCTTTTATCTAATGTGACAAAATGACATTGTAAAAATTAATATATATACTGTGCCTCCTGAAAACATGAAAAACGTTTTACCACAAGACAAAAAAATTTGTCTTTCTATTACGTTTTCAATTATTTTTCCAACATCTAACTATACTGTTTTAATTTTTTTCTTCTTAAGAAAGGTAAACTAAAGTGAAAATTTCAGTTTGGTGATAAAGGTCTCCTTCTAAAGTATAGTAAAAGCACAAATGGTACATTATTATATCAGTTACCATTCCAATCAGTTAATAATCTTCAGTAATATTCCCTTTTCCAGTTCATCTTAATTAACACCGCAAATAAAACTAATCATCCTTAATTATCTAAAACAAATAATTGCTATTAGAACACAAAGAAGTAAGGTATAGAGTAGGACATTAATTTAGTATTTTTTTGTTACGCATTAAGTGAACCTGAAAATAAGGGGAAAATAAATAATAAATGGAACCCAAAAAAGCGAGAGAACAAAAAAGAAAATAAATAGGAGAAACTGAGATGCACGCGCGATCGGACGGTGTAAAATCGCAGGTTAGTGCATAAAGTTTGTTGTCGTGTGGCAAAAACTGTAAATTCGAACAAAATCAAGCAAATCCCGTAGCAGCGTAACAGTAAATCGGTATCTCTCTCTCTCTCTCTCTCTCTCTCTCTCTCTATTCCTCCGCTTTTGCTTCCGTTCCGTGCCCGTTTCCATTCTCTCTCTCTCTCAGACATACGGTCTCTCTCTCTCCTCTCTCTCTCTCTAACAGTACCTACCTTCTTCTTCTTCCTCTCGCTGACTTCTCTGCAGAGTAAAACGACCTAGCCTATGTCACCGCCGTCGGCAACCGCCGACATCCTCCGCGAAGTCGACCCGAGGATCTGGCGCGCTTGTGCAGGCGCCTCCGTGCAGATCCCCGCGCTCTACTCTCGGGTGTACTATTTCCCGCAGGGTCATGTCGAGCACTGCTGTGCCTCATCGGTCATCTCTTCCTTCCCTTCCTCCACCTCTCCGGTCCCCTGCGTCGTCTCCTCCATCGAGCTGCTCGCGGATCCGGTTACCGACGAGGTGTTCGCTCACCTATTGCTCCAGCCGATGGCTCCCGAGCAATTTATGCATCACAATCTCACTCGATTCGGGAGATACGACTGTGACGAAGAGGAGAACAAGGTGGTTACATTCGCCAAGATATTGACGCCGTCTGATGCTAATAACGGCGGCGGATTCTCAGTCCCGCGCTATTGCGCCGATTCCGTGTTCCCTCCACTCGATTTCCAGGCGGATCCTCCGGTCCAGAAGCTCTTCATCACTGATATCCACGGAATCGTGTGGGATTTCAGGCATATCTACCGCGGTACGCCGAGGCGTCACCTCTTAACCACCGGGTGGAGCAAGTTCGTCAACAATAAGAAGCTGATTGCTGGCGATTCGGTCGTTTTCATGAGGAAATCCGCGGATGAGATGTTTATCGGTGTAAGGCGAGCCCCAATCTCCAGCAGCGGCGGAACAAGCAGCTTCTACGGCGGCGGTGATGAGTTCTCTGGTTATTACCAGAGCAGCAGCGGAGGAGGAGCTAAGGAAGACGACGGAGGTGCTAAGAAAGGGTTTCGGAGAGTCGGGAAAGGCAAATTGACGGCGGAGGCGGTGTCTGAGGCGATAAGCAGAGCATCGCAGGGTCTTCCGTTCGAGGTAGTGTATTACCCCACTGCTGGATGGTCTGATTTCGTTGTGAGAGCTGAAGATGTTGAAGCCTCCATGAACATCTTCTGGAGTCCTGGCACGAGAGTGAAAATGGCTATGGAGACCGAGGATTCTTCACGGATCACCTGGTTTCAGGGCATCGTCTCTTCTACTTTCCAGGAAACAGGTCCATGGCGCGGATCTCCATGGAAGCAGCTTCAGGTAGTCAATATTCTACATCGTCTTATGCCCTTCGTATCCCTTTGATTCTGTGCTGTTGTGACTCATATAGAATCGAACGTATATCTCTTGTTGCAAGCGTTTCTTGAGTGGTTATAGTCTCATTCAAATGCCAATTGGGGTTTGGTGAATCTGAGATTTAGATTTCTGGATTGCTGTGTTGTAGCTTCTTGTTTTGATTCATCTAAACATTTTGACTGGAAACAGGATTAGATCATTCATATGGAAATGGAAATAAGATAGGAAGATTCTGCTTCCTCTGTATTGCGTTTGTTAAACCAGTAACATTCTGCTTCCTCTGATCATTGATTTGCTTTGAACATTGCACAGATCACATGGGACGAGCCTGAGATTCTGCAGAACGTGAAGAGAGTAAATCCATGGCAAGTGGAGATCGTAGCAAGCGCAAGCCAACTCCACACAACTTTCCCTCCAACAAAGAGGTTGAAGTATCCACACGGCGCAGGGTTCTTCAGTGGAGAAGAAGGAGAGATGCTCTACTCCGGGAGAGGACTGTCCAGTGCAATAGTACCAGCTGGGGATCCAAGTCCCTACATGCTCTCGTCGTATACTAATTTTCCTGCTGGCATGCAGGGAGCCAGGCAATATGAATACGGATCTTACAATCCAACCGGATACATCGGAGAAAACCCAAACCCACCACCGCAGTTATGCAACACCACCACCAATAACTTCTTCAGTCCGCTTCCGGGTTTGGGGAAAGTCTCGACGGAGATGAACAACTTCGGGAGTCCTCCGTCGGATAACTTGTCACCTAACAGCAACACCACTAATCTCTCCTCTGGAAACAACGACCACCACGGAAACAACCGAGGCGGCAACAATTCAGCGAGAGCCAACTCGTTTCAGCTTTTTGGCAAGATCATTAACGTGCAGGAGCTTTCTGAGAGCGGTCTCGCTGAGTCTGGATTGTATGAAGAAGATGGAAGCAAAGAGTCGAGTGACAATGAGACGCAATTGTGCTTGACACATGGCCCTCTCTAGGTGGCCTAAAGACTCCAACAGGGCTATAGCTGCAAAGGTATTAATTATGATCTAATCACATGTTTATTAATCCAATATTCGACATTCTCTGAACATTACACATGGAATGCATTACTCTATAGTGTAGTCATTGCTTGATTTGCCTCCATTACCTCTTATCTCCACTGTATAGTCTCTGTAATTTTGCAGATGATGACTAATTTTGGATTGGTTTGTGCTTTTTTTGTTTGTGAGTGATGTTCACAGGTTGAGTGAAGGAAGAGAAGGGAAGGATCGTTTGGTGGAATCATTCAAGTCCAAAGTAGTATAGTACTTATTATATATATATAATCATCTGGTTTTTCTTCATTGACTCTTCTCTTTGCCACGTGACAATCTGGTTCTTTTTTTTTTAATTTCTGAGACATTTTGATGAACATCTTGCTCTCTATCTCTCGAATCGTTTTACTATTTTCTTGTGGGTAAATTGTCTATTGATTTTTTCACCGTTAACCATTTTTAAATAGATTTATCATATATGCCCTTTATTACATCCCTATGCTATTGAGTCTAAATGATGCGCCTAAAATTAACGGCGCCAAACAGAGGAGGTTATTTAATAAAGTGGTATTGATTGGGCTTTAATTAATTGTAATAAAGTGCCAATAATGGTGCTCTGTCTCTAAAAGGAAGCTCAAGGTCCCTCCCTCTCGCTTCACTTTTTTCTCTGACTATTTACGATTCATTTAATAATCTTGTAACAGATCTAATCTAATAGCACCGCCTAGTTGTGAATTAAGTTAGGGTTGGTTTGATTTGCAAATTAATCAAGAGAAATACTAGTATTATAGGTTGGTTTGATCAGCAAATTATGGGCCGATCCAATTGAGTCGCTGTCTTAGTGGCTCAATCCCTCTCATTAGAATTTAGATACACTCAACACGTTTAAATATGTTGTTAACGTAATCGTATCATGTAAATCAGTAAAAGTAGATCAACATCTGATAGGTAAAGGTTATGTTTTTTTTGTGTTGGTATATAAATAAATATACGGTGCATTGCATACAGACAATATCTAGGAGAGTGCACTGACTGTTAATCTTTATTTCCTTAAGTGGTAATGGTTTGATAAATGATAAGAGTGTCCATTCTTGGAAAATTAGCTGTAACCTGTAAGACAAAGAAAATGTGTGATAGGAATAAGAAAAGGAAAAGTAAACAATAACAAATTCAGAATGCTTGTTATGTGTTGTGGAAACACAAATAATTTCCTGCAGACCAACAAACAAAAAAAAGAGGAAAATTGGTTCTGACTTCAATCATGGTCTCTGGATAAAAGAAAAAGAAACATACAGTTGTGTAAGAAAAGGACGATTTAATATTCAAAAATGTAATTATTCGATATGAAAACCGTTTCATTTTAAATTTTTCAAAAGCTGTAAAAAAGTGAGTGAGAAAATATAGGTACAATCAGCAACAAGTGAGTAAGAAAAATATGAGGAGAGGTGTGGTGTGGTGTGTCCTCTGCGAAAGAAACAAAGCCTGATAATTTCTGATGAGACTTTCCAAATAGCTTTTTGTTATTTTTCTCTTCTGCTATAAATTGATGTTTGGTGATGCTGACACCTCTCCTTATTGCTTATGCATTTTATTTTTGTTATATACCCATATCTACATTTTCGAAATTGCCAATTAAATCTTCTGCAAAACAAATAAACTCTGATGTATTATACAGACAAAAAAAAAAGTTATAACTTATCTTAGTTCTGAATAGTAAGGCTTGCATTGAAATTGCCACTTATGGTACGGAAGAAATGGAAATATACGGTTAATGCGAACAAATGGACCGAATCGAAACAAATGGTATGAATTGGACATACCAACAAACAAACAACAACAAAATAACACAAAATTGATGATAATCTTAAAAAGAAAACAAAATAAATTCTCATCATAGAGAAGAAGAGCACGAGATGCTTTTGTCTTTCTCTGCACCAAGTCAAATCAGAATCAAATCAAAATGAATCAGTCAGTTTTTAATCATTTGATGTTTTCGTTTTATTACCTTCTGCAACTCTCTTTCCGTATAGACAAGTCTCCTTTTTCGCAGTCAATTTTTATTCAAAAGCAACCAACAAATCAAAACCAAAACAAACAAAAAAAAAGTGAAAGAAAATCATCAAAAAGTTTTCATCTACCTGTCACATAAGTGTACAACAGTCAAATCTCTCTTCATCTGAAGATTCTTATCGAATCAACAACATCGCAAAACGTATGTTCCAACTTCTACTTACCAAATTTTTTTTTCTTTCACATTTCAACATTAACTAAAAATTTGTAAGCATCATCATACTAACTTCATGTTCCGACTTTGAAATGTTAAAAAAAAACACAGATAATTTTTAATATATTATAAGAGACTAAAAATTAAAAACAGAGCAAATTAATAACAATCTGGTTCATCTAAAAGCCTAAAAATTTAACTTAATTTTTCACCTGTGGCTACAGAAATCCAAAAGCATTTTCCTTCCATCAACAATCTCATCAAAGAAATCATCAATCTGAGCAACAATACTCTCTGTTCCATTCCTCAAACTCCCAACATTCACTTTCACACTCTCCACTCTCTCTCTCAACCCTTTCTCCGCCGCCGCAGCCTCCTCCTCTCCTCCTCCGCCGCCGCACCACCGCCGTTCAAGCTCCGCCTTTAGCTCCTCCATCGCCGTTTTGCTCCTCCTGTACTCATACAACATTATCCCTCTCTTCATCTCTGTCCTCTCCATCTCCACCGCCACTCTCTGCTTCAACCTCACCATCGCCGTCGCCGTCAAAGTCACCGCCGCAGCCGCGTCGCCGGGAATGGAATAGACCAAACCTTGCATCAGGATCGCGAGAAGCAGCGAGTTTATGTTCTTCATACTGTTCATCACTCCTCGGAAACCGCTAAATCCGTTCTGTATCTTCGATGACTCCATCGCCGTCACTTGCTCCGACCAAAACGGAAACCTTTGGATCCGATTCTCCATCAATGCTCTGTTTTCTTCCTCTATCCCTACTGCTTCTCTCCGACATACAGTTATCGCTCGTATCACCTGTCATAAAAATCAAAACTTTATTCGAGAAAAAACAAAAAAGTTTCGATCTTTGATCTTAGACACATCCATACCTGTCGAGAAATCTGGCGGTGGTGGTGGGTGTCGAGAGTGGAGGCGATGGAAATGGCGGCGGAGCAGAAGCTTTCCATGGAGGAGAGAGAGGATTTGATGACGTGGAAAACGTCCCAGAGCTTGGAGGTTTCGTCCATGTAGTCGTCGAGCCACTTGTCACCGGCGGGGAGGTTGAGTTTCTGGACGAGAATGGTGAGATGAGAGTGAGAGGTTCTTAGAAGACAGAGCACTCTCTGTAGGAACTGTACGGACATGAAGTTGTTGGAGACATAAACCCTTTCGAGATCTTCCATTGATCTGTTGAGAAACGAGTAGAATCCGTTGACTGAGTTTGTGCAAGACGGATCCATTGTTGACGAAAACAGAGGACTCTGTTTAAAAAGATTTGATTTTTGTTTGTGGGTTTTTTTTGGTGTGTTGTTGATTCTAGGGAGGGAAAATTGGGGAGAAGAGAATTAAAAGGTTATATAGAGATTGAATGTGTGTGTAAATGTATGTATAGATAATAAAGAGAGTGAGAGAAAAGAGGAGAAGAAGAAGAAGAAGAAGAAGAATCAGAGATTTTCAAAGGATGAAAGTGACTGTTTGGAGCAATGATGCTTGTTTCCTATAGAGGAGGAAATGATCATTGGTACTAATATCTCGATTTTCTCCTATTTTTTACATATATTTATTATTTAAAGAAATGGTATTCAAAAAGAAAAAAAAAATGAAATTGGCAAAGTATAAAATAAAGGCACACACAAGAAGAGTTTTGAAAGAAGGAAAAAAAGACAAATATTTTTTAGTTTTTTCATCAGAAGAAAGGACAATATTTTTTAGTTTTGTTCTGCTTAGCTGACATATTTGAGGTGTATTTGGCTTTGATTTAATATGACTGTAAAGGAAACTATAGTATTGATACTCTATTCTTCTACCATTACATAATACAATATAGACAAATTAAAGTATCAAATAAACTTGATTGTATGATGATTTGTATAAAGTATTGAACTATTCATACAAATCATGTAAAATATAGTGCAATTAAAATAATTCAATCAAGTTGGTACCTTCAAAAGTGGCATTTCGGACCCATTTAACGGCGGATTACCAAGAAAAGAAACATCAAATATATTACATATATCGACGCAATGGAATATTGAATACAAAATAGTTAACTCAAAAGGGAAATAGATGTTGCAAGCTAATACAAGTTGTTGCTTTATTCCCGTTATCAAGCCGGCGCGTATTCTATACTCATTCGTATTCTTTTTATACCGGAACATTTATGTATTCCATTCGTACTTCATACACACTCTTTCTATGTTAATACCATCGGGTTTAGGGTTTAGTTGTTTATTCGGTTGTATTGAAGATTTGGAGGTCCCTTGCTTTGTTCATTCATTCTTAATGACGGATATATCCAAACAATGAAATTCTATTTGAATCAATGAGTCCAAAAATTATTTGTCCACATTGTAAAATTACACATGATAACAATGTATTCAATACGCATTTATTTGTGGAGGTGTGTATGTATATAAGTGTGTTGAAATTGAGTGGTCTGGTGTGGGAGAGATGGGACCATCAAATCTAATGGAAGCGTCGGGCGACTCAATAATTTTGTTTGTTGTCACATTTTAAGTTTTTTTTTGTAACTATTAAATGTTAAGTTTTGTCCTCCGTACTTAAACTTATAAAATCAAACTCCATACAAAAGACAAATGGAATTATGTTCAGCCAAAAAAATTATATATTTTTATATGAAACTTTAATTTTAAAAATGGTTCAGGAAAAATCTAGAAGGTTGTATATTACTATATTGGTATATATAATAATCGATTGGGAAAATATCTACATGTTTTTGGTCAGATGAGAATGCAATAATAGAAATGTCTATATACTATGCAAGTGTATACATAGCTAGCGATCCAGCAAAGTAGAAGAGTAGTAGATTTGTGAGAATGTTTCGTTTTCTTAGTAAAGGCTTTAGATAAGGAAACAACTGTTTTTTGGTCCATACTCTCTTCTCTCTACGGTCTACCACTATGAAATATTGAAATACTGTTTTTTTTTTTTATCATATTATCAGTTAGTTCCTTCAGTTCGTTGTCCCATTTAAATCCGGTTGAGAATGTTTATAACTACATTAGTTTTAGTCTTTAGATATAGTTATTAGTCGTACAAGCTTTATTGGTAGCAAGATACGTTTGAAACTTTGAACTCTAAGATAATTATTTTGAAGTTTGTAAAGTTTTCTTGTAGTCTTCTACGACTTTTGTTAAAACTCGACTGAGAGAATAAAATTATTCAATGGTAAAAAGTTCGGAAGCCTTTATATCATATCGTTATAGTATGAAACCCGTTTTACCTAAACAGAATCATTCTTTGGTCACTAATCATTCAATCGGACGGTGGAGATAAATGGAAGAGTTGATTATTTAAGATTTTTGAGGGTCAAGAGCCGCCACTAGTATAGTTTATCTATTTATTTATGTTTTACGTAAAAGTAAAAGTGTCTGAGAGCCGAAATTAGGATACAAAGGTATATGCTATATCAACGTTAAATGGTAGAGATTTGTGTTTGTAATATTCCACCTTCGTCTATACCATTGATGCACATCAAATTGTAGTTCTTTTTCTTTATTTATTATAAGTTGTTGATGTGGTCCAAATTCTCGATATTATGGATTATTATGGATTAATAGAGTAAGAATACTAAAAGAAAAGGATGATTGAAGAGGAGCGTTATACATTTAAAATGACAAGTGTTTTTTATATGTAAATGTAAATAAAGTTTTAGTTTTTGTTTCAAGAAATGCAACAATTTTGATTGTTTTACTTTGTGTAAAATGCTTAAAAAATTAGATAAAATTGAGTTGGTTTGTGAGTTATTTAAAAAATACAAGGCACACTTTATATAAAGCTGCCAAACGAAATTCCCCAACGACCGTCTGCAACAATTCTGGCTTCGTATCCGTCATAACCGGATAAAGTTATAAAGTCAACTGATTACAAAACTGAGTGGGGTCCTAAGAAATACCAAAGCACTTAATTGAAAAAACAAAACGCACTTAACTAATTCTTATAAACCGTAATCATCAAGCAAAATCACAAATCAGCCATGACTTGTTTGTGTAAAATGCACATTTCAGTTAAACCAATATAGAGAGAGAGAGAGAGATGAAGGCAGTTGAATGAGATTTAAGTCTACAGAATGGGCTTGTATGCTATTATGTCTTCTTCTTTCTTTTTTCGAAATTCTAATTTCTAAAATCAAAATTTTTCGAAATTTCCTTAAATAATAATAATCAATTTTGAGTGGCCCTATATCTATCTGTGTCAAAGGTCGGCCCTTTTTCTTCTCATTCTACTAAACCCCACAAAGCCACACCTATTTCTCATCATCATCACTCTTCCTAAAAGCAAATAAAAAGGAGAAAAAAATAACAAAACTATACACATTTGAAGTAGTAAAAAAGCTGAATGTTTTACATACTGTGTCATATGTGCGTAGATATGATGTGGATTTGTGTAAAGTGTATGTAAGCAACTAATGCGGCTACTGGGTCCTCTCGTATGGGACCAAAACTTGGTAAGAAGACTTTAGCATTCAGATTCATAGCATCAAAGAACCAATACAACCGTCTCATTACAAGTCTTACACTCTTATCCAAAAGACTAAGGATTATGATAGTGAGAGTTTTTGGTATTATATGCATATTATCTCTAAGTGTGTGGAAGTATAAAACCTGTTCATGTGTTTAGGAGCAGACGAGTGTGCAGAGGTCTTGTGTCCTTGCTTGTGAGATGTTGGTGAAAGGAAAGATCCTAAACCTTCCATTTGCCATGCACGTCAGTGTTAGCTGAGCATCACTCACCATTGCCTGTCAACATTCACAATCAATGTTGTAACAATGTCACAACAGAGCCTAAGGTTTTAGATGTAAAGTACCTCGCAGGAAGCAGTCATGTCGCTGCAGCTCCATTTTCTTGTTGGGATGCAGTCAACATAGCGACACCATTTGCAATGGCTGTTGAGATTGATGCCCCATGAAGCTGCTACTAGAACACCAGCGAGTCTAAAACAAACAAAAGATGGTTATTAAGCTTTTTGTATGATGTCACAAAGAAGCTAGATTTCAGAGAGAGAGAGAGAGAGATGCTTACATTCCACAAAACACAACCAGGCAAATGATCCTTAGTATAGGTCTATCGAACATTTCTTTAAGCCTCCTTGTGGATCTTCTCATATCATCTTCGAACAGCTTCGCCTTGTGTGGTGGTGGAGCAACCTCTCTCAGCTGCGGGGCGAATAGTAGCACGAATCCAAGGAGGAACCCTGAGATGAAACCGCCAATGTTTGCGAAATTGTCTATGTATGGGAGGAAGCCTATCAGGAAGTTGACTGTGAAGATGGTGAATATCATCACTAAGGCTGAAATCTGTAAGCAAACAAAACCATAAACACAATCAGCAAATGTATGAGAAGAAGATAACAATGGAAAACAAAAAAAGAGAACCTTGGAGCTGTATAGATTCCAGTTCCTTGCAAGCTCAGCGAGCATGGCTCCGATCAACCCAAAGAAGGCAGCACCGGAAGAGATTGATGGGACGTTTCGAACGAACAATGCAGCAAAGAGACTACCAACAACGCCGGAGAGGATGTATATTACTGCAATCCTCACTGCAAGAACAAAGCAAAAGGCGGATTAACAAAAGGTGATAGATTCCATCCAGGTGAAGTCAAACCAAAAGTCTAATGTTTTACATGGTCCATATTGCTGCTCCATGTATATCCCTACGAAAATCAAGCTCCCAAGGTTTATGAAGAGATGAAACAATCCGCTGTGGAGCCACGGTGATGTCAATATACGCCAAACCTCATGCTTCTCCACCAGAGCTTTCCAGTAAAGACCTCCCATGTGTTCGAATCTGCAAAGCTCACAAGTAAATAAGAAGAACGAAACTTGTATTCACTCGTTCCGCAGCTACAAATCGCACTTGTTTCCTTCAATTTGTTCAATTCACATAGCTCTCAGAAGAAGCATCAAACATAACGTAAGATCCACACAAACTAAACACCTTAGAACAACACGGAATTGGAAAGAAGAACTTGCCGCTAGTATCAAAGAGATCGAGAACAGCTTGGAAACTGGAAATTACACAAATCAACATACTCCAATAAGCAATCGTTACTGATACAGAAGCTGAGCAGACGCGAAATGAAATCGGATGCAAAATTGATCTTCCGCATTCAATTAGAGGTCGATTCCGGAAATAGTTACTAGCAGAGATCGAAAATCGGAAGCGAATTTCTCCGAGAGAGAGAGAGAGAGAGCTACTCACGTGGAAGCGGAGGGGCCGAGCATAGGATTCTCGGAGAGAGGCTGGAAAGAGAATCGACCGAGGATTTTGCCGGCGCAGTGTCCGTGAGAGTTTCTGGAGCAATCGTTGATGCCCATAGTTACAGCGAAGATGACGATCTGAAGAAGCACGAAGACGGAGACGAGCCAAGTGTCGCGCGTGATTTGACGCGAGCGGTGGCGGAAGAAGGGGAATTTGTCCCAGCTTGAATCGCCGGCGGCGTTGGAAGTAGAGAACGAGAGGCTGTGAGAGATTTCATCGATCTTCGTCTTTGGCTCCTTCGAAATCTCCATTGGCAAAAGGGGAGAGAGCGAGAAATTAGGGATTTGAGACGAAATTGGGTTTGTTAGAGAGAGAGATTTGTTTTATAAACGTGGCGGGAAAATTACTTTTGAGAGTAAACCGAAGCGCCTAACCGTTTTAAGATTCGGTTTAACAAGCGCGCGTACCACCCAATACCCGCCGTAATTTTATTTCTGTTAAATTTCATACATTTATCTATAGACTATAGAGTAAGTTCATAAATTTCATATATTTAGGCTTTTTCGTTTTTTTTTCTTTTCTGTTTGGTCTCTGAATTTTCGGTGAGAGAGAGACAGTGGAAATTTTGAATTATTGTATTTTTTTTTTTCTAAAGATGGGAGAAGAAGATTTGATAGAATTGAAGTTTAGGCTCGAAGATGGTAGTGACATTGGACCGAGCAAATACAGTCAGTTCATGACTGTTGCGTCTCTCAAGGAGAAGATCATTGCTCAATGGCCCAAAGGTTGATACTTTTTTTTCTTTCTATACCAAATTTTGATTTTTTTAGACTTCAAATTCATCTTTTTTGTTTGTGACAGAGAAAGAAAATGGTCCAAAGGTGATAAATGAGGTGAAGCTCATCAATGGTGGGAAAATACTGGAGAACAATAGAACACTTTATGAAGCAAGGTCACTACCGATTGGTGATCTTCCTGGAATTGTGACCACTATGCATGTTGTTCTTCGTCCTCCTATCTTGGAGAAAAAAAATGGTAAGTTTCATTACGTTTCCTCTTGAATTCTTGGAGTGTTTTTGTGTGTGTTGTATCAAAGTTTTGGTTCTTCTTTCTTTTGTTTAGAGAAGCTGCAGACTGATCCTCCAGTGAGGAACCGCTGTGTATGCTGCATTTTGTAATTCCATGAGGATATTTTTTACATAGGTTATGCTATTTGGATTGTCCACTGGAACAGAGCTTCAACAAGTTTTAAGAAGTTCCCATTCAGCATAAAAATGATGGGAATAAGCATGAAAATATTGCAGAATTCTCTTTGTTCTTCATTGTTATTTCAAAATGTAACATGGTTCTTGTATATTGGGGTTTAATGCAACTTTTCAGAGGAATGAAAAGGAAACATGAGCCACTTGGTAATGAAAAGGACTCTGTTATCATAATTTTTTCTCTTCAATATAAGGCATATGTGTTTCTGCACCAAACACGCAAAGATTCATGGACATTTTCAAAATTTAAAGAGATGTATAATAATATTTCCATAGTAACCCTTTCTCCAACTTTTTTTCTATATTGTGATCTTTGTGATCACCAATCTTCATTAAAAAATCTCCAATGAAAGGCTTCAATGATTTCTTGAAGCATTTATCTCAGAGATAGCTCTGGCTATACAAATGTAAAAGAAGCCAAGGTGTTTCTACTTCAATGAGCAAGCAAGCACATGCATCATGGAAGGTTGTAGGGTAAGTTTTTTTTTTTTATCAGAAATTGATTAGAAAGGGACATTCATCTTAAGAGAAGATGGAGAGTGGGTCCAGTTTCAGTTAATGGGTGTGATGAAATAATGATGGCATGACATGACAATATGACATAACTTGAGTTGCTCTCTCAATCAAACAGTGTATGAAAACGACACTTTTGCTTCTTTGTCACTTGGTATAGTCTAATTTCTATTTGCTAGTTAAACCGCTATAATCAAGAAATGGCAAGTTCTTGTTCTAATGGAACTTAACGGGCCATTCAGCTTAAAGAAGCCCACTCTAAGATATTCAAGAACATCAACTCTCGACTACTACGAATATTAATTTATAATTTTATTTAATACTTTTCAATAAGTAAATGTTTATTTGTGTGGTATTATGCTGCTGCTTTATGAGTACTTGCTTTGAAATCGGCGGCTATCATACTTAGGTGGATATATGAAATCAGTAAACAATGTAACTAGATATCCACCTCAATCCATACGGCAATTAGATCTCCCATTTTCTATTACAAAGTGGTTAACGTATATGATCTTGTGGAATTACGAGCATTATATCTGGACCATGTTGCTATTAAAGTTGTTATGCAAAACTATATCAAAATCAAAAGTTGATCCGAATGAAAATTGCGCATTGACAAATACTATAGTTTATAGCTAACGAGGCTTCTGACGTAAACGACGATGACATAACCAATACTAGAATGTAGATGACTAAATAGTTAAAAACACAGAGGAATATTACTATTCGACTAAACACCTTGTTTATATAAATTAGGTCAGCACTAAGATTATTTTTGGTTTCTTTTTGTCAGGAAAAAGTGAACCCATCAGATATTTAGTAACTTTTAGTTCCAATAACATGTTGATCCCAAATACTCCTTGATTGGTTAATAACCAAAAAATCATGGGGCCTTTCAAGTTTCACCTACAGGTTTTTGGCAAGAAACTTAACTGATTTCTAGTATGGTTTGTGGGATTCGCATGCAACATAATTTTGTTTAACCAATCGAGCCAACGACATGTAATTACCCTTATATCAATTCATCTAAATTAAACAAGAATTCACTTGAAGGCCATATATACAAAAGTTTGCTGTACTTTAAGCAAATCTAAATTTAATATTCTGATTCCGATAAGATTTTTAAAAGACAAGTTGATTAGTGTGTTGTTGGTCGTTTCACAACAAGCCAAAGGGGCAATGTATTTAGACGATTATGTCTAACTTTAAAAACAACATAATGAATGTTGTAATTTGTTACATGTAAAAAAAAGGAATGTTATAGATCTTAGCGCAGACGTCAGGCAGCCTCCTCTGATTACTCCACACTTGAAGTGATCGAATTGTATTTGTTCAACGAGACTTTCGTCTTGATTACTAACTGTCACTTGAAGTTGACCCACGTGGTGAATATCACTCAAATGTCGAGTTATAGTATCTTTGATAAATTATTGTAATTTGTGAATTAAATTTTAAACGAATCCCTTATCCATTTTTTCTAATGAATCAAGAATATATCGAACATTATCGCTTCAAAATTAGATTGTGTCTGATCCATCCGAAAGAGGAAAAAACAGTAAGAAACGTGACTAAAAACAAACAGAGCCCACACAAGACTTAAAAATGCTTATAAAAATGACTACATTATTAGATGACAGTGAAGTCCACTACCAGTATCAGCAATCGCAAAACGATAGAAACAAATTTGAATATATATTGGCATATTTATACGAAAATAAATACTATCTTCTGGACTTCTTGGCTTCTTAATATCGACACGTTTTTGGATATTGTGGTCGATGCGTTTGTCATTTAGAAGAATGGCGGCCGAGTCAGATTCCTCTTCAGCATTCTTCAATCCAATGTGCATATAATGTAAGTTCTTTATCATTAAAAGAAAAAAGTCCATTATCAAGAAAAATGATATCCATAGTCAATTAAAATAAGTATTAATTAACCTCCTTTAACGGAAAAGTTATTAATTAACTAGTGATTGTCTTCACTGTCGTGACCAAATATATAGTTGGAGTCCAAGTCATTATGTTGCCAACTAAGACTAGTTTTATCATCACAATGACAAAAAGCTTAATTAATTTAAATTCAATCTTATTAACAAGTTTTGTTGTTGTTGTACATATGTTCATCTAGAATCCAGAACAATTAATCATCGACATTTAACATTAAATTCATTTTAATGAGATCTTGTCATTAATTTTTTTTTCTGTCGTTTAGCATTTGAATACTTTTACTTAACCATAAGGTGATTAACTTTCTTAATTACGAAACGACAAACTAGCTAGATGCTATCATAAGTATGTTTTTTCAAGTTAGATTTGGTCGTAATTTCTGTTCTTATACTTGCTACTAGATTCCGTACAAACTTCAACGATATAAAACGTATTTATACATACACAAGTAACACAACAATAGATATTTACCGTATACGTATATTAGGTAACGTGGCAAACAAACCCAAACAAATACGGTAAAATGGACCCCACCAGTTTTATCTATAAATAACACATCAAACCTCTCCCCCTAAAATGCAGCAACATTCACTTATCTTTCCCATTCTAAAATACAACAACTTTCGTTTTTAGTTTTTTCTTTCCGCTTTTAAAACTAATTTTCCTTTTCTTCTCCAGTTTGATAAAAAGATGTCGCTAGCTATCGCAGAGGTTTACACGGTGAGGAAGTTACACAGAGAGAGTATGAAGAAACCGGCTAAAACGGTGGTTATAGCCGACGGAGACGAAAAGATCGTTGGAGGAGATCTCCGTGAGGAGAAGAAGTCGCCGGTGAAACAGGGTGGGTCTAGAAGATTCGGACGGTGGTTTCTTGGAAAGCCGGGAATGAAGAAAAGCTCTGCTAAAGTTTCGGATCCCATGACGATTGAGTAAAGAAGAAGAAGAAACAAAGTGTTCTCTTCATTTTCCCGTGTCTTTCTCGCTTTTCTGTTTTTAGTTTTCTTCTCTCTCTTTTTTTTTTTTGTTATATATTGTGAGATTTTATAAATAGTTGGGAAACGTTGTAAAGTATGAACTTGAAATATGAGAAAAAATATGTAAATGTAGATTGGAACTTTTGGAAAAACTGCATTCAATTTCCCTAAATACCGCCAGTTGCTGAATTTTATGCCAAACCAACCTAATTAAACATGTCGCATGTGTGGCAAAATATTTTTTAAAAGTTGTTATTTTTGCTGTTGTTTCAACCATATTACACGCTGCAAACTCATCAGGTATATATGCTAATCAGTAATACCACAAACCAATAAGATGATACGAGTTTCAGACACTCAATCATTAACAACACGTATCCTAATACAGATTAGAATCCCTTCTTTTATGTTAAGATATACATACACATGACATCACATATATTTTGTATAGAGAGACATGCAAATATCTAAACAATTATATACGAAAACACTTTATAAAAGGAAAAGTAGTGGTTAAAGAAAATAAAGAAAATGACCAAGAAAAAAGAGAAAGAAAAACAGCTAGTGGATGTTCAAATCAAAAGTATGAGTAGTGAAAGAGATAAACTAAAAAATCGATGAGAGTGATTGAGAGAAGGGCTCTCCAGGCTGTGATTGGTCACAGCGTTGACAGTTTTTTCTTTCTCAGTCCATCAGACTGTTTTGTGTTTCAACTTATTACAGACAGCAAAAACAGTTAGTTCTATTGTCCCTTTTTGGATTTCGTAGTAGTTAGGAGCTTAACCACTGATAATTAAACAAACAAATATATATCTTTACCCTAAATCTTTATTTATCATGTCATGTGTATTAAATAAACGATATATATAACAAATTAACAGTATAAAGCAAGAAAAAAAAGAAGTAAACGACAACAATATTACCTTATATATATATATATATAATATTGTAGCAAATTGACATAATTAACTATTTTTGGGTGGCAATAATTATGCCACCAAATTAGATATTTTATTGTAATATTTAACAATATACTTCACCTTTTCTCGATTTTTTTTATTGAGTTAAATTCTATAAATCTCTCAAGTATTACTCGTGCATATAAGAATTACAAACGCATGCACGAATCTTAAGTTAAAAGGCAAAAAACCGAAATTAACAAGTTAGGAATTTGAAGATCCCTAACGTCTTGCGAACTAACATATGGAATCCACATTACTTCTCTTTTGATACGATTGTTTGCTCATTTTAATCCACACTACAACTTTTGAATAAAGCATTAAACCCAAAGAGGGGATGATTGATAACATTTAAGAGTTATAGACCGTATAAAAAAGAAAGAAAAGAGTTAATGGTCCAGGAGTAAAAAGATAAAGAGAAAGGACCAAAAGTGTAAAAACAATAAAAACAAGGAGATGCTGTGCACGTAATTGAATTTCAAGTCTCTTCCTTTCTCCTTCCTCTCTCTCTCTCTCTCGTAAAGCTCCACACAGCTTCACGCAATGACGCTAACCTTCAAATTTACTCCTTCCTCGATTCTCAACTCTTCCCGCTTCCTCCTCATACGTACACCGGACGCTACCTTTCTCCGGCGCCGGCTGATTCTTCCCTGTCATTTCTACCGTGTTTATCTCTCCCGTCGTCTCTCATCGGAGGTAATTCTACTTTTATACTCAATGGAGTTTGGAATTGCAGCGATTCAAGTCATTCATTGTGGTTGATTACAAGTACGTTTTACATCAGTGTTCTGAATAGAGAATATTTTCAAATTAGCAGATTGATTGAGTCCGATTTTGTCGGTGAAACCTAGCGAATTTGGGGGAATTCAAGTTTGCGTTGGCCAAGGATCGAATCGATGGAGAAATCCTGTAAATGTGCTGTTTGCCACAATTCGTTTCGTCCCTCAATCTGCGTAGCGTGTGTCAATCGCGGGTACGTTGGGCTTTTCGAATTCCGTTTCTGTAAAATTTGACATGATCATCGATTGGGTACGAGTTAGAAGCTCCGATTTGTGCAGGTTAAACGAATACAAAGTTATCTTAGACTCGTTGAAGAGCCGTCGGGAGATTTCATACCTGAGATTAAGTGGCTTGCTTATCACAAAGGTTTTAGTTACGAGCTCATTGATGTGTTGAAGTCTCTGCAAAATTGGTTTCTAATGACTGATGCTCGTGTTCTTCGCTGTTGACCAGGAAAAAGAAATTAGTCAAAACTGTTGGATGGAGCTTGAGAAGGAGAAGCTTGCTAGGTTACGGGAGAAGCTCCAGCTAGAAGTGGAGAAGTTGCAGCAAAGTATGACGATACTCTTTTTTTTTTAAGAAAAAATCATTTCTTTGGCATCGCCTTCAGAGTACCAAGTCTAAAACACCTGCTTTATGATGCAGGAAAAAGCACATTTCGGAGGCTATCTCACAATCTGAAAGAGAGATATGACATTATCGAATCAACTAACGTTGCTGTAATGTGACTAGTTTCCATTTTCTGCCTTATGAAGTTGATTTTTTTTTTTCCATGTCTAATGTAGCTTTCATTTGTGCAGTTGGAGAAGAGCCGGGTTCGTCAACTGGAGAACCACTACTCGGATACTATTGGCAATCACTACTTAGTATATGTAAGATCTTCACCTCATATTACTTTAATTCTATGCTTGAAGTCGTCCTTCGCTAGAACTGATATTAGTCATATTCTGTGTCTCAGTTTTGTTAATTCAATCTCATATGTATGAACACTAAGGCAGCATTTGTGATTTACAGATCGACCTTACTTCAGAACGCCTATATAAACAGGCTTTGGTTATGAAACAGATCTGCAGATTGTTCCCTCTATCCAGGGTAAGGAGATCAAATTTATGTTCTTATCTATAAACCGAGTTTCCTAGGATGGTTTAACTAAATCTAACTGTGTTCAGGTGACACTAGAGGGCCATAACAAAGATGGGCGTAGTGGACAGTATGATCAAATCTGCAATGCTCTCTTACCACAAGGTCTCAACCCACTCTCTGTTCCGCCAAAAGAGCTCGCTGCCTCTTTAGGGTAACACGTCCTTGTCTTTAAACTGTCATTTAGCGGCACAACAAGAATTTAAGAAATATGGAGATCCATCTCCTTAGAGCATCTTTTAATTCTCCAGGCCCTTGTACTCATGGTCATCTTTTATATTTTGATTTGGTAGTTTGATGAATTAACATTCCCATGGTTGGTGGTTGGATCAGGTACATGGTGCAGCTTCTGAATCTTGTAGTCCATAAGCTCGCAGTGCCTGCACTCCATAACTTTGGTTTTGGGGTAAATGCCAACACAACCTTAACTCAAAACATTTGCGTCAGTCGTGGAAATTGATTGATTAGCTAAGATAAATAATTTGCACTCTTTTTTGTCTCAGGGTTCTTGTTCAAGAATATGGCAACGAGATTCTTATTGGAACTCTCATGCATCTTCTCCAAGGTAAACTACATTTCACACGACAAAGATTGTATATTTCTCCATTAGATTTAAACGATCTCGTTTTCTTTTTCTGCAGCGATGAGTATCCTCTTTTTGTACCATCCCATGATTACTACCCCTTCGAAGGGAAAAGCTCATGGACGGGTAGAGACACAACAAATTTTGGTGTCACTTCGTTGAAATCCGATGGAAGCGTAGAAGAAGACTATCACGACCTAGACGTCGTCAACCTCTCCTCTGCCTCTCCTCAGTCCGTGGAAACATTCAGAAACCTGCAGAGAGGAATCGCAAATCTGAAGCAAAGCGTTGCTCACCTAACTGCGTATGGTTACAGTTCTCTGTCTCTCGAAGTTCCTTCCGGATCATCGACTTTTGAAACATTTGCAAAGTTGCTTGCCACATTGTCTTCACTCAAGGAAGTCCAATCTGCTCTTTCCCTTGGTTTGTCAAGGTAAACAAAAGCTTCAATGACTTTGTGAGCTTGTATTTGAGACACTTGATGAAACTTACATCTCTCTGACGTTTTACAGTTCCAACAAGCAGAGACACGAGCCGAACAAGTCCGTGTGGAATTTGAACTCCTCGAGTTCCAGCACCTTGCTGAGCAGCTCTCATATCCAGCCAACATCGGTATGGATTCGTCTAAAAGACTTAAACTTTAGCTTGTTATGGCTGTGTGTGTTATGAAGACTAAAACATTTCGTATGTTTCATGTAGTGGAACAATAGCTATTACAGTGTACCAAATCGAGATAGGAGCTACATGGTGGAGTTTCCTGAAGTGAGGAAAGATAAAAACTCTATTGGTGAATGGAATTTGGTTGAGTATCCTCATTCTTTGAATCAACCTATGGTGTTTAATCATCCCAAGAACAAGAAGTACTGATCTGCTCAATGTAAACAAGATCTATACTTTGTAATGATGAACTTATTTTAACATAGCTATATAAGCAATTACTTCAATATTAAAGTATGGTGAAAGAGTGAGTGATGTGTGTGGCTAATGGAGTTGATGAAACAAACAAAGAAGGTCATGTGCTCTTGTGACGTGAGAATAAGATCCTCCGCTTTGTTTGGGCTTTAAAAGGAAAGGCCACCATGACAATTATTTATTTATATGTAAGAAAAAAAAGTGAGAGAAATGCTCCTTTATTCAGCCACTCAACAGAAAAAAAATCAGCGCCTTTTTTCATACCACACAATGGGAACAAAAGCAAATAGCAATTATAAGAAGAGAAGGCCATCACCTCTTTAGCTTTTGAAGTTATCATAATTGGTTTTGTTTCTGATGTTGACCTTCCACATCTCTTGCTCACTAGGAAAAATTGAATAATTTCTTTCATTTTGACCTCAGAAACTAGACGATGGCTTTAGCATTTTTAGGTTACTAAATGGACGTGTTTATATGTGAACTAGTCCATGAAAAGATATTTATTATCTTACAACTGAAGAGACATTGTGATCAATTTGGAATATCAATGTAAATTTGTGTTATTTTCAAGATTTTGTCTTCAAAGTTTAGTAATCATAATCATATATATATATATATAGTTATATGGTTATATATGGTTATATATATATATATATGGTTGTTCTTATGAGTATTGTATATTTTAACCAGCATAAAAGAATCTAATTTCGTTTTTCTTTTGTGGGATGCAAAGAAAGAGAATCATCTGAGTTCAGTTCGAGTTCGAATCTTTGAACGACTTGCGGTTTATATAAAAGGAACTAGTATATAACTTTTATATTCCTCCTTTAGTTTAATACTATTTTTCTTATATTCCCCCTTTTGTTTTGTAATACAGAGAGAACATTTACTATTTAGTATTCTTCGTGAAGCAATATTACTAATATTCGAATCCTTTTTTCCTTTTTTGAACGTTTGATGATCATTCGTCAACAAGAATCTCAGGGCATGATAGATACGCAACTTTGATTTGCTCAGAATACCATATTTCTTTGATTCTTCTTCCCACGCTTGAAACCTGAAAACAATTATATTTGTTTCACCATGATTGTTTTCTAGTTTATTCCCTAATCACAATTATGTAATATTTGTCTAATTATTTGGCGTGGTAAATCAAGTCAACATAAACTTTCATTTTATTTTCAAAATAGTAGAAAATCCATAGGGGAACACTAAAAACCATTTTGAGAATTTTTCCACAATAATAAATGAATAGTGAAAACTATTTGTTTACTGACCATTTGACGTGGTAAAATGATAACATAAACAATGAAGAAAATGCAATTCATACGAAACTTGATAGATAGATGTTCTTTCAGGTGTACTTAAGAAGAATGTAAAAAACAAAAGAAAAAAGTACAGAGAAGATAACGGGGAAAAAGATGCAATACGTAACTTTTGTGTGATCGTAACGAAAAAGAGAGAAAGAAGATAAGAAAAATAGTGGAAGATCGGTGTCTTCGTGATGAATTAAAGTAGAAATGTGTGTACGTAACTTTTGTGATCATACTATCTTTTCCTTCGTCAATTATAACACGTAACAACGATATATATCTACAATGCATGCTTGTACATATATATAAATTTATAATGTACCGAATAATGGGGTTTCTCGGAAAATATAACACTGATAATATGAACACTGAATTACAGTAACAAAATTTCTTTTTAAAAAGAAATAACTTCGATATGTACCTGTGAATCAAGCCAACATGTATATGATATTTCGCGAAACCAATTGATTTTCTGGCATTGATCAAAGTTCGTTTTTCTTTTTATTTATTTATTTGCGTATCACCGCACCGATTCATATGCATCATATTATATGGATTGAAAAATATTTGTAGATGGACTCTTTAGTAAAGTAAAACCAAGACAGGAAATAAAGCAAAATAAAAATAATAAACAGACATGCTTGTCTTTGTCGAACACACAGATTTTATTACACAAGTGGTGCCAAACTGATTAAGATCCATAATTTAACATAAATGAGATATTTAAAAATGTTATCTTTTGTGTTTGGTAGGCCATCTAAGCTCCAATTATTTGTCACTAAGTCAGGGAAGGAAACTAAGCACAAAGATGCCACTGCATAACCTTATGGACCACCCCAAAGTAAAAGTTGTAGAAGAAAATAAAATTTAGAAGAAGAAAAAAATCCTACATCTTTGTTCCCACCTATATGAACCTAATTTATAGGGAAAAAAACATTGATTCTTTTGTTAGACGCATGAGCATGCATGTACAAAAAGATGTGAAAATGGTTTCGATAATTATGAATTGGTCCTGACTGGTTTGTCGATAATGCGTTGCAGGATATGCATCCTTTTATTTTTCTGCTAAATTTTAGTATACACTTAACTTTTTTTTTAATGTGGGTCTGGTTAAATGGTTATATACTCTTTCCGTTTTTTTGAAAGATGTGTGTTTAATCTTAGTTTATTTGTGTATTACTAAGATGAAAGCTTTTCAATTAACAAACATAAGACTCTTTCTAATTGTAGAATGCAGAAACGATGCAACAAATTCACCAACGGACAGAATAATCGAGTGACCTGCCACGTGCCGACACTGGAGAGTATCAAGCTCTTTCAAGAGTTTCTTGTTGCTGACATCATGTCGTGCGTACTTCAGAGAGAGAAGCGCACGATAAGGTCTGTGAAACGACTCATCTTTTTTTCTCTCTTTCCCAGCGTTTTGTCTTTAAACGTTTCGTTGCTTTAAATAGATAATTACGTGTTTAATACTAATAAATTACTTATTGTTATTCTAATCAATATGGACACACACATAAAGGGAAGAGCAAAGGCAACACCAAAAAAAAAAAACCTTTTTTATCATCTCTTTCCATGATGGGAACGCTTGACCTTTAAGTTTTATTTTTTTGACTGTAAGTGTCCAAAGGAACTCGAAAAACTTCTCACTCCATTAGATTTTCTGTGGTTAGAATGCAAAATATCTCTTCTTGAACTACTCTTCATCGATCACTCAACTTCTTGACGAGTTTCTCTGCTTCTCGATTCAGGTTTTGTTAAATTTTCCTCCTTTTTTTTATTCTTCTGATCTTCACTCACTCTCTGTTTTCACTCTTTAAAAGTTGGATCTTATTGAGTTTGAGTGTTTTCTTTTTGTTTTATTAAAGTTCAAATCTTCTTATAAGTTTAAAAATTCTAAATGATGAAGAATTTATTCTCTTTATGGTTTACATCAGTGAGCAAATGTAATTTTGAAGATCTATAATTAAAGGTAAGTCACACAAACAGTTTCTTTCTTTCTCCTTTGATTTCTTCTTGTGGATTATGAGTGATTGTAAATATTAATATGGAATATATAATAATTGGTTGATATGTTAGAGGATAGAGAGATGATGAGTTCTTCTTCACCAACTCAACTTGCATCTTTAAGAGACATGGGAATCTATGAGCCATTTCAACAAATTGTCTCTTGGGGAAATGTTTTCAAATCTGATATCAATGATCATAGTCCCAATACTGCTTCTTCCTCAATCATTCAAGTTGATGCCACAACTGATGATCATCACAACAACATCAAGGTTTAAAGACTTTTTTCTCTCTTCAGATCTTGACTAGTGTGTTTGCTAATCGTTTGAATTACTCGCAGACGAATTACGCTTCTTCTCATAACCAGATCGAAGCAGAGCCTTCTAGTAATAATGATGATGGCAAGACTCCTGATAAGGTCTGAAAAAAAAACAAAGCTGCCTAATTATGTTTTTGTTTTTATGTGTTTTTTTAACGAATAAAAATGTTTTGTTTTTGTTTTGTATGATATTAATTGATACTATTTTCTCTATAGACGAAACGGCGTTTAGCGCAGAACAGAGAAGCTGCTCGTAAAAGCCGTTTAAGAAAGAAGGTAAAAGCAAAACCCTTTACTAGTGTAATGATAAAATCTCATACTAAAAACTCTGTTTTGTTACTTTAAGGCTTACGTTCAACAGTTAGAAGAAAGTCGGTTAAAGTTATCACAGTTAGAGCAAGAACTTGAAAAGGCTAAGCAGCAGGGATTATGCGTACGAAACACGTCAGATTCTTCAAGCTACTTAGGATCATCAGGGAGCATCAACACAGGGATTGCTTCGTTTGAGATGGAATATTCACACTGGCTTGAGGAACAAAGCAAGAGAGTAAGCGATATCAGAACAGCGCTTCAAGCTCATATAAGCGACGTAGAGCTAAGGATGCTTGTAGAGAGTTGCTTGAACCATTACGCGAATCTCTTTCGTATGAAGTCCGATGCCGCGAAAGCAGATGTTTTCTACTTGATATCCGGAATGTGGAGGACTTCAACGGAGAGATTCTTCCAATGGATTGGAGGGTTTCGTCCATCCGAGCTTTTAAACGTAAAAAACTCTCAAAACCCTAACATTTTTCTTGTTTCACAAGTTACAATCTTTATGAAAAAACATTTCAAAATGTAACCTTTTATGTTATTTTGTTACAGGTTGTGATGCCTTATCTTCAGCCATTAACAGATCAGCAAGTCTTGGAAGTGAGAAACCTTCAACAATCGTCGCAACAAGCAGAGGATGCTCTGTCTCAAGGGATTGATAAACTTCAACAGAGTTTATCAGAGAACATTGTGACCGATGCGGTTAGCGAGTCCACGGATTATCCGACTCACATGACTGCAGCAATAGAGAATCTTCAAGCTTTAGAGGGGTTTGTGAATCAAGTAAGTAGAGAAAAGTTTGTGTCTTTTCTTTTTGTATGCCAAGAACATGTTTTTGATTCTTTTTATGAACAACAGGCTGATCATTTGAGACAGCAAACTCTACAACAAATGGCGAAGATCTTGACGACAAGACAATCAGCTCGAGGTTTGCTTGCTTTGGGAGAGTATCTTCATAGGCTTCGTGCTCTTAGCTCTCTTTGGGCAGCTCGTCCACGAGAAACCATTTAGAAGAAGAAGAAACAGAATGGAAGTTGAAAAGCAGACTCATCACACAAAGCTTGGAATGGTGTTGAAAGATCTTTAGCTAAGTAGTAGAGTGATTGTTCTTGAATCTTGATTAGAAGAACTTTTTTGGTTTTTGCTTAATGAAGTATGTTTTTAGACGAGAAGATGTAAATTTGGGTGGTAAACTTTGTAATATACTAGATATATACAAAATAAGGCTCTTCTTAGTGTAATAATAATATTTATATGTTCGAAATCTGAGCAATACAATAGTATGTGTACCGAATCTTAAGTTTTAGTATTGTTCAGGGACTAAAATGTGAAAGGGAAATGTGATTGTACTTTACCTTTGTTTGAATCATGGGAAAAATGATAGTATGTGTACCAAATATTAAGTTTTAGTATTGTTCAGGGACTAAAATGTGAAAGGGAAATGATTGTAGTTGTACATTGGGTTGAGAGCAACCAATATGATAGTACGTGTATCGAATCTTAATTTTACGTATCATTCAGGGACTAAAATGTGAAAGAGTATAATTGTAATTAGCTTTGTTGCTCATCGTCCACAAAATGTTTCCCGGGAATTTTTTTTATTATTTTTCTTGTAATTTTCTGAGGAAAATGAGAAAATTCATTTGAAGAGTAAAGTCCCAGTCTCGTGTTCGGTGGTTGGATTTTTCATTTTCGGAGTTTGCCGATACGTTTGTTTCCTGGGGAAATCAACAAACTTTCCCACGCGAAATTCTGATTTTATATGAATTCCGATTTCTGGGTCGTCGGCGAGATTCATCGGAAATTGAAGTTATGAGCAATCTGCGAGCTATCTGTAGACCACACTCTGTATTCTCCTCGATCGTCTGCTGTAGTAGAAACCAAACTCGATCAATCGTTAAGGGTTCGATTAAAAACGTCGCCTTTAGAACTCGTGTGTCGAATCTGTATCCGTCTTCGTCTTCATCGTCTAGGTCTAGAGATTCGAGTCTTTGGTTTCGTGTGAGTCAGAGGAAGACTCTCGTCAGGGCATCGAATTGGAGCCAAGAGAAATCTCCTTACGACACTCTCGGTAAATTTCTTCTACCAATCTGGAGAATTTCTGTATCTACAGTGTCAAGTTTTTAGCTTTAAACTGTTTAAGTGTGGTTTTGAGTACAGAGTTGGATCGAGATGCAGAGGACGAGCAGATTAAGTTAGCATACAAACGATTGGCCAAATTCTATCACCCCGATGGTACTTTTCTTGATCAAAGTCAAGATTTTTGATTGTTTTACAATTCAAAGTTGGGATCTTTATGTGTTTGTGAGGTTATATAGCGACATACAAAAGCTCTGTTTCGACAAGAGGCGTAACTCTGTTTTTGGTTCTGTTTGTTGCATTGTGTGTAGTGTATGATGGAAAAGGGAGTCTTGAAGAAGGAGAGACAGCAGAAGGAAGATTCATCAAGATTCAGGCTGCTTACGAGCTGCTCATGGACACGGAGAAGAGAAGGCAATATGATTTGGATAACAGAGTCAATCCAATGAAGGTAAATGTATATATAAGATTCAAAACTTGGAATTAAAGTTTTGAGGGATGAGATGTTTGGGATTGTGTAGGCATCACAAGCATGGATGGAATGGTTGATGAAGAAGCGTAAAGCGTTTGATCAGAGAGGTGACATGGCAATTGCAGCCTGGGCTGAGCAACAGCAGCTTGAGATCAACCTGCGTGCTCGTCGTCTTTCTCGTTCTAAGGTAAAAAAAAAACCTGAAACTTTCTCTGTTCTTGTTCTTTCAAAGGAGTAATTTTTCTTTTGCTCTGTTTTGAAGGTGGATCCGGAAGAAGAGAGGAGGATATTGGAGAAAGAGAAGAGAGCATCGAGAGAGTATTTCAACAGTACTCTAAAGCGACACACGCTGGTGTTGAAGAAACGAGATTTGATGCGAAAGAAAGCAGAGGAAGATAAGAAGAAGCTAATCACTCAGCTGTTAGCAGCAGAAGGTCTTGAGCTTGATTCTGAAGAAGAAGAAGAGGAAGAAGCAGCCAAGTAGAGATGAAGAAGAGACTCTTTTTATCTCTCTACTTAGCCTATGTTTCTCTATCTTGTAGTGGAAAGATACATGTTGTAGATATCATATTTCATATAATCTAAAGAAAGATTCTGCATAAATATGTCTTTTGTTCATAAAATTTGACAGATACATAAATATGTCTTTTGATCAAGAAATTTGAGAGAGGCTCAAAACCAAAAATGGATAAAAGTCTAGGATAAACTAAAACCGGGAATTGTATCACTGGTCACCAGGGATTGTCTTGATGATGTCAGAATCACCTGGAAAAAGTCGCAAGACAAAAAAAAACATTGATCAAATGATGAACCAGCAATGTATATACACTAAAGTTGGTAAAATTTGTAAAATTAGGATTGTTGTTTTACCAGGATCAACGATGCTCAAACAAGAAACACGGAAGTACTTTCCACAAGCTGTGCCGAGATCAACGTTATCTGCAACAACCCATTATACACAGTCAAGACCAAATGATACAGTAATAACAGTCGAGGAGTGAAGCTTAATGGTTACTAAGCGCCATAGTTTATATCAAAGAATAAGGTCACATTATGAATATCAATTTGGGAACTGGTATAGTCTTGGAATTATGTAAAAGATGTAACTTTATGTAATATGTAAACACCAAAAACAGAGACACTAATAGCAATCTCAAGCAGAGGTGAAAATTCAACACAAAGGAAAAGGAATCGTGATATTGGAAAAGATCAATACTTTACTAAGGGATTATAACTTCCACATCAACTTAGTGGTCCATAACAGCAGATTTCTACACTTACATCTACTTAGGAATATACACATTTCTCAATTACGAAGCCTAAAAAATGCAGAAGAAGAAGAAGAAGAAGAAGAAAGGAACATACTTCCATTGTAGTGGTGGACACCAACTTTGGCGAGCATAGCGTAGTACTCAATCTCGGATCTTCTCAAAGGTGGGCAATTGCTGGAGATGAGGATTAGTTTCCCTGCAGAATATATAAGCAAAAACCCAGAATCAGCTCAAAACCCAGCTCCTAAAGCTAAAGCAATTTGGTATGCACGCACACCAAGTGTTCGACTAAATTACCTTTGGAGCCACGGAGGGATTTGAGGACAGACTTGTAACCAAGAGTGTATTTGCCACTCTTCATCACAAGAGCCAACCTACTGTTGATACCCTCATGAGACTTCTTCTGAAATCAAGCAAAAACCCAGGAATCAGTTTAGTCTATCATTGAGATCGGAAACGATAATACTTGGATGATGAAAAAAAAAAGAATTAAACTTTGATGAGAGAGAACACGCACCGTTTTCTTGGCGGTCACCATTTTCGCCGGCGATGAAGCAGAGACGAACAGAAGATTACTTGGATCTGTGCGGCGGAGAGAGATTGAGAGGAAGAGGAGCACGAGAGACCAAAAGCAAACAACGTTATGTATTCTGTTTTCTAGGGTTTTGCTATTCCAATATTGTCAATAAATTTCAGTTAAGCCCTTGATTTTCTAAACTAATTGAATTAGTTACCCGTTTCCCTTATTTCAACATTTTGGGCCATATGACGTGAAATGTGCTTTTGATATACTATTTTTTTTTTGTAAAACAAAACAGGGTAAAAGCCTAGAAGCTACAACATATGTTTCGTTTATGTTTCAAGTTTCAACAATTTTTTGTTTCTTTGTTCGTCGGATACAACGTATGAAAAAAATTCTATGAATCTTAAGCATAGCGACAAAAAAAATATATCGTTTTGGAACTTGACACTTTTTCCACTAAAAAAAGTAAAAAACAGAATCAAATAGGACTTTCCTCGTAAGAGCCCATCTTTTTCACTAGCCAAGATCACAAACGTTTTTCATAGTTTCACAAACATACATAGATAATTCTCAAACTGACCTTTCAGATTACGGTCCATTTGTATTTTGGAGGTAACCGAACAAAAGTTTCTTCACGGGAGAGTTTTCTTCGGAAGCATCTATGCGACGAAGTGTGTAACCACACTATTCAGGACAGATTGTTCTTATAAACCCTTGACATTGAGCCTTAAGGGAATTCAAATTATGGGACCATAGTCCTTTTGTTTAGGTTATTTTATAATCAAGACGTCACGCGCGCTTAGTCCTTAGATTATGTTCTTCTCGGTATATACACTTTCGAAACCGGCATATATAAATCGGTCGGTCCAAATTTGTAAACGTCTTGTATTTTTATACATCGAGTAAACTTCACACCGAGGGATCTCCTTGTGTTTGTTTAATCTCCTTTCCTTGTCGGCGCGTAACAACAAACAATCGAGACAGCAGCCAAAAAAGGGTTCACGTGTCTTAGCAGGAGAGTAGGTAGTCGTCATGTATAATTTCTAACACGGTAACATCCAATAAATTTTCTCTACGAGCCCTAAATCATTTGCCTCTTTTTGAAGCTCCTTCACCGAGAGGCAGCTATATTATAACCTTTAATATCACTCACAACGCTTGGACGGATCAATTTTCTAATATCTCACATGTGCTATTGAGCATATACAATGAACAGACCGCAGTACATTGCAATATGGTATATAACTATATATTATTAGTGGCAGGCTATGGACGTAACGTAAGATATTATAACTTGGATGATGTTCTTCACATTTGCACCCAAAAAAACCTTGGATGATGTCTATAGTACATTTTTAATGAAATTATATGCAGATATAAGCGTATATATGCATGTGGGAAAATTTCCCAAGAATAAGTGTTAGGAGTAAAAGTAACAAAAGATATTTTAAAACCAGAGTAAACTAACACTTATAAAATAAGATTTTAATAAATTACGAGTATATATAAATGCAAGTGATGCACCTAGCCATATGACACCGATTCGTCGAAGAGCAAAATATCTATCCGCTCACCCATTTGTAACACTCTTTCTCTCTCTCTCTCTCCCTCTCATACAAACATTTCGTCGGCTCATTTCTTATGTTTACATAAACACTAGCTCGCATACTCTTTTGTTTTCAACTCCATCAAATTCTCTCTAACCAACGTTTTATACGTCGTCTTTTGGTTATTTTGCAGTGATCATTAGATATGGGTCGGGTTAAACTGGAGCTTAAGAGGATAGAGAAGAGCGCGAACCGGCAAATTACGTTCTCTAAACGTAAAAAAGGGTTAATAAAAAAGGCTTATGAGTTGTCAACACTTTGTGATATCGATCTTGCTCTACTCATGTTCTCACCCTCCGATCGCCTCTGTCTCTTTTCCGGTCAAACAAGGTATTTCCATTTCTTCAATTCTTCTAAAAAATTCCATGCCCTTCTAGAGTCTTCTTGCTACGGTTTTTCAACTTGATAAAAAGTGTAATCATGTTTGCGTATATGCATATCATGTAATCATGTTTGAAGGACAAAAAGGACAGGCCAATAAGCCATATATTATTTTTCTCGTTTTCTACTTGTGGAAGCCACCGAAAAGTGGATCTTTATTTTTTATGTGCTAGTAGAACTAATTTTTGAGTGTTTTCTTTATTTTCTATTTCTACATCATCGCTTTGTACAGTTTGTAGTTTCAGAATCTATTAGAGGTGCAACCGAACGTTGACACGTTATTTTGCATGCTACTGATGCTTTTCTAGTCAGTGGTTATTAATAGATAATACTTTGATGGAGTATACATAAATAGATAATACTTTCGTTTATGAAACAAATTTGATACAAAAATATCATTAAATTGTATTTCTTGATGAAAAAGCCAATAATTGAAAAAAAAAAGATTATCATTTATATATCATGAAACGATATAATTGTTTTGGTCTTAGTTTAAGTTCATGTTTAACTTAGGATTTTTCATTTTTTTTTGTGTTGAAATAATTTGTTTTATCTGCACATTTTCACTTAGAATTTCAGGTTTTCTCCACTTAAATACATATCCATATCTACAGATCCGGATCCGATTGAATATATATTTACATAATACACCTATTTTAGAGTATAATCAAAGTAGAGATTTTACATCAAAATATCAAATCAAAGTAGAAACTGTTAGAAACACAACAAATCAAGTGCGCTAGTCTCCAACTGATTTACGTAACAGAGAAAAAAACTTTTTTTTATAAACTCTCATCAATTCCGATGTTGCCATACTATATTTAGTATAGTATGACGACAAAATAAAAAGACTAGTATATAAGTAGTAGTACTGTTTAATACGAAAGCATTGCAAAATACGTGGCACTCTAAGCAAGAAACAATACATGCAAGTATGCAACCCATCGAATAAAACGTAACATCATTTCTCTTACAGAATTTTTTTAAAAAATACTGAAACCAAATTTCTCATTAGTTGTATAATATAGTATCCTACCCTGATAAGCTCAAAACGTACGTTAGTAGCTAAGCTTCTCTCCTTCGTTCGCACTACTGTTTCCTCTCTACAACTGAAGTATGTTCTCTTGTTTTGAACGATACATATATAATCATATACTCTACATGTATAAAAATATAAGTAAATACTCAGATGGTAGATGGATGGTGTTGTATTTCCATTATCTTGATTTTGAGTTAATTTCAGGATTGAGGACGTTTTGGCGAGGTACATCAATCTTCCTGATCAAGAAAGAGAGAAGTATGTATATTCCTCGCACTAATCTACTTGGTTTGTTACTTCAATATAATCATTTTGGGTATATTTTACATTTCAGCGCTATCGTTTTCCCCGATCAAAGCAAACGCCAGTGAGTGTCATGCTTTTATAGCTAGTTAGTATATACTTAATTTCATCTATGATTTGTTATTCATTAATCTCTCTTCTCTGTTTCGCAGAGGTATCCAAAACAAGGAGGTGAGACTAATCAATTAAAAAATATATAAGTATATTGGGTCCACTCTTTACAAGTATATGATCATTCTAATGACAAGGATCAAATTTCGACTAATGATTTACTTACATATATGTATATATTAGAAAGTTTAATCAGCATATTGTTGTTGTGACAGTATCTTTTACGGACTCTTGAACAGCTCAAGATTGAGAACGACATGGCCTGCCGAATCAACGATCCTCGGTTTATTTCTCTTTCACCTCTTTTTTTGTTAAATTATTTCTCTTTCACCTTATATGAAAAAAATGATCATCTTATTACACTATTTCATAGATATTGTATGTTTTAAAAATCCACGTCTGCACACTAACATTTTCTTTTATTACTCTTGAAAAGCCCTGAAGCTACCAATGTCGAGGTTGTTAATTTCTCAATTTTTTCGGTTTACCAAACATTTAAATAAGTAGTCCTTATAAGTATTTTCCTAATTATATTTACATTTTAACAGGAACTTGAGCAAGAGGTTTGTAGATTACAACAACAGCTTCAGATTTCAGAGGAAGAGCTAAGGTAATTTTCCTATAATTTGTCATATTTTAAAAATGTTAGTTTTATAAAAATAGAGAAAAAAACATTCGTGTTACGTAAAGACTTATGGCTCTTGTGATCTAATAATATACATAGGAAATTCGAACCAGAACCAGTGAGGCTTACATCAATGGAGGAGATCGAAGCATGTGAAACTCATCTACTCAACACTCTGACACGTGTCATCCAGAGGAGGGTAACGTAAACTACACTTCGCATTTTCTCTACTATACATTGTAAGATGAAATTTTAAATAAATGATCATCGTAGGAACATCTGTTGAGCAAGTCTTGCGAAGCATCACCAAGCACCCAACAAAGCATGGAAAGGAACCTTCTCAACGACGTCGTCCTAGGCTGGAGACCTGAGGCTGAGCCCAAACAAGCCCATCAGTCCAATCAGCTTAGGTCCTTCCCTAGGTGAATCGCAAAACGTGTCAAATTGTAACCACGAAAAATTATGTTGTTGTCACAAATAAAACGGCGAAGATATTTCCCGAGTAGGTCTTTGCTTAAACTCCAAGCAATAAGTTTCTCTTTCAGTTTGAGTGGTTTTTCTTGTCTGTAATGAAAAAAAGTTTCTGAATTACTTTTTAATAAAATTTTGATAATATACTCTTATATTGAACTAGAATCGAGGACAATGTGATTCGACGTACCATAATAATAAAAATTAGAAACGTTGATTGTGATTCGTACAAGGTTATCTAATCTGTGTAAAAATGCTGCCTAGCCATTATAAAACATTTTAAGTCTCTGCCTTTTCAAATAGTACAATACAATCATACTCATATTTGGCCAAAAATGTATAAACATAATAATAATTGAGGGTAAAACAATAGTATCAATCAAAAACAATAAAACTGTATAAATTGAGATCTCTTGGAGATCATTATTATTGGCTACTGAGCTGAGGCATTCTAATATCATAGTCGGAGACCTCATGGTCTGCTTCTGCCTCCCTCTTCATAACTGGTATTTCACTTTCCTCCATTTTAGGACCCACCACTCCAAGCTGCCATATTCAATTGTTGACCAAAAATGTCAACCATTTTTCTTATTGTACAGTAAAATAAATTTAGATAAGTAAAAAAAAAAAGAGAAAGTCAAGAACCTGATGTGGTTGCTGCATGGGAGGAAACAAGGCCGAGGGATTGAGGCCAGTTGTCGAATTATAGGTTTGGGCCCATTCTTGGAACATGTCACTACCGTTAGGGTTTGACACGTGGTATTCACCAACCATGTTGTTGTTGTTGTTTTGGTTCGAGGATGAGCTACTTCCTTGCAGCAACGTTTCATACATTGCTGAATGAGCCGATGCGTCGAATAAATGAGCTTGGTTAGGCCCAGTTTCAGTCAGCCAGTCTCCAACGGCGTCGTTTACAAAAGGCCCGCCCATGTTTTGCTGTTGTTGTTGTACTTGTATAGCAGATGCCTCGTATGAGGATAATTGGTCACTCAAAATGTGTTCCTGCGCTCAAAAAAGGAAATGTACAAAGATAAATTTCAGCTGGATGTATCATTATGATGAGGAAATTAAAGAAGGATATGAGTTATTGACCCGTCGTTGAGTGACACGTGTTAAGGTGTCAATGAGCTGTTTTTCAGAAGTTTCGTACTCTTCCATTGTTGTAAACCTGATTGGATCTGGTTCGTATTTCCTGATTGTATTTGCACATAAACAAATAGTCACTAAAGTTGTTACATACATTTTCATGTATTTTGTCACATTTTATTTTTAGTTACAAAAGGAAGAAACAAAGACCTTAGTTCCTCCTCTGCCATATGAAGCTGTTGTTGTAACTTATAAACTTCTTGCTCAAGTTCCTGAAGATTCGGATATAAAAAAATCCAAATAAATTAATTCATGCAGTCGATGATTTGAGGGGACATAAATTTACATAATATTTGTTTATTAGTTAAAGTGTTAATCAGCAAAAAGGACGAAAAAAAGATTTTAGAAATTTTTGAAATGTCCCCAAAAGATTAGAAGAATCACCTCGACGTCGGAGTTGATTGCTGCAGGGCTTTTCAAAGTCATCCGATAAGAAAAATAAAGAAAATCAACTTCCATATTCTTGTAAAAATAATGTATCAAAAGGTTATATTATAACGAAAGAAAAAGAGGAAAAAAACTTGAAAGACTACTTGGTGAGTTGAAGAGCAATATCATTCTCAGTCTTGAGCTGCTGCAAAGTCCGCAGTAGATACTGTCACGTGACAAGAAGTTTTTTTAGATTAATAATATTAGATAATATTTTTGTCCAACATTAGACCTAATCTACGTACATTTCAAGTTATAACCCATATCATAAAAGAAATAGCTATATCATTATAAATTAATGTTCTTCATTTTCTTAATTGAAACTTGAAAGTATAGACAGACACACGTTATGCTTAGTCTCGTTAGTCGTTACCTCTTTGTTCTGGAAATCTCTGCCAAAAAAGTGGTCAAAACATGAAAACCCCAATTAGATTATAATCATCAACGTATTATATAGTATATATGTTTAAGTTTAACGTATTTTTCAGAAGAAAATAAGAGGAACAATAGGAGTAAGTTACGTACGGGCGTCGACTCTGATCGGGGAATAACAGAGCACTGAAATAAAATCAAAAGCAAAAACAAAATTAATAACCAACAATAAACAAAACACTGCTTCATTAGGATAAATAAACATGAAGGAAAATATTGGGAAAATAATAAAGAAGACTGATCAGCTTACTTCTCTCGTTCTTGGTCAGGAAGATTGATAAATCTTGTGAAAACGTCTTCGATCCTGACCAAAAGTTATACGAAAATGAACATTTTCTAACTGATTTTTTTTATACATTAACCAAAAGAAAGTGTATAAGATAATAATAACAAGAAACCTTGTTTTGCCAGAAAAGAGACTAAGGCGATCAGAGGGAGAGAACATGAGGAGAGCAATGTCAATGTCGCAAAGAATGGACAATTCATAAGCTTTCTTTATCAGACCATTTCTTCTTTTCGAGAACGTAACTTGTCGATTCGTTGTGTTCTCTATTCGCTTTATCTCCAGTTTCACGCGACCCATTTCTCTCTAATCCGATCAATGCAACAATCAAATTCAAAATAACTTTCTCTTTTTTGAGAATGCGAAAAACTGATCAATGGGGGTAAAAGTGCTAATATATATGAGAAATGTATGGATGAGAGGAAAGAAAGAGACGCATAAAAGAAGGAGAGGTTAGGTTTAAGAAAGAGATTTTCGGTTAGAAATGTATGGGAGAGATTAATTAATGGGTTTTGTTCTTTGAACGGATTAAGAATGATCGTATAATAATTTGCCTTCGAAAAATTGTTGTTGGAGTATATGAAATCAAATTCTTAGCGGTCAAATATTTGTTTTTTTTTTTCAACGGCTACATTTTCATGCCGTTAAACACTATCTCAATGTATATTTGCTTTATTATTGTGAATTGTTTGTGAATTAATGTGGATAATTCATATGATTGTTGACTCAGCAGATTATATCTTCAAGGTTAAGTTCACTACTTTTCTCTACCGTATATTAACCGTTTATTGCATGTTTGATTCCACTTATGAGTGTAAATGATTAGCATAGATGTCAAATTGTCCATTCAAGCCAAACACACAAAATGTAAAATCTGTGCGGACGGTTTGTTAATGCACCATGATATATAGCTTATTAGGTTACAAATCTTACATTTTGAAAATTTGATGTTCTTATATATCAACACAAATCGTGCGACGTAGTTCTAACTCTTAAGTAAGTATCTACGGCTTCTCCTACTGTCATGAATATATTTTCTTCTTTCACTTTCTCCTCCAACTTTGCTCGCTTCAATTTGTGAAGCACCCTCCATCTCGGACTAGCGATCACTAACTACACGCACAAACGTAAAATTATATTGTTGAGTGATACCATTAAACCGAAATATATTAGTGAAATTAAGCATAACAAACATTTTAGCATATGTTCTAGCTACATTCTATGCGGGGGAAAAAAACTAAAGCAAAAAAAGTTACCCGGATGTTATTAGAAGCCAGCTCTTGATGTAGTTCTTCAAGTGCAACTACTCCTGATGTATCTACGCCCATTACGCCTTCATTTTGGGAGGGTTGGCAAAAGAAAAGAAAAAGATATATATGAGATAGTTGAATGTTTTGTTACATGTCATATTTCATAATTCACCATATAACTTACATGACATGTCGAGAATTACTACTTGAATAGCATTGTCCGTTTTAACTTCTTGTTCATCTTCCTCTTCTTCTACTTCTCCAACTGATTTCAGTATTCTGCATTAAAACAATAATAAAAAAAGTTCGTCAAAGTCTAGAGTTTAATTCATAAAAGTAATGTATGAGAGAACTAGATCAATGAAATAGAGGCTAACCTGTCTCTAATAAAATTGGCATTGGCAAAGCATAGCAACGGAGAGCTAATTCTAAGAGTCAATAATCCTTGAGTCTTAATAGCCATTGGATACTGATTTACGTCACCAAAGATATCTGTTTTTGACAACCTCCCTAAAGCCTCAATGTTTGGTCTTATCGAGCTCAACATTATCCTCGCAAACGATATCCCCACCTACATGTATACAAATAATCAAACTATATACTATACCAATCAATTAGACTTAAAAAAAAAAATGGACCGCAAGAAGCCAAGAACTAAAACTTATAGGGTTAGGCAAAAGGATCTTTACAGTAGATAGTGATTCGAGGACTCAATTATAAGAACTGATGTCTCGCTCAGTCAATTGTCAAAGTTATTTTGTCTTCTTCATCAGCAACTTGATTCCATATTTTTTTGACCCACCAAACAAGTGTATTTGAATTTATATGTGATAAATATTACCACTTGAATCGAATGAAACGTTACATAACATTATTGATGTTTTGTCTTTCAGGGTCTAATGTCTATGCACATCAAGTTTGGTCGGCCTACTAGCTTCATCTACAACATTTTTTTCTTTCTTTTTATATATATGAGATGTTGAAGCTTTTGGTCATGCAAATTTAATTCACATGATTGGATATTCATATAGAGACTATATAGTTGACTCGACCTCTCAGGTCATCCATCAATCAAATCTGAATAACAACAACATTTTAATTATTTTCGGCATATTTATTTTTCCGGATAAGATTTTTGTGGGTCAGAAAAATAAAATGAAAAAGCAGTGAAAGAGAAGAAAGACTCACGGCAAGAAGAAGGCCGACCTCAACGGAGGCAAAGAGGACACCAAGAAAGGCGGCGATGAGGACAAGAAAATCAAGTTTGTCGAGCTTCCAAATGTGCAAAGCGCCGGAGATGTCGATTAGTCCCGGAAGCGCCGAGAGAATGATGGAGGCGAGAATTGCGGTTGGTGTAAAGTAGAGAAACCTTGTCAAGACTTCAAGAGAAACCATCACTGTAATCGCCATTACAATGTTCGACACCACTGTTTCGCAACCAGCACTAAAATTCACCGCTGTCCTCGAGAATGATCCTATTTTTTAATGCAAGAAATGAGTATGTAACAAAAAAAAGACATGAACCGATTAATTTCGGTTTTGTTAATAAAATTAAACCGGTTTCCATTAAAAAAACAATAAAAAAATTTACCGGTTGCTACATAGCAAGAAGTTAAGGAGCCAGCGATGTTGCTAAATCCTAATGCCATCATCTCTTTGTTCCCATCTAGACGATATCCTTTAATCGTCGCAAACGATCTTCCTACTGCGATTGCTTCCTGTATTATTTAATTTAATAAATTAGTTACACATTAGTTAGTGAATAATTTTGACTAAATTTTATATGGATTGCTAATGACTAACCGTGAGAGCGATGATTGCAGAAATAAGACCAATTTTGGCGATGTGACCGAGTTGTGGGCTGTTAAACTGTAACTGGTTAACCGAAGGTCGGTTAAACCCTGGTTTAATGTGTTTAACAATCTTAACCCCTCGTGTCTCAGCATTGGTTAGATACACGATTAGGGTTGCTAATACCACTGATATTAGCGGTGCCATCGCTGGAATCCAGAACAATTTTTTGTATTTTTTCCCCTGGATTTATTATAAAACAAATAAAAAAGAAAAATAAATACAACTATTGTGATGTTGATATGGAAATGTCATATATATGTTACAAATATGGTTTACTTACGATAAATCTAGCGAGGAGGATGAATATGAGGAATGAGCTACCAATAACAAAGTTCAGAGGTTGCCACTGCAAAATGAGTTAGTGCAATTATTGAAAATATATTTTTTCACAAGTTAAAACTAGTAATAATTGGAATAGATTCGCTAGCTTCGTGACCAAAAAAAAAAATTGGAATAGATTCGACATTTCTTACTTTAATCTAAAATATTGAGAAGAATAAAATAAACAAATTTAACTGGTGCGTACCGGATGGTGAAGCGAGTGGAACACTGAAGATAAAACCGAAACCACATCGGTTTTGTTGGTAAAGTGAGACAAACCAAATAAACCTTTGAGTTGTTGTAAACCAATGACAATGGCAGCACCAGCCATGAACCCGACAAGTGCAGCATGTGACAGAAAATCCACCAAAAACCCTAACCTGATTATACATTATAATAACATTTTTTTTATTAGATTAATACACATTTGTCGTTGTCGTCGGTCTAAAATTATTATATTTTAACGTTATTTGAAGGATTTATGCAATTTGCCTGAATAGTCCAAAGATGGCTTGAAACGCGCCAGCGAAAAACGTGACCGTATAAACAATTTTCCGGTAAGCAATTGGATCGGTGATTGGATCTTGAAGGTCACGAACCATTGACGAAAGCAGAAGCGAAACTACAGCCACAGGACCAATCGCTAACTCTCTCGAACTTCCCATCGTCGAATATATCAGAGGTGGTACCACACTTGTATCTTGTAATTAAATAAATATATTTTTAGAAAGTAATTAAAATTTTGCTGCAAAACATTTAAGGAAATATGCAAATTTTAGTTGTTTTGGACTTACATAGACCGTACTCTGGATCGAGTCCAGCCAAATTAGCATATCCTATACTCTGCAAAATGGAAATGTATGGAAGAAACAACATTAGTTAGTTGTATTGACAGATTAATTATAGTGGTAGATTATGTTACCTGAGGAATGCAAAGGCTAGCGAGAGTGAGACCAGCCATCAAATCTTTCTTGAACATCTTAATTTTGTATTGTCTTCCCCAATTAAGTATAGGGAAAACCGATTTGAGGAAAGAGTAGATACGGTTAGACGAAGATGAGTTCTTCTTCTTGTTTCTCTTCTTGGATAACACATTTGTTCTTGTGTACTTAACAAGCTCTTGCCACATGGTTGGTGGCTCTGGCGTACTTATCAGCCACCGCGAAACTGGATCTTCCGCGGGGCTGGCTTCCTCCTGGTGGCTCTGGTGGTTCTGAAGCTCTATGCCCATTTTGTTATCTTTGTGGTTTTGAAGTGTGTGACAGAGAACTAACTTAGTTTACATATATGTATACATATATATACACATAATGTATATCCATATTAGATTTTTAAAACTATAATAAAGTATTTCCAAAAGTTGGTCCTGGTTTTTGAATATGCTTCATTTGCTTTAATTAATAATTGTTACTTTATACTTACTTATTTTATATCATATTTAAAAATACCATACGTTACACAAAATTGTTGAATATCAAAATTTCTAATATTTTAATAGTGAAACTATAGTATTTTTAGTGATTTTCCAGCTATTAATTTGATTGATATTCACATGCAGACAAAACTATGTCGGAGCAAGTCGATGAAATATGTGAGTAAATCATATTTTAATATCCGATGGTATTTCTTTTTCAAGGCACAAAAAAATGAACATATTAACAAGCGCCAAGAGGGTGCGCATGTTGCCAATGCATGATAACTTTGTAGGAATATATCACGGTGGTGACCATCTTTGTTAAAAAGTATGTGGTGACCATTTTTGCAATCGCAAACACATTGATGTCTGAATCAGGTGTCAAAAATTTCAAGATTTCTGATTTTATACTAGGGTTACTCGTACAAAAACATGAAGACAAAAATGCATAACTAATATATGCCATTAGTTTTAATCCTTCAAAAGATCACGTGAGAGTTTAAAAAGTTTGTGGCTAAGATCACTAGACTAATGAAAAAAAACAAAATACTGTATGGCGATGCTATAGTAACTGTTTTCTCAAGAATTTTAGATCAGCTTTACAAAATTTGAGCATAACAAGTTACCAACCTTGAGTGGTCAGATATTTCACACATTTTTTTATATTAATTCTCCGAATATACTTTATAGATATTCTCAGAAATTAACAAACAAATCAATATCCAAATTATTGCTTGCACATATATACTCATTAGTAGTTAGAAGGGTCGTGCTTTATTAGTGTAATGACGTTGGCTTATGGCATCTAATTTTCTGAAAATATCAAAGAGCATAATTTTGTTAGTGTCATTTAATTAAACTAAAACAATAGAATTGTAGAGATATGGAGTTATACGTTGAAAGATTTGTGGTAACTAGAATAAGCAAAACATGAGTACACAATAGAAACATTGGTAAAACAAGGTTTCTAATGGTTAAGTAAGTATAAGAAACATACTCCGTACTAAACAATTTGTAATTGTTGAAGAATTATGGAAAAGTAATTAGAGAATTGGTTATGCCACATGGAAAATTAAGCGACCTCGCTATTTTGTGTTTGCTAGTATACCTAATTTGACGATATGATCCACTGAAAGAGAAATAGTTAAAAAGGTTGGTTTGGTTGACTACTTTGTTGAAATACATATATGTCTTGAACTAATATTTTATTTGTTGAGTTTATATTATTCTATTTTTTGTTATATGAGGATGATTTTTATTATGATAAACATTATTGTTTCACGAACTAGGGCATTTTTTCGTTGGCTTGACAAAAACGTTAGCATTTGGCACAACTCTGATAGTTAGCATATGAATTCTGATCCAAAACGAATTTGTTTATTAATGTATTTTTAAGTCCAAAACGAATATTTTAAGTGGACATGTCAGGGTTGCCAAAAAAAACAAAATTGGTTCGATGGAGAAAGAAGGCACTATACAATAATTGATTTAGAAGGGAAAAGAAATCAGATGAAAAGGCTAAGCGAATGATAATTTGATTATTCATATTCTTTTTGAGTCTCTTTTTCCTTATCTTTATATGAAAGAATATGAGGTTGAGCGGAGGAGAAGTAGTCTCTAAGCATGTTCGGTCCACCTTTTCTTTCCGTTTTGGAATTTCTGGTACTATAATCAAAACCAATGGAATATAAATCATAGTAGGGTCGTGATCTAAGCACGGCTCATGTAAATTTCTCTATCTTTCCACTATGAACCACTCTTATTCATTTCATCGCTTTCACCCACTGGAATCATGCAGACTAACTACTTTTGGGTCATAGTCATAGACTCGTACGTTGAACTCTTTGGTCCGACGGATCTCAACAATGCCAACTCTTTTTTATGTGAAGTTTCCCGATCAATAAATTTACAAATGGAAAAATATGGTTTCAACGCTAGCATTTTAAACAACAAAATAATCAGCACGATTTATATAAACTGAACATTGATATAAGGCTATCTAATTTTTTTAAGTTAGAGTTGGAAACGTTGTAAAACTTATATAATCAACTCGTTGTATTAATTGAGCTAGATGATTTGACTCATACTATGTTTTTAAAATAGTATAAGTACAATCGTTCAATTGTTTTAAAATAAACCATATATTAGCAACTATGCATATAAGAGCATCCCCAGCGGTGATATTTAGCATGGTCTCTATACATTAAAAAATTAAAAACAAATGAAAAAGGAGGAAAGAGAATGTCAGAGAGTGTGATACGTCTCTATGCAATGAGACCGTATCAACAAAAATAAGAAACTATGGTAAGAGGTGTCACTATATTAGTGGTTGGCTTCTTTTATTATTTTAAGTTTAATTATTTTTAAAAAATTATATTGATTTAATATTTAAGAGAGACTGAGACTACGGTATAACCGATGGACATGCTCTAATATCAGTTCAGAAGTCAACCTAAGAAACTCATGTAAATAAGTTTTAAAATAATAATAAAGAAAAATACATTAATAGTGTTCTGAACCTAACCGATTAAAACATATTTCCATCAACAGTGTCTTTTATAACTTTATTTGTGAAATATATTCGTTTTTTTCTTGGTAAAAGATTTGCAAAGGTAGTAGCTAACATATATAGTACCCATATTGATCATTTACATTCGATCACTACATTACTCGTCGTTAACCAATCCTAAATTTCTTACAAACGCATCTTATTCAATAATGCTTAGTTTATTGATAAGAGTTCTAACCAACTAAGTTTATACATGTATAATAATTGTTCTGTCAGCACATAATAATCGTAACTGCTTACAGATATTCATGCATGTATGATTAGAATTCATGTTAGTATATTGCAAACATTTGACCGATTAAATACTTTACCATTGTTTGGGCGGCCCTCGACAGATTAAACATTGCTTATTTGTAGTTTATCACTAAGAGTAAAACTTGTAGTTGATTATATGCCCCCGAACAATTTCAAAGGTTCGGTTTCTTATATGATAAAAAGGCAATATGTCTTTCTTGGTCGGCAGATTACCAAATTACCTTTCTTGTAAAGAAAAAAAAAACAGAAATGACATACACCAAAATGTATTGTAGTGCGATCATGATTACTTGATTAGGAATAAACAATAACAACCAGCAACAAAGATTTAGCAAATAACGATGAAATATATCACTACAAGTACGAGCTGTTATTAAATATTGGAGAAAACATGATGACTAATACAATCGAACCGATGGATGCATTTGATTGATGACACGACAACTACAAAACAAACAACATGTTAATCGATATCTGCATTGTTCGCTACCTCTTCGAGCCTGCGAGTGACAACCAAACATCACTACACGTAAAAAACATATCACTAAGTGTCTAAGTTAATAGGTGATAATTTGATAAACATGGTGCCATGTATATGATATACGCATATTTCGAATTTGGATATCCACAAATCTAATTTAAGAAATATAATTGAAAGGTCTATTTTTGTGTTATTATTGTTTCACCATTTGAATTTAAATCGCACAATGAATGTTACCGAACATAAAAAATAAGGGAAATAGAGCACAATGATTGCAAATTTGCAATGCGCATGGATGATTGGTACGCATACAAATCGAAACAGGTATGTTTTGTTCCAACAAAGAACAAATTATTTTACTTGTTACAACTTAAAACGAACAAAAAAAGAACAAATTAATCGTTATTGTTTTCAAAAAATTATAGAAAGAAAAAGGAAATTACTAGTTGACTACAGATTAAAAAAAAAACAATAAACTAGTAAGATAGTGTGTGGCTGGCCGTGAACCAACATGGAGAGCCAATAGCTCGTAGCCAGCAAAGCACTAGCGCGTAAGCAACACGCAGGTCAATGGCTAGTTAATGCACCGAGTAAGAACCTAGCCGTAAAACGGTCAATGTTCAAGTTTCGTACTCGCTAGCGCGGGGCCCACTCTTTTACGCCAAAATAACTCCAAAAGTCAACTGTGCCCCCAAAAAGGTCGCTCGTTTCTTTGACCTTTTCGCTATTTGGAGCCAGTGGCAGTTTCGTAAAATAACTTTGATCTAACCGCTTCGGTCTCCTTTCTCCAGTTTCCTTAACTTCTGTCATTATCTACTTATTTTTAAAAGGTTTTTCTTAATACTCTTCTCTCTTATAACTCTAAAGTTTAATTCAATTTAAAATATTAAAATACGAGGTTAATTACAAAAACTCAGATCTCTATTGTTTTTTTATTTCCTCCTCACTTCTGTGAAATTCTTTTCTCTTCTTTCGCTATTTCCTTGTCTATTTTTCTCTGATTTTTTCCATATGGTTTTAAGTTTCTTGGGAAAACTTACCTCTTTTTTCTAAATACTAGGTTTCCTTTCTGATTTATTCAGATTCAGTGAACGTGGACACGATTTGGGTTTTGCTGATTACTGTTTATAACTTTGAAAAGAACAGTGAACAATCTGGTGTTTCAAATCTCAAAAAAGGGATGGTTGTAGCTGTATCTCTCGTGTACTTTCCCCTTAATTCTTAATTATTTCTTTCTTTCTTTTTCGACTTTTCGCAAAAAGACATCACGTGAAAGATCTTTGGAGGAAAAGGCTAAAAAATCGAGATCGAATTCTTCTTCTTCTTTTCCAGGTAAGTGGTGGTTTTCACCTTCCAACTATCAATGGTTATGCATCTAGTTTACTTTACCCCACTAATTATGTGATCATTTTTAGATTTATTTTTTAAATTTGCCCATTCTGTGAAATACACGTGCGTTTAAGTTTAATCGTACCTGTTTTTCTTCCTGTGTAATAGCCGACTAATCACCCAATATTATAATTGAATTTGACTATATACAAATAATGCATAGAACTAGGATTATAATTTATAAAACGTATGTCATGGTGCAGGAGTTTACGATTAAAGCGTCTCTTCGGACTTCGATGATATATTTTGATTAAATCGCTATCAATCATGCATACTTGTAGGCGTCCTAAAGTCAAAAACATGTTGTGTTCACTTTGGCTCTAAGCTTCCAACTTGTAACACAATTTTGGTTAGTTATAACTTATAAGAGAAACATTAAGTCAGTTCTTTAAAACTTTTCATCTTTAGTGATTGAAATTGGCCTAGTGTTTCAATTTACTTTGTTTTGCATCTAAACTGACAAAAACGATCCAACCACCACTGCCCATCACCTACCTTTCCCAAAAGTTTGAGTCCAAAACTGACGTTTTAATTGGTTTTCAAGTAGTTAATATTTAATGCATAGGTTTTTTCTCTAGAAACTGACGGAATTGAGAATTGACATAACAGCTATACGTAGACTATTGAGTTGGGACAAGATGTTGAGTTCACATTTAGAGCCAAAATCTAACATTTAGGTTTGTGTTATACTCCAGATGTTCCATTAAATAAAATGAAACAAAATTAAAATCCTAAACCATCTTACATTACAGAACACAGAAAGTAGTTTTTTAGGTCTCCTTTCGAAATTTATGTTCAGTTAGGTTTGTTTATTTAGGTTTTTTAGGTCTTGTTTCTAATATTTCTGTTCAAGCTAACGATGAGAAAATCCAGAAATCATATGATAAAGTGTATTTTCGAATAATGCGGTACCTAATTATCACTCCATCTAGAATTATTCTAAAATAGAAAACCGAAATGAAAAAAATAACGTTATCTTTCCGTCATTTATTAAGGGATAAATGTTTATTAATCAAAAAATTTAAAGATAATTATCGTATTTACCGTTTTTGTTTATAAAATATCCTACAGTCTGCCACGTTGGTCAACGATCTCTCCTTATGGCAGAAAATAAACGAGATGACATAGCTGAGATCGTTTGCAGTTTTGCACACAAAATTTGCCACAAAACCATTGACTTAAATTCTTCCAATTTAATATCGATCGACTCAAATAAAAAAAATTTGCAATCTATTGTAGACTTTTCATCTTTCGTCATGCACTTGGTCTTCTTAGCAATCCAGATTCATTAGTTTAAACGATGCCACTCTCTATAATTAAATAAAAACAAACTCCTAGAATCTTCATTATAAATAAGCTGCATCAATGTTGCTCCATAATCACAGTTAAGTCACCTTCAAACCAAAATAAGATCCACTTTATTCACTCTTCTAGCAACCTATCCTTCTCTTGGTTTGATTCCAACATAATCACAGTTAAGTCACCTTCAAACCAAAATAAGATCCACTTTATTCACTCTTCTAGCAACCTATCCTTCTCTTGGTTTGATTCCAATCCTCTATTCAAACAGTTTTGTAAATCAATCCCAAAACTAAATTAACCTAACTATTCTCTTATTCTGTTTGCAGATAGATAGCTATGTCGGCTAAAGCTCATCCAGTGGACGGCGATGAGAATCCGGCGAGGGAAGGTGGAGAGCTTCCGATCAAATCGTCGCCCCATCGGCATAAAGTAGGGATCCCACCGAAGCAAAACATGTTCAGTGATTTCATGTACACGTTCAAAGAAACGTTCTTCCACGATGATCCTCTTCGACATTTTAAGGACCAGTCCAAGTCCAAGAAGTTCGTGCTCGGGGTCCAGTCGGTCTTCCCGGTCTTTGATTGGGGACGAAACTATAATTTCAAGAAGTTTCGTGGTGATCTCATCGCCGGTTTAACCATTGCCAGTCTCTGCATTCCTCAGGTGAAAAAACTAAAACCTAATCTCAATCACACTATTTCTTGCATCACAAGTTTCCATCCTTGCTTTGTTTCTTAAGTATATATACTCTATGATGATTCCAGGATATTGGATATGCTAAGCTGGCGAATCTGGACCCTAAATATGGTTTATGTAAGTTTGATTTGGAGTTATGATTACGTCTGACCTAATTTGAAAACAGGGGATAAATCATAAAATTGAATATGTTTCATTTTGATTTTTTGTAGATTCGAGTTTTGTTCCTCCGTTGGTGTATGCTTGTATGGGAAGTTCTAGAGACATAGCAATCGGACCTGTGGCTGTGGTTTCTCTACTGCTAGGCACTCTTCTCCGAGCTGAGGTCGATCCAAACACAAATCCTGATGAATATCTCCGACTTGCCTTCACCGCCACGTTTTTCGCCGGTGTCACTGAAGCAGCCCTCGGATTCTTCAGGTACATTTGATCTCCTAATTCATATAAAAATGATTTCTTCCTTTTTTTCTGATGATCAGAAAGTTCTCATTATGTTTCCGTACTAACTCTCAGATTAGGGTTCTTGATCGATTTCCTCTCCCACGCTGCTGTGGTTGGATTCATGGGCGGCGCAGCAATCACCATAGCTCTTCAGCAGCTTAAAGGCTTCCTCGGGATCAAGAAATTCACCAAGAAAACTGATATCATTGCTGTTCTTGATTCCGTCTTCAGCTCAGCTCATCACGGCGTAAGAATCTTGCTTTTGCTTTCTACAAGATCGATCCATTTCTTGATTCCTCTCCATTGTGTACAAATATATTTACACTAATTCGTATCAACTTGGCTCTGCAGTGGAATTGGCAGACTATTCTCATCGCTGCTTCCTTCTTGACCTTCCTTCTCACCGCTAAGTTAATTGTAAGAACTCAAACATAAACAGTTTACTTATTTTTTATCTGTTTATGATCTGATTCTCATCTCTCTTGGCTTGATGATGGAACAGGGGAAGAAGAGCAAGAAACTGTTCTGGATTCCAGCGATTGCGCCATTACTATCAGTTATCATCTCCACTTTCTTTGTCTTCATAACCAGAGCGGACAAACAAGGAGTCCAAATCGTAAGACCTAAACCTACTCTAGTTAACTTGCGCCACAAGGAACATTGCTCTAATCTCTCTCTTTTTTTGGTGATTGAAGGTGAAACATCTTGACAAAGGAATCAACCCTTCATCTTTTGATCAAATCTACTTCTCCGGCCCTTTTCTTGCTAAGGGCGTTCGCATCGGTGTAGTCGCCGGTATGGTCGCCTTAACGGAAGCTGTAGCGATTGGAAGAACGTTTGCTGCAATGAAAGACTACCAAATCGACGGCAACAAAGAGATGGTTGCGTTAGGTGTAATGAACGTCGTTGGATCCATGTCTTCTTGCTACGTAGCCACCGGATCTTTCTCAAGATCGGCTGTAAACTTCATGGCCGGATGTCAAACGGCGGTTTCCAACATCATTATGTCAATCGTCGTTCTCTTGACGTTGCTTTTCCTCACTCCTCTCTTTAAGTACACACCAAACGCCATCCTCGCAGCGATCATCATCAACGCTGTGATTCCTTTGATCGATATCCAAGCTGCTGTTTTGATCTTCAAGGTCGATAAGCTTGATTTCATCGCTTGTATGGGAGCTTTCTTTGGCGTCATCTTTGTCTCCGTTGAGATTGGACTTCTCATTGCCGTACGTCTCAAGAAATTCAAAACCCTATAGATATGCAATTATGATGATTCTAAGATCTAACTAACTCCGTTCATATTTTTTGTTTGTGGACAGGTCTCTATATCGTTTGCTAAGATTCTTTTGCAAGTAACAAGACCTAGAACTGCTGTTCTTGGAAACATTCCAAGAACTTCGGTTTACCGGAATATTCAACAGTATCCTGAAGCCACTATGGTTCCAGGGGTTCTTACGATTCGTGTTGACTCAGCGATTTACTTCTCCAACTCAAATTACGTCAGAGAAAGGTAAAACCCCAAGCAGCAGTTTAACCTTAAAACCAAGATCTGTTACTTGGTTCACAAGAAATCTAATTCGAAAACCCTTAAATGTGCAGGATCCAGAGATGGTTACTAGAAGAAGAAGAGAAAGTGAAAGCAGCAAGCCTACCAAGGATCCAGTTTCTCATCATCGAAATGTCACGTATGTTAAACCTTACTCTTAATCAAACTTCTTAATAAACAAAGATTATTAACCGACACCGTTATTTTTCAGCTGTTACGGACATTGATACAAGTGGTATCCACGCTTTAGAAGACTTATACAAGTCTCTCCAGAAAAGAGACATTCAGGTAAAACATATAACCAATAAATTCAATGAAATTTCTATCTTAACCAGTCAAAGTGTTTTAGTTGAAGAAGATTTACCTTTTTTTTTTTTTTTTTGAGAGTGATTAAATGTGACTCTGTTTTTGTGGTGTATAAACAGCTGATTCTAGCGAACCCTGGACCGTTGGTGATAGGGAAGCTACACTTGTCGCACTTTGCGGACATGTTAGGAAACGACAATATCTATCTGACGGTGGCTGACGCCGTAGAGGCTTGCTGTTCAAAACTCTCCGATGAGGTCTGAGATTACAAGAAGGAAGAAAGATGAAGATAATGATGAAGAAAGTAGATGCTCTAAGTGTTGTACAGCAGAGTTAACACAAAGTAAAGTGACTTTTGCCTTCAAATTGTAGATTTGGATTTGGACCCAAATTTCTTTATGTTACAAAGAGAGGTCAAGTGTAAAGTTGACCTCTGGGTCCCATCTTTAGCATCTTGTTGTTCTACTTTTTGTAATAAAAGTACAGGTTTATCCAATCTCAAATCGTAATTCACTAATCAGACCAGTTTTAAAACCAAAATACATTAACAACAAGCTTGATTAAATAACAAGTTGGATTTTTTTAATGCACTTATATTAGTGTATTAGGTGATTCTTCTATCCAAATGCTAACGAATCAAATTTAATCCAATAAGTCAAATTAGATCGGTTGGCGAATAAATTTGGATCACGACATATATATGAACATGGGCAAGAAACATAGCCAGATTCATTAAAGAGCCGTAAAAAGTAAAACGCTGCGTTTATACAAGTCTTTTACTTATTGGGCTTTATTATTATAGGACAAAAGCCCAAACTAGATTTAAAACGCTGCGTTTTGGTCTTATCCGCTCGGTATTCGGTCTTTGCCGCTGGCGGCTTTATCCGTAAAACGTCAAATGGTTCTTCTCCACTCCTTCCGCTCCGTCGGCTTTCATCTTCTCCGACAAGCCACTCCTATCATAAATCGAGGCGGAAGAATCTCGAGACCCGTCTCTAAGAATCTCCTCTGTCTTCTATTCTCTTCCTCTCCAAAAACCCATCTTCTTAAACCCTGCGCTGCTTCGTCAGGTTTTAAGAGGCATTGAAATCGATTCCGAAGTGTTTCTAGTTTAATCTTAAACTCTTAATTCTAATTCTGATTGTTGCAGAGAGGAGTTCGTTTCTGTTTAAGGGAGATGAGCGTGTAGTGGGTCTTCTAAGCAATGTAGATGACGACGACGCATTCGATAACGTCGATCGGTTTCAGAGCTCAAGCACGATTGCTGCGATCGTGACACCGATCGGTGGCCCACCTGGCGCGGTGGGGATCGTCCGATTGTCGGGTCCTAATGCTGTGGAAGTTGCACAACAAGTCTTTCGTTCTGCTAAGACAAGGAGGAAGAATTCGGATTCATGGCGGCCAAGGAGTCATTTCGTGGAGTATGGAGTCGTCGTTGATTCAAATGGCAATGTTGTTGACGAGGTAGAGTTTGCAAAGTTCTCTAATTTCACCCAATTTCGATTCCATTAATTGAAAAAGCTTCAGACTTTATTTGCCATTTCTACTGTTGTGAACATTTGATTAGATGGATTAGTGTGTGATCGTTGAAGTTTGTGACTGCTTGTTAGGTTTTAGCTGTGCCGATGTTGGCTCCTAGGTCATACACTCGAGAGGATGTAGTTGAGCTCCAGTGTCACGGGAGCGAAGTTTGTCTGCGGCGTGTTTTGAGGACATGTGTTGATGCTGGTGCAAGATTAGCAGAACCAGGTCAGAGACTCTACATTTTTGTGTAGACTTGATTGGTTAAGCTTTTAGCTAAAGTTTGCTGCTCAATTTCAGGAGAGTTCACACTTCGTGCGTTTCTAAACGGGCGTTTAGACCTTTCGCAAGCTGAAAATGTGGAAAAGCTTATCTCGGCCAAGTCCTCTGCTGCTGCAGATGCTGCTTTACAAGGAATTCAGGTATATAGATTTCACTTCATTAATGAAGTTCGTTCTATGCTCATTGTTAATAATAACTATCAGTCTTCTTCTTAGGGAGGTTTTTCATCATTGGTGAAATCATTGAGAGCGCAATGCATTGAGCTCCTCACTGAAATCGAAGCTCGTCTAGACTTTGAAGACGAGATGCAACCATTAGATATAAACTCAGTCGTTAGCAAAATAAACAACATGTCTAGAGATGTAGAAAGTGCGTTAGATACAGCGAACTATGACAAGCTTCTTCAAACCGGGTTACAGGTAAAAACAAAATTTCAAGCTTCTTCTTCTTGTTCATGAGTTTACATTTGTGTTTTCTTACTTGAAAACGTTGCAGGTAGCTATTGTTGGGCGTCCAAATGTTGGGAAATCAAGTCTTTTAAATGCTTGGAGCAAAGTAATGGAACATTTTTCAGATCCTTTTAAAGTTGTTTAAGTATTCAGATAGAGTCACATATATCCACCGGTGCTTTTACTTTTTAGCGTGCAGAGTGAGAGAGCCATTGTTACAGAAGTAGCTGGGACTACTAGAGACGTTGTTGAAGCTAATGTTACAGTCCGTGGCGTGCCTGTCACTCTTCTTGACACTGCTGGTATCAGAGAAACCAGTGACATTGTCGAAAAAATAGGTCAGTTATTGTTTTACAATTTACAGTCTAGTGATTGAAGAAAGCTTGAGAGAGAGTTTGAAAAAAAAAAACTTTGCAGGAGTTGAGAGATCAGAAACAGCTGCTAGAGTTGCAGATGTTGTAATCATGGCGGTGAGTGCTGTTGAAGGCTGGACAGAAGAAGACACTGAGCTTCTACATAAGATCCAATCTGATAAGGTACTTCATTATTATTATTATGCAATTACTTCTTGTTCTTGTTCTTTCAATGTTCTGATTCTGGTAAAACTGAAAACAGCCTATGATTCTGGTGATGAACAAAATCGATTGTGCTTCTCGTGATCAAGTCGAAGATACGAAGAGAAAGAGAGGAGAAGTTTTCCATAAGTCTGTGTTTACATCTGCTGTTACTGGTCAAGGAATCGAAGAGCTTGAAGAGGCAATATTGGAGATTCTTGGTCTTGATCGTGTCCCCACCGGAGGACATCAATGGACTGTGAATCAGGTTTGTTTGTCTGTCTGTCCTCAGTTTTATCGTTAATTCTGTTTCTGCCCCATAACTTTTGAATGTTACATTTGACCCCCTATCAGAGACAATGCGAGCAGTTGGTGAGGACGAAAGAGGCGCTAATGAGGCTGAGGGAAGCAATCGGAGATGAGATTCCGATTGATTTCTGGACGATCGAGCTTAGAGAAGCTGCTTTGGCTCTTGCTCAGATCAGTGGCCAAGATGTCTCTGAAGAGGTTTTGTCTTCCATTTTTGCCAAGTTTTGTATCGGTAAATAATATCATTACCACTTAATTAAACAATTAAACTATAGTCCCTATAATTGTTATCGTTAGTTAAGTAACAAACATAGTCGAAGAAAATAATAATAATGAAAGCGAATAAATGGAAAAGAAATGACCCGACCAAAAAATAATGAAGAGTGTGGACCAGATGTTTGAAGCCCACTAGGGAAAGAGAAGATGGCCCACTTTCCAATTTCTGAAAATTGATATTTGGAGTTGGGACCAATTGTGTTTTGGTTACTGTAGTAGAATATATATATAACCTTTTTTGTTGTTATTGATCCAGAAAACGAACGAATCAGCATTCAGCAGTCGTGAAAAAATAAATTCAAAATTAACGCCTCTTCACTTTTTTGACTCACTAGTGTCCACTTGTCCTCTCAATCATACCAAATCCTCTATTAGCACCAAATTCCACGTCAGTTTCAAGCTTTCCCTTCATTGTCCTTCATCGTTTTTAAAAAATAATCTAAATATACAGAAATTTACATCGATTAGTCGAATATATAACTTAAATGATGTGTAAAACTTATACGTAGGATCACATGTACAACAGTACAAAGTAAACCTAGGCATATATACGTAGGATCATTGATACATCACTATTCAGAAGTAGCCACATATTGCATATCGTTAAAAAACAACTTATATTACCATGTTTTTAGTATATTTTGTCGTCTTAAATTGTGCTGCTATGTGTATTTTTTTAATAAAAAAGTTCTTTTTAAACCTCTCACTATGATCTAGCAAGAAAAGAAACATTTATACTAATTCTCTAATTTCTCAAAATAACCGTATAAAAATCAAATCCCTTTGAGGCCTATACGAGGTCAAGACCTTCCATTTTGGTACACAATGTGCCACTCTGTTTCATCGCTAATTTTTCTGTGTAAAGAGGTCACAACACCAATCAGCATCAGCTTTCAATGTGATTTTCGAGCTGAGATTTTTTTTAAATCAAAATAAAAAGAGACAAGAGCTTCAGAGACAAAATACACTCTAATTTTTTTGGCATTAAATCGTCATAAATTAAACTTAAGGTAAATGGTCATAAATGAAACTTAAGGTAAATGTTGAAATTTGGTGAGAAATACGAGACATCATGTGAAGTGGAGAAACGAGAGAAGGCTCTATAAAATTGCAAAGGCCAAATTGAATTAAACAGTGTTGTCAACTAGGTGGTCCAATTTTTTTATAGCCCAGACGTTTGGAATCAAATAACAAACATTTCTCTTTCAATATTCTCAGCATTTCAGCATTTTTCCCCTGTATATTTTTTTAATATTATAACGTTATTATAAATTGAAATGAGTTTTCTGATAATAATTATACGTAGTTTTCTTTTGGTTTTATTTTAGGGGGAAGAAAAGGACCTGGTGAAATTGACAATTAATTCTTGGGGCGACTCTCGTTGATGTGGAAAGTTAATTATTGTTAAACTTAGTGGGTCCATTGGGCCAAAATGGGCCCTTACTCGAATGATTGTGGAAATTTTAGCTGTACTGTAAGATATTGAAAAAAAAATACTGTAACTTTAGCCTTTAGGAAATAAATTTATTATTATTATCGTTGTTTATTCGATGTAATCCTCGTATAATAAAAAACAGTAATTTTCCTAGACTTTGCTTTTCTCATTTCATATCGAATTTTTCAATTTTTGATTCCTTCAAAAATCAAAGGGAGAAAAATAACAACATAGAAGTTTATTTACTACACAACATAATTGTTACACAGCACACAGTACAAAACAGAATTAAATGCATAATGTTAAGAATCCTGACGTGGCACTGTCGTGACGCGAACATTATTAAGATCAATGAAAATCAACGGTCTAGATTCAGTCCTCAGTTTATGGTTCTTCTTTATCTTCCCTGTCTCTTCTTCTTCTTTCACTCCCTCCTCTCTCTCTCTCTCTCTCTCGATTTGCTCTGTTCAGAGCCCAGAAAACAGAAACAGAAACAGAACACAAACACACACATACTAATACGATGTTGCTTGGAAAGAGACAACGACCGCCGATTAACAGAACAACAAGTCTATCTGAGATAAAGTTCGATCTGAACCTTCCCTGCGAATCAGAGCCATCATCAGCTCCGCAGAATCCACGCCAAATTCCAGTTACTGGACCGTACGGTACCAACGGTCAAACCATAGCAGCCGTAGATCAACACCGTGCGTTATTAGATCAACGGCTCTTATCTATGGTCTCGCCGCGAGGTAACCTGAGGAGACACTCCGGCGATTTCTCCGACGCCGGACATTTCTTAAGATCTTGCTCCCTCTGTGAACGCCTTCTTGTTCCCGGCCGCGACATCTATATGTATAGGTAAATATATAATTATATATAAATCAATTTTGATCATAGTGCTTAATTTTGATACTTTAATAATTTGTTGATAAAAGTTTGGATATTAATTAAGTGATTAGTGATAATATTTTTGTGTGATTAATAATGGCAGGGGAGATACGGCGTTTTGTAGCTCAGAGTGCAGGCAGCAACAAATGGCAACAGACGAGAGGAAAGAGAAAGGTAAACCGGCGAAGGAGTCGGTGGTTGCGGCGGCCACCGGGAAAGCCGGTAAAGGAGGGAGAGCTGCGGCCGCCGTGTAATCCTCCATTTTCATATAATGCATATACATAGCTATATATTATATGTGTGTGGCTTGTTATGTGTTTGTATATGATATTATGATTGGGTAATACATATATAAAAGCATTGAGCGTTAATTAACCGTACGTGTTAATTAATGGGCACCCTCATGTTGTGTTTCTTGGTGGGATTAGATGTTTTTTTTTCTGAGGGTGTTTAAATTTTACAAGTTTTCGATCTATTGGAAAGAATCAAATCAAATGTATGTAAGACTTGCGTTTGTTTTCTTAAGTACGTAATGGGAAAATTTAAGCTTACGAATTTACAGTGGACTTATGTGGGTGTTATTTAGGATCAACTTATGCTAGAATCTGGATATTATCGGAGATAACGAAGAATATATATATAAACAAAAAGAAAAAGTTAGAGTAGAGAAGTAGTGTTATTTGATCATATATTTATGTATGTACTGTATGAAAGTTAAAGCAAGTGTACATTTTGTTTAGACATAAAACCTGGAATCAATAACGTTTATTCTATTGGAGAATTAGTTCCCAATTTTCAATTTAGGTCAACCAAAGTTGATGTACAAGTTTGTACTGTGAGTAAGCTTTATGTACTTTTTTTATATACATGTATAGGAATCTATACATACGGTATTTGTCTTTCTGACTTTGTGTAAGTAGACAAGGTTAACTAAATAAGACGTTGCTTGAGTCAGGAATCTACTGCCTAATCAGCATGGGTCCCAGTATCCACCTATTGGAAAATTTAATAGATTCTCTCTTTTTTTCTTGTCTTTAAAGTTCGTTACAATTTTGACAGTTTCCTAATGACATTTTTTAGTGTGTTTCCCATTTGTTCCAAAGCTTTTGCACTATACAATTTTTTTGGAGTCTAGTTCGTTATTTTCTTTTGAACGAGATGATTAACGACCTTTTTATAGTTTGTTGTATGCATACTCGATAACCATCAATTAATAACAACATATAAGTACTTGAGGAAGCCTTATACAATAATACATGCGCAGCGATAATACATTTTCAAGACAATTCTCTATTGCCGCCTTCCATAGATTTTAGTTAGCCTGAGAAAATTCTTCATAGTATTTTAATGGAGTAAAAACATAAATTGTACGTATCAACACAAAGTGATATATATATATATATATATATTTATCACACATATAGATTGCTTTGTGAATAAATCTTGTAGTAGCAAGTTGATATTAAACATTTTAACGTATTGAGTGAGTAATAGTATAGTACAACTTGGCCAAATTGGCATGTGTCCGCATCAAATTTGGCCAACTATCGGAATTCCAACGTCTCTTTGATCTCCTCTTAATTATTGTTTTACGAAACAAAAGCTGTATACTTATGTTTTTTAATTAAAAAGCTAAATTAAAAGCAGTTCCGAGACATAAAATATAAAGATCGTTGGCATCTTTCTCGACCAAAGAAGATGGTAAGAAACCGAGAGCAACTTCATGCTTTCTACTTATTTCTTTATTGAAAACGAACTGATGAATGACCTAGCTAATAAATTTGTACATGCTTCCATTGCGAATTAGATAGTTACTGTGAGGCACGAATTACATAAACCAGATTTATTTTTAAGTAAAAACTTATAATCAAAAGCACAAGAAATCTGCACTATATACGAATCCATTGAAATTATCCACTGGATCCACGAAGACAGGTTTCTCAATGGAATTTTTAGGTTTTGTTTCCTAGTTTGAGCTTTCAGTAGAGAGATTGATGCACGGTTTTCGGCAACTGATTATGTGTTTATAAAGAGAAGTATGACCTAAAAACTCAAATTTTATTGACTAACAAATAAAATAATAGAGTATCTGAGTATGTACCGTATAGTATGTGTTAATTGGTGGTATTTGTTTTTTTGGAGGGGACAAGAAATGAGAAGTTGTCTCGTTACTCTTTGGTTCTACTTCTAATTTTCTATATTCAAAAACTGAGTCTCAGTGTGGGGATAAGCATAATAGGAGTACACGTGCAAATATGCCATTCCATTAACTTCCTTTTGTATAATCCAGTTGTACAATAAATGTTAATTGATTCTTCTTACTTCGACTCCAATATACTAGGGTTTAAGTACACTTGAGAAAGGCTAAATAAGTTTTTTTTAAATCACATTAGTGCTTAATCACATCTTAGCACCGCCGTAATCTTCTTTCCGTTTGTATTAAGCTAACACTCTAAAAATCACACATACGCAAAGTCTTTCACCTTTATGTCAAACTTTTCTTTAATTATTGTTTGATCTTTCATTATTTAATCAGATATAAGTGGTGTTGGCCCATTTTATATAATACGGATCGTGTTGTTCCATCCAAAATAAGCAACAACAAGTGGGAACAGCTCAGCCTCATGTCAAGGTCCGAGTCATGTAGCTAATTTAGTTGTTCGTTTCATTCTTAATTTGGACTTTAACAAAAATATCACGTAATTGTATTACGAGTATACCATAAAACAAAATATACTCCATATTGGTATCTCAATTATTTTGATTCTTGATCTGATTTTAGATATTATACCTTCATGCCTCGCCCCCACTTGCTTAGGCATAAAGTCCCTCTCTTTTTTGTATAATATTTCAATAGGAACTCTAGAGTTCGTTTTATAACCATACAAAGTACTAGAATAGTTAGAATATGTATAGGAGCCGTGTAATTAGTTTGTTTGTTTAGATGATAATGCAACTTGATAGGAGTGGTCGAATGGGATGATTTAAGATTTGCTTTCACAATCGAATAACAAAAAGGTATTTGGACGGTGCGAGTTAACCATTCGATCAGTTCTATAAACTATTGATATTCCTTAAATCGTATTTAAACTTACAATTATGATGCTTTTTAAGGTTTTGGCACCCTAATTTTTTGTCCATTTCTCGACTCACCCAAACATACTTCAAACTGTAGAGACGATTTTAACTATCTAGTCATCAAACAGAAGAATCATGTTACATGACCATAACCATTGGTTAATTAAAAAAGTGGTGCAAGTTGTTTATTTTTTTTAAACGCAACGGGGATGAATGATCAATTTATGGTTCAACGGAAAGGGTTTGGTTTGGTACGAGAAAATAATTGATGTTTGCCACTACATGTACATTACATGAATATATATAGTCATCAATATCATCATCATGTGACTGAATAAACTATATGCTCAAACTTCTCAATTATGGTGTTCATAATTTAACACTATATTTTTTTTTTGTCGTTGTTAAAAGGGCCTTACCATTATAATATCGCAGTATGCCCTCTTTTTCCTTTCCCCTATTTTCAAAGCATCATTCATATTTTGTAACTTTCTCTGCTGAAAAGGGTATAGTTTAACATTTGCACGAATAGTTTTGTTTATACATGGAAAAATAATTTTGATCTACCTCAGATCAAGGAACACTATACACACCTGCGGATTGCTTATAAAAAAAAATATATCCTAGAAATATCTAAAATTTAGGAAAACAGAGAATTTTGATTTTGAATACAAAGTAAGAGACTACACATTTCTCTGACTGTGATGAGCTTAATATGATTTGTTTTGTTTACGTCTACGTTTTGTATTTGCGTTTCAATGTTTCTACTTTCTACTAAACTCATAAATAAAAATACAAACGCAAACAAAAATTGAAACTTATGGATGAAAAACCATTGTTAGAGCTGAATAATTAAGTTGTATGGGCCGAAGAGTAATAACTAAGATCTGAGAGTGGAACTAATGGGCCAAAAATAGATCCAAGGAAGCATTTTGGCGTTTCGCCGTTTCCATTTTTTCTTTTAAATTTAAAAGAAAAAAACATTTTAATTTGGATGCTTCCCTCTTTCCATGTGAGCACCGACAGAGAGAGTTAACCACACTGCCACTAGTATACAGCTGCAATCACGCAAACGCACCGCCTTTTTTCTTACAAAGAGTGTCTGGGGCCCACTCGTTTTCTTCCAACCATATACTGCCACGTTAACATATTCAAGTAACGAATTGACGAATACACCCCTATTCCCATACTAATTTTACGATAACAAGCACCGATCTCTTCATTTTGCTCACGCGCTTTCATCTTCCTCCTAGATTCGCTCCTCCACTGTCTCTTAATTAAATTTCACTAACTCTGTTTCCTCCTTCCTCACTTCTTCAAACCAATCACAATCTCTCTCTCTCTAGCTCTCAATCTCTCTTCGAAAAAAAATGGCGAAATTGGTGATACTGATGGTTCTCTGCATCTTGCCGGCGATCGCCATAGCCGCAAGAAGGCCGATGATCGGGAAGAACACGATGGTGGTCAAAGGTAGCACCTACTGTGACATTTGCAAATTCGGCTTCGAAACCGCTGAATCCTCCTACTTCATCCCCGGTACGCTCCTCTTCCACACTCTCTCTCTCCAAATCCTTAGTCTCTGCTTCCGAGATCTGCAAGTTCTCCTGAGAAAATTTTCGATCTTATGCTCTCGATTCTGATGGATTAGTTTTATAGATCTGAGCGCTTCACTTACTTCACCGCTGAATCTCGATTCTAGTTGATTAGTTTGTTAGATCTGAGAATCTCTCTTATTGATTGATCTGCTTAGGCTCTAGATCTGGCTTTAGATTGACATCACTGAAAATTTGGCTACATAGCTGATTGATTCTTGTAAACCGGACTGAGATTACAAAATGGTTTAATAGTAAACCAACATTCATCTAGTAAAGTCTGAAATCTGAGAAAATACAGATAAAAAAAACTTTCTTCGTTTTTTTCACATTCTTGATGTGTTGAGAAATGTTTGATTTTGGGTGTGATATTTTAGGTGCGACGGTGAAGCTGGTGTGCAAAGACAGGAAGACGATGGAAGAGACGTACACAGCCGAAACTAAATCAGACAGGAAAGGAAACTACAAGTTCGTGGTCCACGAGGACCACAAGGACGAGATGTGCGACGTGATGCTTGTGAAGAGCTCAGACAAGAGCTGCCCTAAGATCTCGCCTGGACGTGAGCAGTCTCGCGTGATCTTGAACCATTACAATGGCATTGCGTCGCAGGTCAGGCACGCGAACAACATGGGGTTCGAGAAAGAAGTCAGCGATGTGTTTTGCTCTGAGCTGATCAAGAAGTACCAGGTTGATGAAGATGAGGTTTAGATTAGAATTCTCTAATCTCTCTTGTGATGTTGTGGTTTTACGATTTGGTTTAATTGAGTTATAAGATTTATATTTGTATTTGTTTAAATATTTATTTGTTTTAGATGATGAATGACTCTGGTGATCGCAACCTTGTTTGTGTAAGCTTTTTCTTATATAAGTGTCACTTCCTTGCTTAGGAAGTGTTCTTTTATTGATTTCTTCATTCTTCTTTTCTTAATCGGAAGTTTCATTGAAGCCTTTACATATATGCTGGTCAAGCTTATGATTTTTATGGTCCAAAACATGCAAGATGAGTAGGAAAAAAGATTTGTGAATTTTGAGAAACTAGTCACAATAAAATATGTGAAATCTATTTTTATCTGGTTAACTGATAAAAAGTGTTTTTCAGTGTAATTATCTCTTACTTTGGCAAATAAATGGAAATATCATTTCCTCCCATATAGTTTGCTACATTCTCTATTGTTATGAAGAAAATTTTGAAGTGGACTTTGATGGGCCTGTTTATTCCACATTACATTAGAAAATGGGTCAAGAAACACACCACCATCCATTTTTCTTTTTTAATTTGGGAAAAAAGTTTAAGCAAAACTTTAAGACCACTTGAGATTTGGTATGTATTATAATCACACCATAGGTTGGTGGGAAACATTTTAGCAAATTTCTGTTCCACATTGACCAACCCCAAGTGTAGCTAAAATACATCACCAAACTCAACATTTCATCTAATATGAACTTAACAAAAAGATTCATACATAAAAGCACTAATGCAAACAAAGAAGTTAAACCAAAATACAAAGATTCAATTTTCCTTCCTTTAGTAAAGGAAATTTTGTATTTCCAAATCTTTACGCTATAAAATTATGTAAAAAGTACAAATAAATTATGGGAAACAAACAAAAAAAAAACAAAATCACGAGATGTGAAGAAAGGGGAGGCCAAAAAGGCAGAAACCAGAACAAGAAAATTGCCAAATGTCAAAAACCAGTCGCCGTCAAAAAAGTGTCTCTTAGTTCACAGAAAAAATGAAAGAGTCAAATAAACCCTAAATCAGTTAAAATCACGATCAAAATCGCACTCCCTAAATCAACAACAACCCTCTCGTCGTGTTGCTCCCCCCTTAATTAACTTGTCGTTTCTCTTCACGTAAAAGCCATAAAGCTTTCATTTTTTTCGCCCTGAGCTTTCACTTCATTACGTATGTATTGAGAAATCGACGTGTAGTCGACTAATCCCTTCTCCGACTCCTTCTCTCTTCTTCGAATACGACGTCTGCCCCCAAAAATTAAACAAAGACACAACCTTTCTCTTTGCCCCTTTCTTCTGTTCTATTGCTTCTCCATCCTCGGTTTCATCGTCATAAGCCATTAACAGGTCTGTCTCTCTATTGAGCTGCATTTGATTTCCAATTTGCGTTTTAGGGATTTCTCACACTCGAGTTTTGAAAGTTGAGATCTTTACTCAATCAATTTAGCTATTTTGTATTCTTTGATTACTGATTGTTGTTAGCTACGCATAGGAATCTCTGGAAATGGCTAGTGTTGTGTCTCACCAAGCGATCGGGTCTATTGTCTCTCATAGACAATCCAATTTCAAAGCTTCTCACTTTATAAAGGAGCAGCCTTTGAATGTGACCATGAAACTCAGACACAGAGGATTCAAAATCGAAGCAACAGCTTCTCAGATTCCGGTTCTTGACGACACTCTCCTGTCTCCGTCCAAGAACATCCCTCTCTCATACAAGAAGAAATCAAGTATGCTCCTTTCTTCTTCTTCCTTCTTCTTAGTCTCATGAGTGATGATTGATGAACAAAAACATTAAAAAATCAAGTTTTTTTTGGTTTGTGTTGCAGAGGAAGCATCTTTGATATTGATTAGGCATGGAGAGTCGTTATGGAACGAGAAGAATCTATTCACTGGCTGTGTTGATGTGCCGTTGACAGAGAAAGGTGTGGCGGAAGCTATTGAAGCTGGGAGGAGAATCAGCAACATTCCTGTAGATTTGATCTTCACTTCATCTCTCATCCGTGCTCAGATGACTGCAATGCTCGCTATGACTCAGCATCGCTGCAAGAAGGTTTACTAAAAGAACAAAGTTTATTGCTTTCTCTCTTCTTTTGTTGTTTTGCTTACTTTGTGTTGTGTTGGCTTTGATTCTCTCTAAGGTTCCGATCATCTTGCATGATGAGAGCGAAAAGGCGCAAACTTGGAGTCATGTTTTCAGCGAAGAGACTCGGAAACAATCCATCCCTGTTATAGCCGCTTGGCAGCTCAATGAGAGAATGTATAAACAACATCAACTCTTGCTTCTCTGTTTGTTTCTTTAGTTAAGAAAAATCTTAACTTTTTGTTGTGTGTCTTGAATTTTAGGTATGGAGAGTTACAGGGTTTGAACAAGGAAGAAACAGCGGAGAGATATGGAACGCAGCAAGTTCACGAGTGGCGTAGGAGTTATCACATTCCTCCTCCTAAAGGAGAGAGCTTGGAGATGTGTGCTGAGAGAGCTGTGGCTTATTTTGAAGACAATGTATGAAATGATTGAATGAATCAGATATTATGAGTCTCTTTTCATTTTTTCTTCTTACTTACTTAACATGATCTTTGCTTAATGCAGATTCAACCAGAGCTTGCATTTGGGAACAACGTAATGATTGCTGCTCATGGGAACTCGCTGCGGTCTATCATCATGTATCTTGACAAATTAACTTCTCAGGAGGTAACAAAAACAGATTTATTAGTCTTTTTTTTATCGGATTTGCTTCAAAATGTTGAATCTTTGGTTTCAGGTTACAAGCTTAGAGCTATCTACAGGTCTACCGTTGCTCTACATCTTCAAAGACAGAAAATTCATGAGACGAGGAAGTCCGGTTGGTCCTACAGAAGCCGGTGTCTATGCTTATACCAAGGTAAACCAAACCAAACAAAACTTAACCAAATCACCAATTGTTTTCTCTGGTTGCTAACATATAATACTTCTTGGTTTCAGAAATTGGCGCAATACAGAGAGAAGCTTGACGAGACCCAAACAGTTACAAACTAATGCATCCTGTTTTTTTTTTTTTTTTTTCTGTGTTTCACTCTCTGAGTTCATATGTAGTGAGCAAAGAATCAATCATCAAGAATTTTTTTTTTTAAATATGTATTAGATACTGTTTCAACTCAAAAAGCCAATTTATGACTTATTTATGTTTTCATAATTCAAACATTAACCGATAGAGGGAGCTCTGAATCTCCAACGGTTAAGAAGTATTTACCTTGTTCGACAACCATGACTCCAACTTCATTAGCTCTGCTCAAATTCTCACAAACACCAATCTCAAACTCAACCTCTGCTTCCTCTCCTTTGCTTAGCACAACGCTCTTAAACCCTACAAGCTGTTTCTCTGCACGTTTCCCTTCTTCTCCTCCTCTCTCATGCTTAGCAAACATCAACACCGGATGTTTCCCATCCATCTCTCCTTGATTCTCAACCACAACACTAACTTTAGTCTTAGCCAAATCGCAACCTCCTCTCCCCATTTCTGAAACTAAAGCGTATCTAACAGAGTCCGAGTTGGTTTCAGCTTTGGATTGGTTCAAATAGAGAGCTTGAGCAAGAGTCCTGAACTTGTAAGCGTAAGTTGTGTAGCTTAGACCATGACCAAACTCAAACACTTTACTTCCTTTGTAGAATCTATAAGTCCTTCCTGGATATCCACCTGATGACCTCATTCTCATATCCGTCATCTTCACATTCACAAAGCTCTGCGGATACCAAGTCACCGGTAATCTCCCTCCTAAACAAACAAACACACAAATTCAAGATTTTAACTGAAGCCTTTTAAGTTCTTGAAGAACAAGAACAAGAACAAGAACAAGAACAAGAACAAGAACAGAACAAGAACAAGAACAAGAACAAGAACAAGAACCAAGAACAGAACAAGAACAAGAACAAGATAGACTCACCTGGATTGTGATCTCCGAATATGATTTCAGCAAGAGCAATCCCTCCGGCTTCTCCGGGATAACCAGCCCAAATGATGCTTCCGATCTTATCGTCGTTCGTAGCGAATGAGACATCGACAGGACCGCCGCAGAGCAGAACAAGAACGACCGGATTCTTTGAAGCTTTGGCAACGCTTGTTATGAGCTCTCGTTGCTTCCCTGGAAGGCTGAGATCAACACGGTCCATATCTTCCTTCTCTTGAGTCTGGTCTAGTCCCATGACCAGCACCACGCGATCAGCGTTTCTCGCGACCGCAACCGCTTGTTCGACCGCAGCGTTAGAGCAAGCCACTGAGTCGACGCATCCTTTGTGGTAAACCGCGTTCTTGACGTAACCGCGGATCGCGTCAAGAGGCGTCACGGACTTGCATGGCGGGCCGGCGTAGTTTCCGAGAAGCGTTCTCGCGGCGTAAGCGTTTGGACCGATCACGGCCAGCGACGCGGTGCGTTTGGAGAGAGGGAGGAGTTTAAACGCGTTCTTCAAGAGGACGATGCCGTTGCGAGCTGCTTCGAGGGCTAGAGACTGGTGAGACGGAGAACAGACGTCGTTGGGGCTGATGTTTCCGTATGTCAGTTTGGTCGGATCGCCGTTAAAGAGACCGAGACGGATTCTGACGGAGAAGAGGTTGATGAGAGCTCTGTTGATGTCTGATTCGGACACTTTGTTCTGTTGGAGAGCTGATTTGGTGTGTTTTTGTAAGTATGATCCGCAGTTTACGTCCATGCCGGCTTTGAGGACGTCGGCGACGGCGTCTTCTGGGGTTTTGGCGTAGCCTTGCTCGTCGTAGATGATTGAGACGGCGTCACAGTCGGAGGTAATGTATCCGTGGAAACGCCAGAGGCCACGTGCGGTTCGAGTGAGGAGGTTGGGGTCAGCGCAAGAGGGAATGCCGCTGACACGGTTGTAAGCGCACATGATGCCACTGGCTCTGCCTTCTTCTATGCATTTCTTGAACGGTGGCTGGTATGTCTCTGCCAGGTCAGCCAAACTCACCTTTGAAAAAAAACAAATAAAACAGAACAACAAAATTATTATCATTGAAAAGACATAATTAACATGAGATTACGAAATTTGTGATATGTTTTGGAGGTGTGTAAAAAAAAAAGTTAAAAACAATAGTGAAAAATACAACTCTAATTAATATTTGCGATTTTCATTTTTTTAAAAACTTTTCACAAAATTTGACATGAAAACTAGACAATTCATCATAGACATAGACATTAGCATTTTTAGCACATAATCATGATGACGAGACGTAATCAGAGAATATTTGATGTCCTACAAAAACGGCATTACTAGCTAAAGTGTTACTTTTATGAACTTTTTACACTTTAGAAGAAGATGAGAAAGAAACTGTATTATTCGTTTTATTAATAAAGGGACCAAAAAAATGGAAAAAATGCGTGAAAAGCTTACAGTAACCGTTGTAAAGTGATTAGAGAAATGAAATAATTACCTGAGCATTGAAAACGTAGCGAGTGATACCTTTCCAACGGTCAAGATCGTAAGCAGTAAAATGCTTACAGCAAGCGGAAGCTTGGAGATGACCACCGGAGAGTGTTTTCTTACCGTCGAAAGAGTCACCTTGTAGTCCTCTGACGTAAGCAACAGCGTAAGCTCCGGTAACCGTCGGATCTTCTCCGGGAGTCTCTTGGCCTCTTCCCCACCGTGGATCCCTAAATATGTTAATGTTCGGTGCCCAAAACGTCATCCCTTTCGCTTGCCCTGCGTTGTACACTCCTCTCGCTTCCTTCCCTATCACCTGAAAACATTTCAATTCAAAAAAACTTTCTTAAATTAAAAAGACAAATTGTCTTAAATGTAACCAAAACAAAACAAGTTGTACTTCCAAAATTACCACAAAAGGAAAATTCCAAAAATACCACAGACTGAAACTTCTAAGTAAGAGAGAGAGAGAGAGAACGAACTTGAGCAATGCGGAACCATTGATAGGAGTCGAAAGAAGCGGCGGTTAAGATAACTTGAGGAAAGCTAGTGGCAGCTTTAACGGTTCCGTTAAACCGGATTCCGGGAGTGGGACCAACGTCGGCTACGCCGTGTAAAGCCTCCGACCACCACTCGTACGCCGGAACTCCGAGACGTGGTATCCCTGGAGCCGTGTTCACAAGCTGCGAGATCTTCTCGTCTATGGTTAGCCTCGAGACGAGATCGCGAGCTCGCTGGTTGATCGGGAGGTCAGTGCGGCAGAACTGGAAGAGTTTCGTCGTGGGGTTGGAGGGATCGCACGCGTGCGGAGGAGGAGCTGGATCGACGCCGTGGAGGAGGAGGAGGGAAAAGAGAACGAGAAGGAGAGGAACAAGTTTAGCCATGGCTTCGAAATGCGGAAAAAGAAGATAGAGAAAGCTGTGAAGAGACTGATGAGAGTGACAGAGCTACTCTGCTTATCATTGCCTTCGTGAATTGACGTAAATGCCCTTCTGCTTATCATTGTCTTCTTGAATTTGACGTAAATACCTTTCATTGTTCGTATGGGCCTAAGCCCAAATAACGCTTCCTTAAAAATATTTCATTAGTCTCAGTCCATTAGGCCCGATAAAACATTTTGGTAAATCTTAAAACATTAGTACGAAGTTACGAACTACAAACTAAAGTTAGAAGGAATGTTAGGGAATGTGAACAAGAAAACCGTCCAACCAACCATAAGAAGTGGCAATGAATAAACGATATTTATTATCTATTTAGCTTGTCATTTGAAGCCATATGTCTTATCTTATCTTATGTGCTAATCACAATACACCTAAATACCTAATCTCGATCTATCGAGTTTAATCTTGTCACGTAATTAGGTTTGACTGGATAAAAATGTCGGTTTCAGACAAATAATTAAATTTTAGCAGATAAAAAAATACTTATCGGCGAAGTGTTTGGTGACAGGAGCTCTCTAGATCAAAATATTACAATTTCCGAATAATAGCTGAAAATATATCAAATATTGGCTAATATATTTTTCGTGGTCAATGAAAAACCTAAACTCGAAGTCTAGCGCCACGTGGACGAAACTAGGCCCTTCTTTCCTACACGTGGCATGTCTGGCTGACGAGTAAGGAAGGTCTAATAAACGTATCTGTCACTCACGACCAAAAAAAATAAACGTATCTGTCACGGTGACGCCATAGATTTGTAACCGGCTAATGACTAAAACCGCCGGTGGTTTGACGAAATTGCCATTAAAACGTGAGTGTGAGATGTCGGTAGAGACCCATGGCCACGTACCAAAAGAGTGACACTAACAACAAACATATTTTTGATATTTTTATTACAATGTTTGAAAATTTCCTCATGTGTCCATTGTTATTTAATACTACTCTCCACTCCTCCATAATCTTTTTTATTTCCCTTGTTAAAAATGGTCTCCCTCTTGTCTAATTCTTATTTCAAAATAAATAAATTCCTGATATTTTATGTCGTAAGTCGTAATCAAACACACATGTTGTTGTACAGTGAATTACATTTGTTTCTCACAACTAAAAAAACAATTTCTTATACGAATTTGAGTTGTAATGGACAACTAATTAACATGACACATCCCCATTTATATTTGATAAACAAAATGGAAACGCCAAAAAATAAGCACACGATTTGGCCTTACGTACCTTAAATGCGATCCCAATATTTATTACATCATCAAGATTAGAGAAGACTTCCCTATTAATTCTCAAAAGATATTTTGTTTCCTTTTTTTGTCGCATATATTATCTTGTTCTTATTGTTGAGAGTTTTCATTGTTTTTATTTGACCATGTAACGACTGTTCCGGTAAACACGTGGGTCCCAAGACAACCGGACTTCAACGTCAAAGCACATTTTGGAAACCGGCGGATTCCAACTCCTTTTGAAACCCGCAAGTTGGTTTTACCGGCTACAACCGGTCCCACCTCTAATTATAGGGGCCCCACCGAAACCTTGTGGCTCCTCTTCCTCTCGCTTCACCGTTATAAGAGTAATACGGACCTTAACTTCTTCCCACCGTTTTCTAGCTCACCATCTTCTCTTTCGATCACTAAATTTCGAAGATCCTTTCATTCCAGAATCTTTTTCCTGAAAATTAGGCGCGTAATCGTCGCAATCAAAGATATCGTTTTGATTCTACGTTTCTCTGTATTAATCAGCTCTTCTTCTTCTTCTTCTTGCTTTTGTTTTCCCGGAGAGGCTTCGTTGGTTGTCAAGTTTCGAAAAGGTTTGTATTTTTTGCCTCCTTATCTTCCGAGCTCGTTGCATCTTGTTTATGTGTTTTGTCGATTCGTAGCTCTGTCTCTCTTCACTGGTTCGGTTAAGTTATATTTTAGTGTTAATGGTTTCCTTTTTTTCATTTGTTAAGATGGATATATTCGACAACTCCGATCTCGAGTACCTCGTCGATGAGTTTCACGGTTTCTTTGATTCAGAAGACGATGAACCAACCGGAGAGGTCAATGTTAAGAGCGGAGGTGATTCGGATTTCATGGACTCTGATTTCGAGGACGATTTTGATTCGGTATGATCCTGGTTTAATTTAGGAAAAGAAATCGCATCCTGGTCGGTTTTAATGAAGCTTATACGTTATAATTTAGACTCAGAGCAAGACGAAGAGTGATACGACGGCGTTTGAAGCAAGAAACGGAGAAGACATCCAAGGGATTCCTTGGGAGAGGCTTAACTACAGCAGAGATGAGTACCGTGAGAAGAGATTGCTACAGTATAAAAACTTCGAGAGTCTCTTTCGTTCCAGACAAGAGCTTGATAAGGTTTGTCCTGATTCATGGCTCTGTTACTCTGTTTTTTGTTTTCATGTTCCTGATGATATATATGGTAGATAAGAATTTGAATTTTTTTGGTGTTTGTTGTTGACAGGAATGTTTGCAAGTAGAGAAAGGGAAAAACTTTTATGAGTTCCAGTTCAACACAAGGCTTGTCAAGTCCACAATTGCTCATTTTCAGGTAGAGAAACTTTGCTCAGCTCTGTTTGTGATGTTTGTTTTACTCTGTTTCTGTAATGTTCATCTAAATTATATTTCTTTGTCGAGTCTGCAACTGCTATGTCATGACTGAGTTCTTTAGTTCCACATAAGTCACTTATGAAATTAATTGTCAGAGAATTTTATGAAATTAATGAGATGTTTGTTACTTATAGTCTCACAATTATTCACGCTTAACGTTTTTTTATTAAAGGCCTTCCACTATCTGTTATGATTGTTCTGTTCTTGGCCACATAATTTTATATGCCTTTTCCTGTTTGCTTTATGATTTGTTCACTGTTTCCACCTCAGCTCTGAAGCTGGGGTGTGGATTCACAGAAAGTCCTTTTTTTCTTTTGCAGATAACTTTGAAGGATGCTTAATTTAACCTGCAAGTTTCGTAACTTGTCGAAATATAATTATTTAGGCTCATTGTTTACTCATGTACAACAAAACGTGTAAGGTTTTAACTGATTCAGAAAGTTTTAGGATGGTCGAAGCAGAGTTGAGATTTCTTAGTCCTGGCAACTTAAGTTCATAGACTTTCGAAAATCATAGTCTCAAAGTGTAATAAGTTCCCCTAGCATAATTTGTGCTCATAACTATCAAACAGAGACATCAAAATAGCATTTGAACACTTGAAGCATTTTGAGAAACAGTTACTATATATGCGCTTTAACCTTTCTTAAGCAGGTCTGGAGAGCATCTGGCGACCTAAGCAAACGTTTGTTAATATGGTATGATAGGAAATGTTTGACAACTCTCTAACTTTTGTCATCATTCTTTTTTTGCAGGGAAGCTTATGTTTGTACTTACTCATAATTTGCATCTTTCATGATATCATGCTTTTTAGTCTTTTTCTCCTGGTATCGATCTTATCTTATTTTCAGCCACCGTTAGTTCAACAACTTAACCCAAAAATAAGTGTAACATTTTAGATTTTGTATTCTTGTTGTAGCAACTACTTGTGACACACTTAAGTTCACATTTGATTTATCCCCCTGTTTACTTCTTAGTTATGTGTGTTTGTATGAGAACTTAAAACTTTCTCTTCTTCTTCTTTTTTCTTTTTTTTCTTTTGTGAAACTGTGTCTTATGTAAATCCTTTATTGTCTCTCATTTTGCAGCTGAGGAACTTGCTATGGGCAACATCAAAGCACGATGTGTATTTCATGAAGAACTACTCTCTCATCCACTGGTCACCTTTGCTTCAAAGAGGCAAAGAAGTACTTAACGTTGCAAAGCCCATTGTTCCTACAATGGTAAAGACAAACCTTGCTTGCTCCTTAATATCACCAACCTTTCGTTGCAGCTCCACTCAACTCAAAATCTTGCAGGAGCAGCCTGGACTATTGTCACACTCTCTATCAAGAGTCCAGATAAGCACAATGGCAGTCAAAGACGATTTGATAGTCGCAGGAGGCTTCCAAGGAGAGCTTCTCTGTAAGGTAATAACAAACAGAGCCAATCTTCTACAATATTTGTAAAAAATTGGATCTTTCTCATTTCCGTGAATCTTTCATTTCCAGAAAATCAACGAACCTGGAGTCGCTTTCTGCACAAAGCTAACATCAGCTGAGAACGACATCACCAATTCCGTTGACATATATAACGCTCCAAGGTAACTAAACACATACATTGGTTATCAGTAAAAAGACATTCATGAACTCAAATCTTTGCTCCCTTTAATCTCATGTAGTGGCTCGTTAAGAGTTATGACGGCGAACAATGACTGTACGGTCCGGTTATTCGACGCTACAAACTTCACTTTCATCAACAGTTTCGCTTTTGATTGGTCGGTCAATGTAAGTTTCATCGACATCTCTTTCTCTCATGTTACTTATCATCATTTGCTCTTTATGTTTCAATGTTTTTACTCTGTTGTTGCTTGTGTAGAACGTTTCCGCTAGTCCAGACGGGAAGCTAGTGGCTGTTCTTGGTGACAGTCCAGAGTGTTTACTAACCGACGCCGTATCGGGAAAAGTCGTCCACGGACTCCAAGGCCATCTGGACTACTCGTTCTCATCGGCGTGGCATCCGAACGGTCAGATCTTAGCCACGGGGAACCAAGACACGACGTGCAGGCTATGGGACGTGAGGAACTTGTCTGAGTCGTTGAAAGTGTTGAAAGGAAACATGGGAGCGATCAGAGCCTTGAAGTTTACGTGTGACGGACGGTTCTTGGCTATGGCTGAGCCAGCGGATTTTGTTCACGTGTTCGACACGGAAGCTGGTTACGGTTCTTGTCAAGAGATTGATCTGTTTGGAGAGATTGCGGGGATCTCGTTTAGTCCTGACACGGAGGCTTTGTTTGTGAGTGTTGCTGATCGTACGTATGGGAGCTTGTTGGAGTTTAACCGGAAGCGAAACCGCTCGTATTTGGATTCCATATTCTGATCTCATTAGAAGCAGAGAGGATAATATAGTGTTAAATCCTTTTGGAGTTGTTTTATGTTTAGTATGTGTGAGATTATGGTTAATTATGTAGCTATGGCATTTGGGAGGGGTTTAAGTCGTTGTTTTTGTGGACTTTCCTCTCTGTTGTTGCTACTTTGTGTAAGTTTGTGGACAAATCTTGATTCTGTCAAGTAAGTGTGAATAAATAAAGTTACAGTGAAGGGTGTGAGTAATTCCAATGTTTGAGTTTTCGGTTTTGGAAAATAAAAATAGTAAATCCAAACAAGCCATTTGTAATTGTGATCTAGTTTAAGCAAAGATACACACCTAAACGCTAAAGATCACACAATGTAGTTAAACTATTACAGTTTATTTGCTTTGGTTATTATGGTTTTTTATTTTGGTTTAATACATACTACATTCTGGTTTTGTTTGTTTAGGGTATGGTTTTTGTCATTGTCCTGGTTAGGTTGCATTTTCTAGGCCAATGTTGCTGGGCTTTTTGGAGTTGTGTTGTGTATTAATATTTGTGAGAGATTATGTCACTTTGTAGTTACATATGTAGCTATTGGCTCGGTTAAGTCGTTGTGTTTGTGGATTTTCCCTCTTTTGTTGTCACTTTGTGCAAGTTTAGGACAAATCTTGATTCTGTCAAATCTGTAACTGTGAATAAATAAAAGTACAATGTTGAGTAATTCCAATGTTTGAGTTTTCGGTTTTGGGAAAAAAAAAGTAAATCCAAACAAGACTTTTGTAATTGTTATCAAACATACACACTTAAAGGCTAAAGATCACAATGTAGTTAAACTGGTACAGTTTATTTGGGTTGGTTGCATTGAAAATGTGATTTCGTTTCTGGACCTATGTTAATGGGCTTTTGTATCAATAGCCTAATCGGATAAATGTGAAAGAGTGATGACTAGTTTAGTTTAGTTAAGTGAAGTGATTTAATGTGGTGTGCAAGAATGATTGTAAGGATTTAAAAGCGGTATCAAAAGCTCAAAATTGTTTGGTTAGACATAAAGATGGTTAGGTGATTTGATGGTGGAGATTTTTTCCAGCAGATGAAATATAAAGCAATTAAGGATGTGTCATTTGTGTGTGAGTGTGAGCCACTGAATCAAATGTTAAAGCTTTAAGAAACATTCCTCATATTACACCTAACCCTTCTTCTTATTAGAAAATGAAAAGAGTCATGAATTCTATTTCTTCCATCACTTCTTTTCTTTTTCTTTCAAAAGTGACTCATAATATTAAAGCCAAAGAGCAGCTATGAGATATTTTTTTAAGCGAAATAGTACTTGGTGTTACAATTCAAATTGGGAACTATGTCTATTGGAAAACAACAATGTGATCGAATCCAGAACTCTGTACTTATTTTAGATCTTTGGTTTGCAATACAAATCTTGCAAGAAAACGAGAAATGGACCATATGTCACGTTAATCACGATTTCACACGAAAACGATAAAACCAAAGAAAGAAAAAGGTATTTGAAGTTTGAACAAAAAATGTGACTGAGACCATTCACCTAAAGTTCACATGCCATTCATCTTCCACATAAAACGACGTCCAACTGCTCTGAAAACGACGACCCCCTCGTTTTTGCAAAATTCTTTTTATTCGGTCAAAACTTACAAATTCTACTCTCTATTTGTATTGGGGAAGTAATCAGAATTAATTATCTAAAACCATGTTATCAAGTAATTACTGTGTTGATTAAATATGATATGAACGGATTTGTTTGTATTTTTTTTTTTTGTCCTAAAATTTGTGTTTTTGTTTTTATCTGAAGAAAATAAGTTATTTCAAAGTGAGAGAGAGAGAGAGAGAGAGAAAGAGAGTCAGACATAAGTGGAGTGAGGTAGGTTACAGTTCACGGAGACCACACAGCTAGTTAGATGACAGTTCAATCTGAGTCATTGATACCGGACACGTGGCGTAGATTTAAGGCCCAAAAAGTCAGAAAACGGCAGTGTTTGTGACGGAAAACGCGTGAAGGGTCTAAAAAGAAACTTTTCAAAGTAACGATGAGATGGACACGCGCAATCCATGCCTTTGATCCTATTGGATACCATTTCCCTTTTTTTCTTTCCTTTTTATCTTATTTTCTTTGAAAATTATGTTTTAGAAGTTCGAGGTCGATTATCTCTTTTTTTAGCTATTACGTGTTATTTTTTTTTTCCAAGGAATAATTAAGTACAAGTATAGGAGTATCATTTTTTTCTTGGTCTCAAGGCACAAATATACCATTTTTACTTACATACACTCGTTTACATTATGCAGTTGACAATTTCATTTTCTCGTAGTTCTCGTATTACTCCATGTGAAATTTTGCGTATATACAACCAAAATACAGATACTCTTTCAGTAAACGAAAAGGCATGTATAAATACAGATACACTAGTTGCTTATTGACCTATTTTATTAAGCAGCCTTGTGTTGCTTCCGCTTTTGTTATACGGGTTGCTTAACATTTATTTTATGCTTATTGTTAATTTGTTATATAATTAGTGTATACGAAAGAAAAAATCTTGACCGTTGGCTTTTCTCTTTAGTCCACCGTGAAACTAGAAGCTTCTTCCGCCGCCGCCGCTAACGGTCTATGTGTTCAATGGTCACGTGCTTTCCACATGTGTCCCCTTCTTTGCCTCGCGTCTTCCATGCTCCTCTTAACAAGAATACAACCCATATTTGTTAGTCTATTTTGCAAACTCTAGACGCCACTAGCTGTTGTCAAAAAAAAAAAAAAAAAAAAAAAAGACGCCACTACCTAATTTCTCATTTTTATATACAAGTGGCAGTTCAATTTTCTTATGAAGTGGAATTAAGTTTATAAAGTTTGTGTATGATATAAGCATGTACTTATAAATTATATACAAATTAAGTAGACGCTACCTTACGTAGTTACCTTACCTATCGATTCCTGTTTACTTTCTTTACGTTCACTAATCCGAACTTTACGTTAATTAGTATTTTCCATTATCAGAGAAACTCTGTAAAAAAAAAATAAAAAAAAATAAGTAAAACTCTGTATTAGGTGTTTTAACTTTCTAAAAGTTAAGTACATGCATCCTAGATTCTTATCAAACATTTTTGTTTTGAGCAAATATCAAACGTTACTGATCTCTTAGCATGCATTTACAGTTTTACACACAAAGAAATCATTTATCGAGAGTTGATGTTGCTTTTAAGTCAAAATATCGTTAACCATATCCGTACCGTACAAGTAATCGAATTATAACTCGAAATTGCTACATAGATACCATTTAGAAACTCTTAGCCATGGTCATCGCACAAGCTCAAAGGAGCATCTTCTTGAGGTTGGGCATTTGTGTTAAAAGTATAGCGATAAGTTCGACCTATTTAGAAATTGCGGCTAGAAATAAAATACACAACCAGATAAGATGGCGAAAGGTTTGGATTTTAGCTAGCAAATGGAGAATTTTTAATATTAAAAATGATGATATAATATGGTAATGATAATGGTGGAGTTCTCTGCCAATCCATCGCTTAACCCTCTAGAGACTTCTTATTGGTTTTGTAACGATTCATGTCGACTAAAGTCTAAACTGCCCATTATAATTATCATGATTAACACTTGCGACTAAACAACAACTTTATATATTTAACAATCTTAAATCTAGTGATTGGTAATCTGCGTCACCATCCGCGTCGTATGATATTTTTCTTAATTCTAGATATTAGTTGTTATATGGCGTCCAGGTTTGAATTTTTGAACTACGATCGTAATTGGCTAATTTCCGTAGAAAATTCGTAGTGATTGCATGTTGGTGATAATACATATACTACGAATTACTGTTTGGAGTCAAAAGTGAAAAATTGTCAACGGAAGAACGTAACTCAAGTTTTACACGATATACAAATCATTGTTTGGAGTCTATATATTTTTCTTAATTCTAGATATTAGTTGTTATATGGCGTCCAGGTTTGAATTTTTGAACAACGATCGTAATTGGCTAATTTCCGTAGAAAATTCGTAGTGATTGCATGTTGGTGATAATACATATACTACGAATTACTGTTTGGAGTCAAAAGTGAAAAATTGTCAACGGAAGAACGTAACTCAAGTTTTACACGATATACAAATCATTGTTTGGAGTCTATATATTTTTCTTAATTCTAGATATTAGTTGTTATATGGCGTCCAGGTTTGAATTTTTGAACAACGATCGTAATTGGCTAATTTCCGTAGAAAATTCGTAGTGATTGCATGTTGGTGATAATACATATACTACGAATTACTGTTTGGAGTCAAAAGTGAAAAATTGTCAACGGAAGAACGTAACTCAAGTTTTACACGATATACAAATCATTGTTTGGAGTCTATATATTTTTCTTAATTCTAGATATTAGTTGTTATATGGCGTCCAGGTTTGAATTTTTGAACAACGATCGTAATTGGCTAATTTCCGTAGAAAATTCGTAGTGATTGCATGTTGGTGATAATACATATACTACGAATTACTGTTTGGAGTCAAAAGTGAAAAATTGTCAACGGAAGAACGTAACTCAAGTTTTACACGATATACAAATCATTGTTTGGAGTCTATATAGGTAGCTTATCTAATTAAATTAAAAAATGTATCAAAATTACATGTTTGTTCCTAAACAATATCTCTCGTTGTTTCCACTAATAAAAACGTATTATTTGAACAAAAAAAGGATGAGAAGGAAGTAGGTGACCCATTAATAAGAATATCACAACTGTTTTGGAAGCAGCCCTGAGCCGTCGTCACTCACCATCTTGTTCTTATCTCTTCCTTATCATCATCATTACCAACCAATTGTTTAATACAATGCACCACTACGATCATTTATATTATCGAAAATACTAAAAAAATTAGATGATACCGTTGAAAAAAGCAAGTATATACAATATTTACCGTTGTATGTGCGTTTTTTGGGTCAATAACATGCAATTAGACCTATACCGAGCACAAACCAGTCGTGCAAGCTTAAGACAAACTAAATTATAATCCATGCGTACCATCATCGCATATCAAAGAAATACATACATAAAATATACGAGTCTTGGAAACTTCGGTAGGTAATAACTAATAATGGGTATATTGTTTAGTCAACGACAAAAACCTAATTTCGCATATTATTTTAACGACAGAAAAGTAGGACTCGTAAAAAATAATAATGTTTTCACAAAATGTTACTTACAATAAAGCTTAGCAAAAAGGGAGAATAGATAGGTAAATTTAAAAAATAGTGATCCTAAATAATTTATCCAATGATTTATTTTAAAAGAAATTACTTGTTTTGAACTTGTTGTGGAAACTGAATGATATGAAAAGTCAGTACAAACGATAGCGTTAATAGCAAACATTTTCCAAACAAAATACGATGTTTCAGTTTTTGTAGCTTTTAACAGAGAAAACTTTTCTAATTAATTACAGTACAACTTTTTACTGTTACATGGGACAAACAAATAAGCAATGATCTGCGAATTGCAAAATGTGAACACAAACCCACAGCGGTCAACAAAGTCAGGTGCTACTATTGACTCCACAAACCACAAATCATACGATGACACGTATTTCAAAACTTACAAAACTCCAAACCACTTCAGTGTGTATAAGACACGCGTTGTCCACTCATTAGTCGTATGTCATTTTCCGACCGGCTCTCAGGTTAGAAAATAAAAAACAGTTTTACTTTTTACCTCGATCAGATATCTTTGATCTCATTTTCGTCCTTTGGTTTGTTCCCCGATTGTCCTCAATCGAACAAAACTACAGTATAACTTTTAGAAGAAGTTGTTTTTGTTAATCTAGTAAAAAAACTAGCATCTTTTCATTGCTTTTTTTTACCGCCAGTTTCACTTTAAATTTAAATTATATAAAGAATTAGCGGGATCAAGATTATTTACCGTTAAATAATTTTACCCTGTTATCAATTATGTCACTAATTTTTTTATACGAATAGAAAGTAGAGATGATAACTTTAACGAGAAGGTTTCGGAGTATATAATTAATTTTCTCTAAAGAAGAAAAAATATTGCTTAATAAATGGAAATCATTGTAGTAAAAAAAAACGTAAAATACAAAAATAGTATAATAAAAAATGGACAACAGTGTGAGGAGACGACCCCCACTATAAAACGAGAGCCAAGCTGCTGAAGGTTAGATATCATCGGTGAGGCTGAGAGTAAATCCACTACAAAAAATTGAGTGTCCTCCCAAAAAATAAAAAATAATTGCAATTGTTTTCTGATTCGATCCTTAATTTTAGATTTTTTTCTCCAATTCCCGTTCTGTGAATCTCATCTGTCTTTCAAAAAAGGAAGAAAATCAGTTTCTTGGTTTGATTTGTGCTTGAATGATTTCAATCAGATTTTCTTACCAAAAATCAAGCTTATGAAATTGTTTTTCTATACGAATTTAATTGAAAGCCAGGTATTTTCGTAACGAAATATTTTCTTTCCAAAAATTTCTTCTGGTTTTCTCTTTTTATATCCCATAGATTTAGACGAGGGTAATTTTTTACTCCCTCCTTTTGGATCTACACAGAGGTTGCTTATTTCAAATCTCTCTGATCCATTTTTATTTTTCTTGAATTTTCTCGGAAAAACTCTGTTTCTTTACTTTTGATAAGAACCAGCTGAATTTTTCGGATTCAAAATTTATTTTTTCTCCTACAAATGGAAGCTGCTATGAATTTGTACAGTACAAATTGTGGTGGTGAACTCATGGAAGCGCTTGTACCTTTTATCAAAAGCGTTTCCGATTCTTCTCCTTCTCCTTCTCCCGCGTCTGCGTCTGCGTTTCTTCACCCCGCAGCGTCTGCGTTTTCTCTCCCTCCCTTCCCCGGATACTACCCGGAAGACTGTTCGACGTTCATGGCCCAACCGTTTTCGTACGGGTCGGATCTCCAGCAAACCGGGTCGTTAATCGGGCTCAACAACCTCTCTTCTTCCCAGATCCACCAGATCCAATCTCAGATCCCTCAGAATCATCCTCTCCCTCTTCCTCCGACGAACCACCAGAGCCACAACAACTCCTTCTCGAACCTTCTCGCTCCGAAGCCGTTGCTGATGAAGCAATCCGGAGTCGCCGGATCTTGTTTCGCGTACGGTGCAGGCGTTCCGCCGAAGCCGACGAAGCTGTACAGAGGCGTGAGGCAGCGTCACTGGGGGAAATGGGTGGCTGAGATCCGTTTGCCGAGAAACCGGACTCGTCTCTGGCTCGGGACCTTTGACACGGCGGAGGAAGCTGCGTTGGCCTACGACAAGGCGGCGTATAAGCTGCGCGGCGATTTCGCCCGGCTTAACTTCCCTAACCTACGTCACAACGGATCCCACATCGGAGGCGAATTCGGCGAATACAAACCTCTTCACTCCACCGTCGACGCTAAGCTCGAAGCTATTTGTCAGAGCATGGCGGAGACGCAGAAACCGGCGAAAGCAGCGTCGAAGAAACGTGCCTCATCGAAGAAACCTGAGACTGTTTCGTCGCCGGATCTATCGGAGAAAGTCAAGGCGGAAGAGAATTCGACGATCACTGAATCTCCTCCGGCGACGACGGAGTTTGTGGAGTCCGCCGGATCTTCGCCGTTGTCGGATCTGACGTTCGCTGATACGGAGGAGCCACCGCAGTGGAACGAGACGTTTTCGTTGGAGAAGTATCCGTCGTATGAGATTGATTGGGATTCGATTCTGTCTTGATCAAACCGGGAAATTTGGTTAGGGGTTGGTTAGGCAAGATTTAGAAGCCGCCTGCAATGGAGTTTTTGGAAATTGCAGAGAGGCTAATTAAGATTAGCGTAATGTTAATATTTGTTTTACTTTGCTTTTGTATTAACATCTGTGTCGGTCCAGCTTGCGGTTTTTTGTCGAGCTCCGACCATGCCACAGATTTTCATTTTATGTAATTTTTTTTTCTTTTTTATCATCTGTGTAATTTTTAGCTTCAGTTTCTTCATCTTAATGCGATATTTTATTAGCTTTTGTAGTAATAATGAAATCGTCCCTTTGATCCTAATCCTATATTGCATTTTCACAAGGCATTAACATGTAATTTGAAGGCAGTAACAAACCCAATACACCAACATTAACTAATTTGAAGATTGGGTTTGTCATTTGAGTTGGTCACCAAATACTTTTCTAACATATTTGAAAACTAGCAAAGTCTTTTGACCTAAAATACTGACATCCTAGAGATATATACCATCTACTAATATTTTCCAAAATCATTAGAACTTTAGAAGTGTCAAATATTATCTCAAATATGCGAATGACTATATAACAGAATTGTGAAATGGCTATACACTTTAGAGAATTAACACAATCAAGTTTGTAAAGTATGTTTTAGTCATAACTCATCTCATGTAATAGAGATAGCATGACATAACGGTTATGTTCCACTAAATGTTTGTCAGCGGAATTGCATCTACAAATGATGTAACGCATGTACAAGAATCCACATAGCAATATCATTCACCCCTTAACACGTTTCTTTATTTTGTCTCTCGTAGTCACATTTTTATTTTTTTGATTTTTCTCGAATGATCTCAACTTTGTAAGAGATTATTGTCCGTTTTATTACACAAAATGGTGAAGCTTCGCGTGTTTTGTAGATGTGGCCGGCCCATTCCGCAACTTTCTTGCTATCATCGTCAATCATTTATCCACTTACTCAAACTTAAAATCAAATATTGGATTTTGCAAATCAAGAAAACCAATAATTCGATGTCACTGTAGTGAAGTAGTAAAAGACAAAAGTCGGCAGGAAATTTGATCGAAATCTTCATCACACATTTTTAGAAAAGTAGAAATGGATCTTTCGCCAATACACATCAATAGGTGGATTCGAAGAAATAAAAGGAAAACACCAAAAAAAGCCAACGAAATCTAAGTAATATAGAACACGAGAGTTTTGGACTTGTATGGTTTACTATCCAACAATATTTTCATAATAACGTGACCACAAGAGCTTCTTCATTCGTACGGATGTAAAGTAGAAGAATTACTTGATAAAACGTAAAAATTTGTTAAGATATCAATACACAAGTGAACTGATGTTAAGAATATCGTTTACGGATTTGTACTACAATACAAAGTACGTACCAAATGTTAATGCTTGTTGATGTGTTTATAAAAACAAAAAAACTCATCTCAAATATTTCAAAAATACTATCTACTATATTTTGATGTATAATATTACAAGTAGTGAAGAGTGGAGAATTCCAAATTACGCAAAGGAAGCATAAGTTGGAAAAGTTTGAAAGGCACACAACACCAAAGGAGCCCCCACCAAAAGATTATGTTCACACTCCATTTTTCTTCTCTTTCACATGCAATTTATTCAAACTCATGTTTTGTATAAAAGTTGTTGTATTCATAACATTGCATTTAATTCGCCCACACCATTATTACTCATAGACGTGTGAAGTTGAAAATATAGCTATCATTATCATCCTGAGTTGTCGTTCTTGTATCCATTCTTCTAGTCATATATATCCGTCTTTAATTTAGTTTTGATTTCAACTTAGAAAAAGAATTTTGTTGACAACTTAAACCAATAGATTTTGAGAAAATTATACTATCTTGAATCTTGAACCAAGATCCGGAGACTAATCTTGAATCTTATACAAAGACCCTCAATAACTAAGAAAAACAGGGTCAACTACAAACATTATTAAGTGGTAATCTTTGAGTCAGAAAAAGAAAGAAAGAGAGCACAAGTTTCTGCAACTCTCTATTCAAAATTAATTTTACAACACTTGAACAATTCAGCTTCTTGAGCTGCTCCTTGTTTTTACACAACTCAGCCGAATTTACCGATTTCCATCTTTTTCTTTATCGCCCGTTGTCCGTGATATACAAATGAATCAATGATTCCGGAAACCGTGAAAATACCTACAGTTTGCAAAAAAAAAGATAAAACCAAAATTGTTATATTGGATGATTCTTACATCTCTACAAGAAGAAAGTTATTTGAATGAAGAAGAGAGAAAGAGAGATCATGCACACCTCCAACTATAGCGCAAACATTGGTGAGGAAGTGCAAGAACTCCACATGCTGCTCCTTAAAAATAACCTGCAACAAATCAAATGTACAAAATGTCAAAAAACGAGAATGACTTAATAACAAAACACACATTCAGAAGTATCAATACCTTAATCGGAGAAAGATCATAGAAAAAGAAAACACCAGGAAGTGACTGCATCTGTCCTTCCGTTTTCTGGAAATGTTCAGTCACAGAAAACTGACAAGCAAACACACCACAAAGAGAAACAAACCAATTCTTAGATGTAGGTCACAGCCAAAATCAGAAACTCTGTTCTAAAAAGTAGTTTCTTCACCTGATTTGACTGAATAACATGCTCTTTAACATCTGTGTATTCGGTAGGCACAACCTTGATAAGATACTGATACATGCCATTCAGGTTCTCCTGAGTCCACTCCACACTGAGAAACCAAGAACAAAGTTTCAGAAAGATGATTTTAGATTACTGAGTAATCACACAGAACAGAATAGAGTTTACCCATCTAAGGGATTCACTACACCAGGGAAAGAGTCACCGAAAGCCAGCTTGTTAACCTTGTGGCTTATCTGTGCAAGTAAAGATACATACAATGTGTCAAGACATATCATAATACAAAGAGAGAGAGAGAGACCGAGAAACGAAAAAATGGTTCTTGGCTTACGTTGTAGCTGTCGCTCTGTAGCAGTAACAGATCTTGTAAATGAGATCCTGATTGATGAAAGCTTTTCCCTGGAACGAAGTGGAAACTCCCAGCCACTTTGTTCACTTCCAAGAAACCATATATGTTACAACCTTCACCTTCCTCCTCCTTAACCCTTTGCACAAACCCTTCTCTTTTACACTGAGATCAATACAACTACATGAGACTAGACTCCCCTATATATAGACTAAGGAAACAATTGAGATCAAGCTAGTTTAGCTAACAAGATCAGCAAAACTATACAATATATCATACCTGATCAATGATATCAGGGTCTGACATGGCCCAACCTTTCTTCCGATAAGCTTCACGAACTTCCTCACATGAGTTGCAACACTCTTCATCTGCCTGCAAAGTGTTAAAGAATCAGAAATTAGATTCCACATACCCCAAAAGCAAAAGAGGTAAAAACAGGTCACCACTTACTGCTTCAGCACCATAACAGGAACCACAGTATGTTTCGTTATGCTCTAACCTGCCACCATGTTTTTGCAATGGATTTTCAATCTGTAGAAAACAAGAACACATCAGAGAATCATAACTTTCCAAATCCTCCTTGAGACTTTCCTACTGATTTCAAAGAAAGCTAACCTTTGTATGACCGATTCCATCTTTTCTTGTATCTACAACATTGCCAAAAGCATCTAACCTTCTTTTCACTATATCATGCCTCTGCAAATTCATGAACAACAATACATCACATCATCATGACTTTTGTAAAACGTAATGCATAGCCAAAGACTAGAGAAAGAGAGACACAGAGACATACCACGTCAAGGTGCTTCTCTCCGCTAATATCCATCGAATCAAGACTAATAATCGAACAAGCAAGGCCAGGGAAAGTCACATCGAACTTGCAAAATGATCAAAAATTAGCAAGTCGGAAGATTTCAAGTTAAAAAAGGCAATAAGGAAACAAAAAAATTGTTTTTGATTTACATTGATTCGTAGCTTCTCTCCTCTCGATGTATCAACACGAAGCTGAGTCTCAGTTACAGGATGAAGATAAAGTCCTGAAAACAAAAAAAAAAGTAAGAAAAATCCGAACTTTTTCCCTCGGAAATTGAAATTGAAATTGAAGGGAGACAAGTAAAGTGCTTACGGAGCTCGGAGAAGAATAGAATCAGCATGACGATGGAAGAGACGACTGTGATTAATCCACCGGAGAGTGTACGGCTGTAAAAATCGTCGTTGATTTTAGGGTAAGCATCCAAATTCCTCAATCTGTTCATCATCACGCTCGCCATTAGCCCCCAAAAATCTTCACCAATTTAGGGATTTGCTCCTTTTTACTACGATTTGAATCGATTTCACTACTTCAATTTCTGTTTTAACGAATATGATTAGAGCTTAAGAGGTGATTAACGGCTAATCATTGGACTTTTCTTTGACCTGCTACGTCAACGATTGATGATGATCTGTCTTTGTTTTCGTATGTATACTCTTCTTTATACGGTTATTGTCGTATTCGTATGTATACGTTTGAGTGTATTTTTATATTTATACTTCTGAAATTAGTGATTGGGCTTTTGACTTATTGGACCATAAGCCCAATTAATAAAAAATGTTGTGATACCCTGGGTATCACAACATTTTTTATTAATATTTTTGTTTAAGAGATTTAGGTTTCATAGTTATGTTTTGCTCTTCCATTGGTGATACTCTATACAGTATCTAAAAACATAAATATTTATATATTTAATAAAAACTTAACAAAAAGTCATAATAATAAGAGATTTTGTTTTTTTAAGTTTCTTTAACAGAAATCCATTCTCACAATAGAACCTGTTACAACTTTTAGAATTTGTCTGATTTGGCCATGTCATGATGTTCTGTCTGCTTCCTCTCTACGAATTCAATCTCGCTTCTCCTGCAAAAATGTTTCAAGATTCTTTCAGTTCATTAAAAAGCCCAGAAATGATGATATTTCAAGATTCTTCAGTTCAAATGAAACCCAAATTCACGAACAGAGAAATATTCATTTCAACCATTTAACCATAATATTTCATTCATTTCTCAAATACTTAAACAGAAACAGAGAGAAATTCCCGAACAGAAACAGAGAAAAACACTTAAAGTGAAACACGTAAACAAACAACCATTGAACACAAGTAGAACTTAAACCAAAACTAAAAGCACTAAGAAGAGAAACAACACTTATTGAAGCTCAAATACCAGAAACCTAACTAATTAGAAAGCATTTCGGTTACTAGCTTATCCTTCAGGGCCAGCTCATTCGGTGTAAGTGATTCTGTTCTTGAAATCAGACATTCAAGCAGTCTGACCTTGAGCATTCTGTTTTTGACATCTAAGTCCTTGTCTTTCACGTTTAGCATGTTCTGAAAATCAGCTGCAGAAGGCGCTGCGCTTTCAGCTGTACCGGAGTTGCTCGCACTTCTTTTGCCTTTCGCCTTAGCTGCCTTCACACCCTCAGGACGGGCTTGCGGTGTGAATGTGCTTGCAGATTGATCAGGCTCCTTCCTTTTCTTGGAGCTTCCATCACCCTTAAAAGTTGCCTGTGCACACCACTTCTGATCATTCCGGAGCTCAATCCAGGCATATTCAAGGTTGAACTTCAGCTTGTAATCTGCGTAGAAGATGTCATAAGCCATCTTCAGAACGTCAGCCTCATTGTATCCGCTACTCTTCTGCCTCTGTGCAGACTCATAACATCCAACGAATTTGCAGACTAGCTCGTTTATCCTGTGCCACCTAAGCTTGCAGTGGTTGGACTCTCTTCTTTGGAAACCATCAAGCTTCGTAGATGCGTTGAAATAATCAGCTATGCATTTCCAAAACGCATCTCCTTTCTGCTCATTCCCCATCAGAGGATCCTTGCTTGTGTTCAACCAAGAGCTGCAAAGCACAATGTCTTCGGTTTGACTCCATCTGCGTCTCTCGCTGCGCCCCTCAGGTTTCTCTTCAACCGACTCACTTATTTGGGTACCAAAGTGTGGGACTTGTGGTGATCCAAGTCCCATAGAAGGAGAAGAACTCTCAGCCTGATTAGTTAAAAGATTAACAAAAGACGTATGCCCATATGGATCCATAATCTATGATTCTGAAATAGAATTTGAGCTTGGAAGAGAAATTGTGGTTGAAGGTTTAGGATGTGTTGTAATATATAGCCAAGTGTTTTCGACAGTATTAAGCATTCAATAGAACTTAAAAGTTACAACTAAAAAGCATTCACTAACCTACAACTAACAAACATTGATCATTGAAAGACAGATATCTACAAAGTAATAATTTGACAAACATTAATCACAATTACAAGTACTCAAACCAGATGTCATCTGCTTCTAATCTAACTCAATCACAATTACAATCTATTGACTGTTTTTCTCCCTTTACGGTTCAATCACAATTACAATCTAACTATCGATTTCCATATTCTCTTTAAGAAAAAGCAAACTAATAAATAACAGGACTAGATAAGCAAGCATTTAAGGTGAGAGAGATGTTTGGAGTAGACAGGTACCTGATAAGTGGCACAATAGCTCCTCTCTTTTCTCCACAATAGCTCCTCTCTTTTTTCCACAATAGCTCCGATATACAAAACATCAAGTTAAACACTTGTTATTTCAAATCTCAGACTAAACACAATGACATAATGATGTAGCGTCAATTCAAATCCTACTCTGTTTTGGCTTTCTTTTAATTTCCTTTTTGCTTTTGCTTCTTATTAGATAATGCTTTGCTTTCTTTTCTCAATAAGGCTTAGGAATATATATAATTCGATTCCTATTAGAAATAGTCTTCTTCAGCTTATTATATATACTCGATCTCTTGGTTTGTGAGAGATACGACTTTTATTCTTATCAATCAAAGAGCTATCGTTCTTAGACTAAACACTAGATTCTGCAGTTACTATCCTTGTTTACATCACATAAGAAAGCTAATATCATACAAACTCACATGCAGCTACATATCCTAAATGATCCCCAAATCTATATGATCCACAATCCAAAAATTTATCTTACAAAAAGGAAACATCAATGCAATAGGAATCAAATGAATCTATAAGAGGCAGAGCACGATTCAAGCAAGAATCTTGTTCCTAAAACCAAGGCCTAAGCAAACAGATGAATCCACAACAAATAACACTAACCGAAGTTCACTAATTCTAGCAATAAGCTATTCGCACCGTTATCTTAGGTGGAACCAAATCACTACGAAACAAAGACAAAAGAAAAGAACATGAAACACAATCATCGAGGAGTCACCTGAAATTACTTTGAAGCAGCCACGAAGATCAGGCACACCAAAATCCCCTCCCAACGCAATCCGATGCTCAACAGATGCAGCTTGTGCGATCTGATTTCAAATCTGCAGGTTTCGGATGGGTTTTCAGGAATCTCGCTGATGAAGTAGTTGCAGAAGGTTCCATAGCCAGGAGACATGTCGGATTGGTGCTTGCGGCGGAAGGATTGGCGGTCATCCAAGCTTTAAGGCATGCAAAGGAAATTGGCATCGAGAATCTATCTATTGCCTCTGATTCTTCTCAGCTATTCGACCAAAAAAAAAAAAATATGACGGAGCAAATAGCATTTTCCCATTTTTCTTTTTTCTTTTCCTTTTGTTTTAATTCAATTAACCCAATGCTGACACGTAGCGTCTCTGAGACGGTTGGGAAATCTCTTACTAAAGAGACGTCTCAGGCTATATTATCCATTAAAACATTAATTTTAATTTTTTTTTACTTCTGGGACCTACTTAAGAACTGGGCAAATATCAGCGCTGGACATGCTCTCAGTCTCTTCACTTATTTTCGTCTTTCCTTATTAAGGTATTCCAAAGTAAAATTAACCAAAAGTTAATAATCGCAAAACCACACAAAGTCCAATCAATGTGAAAGAGTAAACAAAGATAATATCTCCTCCCTTAATGAGCTATCACATCGTAATTCCGTTTGGTAATTTTTTTTTGTCTGAATTCACGTATTTTAAAAAGATGGAATACTCATTCATCAGTCGAAAGTTGAGTTATTAGTTTTGTAGTATTATAGAAAAACAGAGAGTCCAGATAAATTAAAAGAAATGCACTAATTTATGGACTTTTCCATAAAGTAACTTATTCAAGGAAATGTTGAAGATTTGGACGTTACATGAGAGAGACTTTGGTACTAAGGATCAAAAATTTAGTTGGGTGTGACAAAGAGCTTAGTGTGCACCGTAAAATCGACAAATGTATCCACTAGGTACTGGCTAATAAAATTAGCATTTCAAAAGATTATCTATATGTCCTAATTGATTATATTTTTTTGTCAACAATTAATTATTATTAATAGGTAAGATAATATTTTTTTTGCCTCCCATCAAAAGGAACTCAAAGTACAATTACCAATCAGATACTCTCATTTAAATAAGCAAAGCAAAGCAAAAACGATCCGTTCGTGGCGCATATCTTGGGAACATACACTTACAACTGAAAATATTGGCACTATATGATTTGTATAGTATATAAAGAATGAATAAAGAAAGAAATACGATAATATGCTATACTCTCTTTCGCGTTGCAATTCACCTCCAGGATTGGTTTTTTAGCATTGCAGTTGAAATAATACTTGGGACGACGTTAAGAACATTTTTTTTGTCGGTTTAAGTCATAAGTTGGCAACACTATTAAGACCTAACTCTAATAGTTAAGTATATCTTTCATTTACTAAACTACATGTGTCAACCTATGCCTTTACACTTTCTTTTTCTAATTTTCTTTGATCAAATCAAACACTAATTAATATGCATGCCACACCAAAAACTTTGTTGTATATACATAAAATTTTGACTAATGAAAGGGATATTAAATATGTTTGCAGATTATTATTTCCAATACAACTAGCCAGTCACTAGCACTCATATTATAAATAAATAATTGTATACATCTATTATCTATACATGCACAGAAGGTTGTGTTTGTCTAAACAACAAATTTCAATTGGTTCTTGTTATTTCTCATAGTCGCTTTATGCAACGAATATAACTGTTTTCGTTTTCTGCTTATCTCTTTCTCTGGTAAAAGGAAGAAATTTGTTACTGTATGCATGTATTAAGATTGACTCATTGACCTTATCATTGATTGTGAAGTCGAAGTAGGCAGGCATACATATAGGCATAGTAACGTATTTGAGATTGTAGCATATGTTACCCTTCATAGAGTTTTTCTTTTGAACTCTTTTGTATAGCTAGCCTCGAATATGTTTGCAACCCACTTAAACTCTCGTGCGGAAGCGCCTTGGTTTGGATCAACAAACTATAATATAAATTAAGAAAGCTTCCCATTACATAAAAATTAACAATTTTAAATTATAAAGTTTTTTATTTTGTTGGATAGCAGTAAAGACAATCATTTAAATATTGTTCATATTAATAAAATACATTTACGATATTATTGATAACACGGTAGCAATAAAATAGAAGCAACATTGAATTCATCATTTGGAAAGAAAGAACACTAAAGAAATGAGCTCCTTTAGCTCTTGGGGCAAGACAGTTGAAATGTGGCCCTATGCTCCAACGAAGGGACCAACAAATCTTCAGTTTTCTTATAATTTTATATTAAAAGCTCTGGAATTGAGCCAAATACTAATTTACAAACTGATACTATAAAAAAATGTGAACGTCTTACCTAATTTAGAAGTACCATTTTTTTTCTTCTGTCGACACGATTCTCTGACAGTACGTTTACTGAAATTTGAAACTTTCATTATAAACCAAAAATTACATTTTAGTTGATAAAACCACATTATCAGGAAGCAGAAAGTTGATAAAAAGAAGACAGCAAGAAAAAATTGATGCAAGTGGGAAAATAATAGATAGCCACGTACACACAGTTGGGAAAGCTGTGAGATGGAGACACATTCACATGTTTTATAAAACTCAAATTCTTGTAGGCTGGAGAAAAGAATAGCAAAATCATCTTATTAATATGTAATTCTAACCGTAAGAATCTTACCGTTGAATTTGAATCACATTGCATATTTTAATTTGATCACACAGTAAAAGTTTCAATGATATTCGTATACAGTATTTTTTTTCTAGAAAAAGAATCAGTATTATCGATTTAAAATAGGTCAAGAGATTAGAGATTTTGATTCTAGGAACTACATTATTAAACTAGTCACTCTCTAGATCTAATTTTCTTGATACGAATAAATCTGACTTGAGATAAATTAGTGAAAAGTCGAAAATTAAAGGCATTGCTCAATCTATAGATCTCTCCCAAGTCTAGAAAGTTTAGGCAATTTACCAAATTCATTATGCATAATATAATTTCCCTTTATTCTTTTTTTGCGTGTGTTTATACTTTATATACACAATATTGAAAAGTGCCATCCTTGAACAGTTTATTAGCATATTCACCAAATTTCCCCATATTAATAAGCAAAAATATGGCTCTCAAATCTGAAGGCCCTGACCCCTGAATTCAGTGTAACTCATACTAAAATGACACGTGACATAACAGCTTTTGTCACCACTGTCAATCAACCGCGAGGACACGAGCTTACTTGGAAGCGGAGAATCAAAACGCTATCTTATAGAAGAAATAAAAACACAAAGCAAAAGGAGTAAGAAATATTTTTACAAAAAAAAAGGAGTAAGAAGGAAAAAAGAAGAAGAGAGAACTAGAATTATAGGAGAAAATTTAAGGCCCACCTTGCATCGACTATGCGAGCAGTTTTCATGGAAAAACAAAAGTTTTCCTTAATGCGAAAGTTATTCCAAGTCCTCTTTGTGGAATTGTGAGCCTGGTTATACAACCTACACCTTAAAGTAATTATATTTACCGCAAATGGTTTAGCAGCCTATAAGTCTTTCATTTTAATTATATTTCTGATGGAAACCCTAAATTTTGAAACGATTTAAACGTTTGATAAACTCACATGCTTGTAAGTTGTAACCTCTATTAGTTGTCAAACCATACACGTAAACCTTGTTTTAGTCCTCTGTTTTCATATGATTCCCAATACAACAAACTGACAAATAGTAAAATACGCTTATAATGTATCCTAATTTTTTGCCTAATTCTTCTTCTGATGATCATTCTGTTTATACTTAATAGAAACATCCTCGTTTTCACCATTGTATGTATAATAACTTAGTAGGGGCCGGGAACCAAAAAGAAACTGTAACTTAGTTCAGTTGTAACATCTGTTATTTAAACTTTGGTTTTTGAAACCGTATTTGATTATAAAGAGACAAAATATACATGGAACTATACATAGAACTGGTCTATTTGAAAGGTGACACACATAAGTCGAAAACTACATCGTGTCGGAGACTATAATTTGGTATATGGCACTATTTACAATGAACTTTTGGGTTATGGTGATTAGTTCATGAACCCAACCATGCCGAATTTAGCTTTTCTCTAACTGCCGCCAAATATAAAGCAAAATAAATCAAACCACAACCGCACAATGTCTTAATTAACAGCACGAAAAGGATCGGAAACTTCCACTCATGTGTTTATCGACTGTGTTTATAAGTGTACAAATTTAATTAAAATACAATGAATGTATAAAATGTGCTAATGAGGCTTAATTTAATAAATGAAAAGATAATAGTACAAAACACCATAGTGATTGTCCCCGTCGGAACAAAGAAATCTAAAGGGTTTCTAGTTTCGTGCCCTTTGTGGATTCTCAAGTAACGAAAGTCAAGAATGTTGACCCATGCCGTCGTCTTTAGTTATGAAATTATATTCAAACATCAATTAGACGTAATTTAATCAAAAGAGTTAAAAAAAACAGTACAACAAGCCGTCGCGAATATGTTTTTTATATGTAAATAGGTGATTCCGTACGTATAATACAAAGGCATGCATTTGCGATGAAAGGACAAAACTATGAAAAGAGAAAGCTGATACGTACACGTAGGATTTATGTACGATTTTTATTACATGACAAAACTATAGAGGGTTTATAGCTACTTGTTTTTGATTGAATACCACAAACTGTTTAGATAGATTAGGGTGCAATCGATTTTTTTGTTCCTGTGGGCGTTCACCATTCTAGTATGTTGTATTCGCTCTATTTCTTTTTGCTTTACAAATTTTTAATAAGTCTTCCTTAGGTCTAATTTAAAACATGATCTAGTTTGGTTCACCAATGGAGATGTGTGCTATGGTTATAGCTGGTTACTATAACGTGATCGTTCGATCGGTAAACCATTAGCCATATCCTAAGCCACATAATTTGAACTATAAAAATCAACACGTATATGTACATGTACTTTCATACGATGATCGATTTCTTTAGCACATATATATTTTTATTCCGTTGTTGCTTTTCAATACAAAACCAAAACCAAACTTGGACTAAAAAACAGAAATATACGTAAAGGAAACTAAAAGAGTTAGATATAGTATCCCAAAAAATATATGAAAATATCGTATTGATATTTCTGTAGATAAATGATTTTATGTTATCATATGATCGACATATATGATCTTCGATCATCCAATACATTTTCCTTTTTTTTTTCCTTTTTGAAAATGAAGAAAACAAAAAGTTCATAATTTTGTTTTCCTGGTTTAAATAGTAAGAAGGTTTATAATTGTGTTCTCATTTTTATTGATGAAATTTGAGATAGAACACATATATTAATGTACATTAGTGGGCACCGAACAGTAGTATAAATCTAGCAAAAGAAAGTTTTTGAATATGCTGATATGGACTTCGGCGAAGTTTAACTTTTTCTTGATTCCTACTCTTACGAATAAGAACCAAATATATCATTTTCCGAGATCATGTAGAGATATGATTATTGATCAAATTGCTGAATTTATTATTCCTTGATGTATCTTCTAGGAATATCGAACTATCTTAAAAAGCTTCAATTCTCGACATTTCTTTAACCCTCTCCCATTTTCTACCTCAAAACTTCATAATATAGACCATAGCTTACTCTTAAGTCTTAACCAAGAGAAACCTCTATAACTATTTTTGTAACGATCCAAATGAAGTGAAAAACAAAAAAAAAAGTTTAAAAGGCTGAATTAAAATAGAGAAAGAGAGAGGGGCATAATGTGGCCAAAAGGTTCAGAGGGAGCCACCAATGATAGATGATTTTTTTTGTTTTCCAATTTCTTTTGTCTCACATACTTCCTTCTTCTCTCTCTCTCTCTCACTCTCCCTATAAATTCCCCTTCTCCTCCTTCCCCATTTCCTCCTCCTCACCTTCTCTCTCTCTCTCTCAACATCTCTCTCTATCTCTGTCTCAACACACTTGTGTGCGAACCGAGAAAATGACTAACCAGAATGTCATCGTCTCCGACAGAAAACCCATATTGGGTTTGAAAACCATCACTGTCTCTGTCTCTAACTCTTCTCTGTTCTCTTCTTCACCACCCACAGCTTACTTTACCTTCCCTCGTCGAAAGTTCTTGAAACTTCACGAAGACAATCTTGGTGCTGCAAAGATTGCATCTTGGGTCGATTCCATGCGTGATTCTTCCCCTACACGTCTCAGATCCTCTTCTCATGACTCTGTCTCTGATAATGATGACAAAACATCTTGGATCGTACGTTGATAATCTTTAATCCGAAAACCACCCATTTCAGATAAAAAATGGAATCTGATCATGGTCTTATTTTTTTTCTTTTTAAGGTTCGATTTCCTTCGGCTTTGAGTATGTTTGATGAGATTGTGAATGCTGCAAAAGGGAAAACGATTGTCATGTTTCTTGATTACGATGGTACTCTTTCTCCAATAGTTGAAGATCCCGACAAAGCGTACATAACCCATGAGGTTTTTATACTGTTTTAATAGCTAAACAAGTTTTTTTAGGTATATATAATTAATTGTTTTTTTGGATTAAATATAATGTAACTATTTTTTTTTTCTTTTACAGATGCGAGACGTTGTAAAAGACGTGGCTTTAAACTTCCCGACTGCTATTGTCACCGGAAGATCCATAGATAAGGTACATTACATTTTTTTTAAATAAAAATTTATTTAAAATCCACTAACACTGAGCTAATGCTAATAATGTGGTATATAAATATATTTTACAGGTTCGTAGTTTTGTCAAACTCAACGAGATTTATTACGCTGGAAGCCACGGCATGGACATCGAAAGTCCGAGCAACGAAAATACTTACGGCGAGGTGAGAAAACAATGAAGAAAAATCAATAGAAAATATTAGTTATATGATTTCTAAAAGTTTTTTGTTATTTTGCTCGTGAAATGACCACAGCGTAAACAAGGAGTGTTGTTTCAACCTGCACGTGACTTTATACCGATGATTGAGAAGGTGCATTTTGAGATATTTGTGTGTTTTACATAATAAGACGAGTTTAAAGAGTAAGTTTTGATTTAACTTTATCGGTTGCATACAATTTCAGGTGGTTAAAATTTTAGAGGAAAAGACAAAATGGATCCCTGGGGCTATGGTGGAGAACAACAAGTTTTGTCTGTCCGTACATTTTCGTCGTGTTGATGAGAAGGTAAGAAACAAAATCTAATGATGAAATATAAACTTTCTCCTCTCTGGAAAGAAAGAAATGGTACATGTTACATTTTGTTTTTAACCCAAAGTACTTGGAAAACTTAAAAGGCTTTATTTCTTGAAAAGAACTTAGTTTTTTTGGTAATTTAACGTCTAGTTTCTAAATAAAAACTACTGGCAAAGATGCTTGGGGTATTTCACTTTAATTTTCAGCAATAAACCCAAAGCAAAACACCAGTACTGTTTTAAACTGATGATTATTGTGGGTACCGAATTACTGATATCTATCAGCAACTAAATAATCAGAATGTGTCTTATAATTATTTATCTGTTTACATTTTTGTTCAGAGATGGGCTGCTTTAGCCGAACAAGTAAAATCAGTTCTTGTTGATTATCCAACGCTGAAACTAACACAAGGTAGAAAGGTAAAAATATTCTTCATCTTCCCCTTTTTACTAGTCATTTGTTATTTAGTAACTATCATCTTTGCAGCTATTAATCTATTTATTTGTAAAACCAGGTGCTTGAAATCCGCCCCACGATCAAATGGGACAAGGGACAGGCTCTCAATTTTTTGCTAAAATCATTAGGTGAGACTACCCCCTGCCGATAGATGTATATTTGGAAAATGTTTGTTTGTCAGAGCTGTAAATTCTTATATGTTTCATTTGATCTAAAACAAAATAGGATTTGAAAATTCTGAAGATGTTTTACCGGTGTATATCGGTGATGACCGTACCGACGAAGATGCGTTTAAGGTATGGTATAGTGACAAATGACAATGAATTGAAACACGTTTACATTTAGTTAAACAGATCTACATTTGTTATACAGTAAAACTAATATCGACGTACTAATTTAACCATAAAATTCCATAGGTTTTACGTGAAAGGGGACAAGGTTTTGGGATTCTTGTCTCAAAAGTTCCAAAGGACACCAATGCCTCTTATTCTCTTCAGGACCCTTCTCAGGTAAATTAAGTCTTACCCCTTTTTTCATTAATTTTAATTTTATAATTGTTGTGACTGTTAATTAATTTACTAAACTGGAAACCATTTTAATGTACAGGTTAGTGAGTTCCTGAAGCGTTTGGTAGAGTGGAATAGGAAGACAGTGGGAGAAGAGTGAAACACAAACAACATAAATAACACCTGAGTTTATCCAAGTTTTGAGGAAATAATTTTTATATATAAACACCCTTTTAAGAAAATTAATAGATATCTAGAGGGTGGGTGTTTCGGCCTGAAATATTTTTATGTATCTTATTTATATCGATCCGAAAATTTGTAAATTTCATGTAACGATGTAGAAACGAAATAAATAAATATCTACGTAATTTAATTTGAGCCTTATATATATATATAACAAGCGTTTATATTGTCGTTATAGATTACAGTAGAAGGTTTAACTTTATATATAAAAGGTAAAAAAACTAGTTTAAATAATTGGAAGAATAAAGGAAACCTTAGGGTGATCATTTCATTACAACTTTATCCAGAAATGGAAACTTAAACTTCATTCATTGGCTATGAGTTTTGGACTATTGGGAATGATAGATGTGATAACTGAGCAGAAAACAAAGAAAAATTGACGAAGCTATGATTTCCCAACAAAGTGAATATTAGTTTTGACGACTTTTGTTGTATCCAAATTTGTGTGGGGTTTCAACTTTCAAGTTTATACTTTCCTATTCATTTTCCCATAATTTCGTTATTCGTTTATGTGTGTATATGTATAAATTTAGTACTTTTTCCACTACCATCGCTATCTATACATGTCTCATCGGCGTCAAGATTGCATACATTGACACCTCACTCATTTACTAACATTTTAATCAAATTTTAAACATTTTAATCATTTATTATAAAAAACATTTTAGTTGTCCAAAAAAGAAACATTTTAATCAAATTTTGGTTGTAGGTCGAAAAGCAACGTATAGAAGAGATTAACTTGACATGTTATGATCTTCGATCTAAAAGGATCTTTGGACAAAAAAAGGATATTTATTTTTAGTCATTGCATTATTTTTATAGACTTCAGATTTTTTATAGTCTTTTTTACACAAAATCCCTATCAGTTACAAAGAAAAAAGACACACCATTTTAAAGGTTAATACTCAAATAGTCTTTATCCATAACTTTAACTGAAAACTGCATAACACGGACATGTTACTCGCGCGATGTCGACAATGTGATCAGAACTCAGAAGTAATAAATTAACATTTCTCTTTATATTTAAAGTTAAGAATCAATACTTTAATGGCAAACAGGGAGATGAAAACACCAATTACAAGTTGCATGCAGATCAAGAACATGCAAATTTTTGTAATAAACTAATAGTATCCAGATATTTGAGACAGCTAAAGTCACCAGCTTTTAAGCAACACTATTTAGTTCACTACATCAGTTGAGTATTGTGCATGTCATATTAGAGGATATATCATAGATCGGACCTTTAGTGCTAAGCCATGGAAGAGAATTCAACAAGCGAGAAATAAAAAGATTTAAGTGACTTTCTAGGTTTTATGACAAAATGACATCGTTAGATTACTTGGTGTGCTAAAACTGTAAATTTTAGATGTATAATATAGTTACGATTGTTTGTACTAAAACATTGTAGAAGGTTTTAAAAATTGTATATATAGATAGTATACATATAGAAGGAGGAATCTTGTTAAAGCGACGTCTCTTTTGTTTTCTCCCTTTTAGATAACTTTTCATTATTTAAACAAAAAGTCCATTCATTACTGCATTACATTAATAATGTATCGTGTGTATATATATGAAATAGTGAGTTATTTTTCCGAATGGTAGGTGGTGAAAAGGAAAGCCGCTATAAAGTAACATTACTTAGGTTGAATGAGGAGTTGGAATCCACTTAAAGTGGGTTCGAATTTATGTAAAACAAACATAGAAAAGGCTTATATGTATCATATTGTTATTTTACACTACTCCTTTCTTTTTAATACTAAATGTTAGATATATTTGGACCTCAAGTGGGACAACCAACATGCTTCCATTCCACGAGAAGACATGACTCGATACGTGTAAAGAAACTAAAGCCGCGAAGTGTGTGTGTATCTTCACTTATATTTACCATATTATTTACTCAATTGAGATATTAATTAAAGAAGAAACCCCATCATTGGTGGCCCGACTTGATATGAAAAAACTAAGTACGGTTTCCACCAATTATTGGGATCAACTCTATTTGCCACTTAGTTTTATGGTAGCTTCGACCTATTCCCTTTTTTTTTTTTAACTATCACTGTTTATTTATGTTTTTATAAGTGGTTAAATAAATAAGACCATACCTACATAGTACATAGGTCAAATCTCCTAAAATTTTGTTTCACCTAACTACATTTGATATATCAAAAGAAACAATACGTTTTGCATTACTAAAAACAGTTACATGTAAAGTGGTATAACTTATTGGTTTCAGCTCAATAATCATTCGATGATGTGTTTTTGTGAAAGGTCTATTCATCCCGATATTGATGGGACGGTCGAAGTAGTAAACAAGATACATTGTATTCGCAATAAGAATGAGAAATAAAAGCATATATAAACTGCTCTAAAGACTCGACTATTCAAGTATTCATAAATATATGCTTTGGATGGTTACTAAAAAAAAAAAAAAGAGAATTATATGATTAAGGAAATACAGAAGAAAATAAAAAGAGAGCTAATCATAGTTTTTCTTCTTCTTCTATGTGACAGCTATCAATGAGTCACTAAACTATGCACATGAACAATGGGGTTCATGTGTTATTCTTTGGATCTGTGCCCCAAATAATTACTATAGTATGATATTAAATTTTCTAAGACGACCAACTAAAATCTTCAAATCATAATGTATCCCTCTCGCTATAACCGAGTATATTATCTTATACTATGGTGTTTGCAAATGTTTAGTGTAGAATTTATTTGTGTTTCTTGTTTCTTGTTGCTATTGATTTTGAAGGATTCCTAAATCCTAATTCGAGCAGTAACCACAGACAAGCAAGTTCACTGTTTGCTGTTTCCGGTACGTATCCCTTAATAATTATTATGTGTATATATGCTTAATGCTTGAGAATTAATTTCATTATCTACTCCATGTATATATATATATTCCTTAATTGCAGCACAAACCCCATCATGTGAAAGCTACAAGGGACCAATTAAAGCTAACACGCATCTTAAAAAGGTAACGGGGACCATTAATCAGATTCTCGTTATTAGTTAATCACGTTTAGTTAGGCAATAATTCAGGTTTCTAAGCGCACACGTGTCACCCATAATGGTCCCCCTCCTCTCACTTCTCTTTTTGCTACCTTCTCCCATGTTGTAGGCTTTTAGCTTCGGGAAAATTTGTGTACTATACATTTTTCTTAAGTTGCTAAAAATATTAAGTTAATTTTAATTGGATGATTAAGATTTCAGACCATGTGATTTAGTGATCGTAGACTGGGGAGCAGATTTAGTTTCGTGCCAATTATTATCCGCTTTCAGGCGCTTTAAAACGTTGAGTATAGGAGGAAAGATAAAAGTAAATATTTATAGAAGCTAGGGTTATAGGGTTAGTTGCTTAGATCTTATAAATAATTCAGGATATGTTATTAGATTCCAGCAAACAATTTAAATTATGTTGCACTTAAATATAATTGGAGTAGCGAATAATTACAATGTTTCATTGAAACATGGAAGTTGAGTGTAACCACCAGTGAAAAACAAGTTCCATTTTTCTCCGAGAAAATTTAGTTTATTTTCATACTAATTTAGTTTAATACAGATGTATATCTTTTTTTTTGTCGAAATTTTGTTTAATATATTTCCTTTTATTTTTGTAAGGAAAATTAGACACATCATTTTTCAAGATGCGAAAGGAAACAGAAAACGAAGCTAGATACCTGTACACTACTGGGCTGTATCAATAAGGCCATAATTGATTGACGGGCCTTGTATAAACTCCAATGGGCCAACAAAATCATTTCGAAGAATGTGAACTTTTGTTATGTTCCCTTTTCATAGGAACTTCTCTATGACAAAGAAAAGCTTATTGAGAATGGGAGATCGATGGGAGACTGAGATTGCTGAGAATCTGAAATCAGAGACTCTCTACCGTTGAAAAACATTCTACAACAGTCTTTGCTTCAAGATCTGGAAAATGTTTTATTTGCTTCTGCTAGAAATAAAAGATGAGATTATCATATTATGCGTTTACAAACTCCTCCTTTGTATTCCAGCTTTGTGCTGTGTAATTGAATTGCTTTCATGTTAAGTGTTCCGTTTTTCGATTTTGGAAATCAAAACAGATAGCTTTACAAGGATAAAGTTGTAAATTAAGGAAAGTTTATCCTAATATGTCCGACCAAACACTATAATCGTATTCAGACAGCAAAATTAATATTTTAATGTGTAATTTTTTTTATTTGGGGTTACTGTTTTAGAAAAACAACAAATCCTTAGAAAGGAAAGAAAAAAAAAAATCAAAATCCCCAATTCCACGAACTCTGAACCCAAAAAAATCCCCAGATTTGGGAAAAATGGTCTTCCTTCGTTTCCACAATTCATCTCCTTTTCTGGGATTTGTGTAAACTGCTTGATCCTAATTCCTCTTTGATTGAGCTCCCACGTGCCGCATCGACTACAAATTTCTACTGCTAATCTCAGAAATGATCGGAAAATGAGATGCAGCCTAATCTGTTCCCATTCGGCACGGTTTTGGGCAATCCGTTTCTCTTCAGCGGCGGAGATCTGAGCGAGCTCGGTGCTGCTGGTGGTTTCGAGAGCTCTAGGGTTTTCTTACTACTTCCCTTCTTATTATCATCCCAAGGCCAAGGCATGGATTTCTCTAAAGTTGGCGAGAAATTCCTTAGCTCTGTTAAATCCGCTTCGTCGCTTGGTCTCTTGCCTTCTCCGTCTTTCTCCGATCGCCCTGAGGTAGACACTTTCCCTCACTCATCTCTCTCTCTCTCTGATTCATAGTTTCTCATCATCTCATTGTGTAGATTCCGGCGCGTGCGGCAGCTGCAGCTGCTGTTGCTCGTGCTTTGGCAGGACTTCCTTCTGATCAGAGATTAAGTATATCTTCTAATGCTACGGAACTTAGCTCAATATATGGAAACAGACCTCCTCCTCAAGAAGTTGAAGAGCTTGAAGAGGGTTTCTATGAAGAGGTGTGTGCCAAAATTGCTTTCCATCAATTTCTGTCTCGTTTATTCTTGGAGATTTATCCTTTTCATCAGTTTATTGTTCATCATTGTTGTCTCTCATGTAGGATTTTGATCCAGTGAGACATATTTTGGAGAATGTGCCAGATGATCAAAGCGAGCTAGCTTATTTTGACCAGCAGGTACTGATTGAATATCTCCTTCCTTTCTACCAATATGGACCTGTAAAGTTTGAGGCAAGTACCCTGAAAGAATAAGAATGCTGTGTAGGCTACATTGAGGCTGGTACAGTTGGATAGAGTGGCAGAGAGTCTGTCTCATCATGTTATGGAGCATCATGAAGTAATGGGTAAGTAGCTGGAGTTGAAAAAGAAAAGACTGCTCTTTTTTTCTCTTGACGAAACTGATTTCGAGTGTTTTCCGTTTTGTTGAATATGAAAAATTCACTTTTGGCCAGTGAAGGGGATGAATTTGGTTAGAGAATTGGAAAAGGATTTGAAGATTGCAAATGTTATATGCAAGGTTAGGATTTCATATTCTTATCCTAAAAGTGGTTACAGCTTTCGATATTGCCTGTTACTGATTTGACCTTGGTTATGGCCGTTTTTGTATGTTATTGCCAGAATGGAAGACGGAATTTGACTTCATCTATGAATGAGGCGTCAAGAGATCTTATTGTACACACTCATTCCAAAAAGAAACAAGCTCTTCTGGTAGGCTTCTCTATTTGTTCCAGACATCACTCCATGCTTTATGGTTTCTTGCTGACGCTCCCATTAGTATGCTCAAAAGTTTATGTACAGACTTACTCTGTAATATCGCCTATGAGCGAGTGGCTAATACTGTTAGGATATTTTCTAAATGGAATGAAAGTACTTTCTTATATACATATTTACTGTGTAATGTCGCCTGATCAGCTTGTGCCCAAGTGTCTGATTGTTTTCTAATATTTGAAATATTGTGAAGACCTTTTTTCTTATCATCCTTTTTACTTCTCTGGATACCTTGTACTTAGAACTTTATGAATGTTTAATTTCCTATGCTTTCAGGACATGCTTCCTGTATTAACCGATCTTCGCCATGCAAGAGTAATGCAGTCAAGTCTTGAAGACCTTGTTGAAGAAAGAAACTACTGCAAGGTATATTCTTTGGTTTTGTTATAAGAGCTTTGGTGATATTATGCGATGAAACTAACAAGAGACCAGGAAATGTATTCCATATTACGCAGGCATTTCAAGTTCTCTCGGAGTATTTGCAGCTGCTTGACAGTCTGTCTGAGTTTTCAGCAATCCAAGAGATGACCCGTGGTGTTGAGGTAGTTATGGCTTATTCATGACCAACCATTGTCTTCAATAATTTTATATTTGTCAGTTGGTTGAGCTTCTCATACTCTTTTTCAAGGTTTGGTTAGGAAGAACTCTTCATAAGCTGGATTCACTTTTGTTGGGCGTTTGCCAGGAGTTCAAAGAAGATAGTTATTTAATGGTAAAAAATCCAACTCATTCTCATGATTGAATTGTGGACCTTCAATTTAGTCGAGGAGCTAGAAATTGGTTCAGTGGCAATACTTAACTTGTTTATGTGCTCATACTTATAGGTCCTTGACGCTTATGCACTAATCGGCGATGTCTCTGGTCTCGCCGAGAAGATACAAAGCTTCTTTATGCAGGAAGTTATCTCAGAAACCCACTCAGTGCTAAAGACCGTTGTTGGGGAGGTATGTGAGCTAAATATATAATCGTTGTTTCTGTACTTCTGATCGTGGATGTAGCGGTGCATGCTTGGATGTATAAAGCTTGCTAGTGTATGGTTCAATCGTTTTTTTTTCTTGTTCTGGCGCATGACACAAATTTTAGATGTCACTTTTGATCCTAGCAGATACATAGCAGCTAATTGAAGATCCTGACATTGTAATATATGATATGTAGATAGATATATTGAATGCTTAACAAGTGTGGTTTCTTTTTATGGATGAAATCACTTATTTTCTTAGGAATGTAAAGATTGTTACGATTTGCTTAACGCGTTCTAAACTATCTTCTATTCATTTTCATGCAATCTTCGCCATATGTGACAATGCTCTTTTAGTTCATCCTACTGACTACTTGAATGAGTTTTTTTTAAAGTCAGTACAAAACCAGTCAGATTGTTGATCCATTCCTTGTGAATAATTTTTTATTTTGTAGGATAACAGTGCTGCCACACAATATAGTAGGTATGTTCTATACATCTGAGTTATCACGGGTACCTATTACAGTATATTATACTCACTTCTGGTCCCTATTTGTTTGGATTCTAATATTCTTTATATGTTTAAATTAATTGCAGACTTACCTACAGCGATCTATGTCTTCAGACACCAGAATCCAAGTTTAGGCAATGTCTTTTGAGAACACTCGCTGTGCTATTTCAGTTAATATATTCATACCATGAGATAATGAGTTTTGTGCCAGAGAAGAAGGTAGGTTCCCAACATTTTATTATTACCTTGATAGGGTTCTTGAAGCAGCCTCTGGTTCTAATCTCAACGCTACAGTTAGTCTTAAACATCTCTGTATTCTCTGAGCAAAACTACACCTAACCTCATTGTGTAAAATACTTCTCTCTTGCGCAGTAATTAGACGAGATTTTTTAGCATAGATGTAAAACTTTTCTCTCTGTGCTTGTTTAGTTTGCTGGTGTATAGACATGTAATAAGACCTGTTTTATCCACATGGTTTCCTTATCTCGAAGTTATATTAATTCGTGTATGTAAATCTTGGGTATTACTCAAGTTCTTAGTTTATGTACAATTAGGTGATTTTTCTCTCTCTTTTAAGTATTCCATGTCAAGTAATTGATTGTCCAAGAATTTTGTTAAGTTATTTGATTTTAGTACGATCTTCGTTCGTTTTATCCCCTTTTGTCGTGAAGGATAGTGGGTCAGAAAATCTTTTCTCTTTCATTTCTTTGTTGCACAGTATCGTATGCATTGACAACTTCCTTTAGGTTATTTTCTGTATGTTGTCAGCGTCAATTTATTATAATTATCTCTAAGGTTTCTAATGGCTAAGCTTTCGAACTGGAACAGGTAGAAATGATTGATTCAGTGATAAAAAGTTCATGCGACCCACAGGATGATGGTCTTTCTTCAGCCATGAGTTCGGGAAGCATACCTTCTTGTACCATTTCTGCTGAAGAGTCTGATGGAAGTGGAACACCCAATTCCATGCAGCAGGCGTCTACTAGTGTAGTAAATGAATCTAGGGATCCTGGAGATACTGTATCAAGTGGTGAGTCGCCATGGTATTATCTACGGAAAGAGAGTGCAACTTTAGTTTCAGAAACTCTTCAGAGAGGACGCAGAAATCTTTGGCAGCTTACAACAAGCCGTGTGTCAGTTTTGCTCTCTTCCCCAGCTGCTTCTTCAACAAGTATACACCAGTTCCTAAAAAATTACGAAGACCTAAGCGTCTTTATCCTTGCGGGGGAAGCGTTCTGTGGATTTGAAGTTGTTGATTTCAGGGAGAAGCTAAAGGGCGTATGCGAAAATTATTTCACTGCATTTCATAGGCAAAGCATGCATGTAAGTTCAGTTACCACATACCTAGTTACTTTCATTCATCACTACTCTCCTACATGATATCGTGAAGGTAAGGTTTTTGTTTGGTTTTTCTCCCTAACAGGCGCTTAAAATGGTCCTGGAGAAGGAGACATGGACGAAACTGTCACCCGATACTGTGCAATCAATTAATTTTGCCGGTCTTGTGGGGGATGGGGCTCCCCTAATTATTTCTTCCCGCAGCGCCTCTGGTTCTTCCAAATTCCCTCACTCTACTAAGTCAAATGAATCAATAGATCCCAGTGGGAACAGGAGTGGGTTCTCACATTGGCTGAAAACTGGAAACCCGTTCTCAGCAAAGTTAACTTACTATAGAGAAGATCAAGACTACTCCCCCGTCAATGGAGCTGCCTCTGGAGATTCTGAAGGGAATGATAGTATTCACGATGATCTTGTGAGTCCCAAGATAGGAGATCAAAAACGGATTAATGGAGGCAGTCCTGTTTCAGGAGATGAACACGAAGACCTTCATGCTGACTATATTGATGAGGATAGTCAGCTTCCAAGGCGAAGTTTTACACGTAAAATAGCAAGGAGCTCTTCTTCACAATTCAGTACTAATGATGATTTGACAGCTCAAACAGGATCGTCCCTTTGTCTATTAAGGTAATAAGCAAATGAATGACACCCTTCCCATCAGATATTTTCCTCAGCCCACTTTTGTGATGTGGAATTGTTTTAACTGTGTTCTCTGTCTTAGATCAATGGATAAGTACGCAAGGCTTATGCAGAAACTAGAAATTGTTAACGTTGAATTTTTTAAGGTACCAATCTTAATTCTAGTAAATTCTACAGATTTCTTTACTAATCTTCGTGGAATTCTTTTCTAAAATGTCGCTTACACCTATTTGGCATTTGTAGGGAATATGCCAATTATTTGGGGTCTTTTTCTATTTCGTGTTTCAAGTATTTGGTCAAGAAAATACAAATTCAGGTGGAAAAGGAGTTGCCGAGTCTTTTAATCGTGAGTAACTGATTTGTTTCCTTATGATGCTCCTCTTTGTTTGTAATGTTACTCACAAACAGCTTTAGTATGGTTATGTTATAGTTTTTAAGGCTACAATATTCGAGGAAACCCATTATTTTATATTTCAAACTTTTGAAATGCAGATCGTTTGAAAAGCAGCTTATCCCGGATATCTCAAGAGTGTGAGCAATGGATAAAACCTCAGATTTCATCATCACCATCCTCTTCACTTGGTTTTTCCAACACAGTTAGTCTTGCGGATGTGACTCCAGCAAGTCCTTTAAATACAATTTCTGGTCACTTATCAGGCGTATCTTTTAGTCTCAAGGTATTACTTGGGGATAAGTTTTCATCAATCCGAACTACAATTAGTTTTCTGTCCATTAGTAACCATGAGTACAAGTATTCCTTTTTAGTTATTATTTGCATATTTCATAGATGAGTGTCAGAAGAGAAGAGCAGCTACCTTACTTCTTCAGATCATCTCAAAGTTGTATGATAAAATGTTTCACATGATTATCGCTTGCAGGAAAGATGTGCTGCAGTGGACACTGTTTCTCTTGTAGCTCGGTTGTTGCATAAATCAAAGCCTCATCTCCAATCAATGCTTATGTCAAGAAATGGCTCTCTGGTTGAAGACTTCTTTGGTCAACTGGTATGTGCATCTTTCAGTTTACATTAACCGTAACACTGGCTGGGACTATATTGCATTATTTGGTTGTAATGTTGACAACACACATACAATCTGATCATACTTATACCGTTGTAGCATCCAATAGTCTTTTGCCTAAAATCGACTATGCAGGACATGCTCAATAGTAGTTTCGATGTATTAATTTGCTAAATTATATACAAAATGTGGTAGCAAATATATTTGAAGGAGTTGCATTAAGTGGAATGATTCATCAGGTTGGTTCCGTACCTGATCTCACAGAGCACTTGCATAGGACAACTGCGAGGATGCTGCTGCATGTTAATGGGTAAATTTCCGTTCTCCTCTCCTCCCCCGTGCCTTCTATTCTTACTCTTATGACCTCTTGCCTCTTGGTTTTTAAAACTGTTACATTAAATGTGTATACTATGAATTCAATTGGTATGGTAAAGTCAAACCTTGGTTTTTCTGTTATTGGTTCTCATTGTGGGGGTGTATGTTCATTCGCCTTCTTCTGAATTTGTAGATATGTAGACCGGATTGCTAATTCTAAATGGGAAGTCAAGGAGCTCGGAGTGGAGCACAATGGGTTTGTTACTTCATTCCCCTTTTAAAAATAATGTACCTGCAGGTTCAATAAGATCATGGAATATTAAGAAACTCTTTGCACTAACAGGTATGTTGATTTGATGCTGGGGGAATTCAAACACTACAGAACAAGGCTTGCTCATGGAGGCATTCCACATGAGGTAAAATAACTCTCTGACCTCTTCAATTCTGAAAGTTGACTATACTATTGTGACAAAATAGCATCTTTGGTTTGGGACATCAGTGGTGACTGACTTCCTGATCCATACGTAGGTCCAAAACCTCCTACTGGAATATGGAGTTGAAATATTTGCGGAGATGCTGGTCGAAGGTTTATCTCGAATAAAAAGATGTACTGATGAAGGACGTGCTCTCATGTCATTAGATATTCAGGTACACTTTTCTCTCTTTTTTTTTGTTTTCCAGTGTGATTCTCCTATACACGAGATCAGGAATTGTGTAATCTTTTTTTGTAGGTCCTAATAAACGGGCTACAGCACCTTGTGCCAACAAACGTGAAGCCCAAGTTTCAAATAGTCGAAACATTTATAAAGGTAAGCAAAACAGAAACTCATACGGAAGTGCTGATTTCACACTTGAAAGTCGAAATCATCATTTGATTTTTGCAGGCATACTATCTACCAGAGACGGAATATGTTCACTGGGCAAAGGCTCATTCGGTAAGCACACAAATCATCCTTTTCTTTTAATTTGATTTTAAGTAGAAGGCTTGATTAAAATGATTAGACATGGATGATTGTAAACACACAGGAGTATACAAAAGGACAGGTCGTTGGACTGGTGAATTTAGTAGCCACCATGAAAGGCTGGAAGAGGAAAACGAGGCTGGAAATTGTGGAGAAGGTCGAATCAGCGGCTGCGTAGATCAATCTAGAAGCTTCTCCAAGTAATACTTACTCTTTCTTTCTTCTGTATCGCTTTTGGTTCTTACTTTTGCATTTGTATCGAGACTACTGTAAATTTAAGAGGACATGACTTGTGTGTAAAGGATCCTCCTCAAATTTTGTACAGTCTCGAAGAGGAAGGAGAATTGTTTTTCTTCTTTTTTATTGAGGGGAAATTATACTAAGCAAATTGGATATAATATTTTTTGATAACTAAATTGGATATAACTTTTATTAAAAAGAAAGAAATATATGGTAGCTTTCCTCCTGTTTTAAAATGGAATCAAATTAACTTTTTTAAACATGTATATATACAATTTAGTAGTTTTCATAGTACACCGCATATACCATTGACTCAACCAAAATAATTATTTAGTCTCAATCAACCATTGATTCAAAATTCGATGGATCATTCTCTAGTTGAAAGAATCTATGGTTTTAAATTCCACAAGTTCACTCTCACAGTTGTCTTAGAGCAAGGAAAATGTATTGAAAATACAAAATGACGTAATCATAAAGTTATAAACGACACATACTGAAACTAGAGGAATATTAAAGATAAAGATTGGCGTAAGTTATTAATTTTGAGTTTTGAAGTTACATTAGTCTCAAGTTGCTTGTTTATATGAGGTTACAGACAATAAATCAACAAAGACAAAATAGAAACGAAAAAAAGAGACAAAAATAAACGTTGGAAATTGAACTGTACCTTTCGTCCTCTTATCCAAGAAAGATGTGTTTTTGGTAATCGCGTAAACTTTGGAAGATTACATACTTTTCCGTGCCACATATTTTTCCCCCCTCATGATTCTCTCTTGTTTCCTGTAAAAACTCAGAAACAAAAAAACAAATGTTGACCATTTCAGAGACAAAATATCAGTATTGAATTAGGGGAAGAAAAAATCAAGAAAACAAATGAATCAACGATAATCATGTGTTTTTCTCTCCTTTACACTTTGATTTCAATAAACGTAATCAGAGTAACACTAAAAAAGTTGTTTGGCCATTTTTTGACTTTGTAAAACTAAAGAGTCATACTCATACATAGCCTTTGTTAAAAATAAAAAAGAAAACTAAGAGCCGCACGTATATTCCAAATGATAACAATGAAATCGTAAAAACTAACTATTAGTTAACTAAAAGGAATAATTAGAAAAATTAACCGAGTAATTTTGAGGTATGTTGTAAATTAGATGCAATATGAAAAAAAAAAAAAAAAAAAAAAAAAAAAAATACTACTAAAAATCATGTGCCAGTTTGAAAGACTGACTAGTGATAATTAACAGAGTTAAATGCTTTTCTTTCAAAAGTATATATAAGTTCTAATTTTTTTTTTACGGCTATATAAGTTCTAGTTCAATGATACAGATAGTGTGTTAATAGCAATAATACAACCAACCATATTTTTTTCACCTTTATTATGATGCTTTATATTTTCATATCAACTCCTTGACCGTAATTGAATGTCATGACTGGAGTTCCTAACTGAGCAAGACATTGCCAGACTTGCCAGTCAGCCACTTGATCATTCATAATGTATGGATCTCCATGGAAGGACGTGTGACAAAATCTGCCACAACAACTCCCAAATTCATGCATTAATTCAGAATACAAAACTACATTAATACAACCTGTCCCAACTTTTATCTCTGGAGCTGTTATCATATTAAAATAATGATAACACAATGAAAATTGAATTCGATTTAACAAGTTTTTTCTTCACCGCGCTTTTCCTCTCTTACAAATATTGTTTCAGCTTTGTTTTGTTTAAAATAGTTAAGAGGGAGAAAAATCAAAAGGAAGACACTGTTTTCTTGTGTTCCCTCATCTATATGATTCATCAATGCTAAAGAGAAAGATCCTGTTGAACACGGGTGCATTTGTCCTTTTCCGTACATATGCAACGGGTATGTACGAACGATGATGATCCTAGTGAACACGGATTTTTTTCGGATAGTGTATACTGTATAAATTATTTTTGTAGAGACCATGACTTATATCACTTTTTAGCTAATACTACTAAACATAAACGTTAAATGCAGATGATACAATAATCATGCGTTGATATGAGATTGCTATACGTTTTTAATTTTCAACTATGTTCTACAAAGCCTAAAAAGTTGTATTTTAAAGAGACGATTATTTAGTGAATTTTTTTTTATTTAACATGGAAACACAAACACGGAAACAATTAAGAATTGGTTTGTTGATATGATCAAACAATTGTTTTATGGTTTTAAATTCTTTTGTTTTGGTTTTTGGACCGAGTCATTGAAATAACAGATCATTCGATCGGATCCCTCCAAATGACTTGGAATAAATAGGGGAATGATGTTGAACTAAAAATTAACACTCTTCGTCAATGGACTAAAACATTAATTCAGCACATCGACTTTAAAATAACACCATTTTCGACCTAAGAGCTAGAAACATGAAAAATATGATCATCTCTTCGATTAAGTTTTATCGATCATGATTTTTCTATTTATGAATATCATTATCATTGTGTTACCATAGTTGCCAGTAGCTCACAACTTTTCTTTTAAAATGATTTAATTTAAAGCTATTCCAATTATTTTTTCCCCCGGTATGGACCAGGATTTTAAATAAAATATGTAAAAGTAGCTTGGACCGTAGATCAATGACGATGTCGCCGGATAGAGAGCATCTCAATCGTTGATGTCTCCTTATTAAATATCAAACCACCAATCAAAAAATTCGAAAATCCGTACTTATTGTTCTTTATCATTTTAAAATATTATACCGACGGCAATAATGGTCCCACATGCCGGTAATTAAAAAAATGTTATCGCCTTTGCCATTTCCCTATTTAGGTCGAAAATCTCTCATTTCCATAACAGAAGAGAAAACACAGAAACACAAAAGCTAGAGAAGTCTCTAACCGATCCCGAAGGTTTTAAAAGGGTAATTTGGTCAAACCAAAAGAGAATCATGGACGCTTTTGATGCGATTCCAGATCCTGTGGTCGTCGACATTTTGAACAAAGTCTGTGACGTCAAAACGCTTATACGGTGCCGTTCCGTGTCAAAACGATTCCACTCGCTAGCCACTCAGTCTGACTCGCTCCTTCTCCAGCTCGATCAAATCCTCGGCGTCACCGAATCGGACTCCGAGATCGATTCTCCGTTCGCTAGCTTCTTCCGATCGCTGTTCAAGTCCATTCACGGACTCCTCCCGATCTTCTCCAGACCAGCTGACCCGGCCGAAATCCTGACCCGATCCCCGAAAACTCCGGCTCAGATTCTCTCCCGATTTGAACGGATCCGGAATCTGGAGGTGGAGTTATACGGAGGCGATGTCAAGCTCGAGAAAGGCGCCGCTGTTAAGTGGAAGGCGGAGTTCGGTGAAACTCTCAAGAGCTGCGTCATCGTCGCTTTCCGTTCCGCGACGGTCAATACTTCAGCTACGGAATCCCCCGTCGACGGTGGCGTGGAGTCCGACTCAGAGTTCGTCTGTGGATTGAAGACGCGCGTGGTGTGGACGATCAGCGCGTTGATGGCGGCGTCGACTCGTCATTACCTGATGAGAGATTTGGTGAAAGAGCACAGAGAAATGGAGAATTTGACTGTGCGTGACAGAGACGGGGAAGGGACGGTGGTGATGGACGCGGCGGGGATGAAAGAGTACAGAGAGACGGAGGCGCTTGTGGAGGAGAAAGGCGTTGAGCGCGTGAAGGAACGCACGGTGGTCCCTAGCGTGAGGATGAGTATGAGACACGCGCCGTCGTTGATTCTCAAGAGCGGGATTTGTCTCGAAGCCGCGACGCTGGTGGTCGTAAGGCCGAGTGGTGTGACTTCCGATGACGGCGACGCTGAGCTGGCGATGGAGGCGTTCGCCAGAGACGGTGGTGACTGTATGTACGGAGAAGCCGTTACGGCGTTGCTCAAGCGTAGGAGAAATGTGTTAGAGATGAATTCTTTCTAGATTTGGTTGAAAAAAAGGCTTAACGGGCTTTTTTGGGCTTTCGTTTGTTATGTAAATAGTGTATACATACATACACACCGTACAAATGTAAGCCATTTGTACTTCTGGCGTACGACTTTTGGTCGAATGAGATCATGTCCGAATTATTCCTCTAATATAAAATGATTAATCACATTAAATGCATTGCAATATAATATGTAGATATGATTCCAACGAATCAGCAAATTACTGTATTTTATAAAAATTGATTGATACTGTTAAGTATCTCTCCCGTCTCTCCAGATTTTGACTAATTTACTCATCACCAAAATATTTTAGTTTAAGCAAACTTAAAAATATAATACAAGTTGCAATCAAGAGTAAAGATCCAGGTCTATTGGATCCGGTATGTAAGCCCATCAAGGCCCGCTAAAGAGAACTAACCACATCTCTTTCAAGTTATCAAGTTTATGAGCTCTCTAGTTCGACTTTTCAATATCCCATTCTACAATTCTTGAACAATAAAGAATTAATCTGATATCATTCTGAACGCATTGTTTAATATGTCACTGAGTGGTATCATCACTATCATGAACAAAAGGAAGTTATTGATTAGGTCACTAGTACAATTCTTTAACATTATTATAAAGGAAGAAATGCAAAACAACTTTCCAAATAATTTAAATCCTTCATCAAACTTCAAAAGTGAGGTCCTAGCTTTCATTTCATTGACAAATATGTGTGCTTTATTTAAACAAAGACTAACAAAAGAGTATATAGCGGATACCTCTTAACATGATTAGAGTGGGAATCTCAACCATAGCCTTATAGGTATGAATAATGCTTCGATCCAAAAATTTGATTGCAAGTTAAAAGTGTTAGGCAATACAGTTTTCATATTTATCAGGCTTCTTTTTGTCACGTACTACTATAGTAGAGTTTTTTTTTTCTCAATTCAGCTTACGTTTCCGATCTATCTATACAGTTTATATCTCTATCTAAAGTACGTTTCATTGTGATTTGAGAAAGAATTAGCTCGTGAAAGAAGGAGTAGAAATCTGAATTTCCTAACTTTTTTCAAGTGAGTCGATCTGTTAGTGCCAACGGCCTACTACCCACATGATTTCTCGATATTGTCGTTTTCAGGAGTACAACTAAAATCAAAGACTATCTTCTTCATCTACATCAATATAATTTGAAAATAATATCTTCCTTTTATATAATTTGTTCATAAAGCAATTGCTACTTAACTGTTAAATAAAGGTTTTTTCTAGTGCTAAAGGCCTACCGCTATGTTGATGCAACTTATCATGATAAAACATACCTAACTTTTCTTTCCATCCTTTAATTTATTTCATAGTTGGGGCCTGTTAGTTTTATTTTTGTTTGAATTTTTCTTCAAGTGCATATATATATGGTATTGCTTTAAAGAGATGAACGCAATTATCGCACCATTGCTAAATTCAAGTGAATAAGAGCGAAAGCCGGAAATCGAGTATGCTTATTTACCCATCTCACGTGTAAGTCGAGTTTCATAATTACCTAAGTCGGTGAAGGCCAAAAATTCAATTTGCGAATCTGTTGTTAGATAATACGTTGATAAGATAAAAGTGCCTTCAGAAAGGAATGTAAACGAAAAAGTTAGCCAGTAACAATATCTAAAATTCATCAAGTTTTTCATCATATGTTTGTTATCGCAGGACCGAAATATCCATGTTATACATGTTTTAGTTCGGCTATGAATTGACGGTTAAATCATGAGTTTCATGAAAAATGTTGAAACTAATATACTTAAATATTAAAGCTGGGATCCAAAAACAATAAGACACAAATGTACTTGCGAGTTCAATTAAGGAAGCAACATATTGTATGAGAAGCATGACAGTAAATCAAAATATTGTGTTTGGCGCTAAATTTTTGAAAAATTAGGAAAAGGTTTCCATTGTGAAAAAGTAAAGAAGATCACAAGAACAAAAGAAAAAGAACTACGGTATGAAACTAAGAGTGTGTCTTTGTGTCGAGGGAAACTGTTATGTTAGGCATGGAACGATTGATTCAAGTGTTTTCTGTAAAGTTGGTTGAAAAAAGTCGCTCAAACTATGTTTTTGTTTGTGTCTCTTAATTTCATCGACGTTATACTTTTATATGTTGAGTCGAAATATAATTTGCAACTTACCATAAAAATTGCAATGATTTTAACGGTGAAACAACAAAGAATATTAGAAAAACAAAACCACAACTTTTTGTTATTTGAGTCATTTTTCTCCGCAGTGATCTTTTTATTTGTGAAACAATTATAACAAATAATTCATGTCCCATTACTTTTACAGTTTTACCGAGTACTATTCCACTTCTTTATCGCATCATCCTCATATCACATCATTCACTTCCCTAAATAGTTTGCACTCCTCAATTTCATTATCATTTGGTGCCATAGTTTGGTGATATAGTTAGAAGGTAGTTAAATTGATGAATGTGTGGTTGAAGATAACAAAACGAAAGGTAATGTGACCACACAGCTTGTGAGTGCCACCATTGGATTAAGAAACAAGCCTCGTGCCTCTTCCAATCTTTTCCTTTTTTTTCCTCTTTATACTAATGTCTTTCTTTTTCCATTCATATACAATAATAATAATATTATCAAATTTATATTGCATTTTGCAAAAGTAAAGCCCACGAAACCTTTCCAACTTTAATCTATTGGAGCATTCGAGTATAACCCCATCATCACCCTTGTCACATTCACATGTTATTCCTTTTTTTCTCTCTTCCTTCATATATAATGTGAATTTATTATCTCATCTATGAATGTACTTTTAATTTTGTTTAGATATATAAAATCACCAGAAAAAACCTTTCAAATGTGATAATGGATGGATTGATCAATATATGTAAGAACTAAGAACTACGATTTTAACAAAAAAAATGTAAGAACTATGACCAATGCACTTAGTTTTTGGTAATCGAGTTTATAGAATGATCACATATGGATGTCACGTTTGAGACATTAAGTCCTTGCATCCACTGATTCACCAATTACCAATACGAGCACATACCCTCCAATATGTTATTGGCATAAAACTCAAAGTGAAAAGATAAACAAAATACATGAAGAAGAAATGGTGACGAGTGACGACCATAGAATGTTGAAAGTGAATGATTTAGTCAAGAAGCTTCTTGTTTAAGATGGAATAAAGTTGTAATGAACACACTTCACTCCTTTGACTCCACCACTTGTTCTTCATCTTCTTCATATTTATCCATCAAATTTTACAACATTTTTAATATCAAACATTACATTTTTTTTACATGAACAGTTGTTAAAGATACACCACCGATTTTTTCACTTTTATTTTTTGAAAAAAAAGGTTTCCAATGAAAAAGAAAGTTTTTTTCCCCGCAAAAGCAAAAAGCATGTAAAGCTGTCAACACAAGAATTTCAAAGCCTAAAGAAAAAAGAAAAGAAGAATTTTTATAAATCGAGACATAAAAAGCTGAACACTTCCCATTGAGAGATCGATCCAAAACGCAAATCCCAAAGAAACAAAAAAAGCAGAGAAAAAAAGCGATGATCAAAGGAAGAGATGGAAACAGAGGATCTTCTGGCTACTCTGCAGATTTGTTGGTTTGTTTCCCTTCAAGAGCCCACTTAGCTCTGACTCCTAAGCCCATTTGCAGCCCATCTCGTCCCTCCGACGCCTCCTCCATCAACCGCCGTCCCCACCACCGTCGCCAGCTCAGCAGACTCTCCGGCGGCGGAGGAGGAGGGAAAGGGAGCAGTCCTGTTTTGTGGGCTAAGCAAGCGAGCAGTAAAAATATGGGCGGCGATGAAATAGCCGAACCCACTTCGCCTAAAGTCACTTGCGCCGGTCAGATCAAAGTCCGGCCGAGCAAATGCGGCGGAGTGAAAGGAAAGAACTGGCAGTCGGTGATGGAGGAGATCGAGAGGATACATAGCAGTAAATCGGAGGGAAAGCTTTTTGGGTTGAAGAAAGATGTGATGGGTTTCTTGACTTGTCTCAGGAACATCAGATTCGATTTCAGGTGTTTTGGTGATTTCCGACATGCTGATGTCACTAGCGACGATGATGATGAAGAAGACGAGGACGATGACGATGAGGATGGAGACGAAAAAGAAGAAGAAGAAGAGAACTCGAAGACTGTTTTCTCCAAATGGTTTATGGTTTTACAAGAGGAACAGAGCAATAACGAAGACGACGATAAGAGGAAGTGCGACGTCGTCGTCGTCGACGGTGACGAAAAGCGCGATCTTGAAAACGCAGAACCGGCGGTTCCGCCGCCAAACGCGCTTTTGCTGATGAGGTGTAGATCGGCTCCGGCGAAGAGTTGGCTAGAAGAGAGAATGCAAGCAAAAACAGAGCAAGAAAACAGAGAAGAACAACAAAAGGACGAGGAAAAAGAAACAGAGGATCAAGAGATGAGTATGAAGAAGAAGAAGGATTTGAGATCGTTAATGGAGGAAGAGAAGATGGAGTTAGTGTTGATGAGATACGATACAGAGTATTACAGACTCTCTTCGGACATTGCTAAGGAGACTTGGGTTGTCGGAGGAATTCAGGATCCTCTGTCTCGAAGTCGAAGCTGGAAAAGCTGATTTAAGAGATAAACACCGTTGCTCTCACCATTAATCATCGTATTTTAAAGATCTCATTAATCGTATTTTTAAGATTTTGATACTTGTTTTTTTTTTTTTTGGTTTCTTGAGTTCTTTTTTTCTTTCTCAAAGGTTTTTTCTTTTCCTACTTTGTTTTGTGTGATTCATGCAAAAAGTTTGTACTGTAATGCATATATATGTACAGGGCTTCTTATTTTTACACAAATATGCTTTATAGATTATTCTTTTTGTTATATGTTGTGTTATTTGTGTGTATATTTGTAAACCGTTCAGAAATTTAATAAATGGACAAAATTATTGGTATTCATATGATAAAAGTTCAAATGAAAATTACAAACATCTTGCGCCATCTTTTTATTATAAATAATAAACTTAACTAAATGGTATCTTGGTATCTGGATCGAGATAGAGAACTTAGATTGAAGGTTACATGTACTTTGAAAGTTTTAAGCACAATGATCAATCTAACACAAGTTAGTTTTTTTCTTCTTGATAATAACATCAACCGAATAACCGACATCAGCCACCACTGTGTGAGTGTGAGTTTCCGAAGCGCTTCACGATCAGTATTGGAATGGTCGCAAGAAACAAACCTATGAATCATAGGCTATGATCATTACTAAATGTGTACTAAAAAAATCTCTTTTATAGTATCTTTTTTGGTTTTTAATGTTAAAGTTTATACCAACATAATGTTTTCAACCCTAAATCTGTTGGAAGTTAGACGAATAATTTTACTTAAACAAGTTATCGGATAATATTCATTTATAACATTTTATTTTTCTAATAAATTTGAAGTAGGACTGAAAATAAATTTCACAATAGTAATTCATGCCCTAGTGTTATTTATTTGGTCTTGGTGGCTTGTCTAGTTTCCGACCACTACTTATTACACATATTTTGTATTAAATCCTCTAGAAAGAGCTATAATATTGATCAGATTGTTAGAAAGAGCTATAAAATCAAAAACTTTTATTAAGATCCTTTCCCTTATGATATGAGAGGTTTTAGTATATCCGCTTGATACAAAATTTTGATGGTAGAAAACAGAAAAAAAGCCCCTAAAATAAGAAAACGATCACATAAAAGTGAGACCGCATGTAGCAAAATAAGGCAAACAAACAAGCAGACACAATCGAATCATTATAAAAAATCTCTTAAAAACTATACAATTCGGTTTACCAAAACCCAAATATCCCATATCAATCTAGCACAACTAAATCCGAGTCAATTCCTTTAAACCGGACATCTCCAACGGTCTGCTTCCTAAACCGGACATTAGCCTCAGCCAAGGCTCTTCTAGTCTCCTCGTCTCCAGGTGTCTCCATCATCAACAACTCATAATCTTGAATCGCGTGTTGCCATTTCTCCAACTACTTACACAGAACAAACCAAACAAAACATACATCACAATCACATTTTTTTGTTTTCAATACTTCTTTCCATATCGAAGTTCAGTCAAAATTTAGGCCGGTTTAAACCGGTTCTTAAATGGAGCTTTTCAATACCTTGGCATTAGAATCCGCCCTGCGCCGTCTCGCCTTCCGGTACGATGGCTGGAGATTGAGAGCCAATGTGCAATCTTCGATGGCTTTCTCGAACAGACCAAGCTTGAATCTTGAGGCGGCTCTGTTACATAGCAAGAGAGCATTAAAGGGATCTTGCTCTAGTCCTTCCGTGTAAACCACGCAAGCCACTTCGAATTTGGACGCGTTGAAAAGCAAATTCCCACTAAGTCTCGCCGCAGCAACTGCTCTCGCTTTTCTTGCCACTGCGTTCACTTCTTCGCTGCTCGGATCCAGCCTAGCCGCTTGCCTCGATGCCGTTACTGCATCTTCAAATCTATCCAAGAACCAAAGAAAATAACGTAAGATGATGGAACAGCAAGATGTTCCCTTCCTAAGAAGTGGAACGGCACGTTGTTTTTGTTCGGAAAAGAAATGAAATAAACTTGCAAGGAATCTTAGTGATAATACTATATACTGACCTTCCTGCTGCAATGTAGACTTGGGCTCCGATCATTAAGAGGTAAGAAGTGATGGAAAGACCAAAAATCTTTATGTAACAATCGATATCGAAGCGTTTTGTTCCTTTCTGGTACACGCTGTAGGCTTCCTCATGTCGCTGAAGATGCAATAAGGCCTCGGTTTGTAGCGCATAGACCTAATGAGTTTGATAATTATGGATTTAATTACGCAAAACAAGATATGGTAAAAACATAAAAAAAAAATTAGATATGATATGAACAAGAAATAAAACTTACACGAGGAGAAGAATCGGCTCCATATGATATCGCAAAACAAGCCTCTTTCAACATAACATTCCATTCTTTAGATCTTCGAGTTTCGTCGCACCTATTTAGATATTTTATAACATCTTGAACTTGTTCTATATGTTTTGTCTCGGTATATTTTCCAGCTTGGTTATAGTGAGACAAAGCTTTTTCCACCTCTCCCAATCTGTTAAAAAAAGAAATCCAGGGTGTAATTTTAACGTTTAGTAACTCTTTAGGGACCATAAAGGTAAAATCTTTAAAACTTACAGGGACTAATAAGTAATAAAGCAAAGATAACAGAGCGAAGAAGACTCTACCGGAGTTGGAGGGAAGCGAGTCTCTGATGAGCTCTCTCGTAATTTGGGTTTAGTCTTAAAGCTTCTTCGCAAGCATCGGAAGCTTCAAAGAGACGACCGAGACTGATCAAAGCGGCGGATTTGTTAGACCAATACGTCGGCGTTTTGGGATCAGCTGAAATGGCTCTCTCGTAGAACACAAGAGCTTCTCCAAACCTCCCACGACAGTACTCTTCGTTTCCCATTCTCTTCAGCGTCTCCGGGTCAAGTCTGTAGTTTACCGTTTTGCCCTCCCACCGACTTTTCGTCGGTGTCACGTCAGCCGCCGGAGGCTGTGGTTTCACGATGATGTTTCCCATCACGCCGTTGACTGAAAACCTCTTGCTATCTGTTCTTGATGAAGCCGAAGAAATCGATTTTCTGGCGGATTCTGATGATTTTCTTGGGTTGCTTTCGTCGGATTTCGTCTTTTGTTGTGGTTTCTGCGGATCTGGCTTCTTTGGCTGAGAAGAAGAATCGGTGGATTGTCTCGGGAGGGTTTTAGGGTTTGTAATGGTGGTTGACTTGAGAGGCAAGTTATCTTTTGCCTTGTGATCTTTCTCCGGTAAAGATGGTTTTCGCCGGCGAGGGCTCCAGCTCTGGAAAATACAGCCAAGGAGACTCTCACAACCCAGTTTTTGACCCGTAGAGGTTTTCTTAGATTTTGCCATTTCTTAAGGAGGAATGAATCTTTGAAGAAGAGAGAAGACTGTGAAGAGTTCGATGAAACAGAGGAGTAAGAAGTTTTGTAAGTGGAAGATGAAAGGTGTTTAATGTATATTTATATATATAAGTCTTAACATAAGAGTTACTGTTGAGTACTTTACAAGAAACCAACTTTTTTATTTGTCGGCCTTTTGCTCTAACACAAAAATCTTGCTTTTGTTTCCTCAAATCCAAAGATTAGATTTTAATCTGATTTTAATGGGGTCGATTCTGTAAGACATTCTTGTTATTGAAATAATGATAGGAATAAAATTGGCCTGACCCCATCGTTGTCCTAATGGATAAAGACGAAAAATGCAATAGATTGTTAAAATATTTGGAGCCTAGTGAAATACTTTAATTAGTTTCAAACTTTCAACACTTTGATGAGTTCTTCTTGTCATTATTTCTAGACATTTACGGTAATGATTATTACAAGGAAATTAAACTTTTCAACAAAAACGATTTACCAAAGAGCATTAAACTCAAAACCTTTTGTGAATATTTGGGTAAATTAGTTAAGGGTAAGAACAAGTGATTCAATTTATATAGACTATATTATAAATGTAGCAAGTATGATAGTGATATACAAATTCAACGAAATTTGTGTGGCTTTAAAACGTGAATTTGACTAGAAAAACGTAATAATCATGAGATTGTTTTATAGAAGGAAGTAAGGTTGTCTCTTTCTACCAACTTCTGATAATGGCATTAGCCTGTGTTACACTAACAAACTTCTCAAAAAAAAGGTTAGGACTAAAAGTCAATGTTAAACAGTGCTTTATAAAAGTAATAAATGGATTAATTAAGGTTATCGTCTTAAACGCCAAAGCGTTCGCAATGATATAGTGGGTGATATCCACAATAATGTATCAATCGATAACAACCAACAAACTGTTTGCTTGTTTCATTTCTTTTGATTTGTTTTAATAACAACCAAATTCAATCAAAGTGATTGATGAACAACTTCTGCTGAAATTCCGCTTAAACCGTTAAATGCGATTAACAAAGTGTGAAAAAGTGAGTTAGGAGTGATAATTCATTTTGGTGATATATATTTTTAGTTGAGATAAAAATAAAAAAGTAACAATTTCAACAAATTTGCTTGAGCTTCTATTTCCTACACGATGTGTGGAAGAGGAGAGTGAAACGCTGTCGTTCTACTCGTTCGTGTGAGTCGGTGCCGGCTTTGTTTGAGGGACCTCTCCGGTCTCATACGGCAGCTTTCTTTGTTTGTTGTATGTTTGATTTGGCTTTGACCACTTTATCTTCAGTTTTGTCCTCTCACCAACACGTACTTCCAAACTTTTTATTAATTTGACCAACATTTCATTATCAAGGGAGAGAAACTAAAGATACGTATGTAAACTCGATCATATTTCAACATCAATACTATATGTTATTCATATTGGTTTGATAAGCATGCGTAGTTTTTTTTTCTCTCGTGCTTTACATTTTAAAAATAGAAAAGCGTACGTTGTTTCCTTTCTTTCTGGTTTATGTATGTTCCATAAATGTGAATTTTTATTATTTTTCTTTTGAAAAAAAATGCAAAGAATGAATGTGCTTTTGCCTGCCGACAATGTAGAAAAACTCGTGCTATATGGGAGGAGAAAGCTAGTTCAAATAAAAAGGAGAAAGCTATGAACAAAGTTATGATAAATCCAAAACAAGCCACGCAAATATATTCCCATAAATCTCTCTTTTTCAAAACATTTCAACAAATAAAAACAAAAAAGTAGTCAAAAACCAACGATAGTCCAAATAATCATTTTATATCTGTTAATGTTCTTTGTATCATGATTTCCTCTAAGATCCCAAAACATGCTATTCATCATTCTGTGCCTCTGTGGCTGTATATGGATTATGGACCATACGATTAGCTTAAACTTTGATTAAGAAGAATAACATAACCCATATATTTCACAAGAATAACTAAACGGTGGTCAATTTTCTAGTATAGGCTTATAGAAAATGGTTTGCATGACTATGGTTAGAAGATCGATAATTAAAGTAAGGAAAGCCGTTCGATAAACCTCTATTGTACTCAAAGTGAACACATTATTTTATATGCAATCCCATGATTACAAATTTTATATAGGAAACACATCTATGATTTCTTATTCCGATTGATTATCATAGTTTCTAAGAAAGACATGATGAAACTAAAGAGAAAATAGGTGATACAATGATTGCATTTATATAATGTACATACTTGAAGTCATCATACTTGTATGATAACGTCACTTGTATAATTCATAAACTATTTTATTCTTCAATTGGATGAATTTACTTTCTAGTAAAAACATAGATGCCATTTGCCAACAAAAGTGTATGTAGTTTTTCTACTAGCTTTTTATTTACTAATTATAACATTACAGACGTTTTTTCTATTTCGTAGCTTTGTACACTAAATTACGAAATGATACTCAAATTATGTGAGAGATGGCAAACAATATGATTGAATCTATGGCGTGTGGACCTTGTAAACGGAAAAAAAATAATACATGAAAAAACCGAATGTGGCTTTGGATTAAAGATTAAATAATGAGGAACGGCGATCATTTCTTATAAATATAAATCAAAAAGTTTGTAGTTGGATATTATTTCTTACACTCATACATGCATGCGTTGGAGAAGATTACGATTTTTTTGTTTTTGTTTAGAGCCTATATATCCAAAATACAAATAAAAATAAAGTATACATTGATTTGACTATTTGAGGGCAAAATGTACGAAAGAAAGATGAGGGCGCGTGATCCAAAGACACATTGGGACTACAACATATGCTTGGCTTAGAAGGGAAAGGGGATAAAAGAAGAAGACTTACTCTTTTTGGATATTTCTTCACTTAGGGTTTTAGCTCTAATCTCAACTCTTTTACTAAACACGGGCCGTTGCTTATTCACGAATTCTACTCGTTGGAACTTGGAATAAGAGACTTGTTCCACCACCACCAGCAGGTGGTAGATTAGGCCCATGTTCGGTCCTTACAAAAAAATCAATTATACGGTTTAGGGTCCACATTAGCCCAAAATTAATCCGCAAGGGAAGCATGAATTGATGAAACCAATCATGAATCAACAACCATAGATGGATAAAAAATTTCTTATTCTAACAAGTCACATGACTCACAACAAGTAGAGAGTTATCTCCGATCTAGTGGTATTTGTTACAAGCTACCGCAAGTCCGAAAACAATTTTAATAATAAATTAAAGAAAGTATTGATAGAGTTGAAACATGAAACCTAGAAGTTTTGTTAGAAAGCATAACATATGCTACTAAAATTTGGGTTACATCACTTATGAAAATATGGACGTAGAAACATGAATGCGTGTAGTTCTTTAGTTTTTGGCAACTACTGAAATGAGTGTAACATGGTCCGAACTATGGAGAGAAATATGAGTGTAGTAATTGTTTGTCACAAAATTCGTCTCTTAAAGAAAAATCTAATTGCAAATCGAAAGAAAAGAAAAAAGAATGTTTCAGACTTTCAGCTAAAACAAAAAAACGTCAGCAACGGGACCCACTTTAGTATGACCGGAAAAGTTCATTACATTTGTTTGACAATTCTCACGCGCCACCATCAGCTACCACGTACCGTGATTGGCTGACACTTCCCACCGTCAACATTGATGACGATTTACATCCCAAATTTCATTTTCGTTTACGAATAAGACCCCAAAGAAAAATTCCTCCGATCAAAACCCCTCAAAAACCCAAAATATAGTAATTTTTTCATAAAAAAACGATTTTTTTCTTTAAGAATTCGGGAAAGATGAAGGCGGAGACGGTGACGCTGATTCTGGTGAATCTCGCCGGAATAATGGAGAGAGCCGACGAGTCTCTTCTTCCAGGTGTATACAAAGAAGTCGGTGCAGCTCTTCACACCGATCCAACCGGTCTCGGATCCTTGACGCTGCTGCGATCCATGGTTCAAGCCGTTTGCTATCCCTTGGCTGCTTACATGGCCATTCGACACAACCGAGCTCACGTTATCGCTCTCGGTGCTTTCCTCTGGTCCGCCGCTACTTTCCTCGTCGCTTTCTCTTCCACTTTCTTCCAGGTTTGCTCCTTTTACACCCTTTTCACTTCCTCCATTACAGAACACAATTAGACTATTGTGGTTTTGTCTCTTTGATTCGAGTAGGTAGCAGTATCGAGAGCTTTGAATGGGATTGGACTTGCACTAGTGGCTCCAGCGATTCAATCTCTTGTCGCCGACTCAACGGACGATGCAAACCGTGGCACAGCTTTTGGATGGTTACAGTTAACAGCGAACATAGGTTCGATCTTAGGCGGGCTCTGTTCTGTCTTAATAGCTCCATTAACCTTCATGGGGATACCTGGCTGGAGAGTAGCCTTCCACATTGTAGGTGTGATCAGTGTTATAGTCGGTGTGTTAGTCAGAGTTTTCGCAAACGACCCACATTTTGTTAAAGATGGTGTCACTGTTGTTCACAATTCTTCGAGGAAGCCGTTTTGCTCGGAGGTCAAGGATTTGGTGAAGGAAGCTGAGAGTGTGATAAAGATACGGTCTTTTCAGATCATTGTGGCTCAGGGAGTGACTGGATCTTTCCCTTGGTCTGCTCTTTCTTTCGCACCGATGTGGTTGGAGCTCATTGGGTTCTCACATGGAGAGACTGCGTTCTTGATGGGTCTGTTCGTGGCTGCGTCGTCTCTTGGGGGCTTGTTTGGTGGCAAAATGGGTGATTTTCTGTCTACTCGTCTTCCTAACTCCGGGAGAATCATCCTCGCGCAGATCAGCTCGGCTTCTGCGATCCCGCTCGCTGCGATTCTCCTGTTGGTTTTACCGGATGATCCATCTACAGCTGCGGTTCATGGTCTGGTCTTAGTCCTGTTGGGTCTGTTTGTTTCTTGGAATGCTCCTGCTACCAACAAGTAAAGTCTCTCTCTCTCTCTTTTCACTACTACTTGTAACTTCTCTCTTTGGTTAATCTGTTGTTGTTGTTGCAGCCCAATCTTTGCAGAGATTGTTCCAGAGAGATCAAGGACGAGCGTGTACGCGTTGGACAAGTCGTTTGAGTCGATCTTGTCGTCGTTTGCTCCTCCAATGGTTGGAATCTTGGCGCAGCATGTGTACGGATATAAGCCAATACCTGAAGGGTCATCGAGATCAACAGAGATAGCTACAGATAGAGAGAATGCGACGTCCTTGGCAAAAGCTCTTTATACGTCTATAGGAATCCCAATGGCGGCTTGCTGCTTCATCTACTCTTTCCTCTACCGTACTTATCCTCTGGACAGAGATCGTGCTCGGATGGAAGCTTTTATAGATTCCGAGATGCGTGAACTGCTTCCGGAAAATTTGAACAGAGATGTTGAGTCTTCACAAGAGGAACTTTTAGCAAACCAGGTTAAAACTTAAAACAAATTTACAAGGTAATAGATAAGAAGGTTACAAATGTATTCTGCTCTTTTGAGTTGTTATAATGTGTATTACTCTATACCAAACTTTCCACAACAGAAAAATTGTGTATATTTTCAAGGACTAAAGCTGTTGATTAGAGGGTGAAGCTTATCTGCTGGGTTTAGTGGCGGAGAGCATTATGAATGGTCCGTTTCTAACACGAGTGAAGCCAACGAGTCCACCGGCTCTGCAGAGATCTTCAAGCTCACGTTCACTCAGAAATGTGTGCGCACCTGAATATCTCATTATTTCCTATCATTTGCATCACAGGAATGTAAAATCAGCCACAGACTATAGCATAAAGCTAACGAGAACAAAATGATGCAATTCTAAGCTTTTAAAGTAACATATATACACAAACCTGGCGAAGATTCTTCAAGAAGGGGATAAAAGTGAAAAGGCCATCATAGATGAATGTGGTTGCAACAAAAACTCCTCCAGGTTTAAGAACACGGCTGATCTCAGCAACCTAAAACATCCAAAGGAAACACAAACATTGTATGTACGTTTTTTTGTTGCTGAGTGTTGAATTAAGAGAAAGGCTTTACAGCTGAGGATGGTGAAGGCCAGCAATGCAGAGCAGCACCAGCATGGACAGCGTCAACCGAACCCGAAAGGAAAGGGAGTCTAGCTATGTCTGCTCGGACCAGAACAAGTTTCCTGGAAAAGGCCACAGCTGAGTCAAATAACAACACATCTAATTAATCAAGAATTTGTCATGGAAGCAAAAGGTGAAAGTGAAAGTACAAACTCTTTGTTGGGAAAGTTCTCTTCTTGATTCAAAAGTTCATAGCACTGTCGCAGCATGTTCTCAGAGTAATCAAGAGCAATCACCAGAGAAAACAGCTGGCTTCTAGCGAATAACCTCGAGAACAACCCACTTCCGCAGCTGGCGTCAATGATATTGCCTCCCAAAACAGGCTTCAGGTACTCTTTAGCCATTTCAAACTGTACAGCACAAATGTTAACAGTGTTACTACTGACTCTAGCCATAGATAGCTACATGAAGAACATGTCACATATTGATTCAAAAATATACTAACTTATATATTCAAGTGCTACTGACTCTGGTCATAGATAGCTAGACGAAGAACATATTCACAGAAAAAAGTGGTGATTGATTCAAATATATAATTTTTGTTCTCTCACCTCTTTCTCTGGTCCTGGAAAGCCACCCCATATGAAATTCTGACGCCAACCTCTCTCGTAAAGGTAGGAGACTAATGGAGTTCTATAAATCAACAACAACGCCAAAGAATCTCGCTAAGAAATAGAGCATAACATTGACTAAGAGCTTATCAAAAACCATATCATCACCACCTGAATAACTCAGTGGAAAGAGGCATTGGTTCACTGTATTGCTTGCTTCCACTAGCCACAGCCAAATCAAGATGCGTCTCGTTACTCGAGTAGCTCTTTTTACAGGTATTGCATTGTAATTGAGTACCAGAGAGAGCAGATTCTCTGCAGCCAACATTACAAAAAAGTATTATTTAACTAAATGCTTTAAACTTTCAATAATAATTTCTGGATAAACGATGATATGAGTGAACAGTGAGACTCACATTAATCCATTAGGTTGACTAATCCATGCCAAGGAGTTATAACAGATGGGACAAGCTAGAATCTCCTGCTCTTCCCTGTGTTTCTCTTTCTCGATAGCAGAATTCACCTGCACGCCAATCAAAATTGCATCAGCTTGCAAAAAATTCGAGATCATGATTACCAAACAAAAAAAAAAAAAAAAAAAAAATCGAGATCATCAAACACCAAAGAAGCCCAATCACACGATGGAATGAAGTTTCGGAGAAAAAAAAACAATTCAATTTGAAAATGTTGATTCCTTCTGGAAATATCGAATTTGAATGTGTTGCTGCAAACGCGTAGATAGAGTTGGAGGAGAAAGAAATCCTACACTCGAGTTCGTCTCGACGGAAACGGAAGCAGAAGAAGAGGCGCGAGCTGATCTGGGAACGAAAACAACGCGTCTTTGGTCGGCGTACTTGACGGGAAGCAACCGCGAGACTGGAAATCGAATCGGGAGGAACGCCGGTGAGAATCGACCGGAGACAACCGTCATCGGCATTTTTACAGAAAATAGTGATTAGTGAAGCTTCGTGGATGCCAATTGAGCACGAAGCTTTTTTAAAAGAAGAGAACAAAACAAAAAAAAGCACAGAAAATTCGTGAATGAGAGATTTGAAACGGAAGTAATATTGAGCCAAACAACCAAAATTTAAATTATCGGAAACTGTTAAAAGAGAAGCCTTTTATTGTTTGGTTATTGATCCTCAAATTAAGCCCATTAATTTATCAATTAAACTGGTTTAGCTTATCACAGATAGTTTTGGGCTTAAGAGTGAGTTTTCACCTTTTTTTAACTGGATGTGAGTTTTTTTACCTTTTTAATTTCTTCTCTAACAGTACATTTTATTCGGATGCATTGTTTTTAAAGAATCCGTTTTGCTAAATTCAAATGTTTAGTTACGAATAATCAGGATCACAGATTGCGGATGTAACAAGTATAATGCCTAACTGAGAGGATAAAATCACGGCTTTTTCGAAATCACACATTTATCATCAAATTATGTATTTTGGTGCGCCAATAAAAAAGTGGCAGCACGTGAACACTGCTTCAAAAACGATGGTAAAACTAAAAAGTCTTTTAATTAGTTGTGAATTGATGGTTTCACATGGTGTTGTGTCAGAGAAAAGAATATGATTGACCATAATTAAAAAGGAAAGATATTTGAATATTTCTGTTAAAAACCCGAATGATACCGAAAACAGTAATTTTCTGACTAGAAAACAGTAACTTTCGATGCACATTACCACTTGTTATTTTCCTTACCGTACACGTGGCAGAGATTTCTGTCGATTCCTATAAAAGAAGCTTCGGGATCAAATGTGACCGTCAAAGGAACAGAGAAAAAAGGGCAAAAGAGTCAATTAACATAACCAGTTAATCACTGTGGAGAGTAAAGTGTAATCTTCTTCTTCTTCGATTTGTTTCCCAGAGAAAGAAAGCTTCAGCGTTTTTGATTCTGCTAGAGAAGGAGAGAGAGAGAGAGAGATAGAGTTATGGAGAGAAACATTCCGGTGAGAAAGCCGCACACATCCACCGCAGATCTACTTACTTGGTCGGAAGTTCCACCGCCGGATTCTCCTTCCTCCGCTCCTCGCTCCGCCGTCCGCTCCCACCAGGTACTTATTTCCTTCTCCTTTCACAAAATTCAGATTCTCTCCGACTCGAATTGAGCAATTTGTTAATCATTATCACTTTTTGCTTCCCTCTCTTGTTCCAATTTCCGTTTTAGCCGTCGGATGGGATTAGCAAAGTTGTCTTTGGTGGTCAAGTGACTGATGAAGAAGTCGAGAGCTTGAACAAAAGGTGAGAGTTATCTTCTTCTATCGCAGTTTCCATTTGAATTTCAGTTTCCAATATTTGTTTTGATTTCTTTGAATTTAGTTTCCAATTTTGTCTTAGGACCTCCCAATGATTTGAATTTGTAGTTTTTTACTGTTTCCTCAATCGAATGGTACTCAGAAATCTGAATTTTTTTGTTTCCGGTATACTCTGAATTGAATTCATCTCTGACATTTCGGTAAATCGGTGATGAATAATGGAAAAGACTCTGTTTTTGCCAATTTTCATTGAGAAATGAGAGTAAATTTTGAAAATTCTTGATGATGTTTATGTGAAAGTATACAAACATACTTGAAGCTGATGCCAAAATTGTGAAAAAATGTTTGTGATGCATCAGGAAACCATGCTCAGAACATAAAATGAAGGAGATAACAGGAAGTGGAATCTTTACCCGTAACGAAGAAGATGATGCATCGGAGCTCTCTACTGTCCCAAACAGCCGCATGTATCAGGTATCAATGTTACAAAATTCATGTTTAGTGAGTGAGATTGTTCTTTAATCATAACAAGCTTTTGATTAATTAACATTCAGCAAGCACTTAGTGGTATAAGCCATATATCATTTGGTGAAGAAGAGGACTTATCTCCTAAAAAGCCAATTACTTTACCTGAAGCTGCGAAACAGCGAGAGCTGAGCGGGACATTGATGGAGAACGAATCAGCTTCAAAGCTGAAGAAGCAGCTCTCTGATGCTAAGTACAAAGAGATCACTGGACAGAACATCTTCGCACCACCGCCTGAGATCAAACCTCGACCTGGAACAACTCGAGCTTTGGCTTTGAAAGACAATTTCAACCTCGGAGCTGGTTCTCGAACCGTAAGATTTTCTTGACATATCTTAGCAATCTTTACTGTGTATTATATAGTCTGATAAGAGAAACTTTTATGTTTTGGCAGTCAGGTGAAGAAGACTCGTCTGTGAAGACGGCGAAGAAGATTTACGACAAGAAATTCGCGGAGCTTTCAGGGAACGATATATTCAAGGGAGATGCGACGTCGTCTTCTTTGGAGAAGCATCTGAGTCAAGCGAAGCTCAAGGAGATAGGAGGGAACAACATATTCGCTGATGGGAAGGTTGAGTCCAGAGACTATCTCGGCGGTGTTCGGAAGCCGCCCGGTGGCGAGACAAGCATCGCTCTCGTTTGAAAAACTCTTTAACTGTTTGAAAACCGCGATTGAACGGTGTGTGTTCTTGTGGTATCTCTCATAGACTTTGGCTCAGATTGTGATTTGTGTATTATGCAGTTTCGTTGGTAATTTGGTAATGGTGAATGGTAATAAGTATTATTACTATTAATCAGTTGTGTTTTTAGCCGTCAGGGGTTTGTAATGTATCTCATGTGGTAGTTAATTCACAAGTTGGAGCTTGTACCGTTCGGAGATTATTAGTACTGCTACGGGAGAGAGAATGTTGCTTGGGTCTGAAGCTATGTCTTTTTTTTTTTTAAACCGGGAAACCAAATAAATTACTATTTGATTTCTAGAAAGACGTAATAATTGCTAAAAACTGTCTATCTTTATCTTCAAAAGAAAAAAATGAAGTTAGTGATGACTACATAGTCTACATGTCTTAGTATTGTTACTGCGATGTGGAGTCGCAATGCAAAAGATTATTTAACAACTTATCGACATGGTTCATAAATTTTTGTTAATTTTAAAAGCTTTTTTTGTATCTTTATTCAAATGGAGAATTACATAAACTTATTTGGCATAAAAATTACGCCTAGCATAAGCAATGTCGCACTTAAAAAAGAAAACGAGAAAAAAATTAGAAATGAGAAAAAGAGATAGTTTGAACAAAATTAGATGACTTTGCTACTTTGGAAAAAAAAAATGCTCTAGGGCTAAAAATGGGAAATAGAAGTAGTTTCTAAGAAATTAGTTTGGATCGGATGATTATCAAATGCAATGGACCTCTCGTTAATTTCCACAAATGTGCTTAGGAAAACAAGTCACTACGGCATCTCTATTGCTTTTATAATCATCATATTAGCGTGTATTTTTACTATGAACATATCATGCACAAATATGATGCTATATAGTGGCTACAGAAACTGTCAGAAGGTTTCCCATGGAATGCTCTCAACAAAACAGAAGGTTTCCAGAACAGTTTCAACAAAATGAGGAGAGTTATGGTGTAGACTACTACAACCTCGGGTGTCTCCAGTGCCCTCCACCAATAGCAAATGAACATAGGGAAGCTTGGGATCTGATCCTCAGACTGGTGAAAGTATGCGAATGATAGGTAATATTTTGGAGTTCATGGCTGTTGAATTCTTGATGGGCTTGTTATTTTGTGAGATTAGTGAAACATAGTGTCATGTGCTTATGTTATAGATTCATTGTTTTTTTTGTTAATTATGAATTATAGATATACGTATATTATGTTAAAAATGTTTAGTAAATTGTTTCTTGTTAATATGTTATGGATTCTCTTGTACCCGAAATCATACCACATCGGTATTCACAATGATTTTTTTAGTAACAATATAGTTTTCTGCTTGATTTTCTATTTTTAAGTTATAATCGGTTTCTGTTTTTTTTTTTTTATAGATGTTGATATATGACTAAATCAACAATCATAATTGGTCAAAAAAAAAAAAAAAGAGCTCATGCCCTTATTCTTTTTGGTGGAGTTAGCAGTGTTCAATGCCATGTTCTTTATTTAGGAATATATATCCACTTAAGTTCAATAGGAAAATGTTTTAATTTTAAGAAAATCTTACGGATTCAGAACTAAAATATCAAACCTAAATCTGGTATTTTATTGAAAATGAATCCTAGATTTGATACATTGTTACTACACTCTAGTGAAATTTTGTTGAATTCAGGAGATTTTCACCATCACATTCTATATTTATCCATTTACGTTTAATAAATAATAAAGATAACGATTCAATTTTTTTTAAAAAGGTTTTACTGATTCAAAACCTAAAGATAAAATCTAAATCTATAGTTAGTTGATTTGGTCATTAAGATCCGTAAAAAAAAATGTAAACCTAAAAATAGAAAGCAGAAACTAAACAATGTTGTCTCTATTTCCTAGTGTTATGAATTTTACTTAAGCCTAACTTCACTTCCTCTACTCTTTACTTCTCTCTACCATCTTTCTTCTACCTCTGTAAGTTTTTTCTTAGGTGAATTATGCAGATGAAACAAAAATCATAATAAAATAATCATTATTGTTGTTTTGAATTTAGAGAGGTATATAAACACTATAATGAAGATGGGTGAGTTTCGAGAAGCTTCAGTTTCTTCGTCTCCTTCGTCTCCTCTACGAACACCGTCTCAATCTCCGAACCTCAATCTCCTCCGTCAAAACTTCTTCCATGGCGATTTCTCCCCCACCAGCAACAACAGATTCTCTTTCAACTCCTCCTCCGATTTCTCTCTCTCGAGCTCCTTCTCTAACGGATTCTGTTCCTCCGACGACAGCTCCTCTCCCTTCGCTTCTCCTCCGTTCAACGGAATCCTCCCTAATCCTAACAAACACAATCACTCCTCTTCTCCGATCACCACTTACCACCTTCACGATCACGAGAAGAAGAGTGTTAATAATAACGGCGATCACCATGATTTAGGTCTGTGCGAAGATCTCTACCGAATGAAAATCAGAGACGATTTCGACGACGATAAGCTCCGTTACGCACGATCGGAGACTCTCGGCTCGATTCCTGAGTCCGATTTCACTTTAGATCCACTCTCCAATTTCAATGGATTCGGCGGCGACGGCGATGGATTCGTCTTTCCGTACGGATTCTTCCGATCACCGAAGGATTCGTCAAACGACGACAAGAGGAACATTTTCGGGAGCAACACTCATCAACAAATCCCAGATTCCGCCGCTAATTCTCGCCAAATCGGATGGCCTAGCTTCTCCGCCAGTAACGGCGGCGGTGGAAACAATAACAACAATCCGTACATCAACGGCCACGAGATTCTCGGAATCGGATCGAATCGTGGAATTAGAGATTACGAAAACATCAGAACAACAACATCACCATCAGATATGTTGCCGTTGTTTTCTTCTAAAGTCTCTGAGCCATTTAGCAGCTCAGATGAGAGTTTCTTCATGGAAAGTAAAAGCTTGGATCATCATCATCATAATCATAATCAGAGCTTGCCTAACATGTGTGACATACAAGGTTACGTGTACTTGATGGCGAAAGATCAACACGGATGTCGATTCTTGCAGAGGATTTTCGACGAAGGGACGCCTGTTGACGCAATGGTTATATTAAATGAAGTGATTGCTCATGTCGTTGAGCTCATGATGGATCCGTTCGGGAATTACCTCATGCAGAAGCTTTTAGATGTTTGTAGTGAAGAGCAGAGGACTCAGATTGTGCTTGTTGCTACTGCTGAGCCTGGTCAGCTTATTCGGATCTCTCTCAACGCATATGGGTAAAAAGAAACTGTTTTCTTCTTGATGATGATGATGTTTGATGTGATGATGATGATGCTAATGAGAACTTTGTTTTTTATTTTGTAGGACTCGAGTTGTTCAGAGATTGGTGGAAACGATCAGAACAGGAAAACAGATTTCGCTTGTGAAGTCTGCGTTGAGGCCTGGCTTTCTTGATTTGATCAAGGATTTGAATGGGAACCATGTGATTCAACGTTGCTTGCAATGCCTTAGCACTGAAGATAACAAGGTCAAGACAGATTATAGTCTTGATTGTTCTTGAGATATATCATATTGTGAAGCTAAAGTTTTGTTTTGTTTTGGTGTTCGACAGTTTATCTTTGACGCAGCGACGAAGTTCTGTACTGAGATCGCGACGCATCGACATGGATGCTGCGTGCTACAGAAATGCATTGCTTATTCGATGAGACAACAACGAGAGAAACTGATCGCTGAGATCTCTAGAAACAGTCTCCTTCTTGCTCAAGACCCCTTTGGGTATTTTGATCGAACACTCACTTGCTCTTCATCACACACACAAACACACAAAATCGCTGAATACACAAAATCGTTTTTGTTGCAGGAACTACGCAGTCCAATTTGTGATAGAGCTGAGGATACCATCGGCGGTAGCGATGATGCTGGCTCAGTTAAAAGGGCATTACGTTCAGCTTTCCATGCAGAAATTCAGTAGCCACATGGTGGAGCGATGTCTCATGCATTGTCCAGAGAGTCGTCCGCAGATCGTGCGTGAGCTCGTCTCTGTTCCTCACTTCGACCAGCTTCTTCAAGACCCTTACGCCAATTTCGTCATCCAAGCCGCTCTTGCCGCCACAAAGGTAAAACCCAATACCGTTAATTAGTCGTTAGAAAAGGAACCAAGCCGGTTCAATTTTATGGTTTTGGTTTGAACCAATTTAAACCGGAATTAAATTAAATACATGCACTTGTGAATTGGAACAGGGTCCACTTCATGCATCGCTAGTGGAAGTGATACGGCCACATTCGATTCTGCGTAATAATCCGTATTGCAAGAGGATTTTCTCGAGGAATCTATTGAAGAAGTGAATGGATATGTGCTCTGACTGATTGATGAGTTTTGTAACTTCAAAATCTGTTGTTGTTTTTCTTTTTCTTCACCAAACTTTCGTTCTTACGAATAATCTTTGGACTATGGTTTAGTCCATAGACGAGAGAGCTCATTGTTTGTTTTTTTGTTTCCTTTTTGTATTTGCTCTGTTGTTGTTTTTGTCTCTGCTAATTTTTGGGTTTTGGGAACTGGACTTTTCATGTTGTAAAAAATCGGGTTTCTTTACCCGGTTTAGTCTTTGAATAAATTCTTATGAATACAGAATTTTATTTCTGAATAATTTCGTTTTTTAGATGGGCCCGACCTAATCATAGCCTAATTGTACAATTAATGTAAGGGTACTTTACATTAGTTAGCAACTTGTAAGTTGTAAAGATGGAGACTAATTTTTCAACGAAGCCGTTGAGATAGGTTTAGTTGTCTTAACTCTCTCTGATCCGATCCCAACGAAAGAAAAACTCCTCCAATCCCTACCATTCACAAAACTATCGTAAAGCACTAAACGATGTATGATCAGGTGAAAAAAAACATGAACCCAACTAAGTTCCTCAAATGCACTCGAATCAAAACAATGAAAATCAACTAAGTTTACAAAGTCTGTGTGTACCTAAATGTCAATAATTCGTATTATTAAAATCAAGACACAGAGTTTTCGTACACCAACATTAATATGTTACGTTATTCTATATGTTCCCACTATTATATTTTGATCAAAGGAAATATTAAGACGGATGATAAGGATAACCAATAATACTTTATACATATCGATGTTTTTCCGCAGACAATTCATAACTCGGATATAGTTCCATTGCATTTAAAATTCATTTGACATAATTTATGGTTGATGCATTTATTTCACATTATCAACACATCTTCTCAAACCTAATTCTTGGGCAAATCAACCGTAATCAATAAGAACATATACCCTATTTAATGTTCATCGTCACATGCATTTTGTTGCCAAACGAATTGTTTACTCGCATAATCGTGAACAATTTAACATTATAAGATTTCTTTTCATTATTCTACGTAGTTGACTGTGTTACATTAATGTTATGAAACCGCCGATCGTAAAGAGCATAAGAGTCGAGACGACTTTAAGTATCACAAAAGGGTCAAAACTCAAAAGCAATGCGTAGAGGATATTTCTTGTGAAACTAAAGTAAAATTTTAAAATGTCAGTTGATAATGAAACAGATGGAGTATAGTGTTTGAAATATGATCAATTATGGAAACAAATAAAATCTTATTCATATAAAAATTTCGTAGCAAAATTTATGGGCTCACGCATTCGTAGTTCAGATGGTTCGATAGGTGTGTATGATAAAATTTATGTTTTATTGACAAGTAGATATATACTTCAATGCATATACTTGAATTTAGCATTTATAATCGGTTCAATATTATTTAATGGAAACGGGTAGACAAGTACTGAATATTTAATTCTGCACCAGGAAATAACAACTAATTTATTTCAGAGAAATAATTATATTAACTGAGGAACTCAGAATTATGATATTTATTATGATTCGTTGGAGCTAAAGTTTTTTTTTCTGTAAATATTTCAATTTATACTGTATAAACTAAAGTTTATAGTACGAAATAAATTGAAGAGAAGGGACATGAATCTTAATTATGGTTGCATGCATGGAGGAGCGGATGTTGGGAGCTTTAAAAGCTTGTTATCTCCATATGCATCACACACACAAAAAGAGCTTGTTCTACGTTCCTTTTTATTTTAGTAGTATGTTAAAAAACATTTTCAATCTGTTTACCAAACGCACTAAATGTTATGTTTTTTTTTTTGAAAATAAACACAATGAGTTAGTTCATAAACATGAACACAATCAAGCTATTAAACCCTAAATGAAACATATGACATGAACACAATCAAGCTATTAAACCCTAAACGTATTGATTCCTAATTTGACATGCATGTCAGCGGACGATCACTGCACATTTCATAGAGAAAACCATTTCATGCATCTTTCTGTCTCGGTTTCACGACTTTGTTTGTCGTCGTTCTTCTTCATCAATCAATAGACCGACAATTTATCCCAAAAAAACTCACTAGACAGAGTTTTCGCACAAAAGATATTTCGACTGACAAATGTGACTTGATTATTTTTGCAATTAGTCCTTAAAGATACTAAAAAGAGGAAGTTTTATTAACTTGTAGGAGAGATTAAGTATGTTTTATCCCAGACAAAAACTTATCAAAAGAACCTAAAGAAAATTATACGCTAAACAGAGAAATATATCGATTCATCTTGTTAGAAAGGGAGGAAATAAAAGTTGGGAATTTATGAGGAAACTAGCCAAAAAAGAGTCGGAAATATAAACGAGGAAATGAAGCTCATGCAGTCATGACATGACGTGGGATACAAGGCCGTTGAACGTCTTTTATTATTTTTGGAATTTCGTTTCAAATTAATCATTTTCTTATGTATTTAAATATTTGCATAATAAAAAAAGAAAGTTTTGTGGGAGGGAGGTGAGGTTGGTTAGTAATGTGGAGTATAATTTCGTGTTATATATCCAAAAGTGGGAGTAGGAGTTAATGTGAGTATTAAAGTTGCATCGGCATTCATCAATTCATCAACCTTCCCTTCTCCCATCTTTAATTCTCTTTATTGTCTCTCCCATTTATTATTGACCTCTCTCTCTATCTATCTATTTCCCCAACCCTTCTTCTTCCTCACATACTCACTCCATTCTTATCACCATACACACACACACACACACATGCATACATACATACACATATGACTACATCACAATCTATTTAGTAATATATATGCATGCATCATGAATGACGACATGATGATGATGGTAGTAGTGAAGGGAAAAGCAGAAACAGAAAGAGAAATTGGTTAACACTTCACATCTAAGCATTTAAATGAGACTGTTTGGAGTTATTGAACACACCCAACTTGGAACTCACACATCATGCTTCACATTACTTCCCCCCTCTCTCAATTTTTTTATTCCAAAATTCCATAAATATCTAGAAAATAAAATGCAAATAGTCGACATATCACTTTTATTATTGCCAAGTAAATTGAATTAGTTATCTACCAATTTTAAAACTATTATTAATATATATTGGTATATCTAATTCAATTAATACCGGTGGAGACAATAACTCCCCTGAAGATTCCTCCTTCATATATATAGAGAGAGACGATCTTCACTTTCTTTCTAAGTCTATCTGCTTATTTCCTCATCGGTTCAAAAGTTCAGAGAGAAGTGTTTTTAAACTTTCCTTAAAAAATCATAAATCACTCAGTGGAAACAAAGACTGAGGCTATAATGGTTTCTCGACAAGAATCTAGAAAGAGGGATTTCACTATCTATGGAGAAGAGTTCCACAATTCATTCAAGAAGAGCAAACAAGAAGATGATCAATCACAGAGCAATGAACGACCAAGACCAAACTCAGAGAGTATGAGATCATTTACCTTTGATTTTGAACTTCATCTCCACACTCCTCTACCTTCAGATTGGCAAACAACCATAGAGAATAAGGTAAATAATATTATTCATATATGCATCAAGTACTCTGTATTTTTATTGGTATGAATATGATCCTAAAACATTGATGCTTATATTTGCAGGGATACTCAAGATCATCTGAGGATCATAAGACATACCCCAAAGATCCGGTGATTGTTGGACGTCCTAAGATGAGCCTAGACCTTGAGCTGAACCTTTCACCATCTTATTCACCTACAAGAACCACAACCAAGAGAGATGAATCCTCAAATCACAGTGAAACCGTGTCATCAAAGGGTAAAGACTTGACAGGCCCGAGTAAGAAGAGCATAACTGGGACAGGATTAAACCGATCGCTCTCCTGGCTTGCGTTTGAAGGTGGTGATGATGGTGATGGTGGTGATGACAAGGAGGAGCAAGAGATGGTAACAAAGGTTTGCATGAAATGCCACATGCTGGTTATGCTCTGCACATCAACTCTTGTTTGTCCCAACTGCAAATTCATGCACCCTCATGATCACAGCTCTACAAAACTGTTTAAACAATCAAATCTGCTTAGGCTCCTGTGCTAGTCTCTTCAGAGATACCGGATCTATGATGATTTGTACGGAAATAAATATGAGCCAGAGACTAGATAAAAATAAAAAGTTATGTATGTATATACTACAAGTACCAAAAATGTTTAAATTATATGCTTCTATGAAGGATATTCCATTTCTTTTTGTTCATATGCTTTAGATCTCTCTCTCAATCTATTAGTATTTGCATTGAATTGTACTTTGACATAACACGTACGTACACGGAATTAAATCTATTAGAACTGCATTAAAACATTTATGGATTCTGACTATAGTTATGTTCAAGGTATGGTAAACCAGAGTATGACAAGAGTGTAGTCACTATCGATAATATCACCGCAGGATTATTATTGAAGCTGTTATAAACCAAAGTTATTTGAAAACTATTGATGGTTCAGTAGCACTAGCAGGCCACGTTATTTTGGACTATTGAAAAGTCTTCAAATCACAATGAAAGCAAGTGTTTACTTAAAGCTGAAGCATATACTATATAAGGCTAATATGATGAGACATAAATTCAGGGTAAGGGAATATATTTACCACATGGACTCGTGAGGCAAAGAAGCTCTGTATTGTGATGCAACCTGAAATATAAACATGAGATGAAGATTAGTGATAAGATTTTGAAAAATGTGATCTAGCTTGGTGAAGATCGTTTTGCTCAATTCTCATTTGAGTAGATTACATAATCGTTTAAACTGTATATTTCGAGGAGTTGTAACGAGCAAAACGCATGAGAATCAGTAACACGCATGGAAGAACAATCAGCAGAAAATTGAAATCGGGAAGGTCTATTAGACTCAAAACTCAAAAGTAAGTAATCAACTAGTTTCACAATGGTTAACATTTACAATGTCAAATCGTAAAACCGTCTGATGAAAACGCCAGATTTGATTAAGAAAACCTAACCCAGTTTCTGATTCTGAGTCTACACATGATAATTGGAGTGCGGGAGATAGAACGGAAACAAATCGTCAAATCAGAATTCATCCAAAGAAAAACTTCAATTCTAGAAAATCTGATGAACTTAAACGATGTATCCGCTTTTGATTTCCTAAAACTAATACTGAACAAATCAGTGTAACTAGGCAAATTAATTTACTAGGAACACAGATTTTGATGGGAAGAAACGAATCGGTAGCTTACGAGGAGAAATTGAGAGATTTAGCGGCTGACGGAGCAGATACTTTTACCGGCGATGGCCGCAATCAGAATTTTCCCAGACGATTTTCGTTACCATTTCCTAATTCCGATCAGATTTCGCAGTATTCTTTGTAGAGTTTTCAGAAAACGAAGGAAGGAAATGTAAGAAAGTCAAGGAATTTGGAGGAAGACTTGTGGACTAATTCAGTAGCGAGAGGTGAAATTTTCAAATACGCATCGTTTCAGAAGCGAGGGAAAAATTAGAGTTTAGGAGGGAAAAAACCCGAGAATGCCTAAAGATTTAAAATTCAAAACTGTATATTTTCTGGGTGATTTTTTATTTTCAGGTAGCGTCACTAATCATATACTGACACCTGTCGCTTAGCAGCTAAGACCAAAACCCCGCGCTCCATTAAATCTGGCGTAGTTTTGAAACTCGAAATTGAAACAGAGAGAAAGCAGAGAGAGAGTAGAGATGAAGGAGGAGATGATAACCAAAGACGAATCGATCAGAGAGAGAGCTGCAATCCGATGCGCCCGAGCTTCGATGCTTCTCTATTCACTGGCTTCATCCCCCGATCAGAACGCCGGCGAGGTTAGATCCTTCATCTTTCTCCGCTTTCTTCTTCGGATTGGAACGGATTTGCTACCGTCGATCCATGATTCCGAGAATCATTATGCGAATTGCTTTGGTGTTGTTTGGAAACAGAAGGAAGGAGAGACGCGAAGAGAGATTGAGGATCTGAAGAGAGAACTTGCGATGGAGAAGAAAAGGAGGAATCGGATTAAGCTTTGCAGCTTTATGGAGTTGCTTCTTCTCGTCGTTTTGGTTCTCTTGCTTTCCACTTTCTTCCTCGTCTTCTTTCTCGTATCTCGTTAATTTCTCCCCTGAAATCACTGTTTGTAACAGCTTTTGCTATTTCGATTCCAGCACATTTCTTATGTAAATGGATCATCGTCACTTTATCAGATTTATGTTGCTCGTTATCTCAAACTCAAACTGCTAAAATTAACAAAATTAGAAGCGTCTGTTTTGAAATAATAACAATTTTAATTGAGTAATCATCAATGATAAGGTTTGTTTTATTTTTCTGCAACTTTGATGCGAATTCTTCAACATCCACAATCTTACAAGCCCAAGTCTTTTAAAAATGGGAAAGTTAATGCAATAAGAAACGTCTATAACATCTGCAACAAGCTCGTGATAGTGTAGCAGAGAGCTTAAAGAAAGTTAATGCAATAGGAAACGTCTATAACATCTGCAACAAGCTCGTGATAGTGTAGCAGAGAGCTTATAGCAAGGAACACGAGTTTAGAAGCCAAGCTTTGTGGTAGATGTTCAGTCAAATGCGTAAGGATCATCAGCATAAGGATTGAGGGAGCCTTCCGAGAAGAGATCTCCAATATTTGCAGAGCGTGGATGTGTGTTTATTTCTGCTACCTGCACATGTACAAAGACATTCTTTGTTGTAAAAACTCCAACACAAGATATTAGGAAATGGTCTCAGTTAGCAAACGTTAGGGATCTATCTTACCTTAGCGAGACTTCTCGGAGTCTTGACTTTGGGTGTAAACCGAGAACTTCTTCTTACTGGTTCCTGTTGCCATTAAAAAGAAGAAGGTGAATCTCAACTTCGAGAAGATGGCTGTTGAACATAATCCAAATCATAAGATACCAAAAGGGATAATGCATAGAGCAAAGTACCTCAAACATGACTGTGCTTTTTGTTTTCCTACGTTTTGTGGTCCTCCCACTGTTCATGTCAACTTCATATTCACGACGAGACACCTGCCAAGTTATACCACAAAACAAAATGATGAGGTTGGATGCTCATGTAAAAGTACTTAGTTACGAAAGGGTTTTAAAATGCTTTACCTTGCTGTGATGCTTTGGACTGCTCATTAAGCTTCTTGTTTTCACATTTTCAACTTTCTTAAACATCTTTGTCACAGGTGATTCTGCTGCCTTTACAAAAGGGGAGTCCTGCATTTCATCAACGAGAATGTTTGTATATCCATATGTGCAGAGACTTTGATAAAGCAGAAACACTACAGAAAAAATAGTAATTCGTTTCCTACCTGTTCATCTTCATCATGCATCACTGCTTTATGCTGGCTCCTCCTGATACCAGTCGGACGAGAACCTCTCACTTTGACAGATGTAACCGAATATTCCTACAGTATGATTAAGTTATCAAAGTCAATATCTCTGTTTGCGTTTTTTTTGTTAAATTCGATGATATTAGTAAAACAAAGTATTCTTTTGGTGGTCTAACCTTCCTAGAGCTCACTTCTTGCTCTTCAGGCTGTTTGTCACTCATAACTCTCCACTGCATTTGCAACAAAGCTCTTTGCTTTTCTTCCTGCAAACGATAACTCATATAAGTCATTAGGTCTTAAACCTGAACAGGGGAAACTTACAGTGATAAATACTAACTTTTGATCTCTGGAGATCTAATTCTTCCTGCAGCTTCTTGCAATCATCTTCGTACTGACACTTGAATGCTTTCAGCTGAACGTCATGCTCGTCCCTGAGTGTTGTTATCCTCTGTGTGAAGATAATAAAACCAAAAAGAAAACACTTAAATACCAGAGGCTTCTTAATGATATCGGAACTATCAGTTTTTATGTCTGCCGGTACCTCTTTTAATTCGGTTTCAGCCTGAATCTGAGCTTGCCTCAATTCCTCATCGTGCTTGGCTTTCAGATTGAACTCTCTATTTCCATGTTCCTCCCTAATAGTGAGTATCTGCAAGAAGACGAAGCTTTGTCAACCTATTTGTGCTAGTTAAAACTAGCTCAGTGATAAACTTCCAAAAACAAAAGCCGGAGAAAAAGGGACTTTGATTCAGATATCTGCATCTTCTGCTACTAAACCTATAATTCTGATGGACTTAAAAACTAGACAATTCTTTCCAACACATGTATAAGCTTATTCATGCTTGGTGATGTTCAGAAACATCACGTTCAAGTGGAGATTACTATACCAGAGAAGCATGTTCCTCCTTAATGTTCAGCAATTGCTGCTTTGATTCAGCTTTGCAATCTGAAAGCTCTTTATCATAATTAGTTGATAGTTCTTTGATGACCTTTTCAACCTGAAACCAGAACCAAAACCATCACAGAACCAATGATCAGATCAATTGCCCGGTCAATTACAAAAATGGAATTTGTCAGTATATATATACCTTTTCCTTTTCCGCATTGATAATTTCTTGCTTCTCCGCATCATATTTCCTCCGGATTTCATTTATTGCCTAAAAAGCATCAGAAAAGCGCATAAATCAGCGCATAAATCAAAATTTCGGGTGTTTTATATATGGAACCAATTAAGGGCTCAAACCAAATCCTCGGCATACTATTCGAGCATATATACATGGAGATATTGATCCAGATATACCTGGTCATTCCTCTGAGACAACTCCTTCAAGTGCTTTGACAATTCCAACTGCTTATTTTCCAGCATCAGATCATATTGCTTCTTCGCCTCTAAAAGCTTAGTTTCAGCAGCTGCCAGTAGCTCTTTGTCCTGAAATGAAGTTCATATTTCGTGAGTATCTAAAGGTGGATAAGAATCATAAAGCCTTTATCAATATCTATCTTCTTAAACCTTTGTGGTTTGCTGGTCCATCTTCTTCTCATTTTCCTTGCATTGATGGATAAGAAGCTCTTTCTCTTCAATAACACTTTGGAGCTGGTTCACCTCTTTCGACAGTGAATCCACACGCAGCTGATTGCTCTCGCACTCCTTCTGCAAAGACTCCATTTCTTCAGCCTTTTTCTGTGCATCTGCCTGCATCTTCTCATGGTTCTCTTTGCTTTCCATCTCTAATGATGTAATCTTCAACGATAATTCTTTCTGCAAGATACAAGAACAGAATAAGCATTGGAACTACGCACTGATAATTTAGAGAATGCACAAAGAGATGGAAAATAAATCTACCGTCTCATTCTCTGAGGCCCTCAGATTTTCCAACAAAGCTTCCATTTCCTCTTTCAGCTTTGAGATCACTGCTTCTATATCAGCATTTTTGGAAACTAGACATTTTGCTTCAGACTCCAGTTTTTCAATCTCCTGTCTTGCGGAGCAGCTTTCCTCGGCAAGTTGAGAAACTAATGACTCTTTAGCTTTCTTAAGTTCCTCTTTCTGTTGATATAACTCTTTTCCTGCTGATTCCAGAGCTTCTTTCTGGAAAGTTACACTGAAGAACTCTCCTTGGAGTTGATCGAATAATCTTTGAGCACGATCAGAAGCAATATCTCTATCCTTTTGGAGCAACACAAGGTGAGTGCCATATAAGCCATTTAGCTGATCAAACTTTTCCATGAAGGCCAAGTTCTTTTTGTCCAATTCAGCCAACTCGGTTGCCAAAGAGTGGATAAACCCCTCGAGCTTCTTGACCTCCTGCTCTGAGCTAATCAGTTTCTCAGATAGATTATCAGCACTCAGCTGAATATTCAACTTCTCTCGCTCCAAGTTCTCCTTGATGTCAACAAGGTTTCTGGCCTCGTCTTCTTTTGATGTTAGCTCAAGACGCACCTTCCCAAGTTGGATGGTTAAATTCTCAATTTTAAGTTTTGATTCAGCTATAGTTGCTTCAGAATTCATTATCCTAGCATCTGCCACAGTGAAGGAAAAGTAAGAAGATGTAATACAAATAACATGACTATCATACAGCTCTAAAACGTCGCAAAAGAGTTTTCTCATTTCATATCTTTAGTGTGCATCTTTATTGCAACTGTAAACACAATTCGTATAACGTGATCGGTATGACAATAGAAAATTGTAAGAATCTGAGAGCCTGTACGATCTAAACAGCGAACATATTCAGAAACAGTGATTTTTTCAACCTATTTGGTGTCTGGCTACACGTTCAAGCTCTTTATCAGATAGAGCTTGTGACTTACTGCATGTGAAAAATTACATTGTGAATCTAAAAGAACAAGAAATTTACCTTTTTCTTTTAAGAGACTGGTAGTTCTACACTGTTCATTTAGATAAGAGCTTTCTCTCTGTTCTTTCTCGAGTTTGAGCTCCTCTAGTTCCTTCTCTCCTGCAAGTTTGACTTAAATGTAACTAAAATGCATAGCAATTTTCAGAACCATAGAGAAATATCAGTGAACCATATTGCAGCAACTCAATCATTTTCAAATTACAGGTTTTCCCATGAAAGAAATTACATGTCTGTAGCAAACCAACAACTTACGGCTTTTGACGTTTTCTTCAGCAGCGCCCAATCTTACAGATAGGTCTTGCATTTGCTGCTTTAAAGAGTCTATTGCTTCCGAACTAGTAGAGAATTTGGACTCAAAAAACTCCTTATCCTTCTCAGCTGTAGACGCAAATCAGGAAACAGATTTAGCAACAAACCATAAGTAGTTTCCAAGAATTCAACGACCAATATGCATCAGTTATTACCTTCTTGAACCTGGGAAGCCAAATGTTGCAGAGTCTCAGTAAGTTGATCACACAGAGTCTTCGTTGAAGAGAATTTGGACTCCATCCCTCTCCAAAGCTTCTCATCCTCTTTTTGCATTACCCTGAGCTTAGCATTCTCATTGAAAGCGTTTTGGAGTTTTTCCTCTAATGCAAGTATATGATCCATTGACTTCGTCAGCTTAGAATTCTGGATCATGGCAAAAGACGACGATTTCTATCAAACTCTTGTCAAACGCATTTCTAACATTTTATCTTAAGAAATCAACAATAACTCGATCCGTCAATCCCAAAATCTTTCCAAAATAGCATATTCCCGCGGATAATCAAATCAAAGACTCGCAAAACTAAGCAGAGAGATCTGCGTTTTCCTGCACATTCCGGTGAAAACTAAACCGCAGAACGGAAACCAAAACACACGATCCTAGCAACACCACCATACATACCTCTTAAGCACATCGATCAAACTTAAAAGTTTGTATAGATGCAGAATGAAAGAAGAAATCGGGAAGAGCAATCGAAATACCGCCAGTTCGAGATCGGATTTCATAGACGCCTGCTCCTTCACCAATTTTTCTGGAAAACAGAAGCGCAGGTATCGCGAATCATCAGAACAGCGCGATTTCATAAAGCATCGGAACGAAATTCTCAAATCAAGCCAAACGAAGGAAAAAAACCTGCAGTAAACTTCAGATTCGAGAAATTGCCGGAAGAGACGGAATCCTGAGGTGGACGCGAGGAGTAGGAGAAATTCTTCGCCGATCCAGACAACGAACGGATCTGATCCAAGCTCTTCATCGCCGGAAACCCTAGCTTCTGCATTTCGAGACTTCACGAACAAAAATTTCCGTTATCGCTTTCCCGCTTTCTCTCTCTATCTCTCTCGTATGGAAACTAGTGTGAGATTAAACGGAAATGAAGTTGGCGCTAAAAGCCATCAGCTATTTATAACATCGGAACCGACTCTCGACGACGGCATGTGACCAACGGCTATTTGCTACGCGGATGTGCTGACGTCAGCTTGCCGCAAGAGTCAAAGAGGAGTCAAAGTTGGGAATTATTTACGCAACTAGTACAAAAGTTACGTTAAATTACCACTTTCGGTCAAAACTTACATAAAACTACACAACTAGTATGATTTTGACTTTCTTTATTTATAAATTGCCACCTTTACATGTTTCTGACCTTTACGTTTGGTGCCAAAATAAATTAAATAGATCATAAAGGCCCCAGACCATTCAATTGACCAATTCGGCAATTCCCAAATGTATACAAATTTTCTATTCAATTTTCTCCTTTCATTATCCAAATGTCAGGACTCCATATCCATCCTCACGATCCTTCGTCTTCTTCCAGCTCTATCGATCAATCCAATGAAGCTTTCTTCGGTACCGGTGGTTTGTTTCTCGAACCGCCAGGCGTTTCCTCTTCCTTCTTCGACTCGATCTCCTCCAAATGCATTTGCTCCGACTCCGAGCCTGTGCATTTCACCGGTTACTGGAGAAAACAAACCCGTCTCCGCTCCGGTAAGGACTCGCTGTTCCTCTCCGTGAGCTTGAGTAAAAACGGATCCGAGCGGGAATGTAAGGACGCTTCGACGGAAAACGATGAAATCCGCGGCAATGGAAATGGAAAACGAAGAGTTTTCGGTGGAGTGAGGAGAAGCGGCACCATGAACACACGGAAGCATCTCTGGGCCGGTGCTGTAGCTGCCATGGTTTCCAAGTATGTATTACTAGATCAATGACGCATATAAGTCGTTCGATGAAATGCATGAACCAAAAACGATGACTCTGATAATGCGTTTTTTTGCTGTTGATCACAGAACTTTCTTAGCTCCACTTGAGAGACTAAAGCTGGAATATACAGTTCGTGGTGAACAGAGGAATCTGTTGGTGGTTGCTCAGACAATTGCGACGACGCAGGGGTTTAAAGGATTCTGGAAAGGCAATTTGCTCAATGTTCTCCGAACAGCTCCTTTCAAAGCCGTCAATTTTTGTGCATACGATACGTACAGAAAGCAATTGCTTAGACTCGCTGGGAATGAAGAAGCAACCAACTTTGAAAGATTTGTTGCTGGAGCTGCTGCTGGGATTACTGCAACTGTACTCTGCTTGCCTCTCGACACTGTAAGTTCTTACTACCAAAATTGAGAAAGATCTGTGCTTTAGAGTGAACAGTGGAGCCATTTTTGAGTGGAATGTGTTCTTTGACTGCACAGATACGAACCAAGCTAGTGGCTCGGGGTGGAGAAGCCTTGGGTGGAATCGGAGGAGCGTTCAAGTATATGATCCAAAACGAAGGATTGTTGTCTCTCTACAAGGGTCTAGCCCCGTCCATAGCAAGCATGGCTCTCTCCGGTGCAGTTTTCTACGGCGTGTACGACATCCTTAAATCATCCTATCTGCATACCCCGGAAGGAAGGAAAAGACTCAAAGACATGAAGCAGCAGGGTCAAGAGCTCAACGCTCTAGACCGACTCGAGTTAGGACCCATCAGGACTCTCCTTTACGGTGCTATAGCAGGTGCTTGTACTGAAGTAGCCACGTATCCATTTGAAGTGGTGAGACGGCAGCTTCAGATGCAGATTGGTAAAAACAAGCTCAGTGCTTTAGCCATGGGGTTCATGATCATCGAGAGAGGAGGCGTCCCAGCTTTATACGCTGGACTTTTACCTAGCTTGCTCCAGGTTTGCATAATAGCTCTTCCACATATACCACTTTGTGTATATAGTTTTGCCTAAGCTTGATATGTGATTGTTCTTGTGTTTCATGTCTCCAGGTATTGCCTTCTGCAGCGATAAGTTACTTTGTCTACGAGTGTATGAAGATAGTGCTTAAAGTAGAATGAAGTTTTGAACAAGAACAGAGATTTTAACGTTTAGAGCATCAATAATACGAAAGCAATGATTAATTTTTTCTACTCCCATCAAGAACAAATGATACTTAGTTTAAACTTCGTCTTCGTGGAGAAGCATATTGGGGATTCCTTTGTTGACTGAAAACTTTCTACCGGTTTCTGGGCAGACGATTGAGCCTTCGTCGAGGTGGAGCTCGAGCAAAGCGTGGTGGAACTTCCTGAGAAAAGATTCGTCGGAATCCAGCGCCGCCGTGTCTGGTGCGTAGTCTGGAAGCTCGGAGTATCCCATAGAACGTGCACCGTCGACCAAAGCCTTCCACTCGATCTTCGCGAACATGTGCCTGAGGAAGTCCGGGTTGAAATCGACCTCCTTCTCAATTACTTTCTCAGCTTCGATCAGCAGTGGAAACTTGTTCACCACTCCCTTGATGTTGCAAGACAACATGTTGTGCACTATCAACCTCATCTTTTTCCGTCTCTCTCTCTCTCTCTGTGCAACGAGCAAGAGATGCGCGAGGAAGGCGAAGTGTCGTGGCGGCTGACGACGGAGGTGGAAGACGCAAGTGTCGTGGTGGCTAATGATTGACATAAAGGACGATAATACCCTCCATTGAGTAGCTATACTAATTTAGTTGTGAAAATGGGCTTTATCCAACTAAGGCCCATAACGTTATATATGAAGATCAGTTAACTATCATATGTGCCATTTTCCCAATTTACGTTTTATTACGTACAAAGTCAGCTGATTATCATATGTGCACATTACGTCAATGCCAGATTTGGTAAATTAATCAGAAATTTGCCATATACAGTAACTGTTTTCCTAAAATGATGTTGAGAAGTATAGTTTTCACAAGAAAGGTAAAATAAAGTGAAATATGTGATAATGGTGTTTTTTATTCTTTGTAATCCACCTTTGTGGCTATCTGAAAAGTTGTATAATGACTTGTAACCTTTTCTTAATGAATGAAATATCATTTTCCGTAAAAAAAAAAATGTGATAAATAAAGAAATGGTAAAAACAAACTGGAAAATGTAATCAAGTTCTTTAACAAGCAAAAAAAGGAAGTAATTAAGTCAAAGTATTTTGACGTTTTTAAAGCATATAGATATGTTGTGTAAATAAATAAAAACAGACGGGTTTCATCATAATTTGAAACAACATATAATTGATCTTTTGCACATTTATCAATATAGAAATGAATCAATTTACAACCTTAAAAGGAAAAAAAATTCAAAAGAAGAAACAAAAAAATATCCATTTGTTTCCTAATTTTGTAGTTTGGTCTTGGATACTAAAATAAAATCAGTACTACCCTTAAATATATGCATATTTTTCCCCAAAACAATTTGTGATCTGTGTATATAATTTCCAAAATAAGTCATGCAAAGAGTCTTAAAAACATAAACAAATAAAAACACTTAGATGACATGGCCCCATATGTGTTGAATTAAAAATATAATTTATCAACTTACTATACCAGACTTAATTCAGTGGATATAAAATTCCCGCAAAAGAAAACGACATTGACGAAGCAGAGAGAGAGAGAGAGCGAAGAAGGCTTGCTTCGTCGCTCACAAAAGCTCACAAAATTGATCATCAGTAGTTGCGGATTCAAGTAACTTAAAAGGTTAACTTCCACTCATTTCTCTCTTCAATTTCCGCTTCATCATCTTCCTCTTTTGATTGCCATCATCGTCGTGTTTCAGAGTCGTGAAATTCCATAAATTCGAATTCGTTCATAGCTTAATCCACCGTCGAATCAAATGCCCAGGATCTGCTGCTCTCGCTCCGATACTCAAGTAAAGTTGCAAACTTGTTCTGTTTCTCGTCTATTTTTTCTGGATTTTTTTTTGTTACAATGTTCCTATGAAAATTTTGAGATTTTCTGATTCTGTTGTGTAGGTTGTGGTAGGACAAAGATCTCAATCGGGTAAAGGGAAAAACAATGAAGGAGGGATCAAATTCGGATTTAGTTTAGTGAAAGGAAAATCAAAACACTCAATGGAGGATTATCACGTTGCTCAGTTTATCAACCTCAAAGGCAATGAATTGGGGCTATTTGCAATCTTTGATGGTCATAAAGGTGATGGTGTAGCAGCTTATTTGCAGAAACATCTCTTCTCCAACATCCTAAAAGATGTAAGTTACATACAATGATACAAAGATTGTTTCTTTTATCTTTTTTTTCCGGCTTGTTATGATTTGTGTTTGTAATTGTGTGTTTAGGGAGAGTTCTTGGTTGATCCTAGAAGAACGATTGCGAAAGCTTATGAGAACACAGACCAGACGATTCTATCGGATACTAGCTCTGAGTTAGGGAGTGGTGGTTCGACTGCAGTGACTGCGATTCTGATCAATGGGAAGATGCTGTGGGTAGCGAATGTGGGGGATTCGAGAGCGATTGTTTGTCGTAGAGGTAAGGCAGAGCAGATAAGTGTTGATCATGATCCTGATGATGATGCTGAGAGGGATTTGATTGAGAGTAAAGGTGGATTTGTTACCAATAGACCAGGTTAGCAAAAAAAACAGTTTTTTTTTTAAAATATAAATTGAGCATTAGATATCTATTAGGATGATGAATGATGAGTTTGTGAATTTGAAAACAGGAGATGTAGCACGAGTGAATGGTTTGTTAGCAGTGTCTCGTGTCTTTGGAGACAAGAACCTTAAAGCGTATTTGAATACAGAGCCTGATGTTAAGGATGTTACTGTTGATGGTCAGACAGATATGCTTATTCTGGCTAGTGATGGTGTTTCCAAGGTGAAAATCTTCATTGTTAATTTCGTCTGCATTTTTATTAAGTGATAATGTGAATTGGAAATAACTGAAACAGGTGATGTCAAACCAAGAAGTAATAGATGTAGCTAAGAAGTTGAGAGATCCAAAGGAAGCGGCGAAGAAAGTAATTGGTGAAGCATTGAAAAGAAACAGTACTGATGACATATCTTGCATTGTTGTCCGGTTTAGATGATTGTTTCACTGGACTCGACTTTTAGGTCCGGTTTAGTTGGATCTGGTTCTTGGTTACATCTGGATTCTCAAGAGTAGTAGTTTTATAGAACTATATATTATACTAGTTTGACAAACCAGATGATAAAATACATCAAAAGAACATTTTATAATAATTTATTTTTTGAATCATGAATTCTTAATCAATTTCTCTATTAATGTTAAACTTATTTGTGTGTTAAAGTTCTCACTAACGGACTAACCCTATGCAGAAATGGTCGAGAACATTCAGAAAAGATAGGTAAAATGAAAAAATTGTGAAAGCCAAGCTTTTTCGCTGATACATTTCTTGTTTACCCAAGCAGGCTTAAAAAATTAACTGGGCTTTATCAGAAGTGCCACATTGAAATTTGACTGGACTATATTAAAAGGCCCATTAAATAATTATCAAGGGAAATTAGGGTTTTTGAAGAAGGACACTGGAGGCCGACTCTACTATATATACCAATGCTATTTCATTCATTACATATCATCAAAAGCGTTTTCGATTCAATTTCGAATGTTCTCAGAGCCGATTAGTTATCGTTTAATGTTTGATAGGTTTATGAAATAGTTGTTTTTTGTTTTTAATTTGCTTGAGTGGTGTGATTATTGGGTAGAAGAAAGATGCCTCTTCTTTCAGCAGCAAGATCAATTCTTGTTAGCTTTGTTCTGGAGGCAAATATCAATTCCAATATGAGAGGGTTTCATAATGTGCAGAGTTTTTTCTTCCTTCTCTGCTGTTTATCCTTCTCTTTGGTACATAAGCTCATCCTCTATAATCAACTCACTTCCGAAAAATCAATAGAATCAAACGTTTTCTCTTAACATCAATATCGTTTTCCAGAAAATTCCTGATTTTTGTTTTAATTATTTGATTCATTCCTAGGCAGGATTAGTTTCAAATGAATGCTTTCTTCTTTCATTTGATATAAACAATGAAAATAACCAATTTTATTTTCTGTTCAACGAATTCAATATCGAAAAATTTGGATGAATTGTCGATTTTTAGTATTTAATTGTACGATAATCAAAAGACAGATTTGAATATGCAGAAGATATGGAGAATTGGTTGACAAAAAAAATTCTATATGGAGAATTGAAATTTTTTTCGCGAACATGTGAACCGAATGCGAACCAAAATTTATACCGTTTGGTTCAATTTTTATTTGGTGTTATTAAAATGGGAATTTTATTAAGAAACACCTTAACTTGTATCCTAGTCGTTGAAAAACCCCAGTATTTTGTCTTCTTGTTTATTAACCCCTAACGTTGTTCTGTTAAAAATTAATAACCCTCCGTCATAACGACGTTATTAACGGCGTTTAAAACTCTGTATAGGAAAAGGCCAAAAGAAACGCCGCGTTTTGTAACACTAAAAACGACAAGGTGTTTATTTCGAAAAGGACATATGAAACAAAAAACTCAAATAGCAGAAAAGCTTGGGATTTTCTGTTGATCAGTAGCCAATTTTAATTGGTTACTTGAAATTCATTTGATCTGTATATCAACGATTTTTATGATTTAATCATACAAATTAACTTAGTGGGGAGATTTTATATAATGAAGCTTAAAGATACATGAGAAGATAATCAAAGTACAGAATGATTCAAATCTCAAACACTTCCGTTAGTGTCAGTTATCTGTGGTTTGGTCTGCAAGAGAAAAGATTTGAGAAGTTTGTAATAAGTTTTAGGTCTCTCGAAGTTAAAGATATGACCGGTTCTCTTGATGACAACAAGCCTCCCATTATCTCCTATATGCTTCTCAAGTCTCTTCCCCATCTCCAGTGGAAACACTTGATCGTGCTCTCCCCATATTATCAAAGTTTGCTGCATTCATAAATCAAATTGATTAATTACATACAATTCGTAATCAAATTGACTACATTTGGAAGATTGAGTAATGATGATGAATTTGGGAGGAATAAAAGAGAGGATAACCTGTGTGAGCTTTGGAATCTCTGCGATGATTCTGTCTTTTGGTATGGCTTTGATCAACTCCCTCTTCTCTTCCACATTTTCTCTGCTCAAGGCCTGTTTTATTTCACATTTTGTTAAAGTGATTTATAAAAATCTACGTAAATATTGCAAGGAAATAAATTTTTAAAAACAGCACAATCCTATTGGCACGTACGTAGTATAAAAGTTTTAACTCCTTTTTGACCGTTTCTTAAATATATATAGCTAACTGCTCAACAAGTACTTTACATAGAACTGACATAGCAAGTTTAACTCTTTTTAAAAAATTCAGACATACCATGTAATATCTTTGATTGTCATTTGTTAATTTAAACCAATCAAATCTTAGTTCTCTAAGAAGTATTGATTCCTATAAAAGATCTGAAAATGGCATTTTATGGAGTATGGATTAGATTATAAATCAAAATTCAAGATTCTTCAAGAAAATAATTTCAGCCAGACAATGTTTCTTTCGACTCCCAGTAGACACTTTAATAAATTATCATCAGACAGTTAGAATCTTTTCAAATATTTTTTTCCATGATTTTTAAACTGTATTTCGCACTTGCTAGATTGTCATAATTCTAAAAACTTTTTGTTTTTTTCTTGTCGAATAATTCTATGTCCCGAAGACATCTAGATACGTGTCGTAAGATCATTGGTTAAAGAAGCTAAAAGAAGAAAGTAGCTCACATGATCGATGAAATCATGGAGAAGACAAGGAGGCACCATTCTCGCCAGCGCCGGCCTGTAGAAAATGTAACCCATAAGTTCCCGGAGCTTCTCCACAGATTCCGGCACAAGAATCTTCGCAGCTTCATCAAGATCCGACACCTTGAAAACGCCGGCTTTCATATCTTTCTCCTCCACGCACACGGCGGCGCAACATATCACCACTCTCTCCACGGCGTCTCCGAACATCGACGCCATCCGATAACCCACAAACCCGCCGTAGCTAAGACCGACGAGACTGAATCTTTTGACTGACTGGGCCTCTAAGGCCCGCATGAGCGTCTGGGCCTGGAAAATGTCGGATCTTTCGGGTCGGGTCGTAGAGGATCCGCCAAAGAAAACCAGGTCCGGGACGAAGAGGTTGAAATGAGGAGCAAGACGTCGAGCTACGTCGTACCATTGCCAGATGGCAGAAGCTCCTAGGCCGTGGATGAGGAGGAGATTGGGTTTGGACTCGGGTCGGGTCTTGGATACCCAAAAGTGGACCACAGTTCCATCTTTCAAATCGATGGTTACGGATCGTAAACCGGATCTTTTGAACCCGGATTTGTAAGTCCTTTCTATTGCTTCAGAGAAACTGAAGCAACCTGTCATTTTTCAAAAGAACAAAAAAAAAGAAACCAGAAAATTTGAGAATTCTTAAGAGAAAAAAAACGATTCGAGTACAAGATGTTGTGTTTGGTTCTCTGGTATTGGTTGGGGAGATTTATTACGACCCAGCATATTTTATATATTTAATAATTGAGGGAGCTATAACTGAAATACTTGAAATATGTGTTTTAACTTTTAACTTGTGCCAAGGTGAAAAAAAAACAAACGGATTGTGTGTTTTGCCATTTGCATATGTACATATTTTTTACGTTTTTCTGAAATTTATTAGTAGTAAGAAAAAAAGATTCTTACAAGGGTCTAGTTTATTTATTTTCCGAATTATATATTCAGTAAAAAGTAAAAACCAATATGAACTTGTGTGTGCAAGATGTGTTGGGTTACATATTGGCTTTATTTAACTGGCTGTACAATCAAATTTTATTTATTTGGTAAAAGATAATAAATGGTAGGAGCAATGTTACGAAAAGAAATGTACCCGAAATCGAGACGCACGTCGTTAATCATTAATGGGAACGTAACTACATGAGGTTGTGACAGTGTGTACTGTGTAGGTTGGGATATTGAATGTGAGTATTCAAAGAAATGTACTCTTGACACCCAAGAATTGAAGACTCTTCAATAAATGTACGACTCGCGATAGACAGAAACCTAAACAATCGAAGCTTTCGTCAATTTTGGTACAAGAGACTATTCATTTGTCAAATTTTGTAGTCTTGCATCTACATATAATCTAGAAGAAAGTTTATTCACAAACCAGTCTGATAATTGAACGTTCTTTTAGAAAGATTTTAGAAGAGAAATGTTCATTTCCCCAACTTAAGCTATGCTAAATCTAATTTTAATTAGAGTTTTGACACGTGACGACAGTTAAATGAAAGCCAATTTGGTAGATAGATTATGTTGGTAGCTAACTTGTTACTTCAATGGAATTTGCATGTGTCAATGAATTTACGACGTAGCTTCATCTTTTCTCTATATACGGAATAAATATGTTCGATTAAGAGATACTTCGTTTCTAAGGTTATTTCTACGCAGATTTAAAATTAATCAGTGATAACCATAATTTGTGGCAGAAGCCACACAAATCATACATTTATTACTTTATAGAAGACTTTCTCCTTTATCAATGTTTTTTCTTTAATTTTATGTTTGATCAGGTTTTATATACTAGAGTACTAGACAATGCACTACTGGCTCAACATCTTTTAGAAATGATGTGTAAAGATGGAATTAGTCATCTACAAGTCACACATTTTGAACCTAACTCACACGATCAAACCAAAGCAAAAAAGCCTTTAGCTAAAGCCATATGTATTTGCGTTTCTAGAAGTTGACAAATACTAGACTCTTAATTTATTTATTTTCTTAAAAAGGGTTTGTTTTTTAGATAAGAAAAAGAAACATACAGCTCTGTTTTGATAAAGGGTTTGCTATTTAGATACGAACAAAATAAATAGACTTTTAACTTTGTTCTTATAACACTATCAAACCTGAGTTTCACGGGCAATGACTTGCCGTCATGGTCTCAAATACATGATCTAATTATTTATCTTGTTTTGCGGAGTATCAAAATTCAGTTCTGCAGACAAAAACAATACACTCTTTTAATTGATAGCAATACTGATAAATCGCTAAAGAATCTTGCATCGCAATCAAATCATATATTACCACGGGTCCATACGGTGATATAGTCTCCAAGCATCTCTATGATCAATACGGTATATTCGTACGATTGTTCGTTAACACCGTCAACTTCATCAATTGCTTCATCATAAGCTTGTTTTGCCAATTTACACGCACTGTATAATTTTAAACAGTTAAATTATTATTATTATCTTGAGTGTAAGAAGAGTAATATAAATTTAAGTTTCAAAACTTTCATAGATATTTTCATTTTCAAAGCAAAGGCTTATATACCTTTCAACGGATTTAAGGATCTCATAATTGAAAATCGAGAAATTCAAAGCCAAGCCAAGTCTAACCAAATTGATGGGTGCTAAACCACCTTCTGCCATTTCCATTGCAACCTAAAAGTGTATATTTATACTTTCATTTTTTCCAAACTAATATATACAGCAAACAAAATATAAAACTAGTGATATTCACTATTGAAAGATGACCTTATATGCCTCAAGAGATTTGTTCGCAGCTCCTTTACGTTCAGCATCAGACCCAAACTCTGCCATATATCGCAAATAATCTCCTTTCCTACGTATCAAGAAACAAAGTAAACCAAAAAGAAACTCGATGGCGATGATGACGATGATGATTGCACATGGCTTACATTCTGTAGAAATAAACAGTTGACTCGATGTTGGAAGTTGATGGGATGAGATGAGAATCGATGAGAGACAAAATGTCATTACACACACTGAAAAACTCATCTTTAACCGTCTCGTGCTTTTTCTTGACCAATTTCAAAATTTGCTTGTTTTTGGAGTCTTCGTTTCTTTCAATGGAGGATTTTATCCTCAACGAAACTCTCTTAGTCGTCATAACATTTTTATAGCCAGTTGCCAGTAGTTCTCTCTCTTCTTCGCTTAGCTCTATATCATGCTCACATACTTTTCTCATCGATTTCATCATATCTGCCACATATATACCATCTTTTGTAATCATTTGATTTGAATATCAATAATGTTTTTTTTTCTATAAAATAAAACTCTAGCTACAACCATTGACTAGAGATGATAACATGAAAGTATTAACCACTTAAAGTTGAGACATACCATCATATCTTTCGGCTGTGTAAGCGAGTTTAGCTGAATAAATCAAATTTTCTCTCTCATTTTCCATACCTTTGATCTCCAATTTATTTGTCTTTTCTTTTTCTATGTGAAAGAAGGGATGCTCGATTACAGTTTTGAAGAAGAAATGGGATATATGATGATGAAAATGTGTCTTGTTTAGATTATAAACAATAATGTGGTTAAACTAAGTATATTGCTAAGTTTGTAGTAAAATAAGTATGCAAAAACTAAGAAAAATAAAAAAGAGAGTTAAATAGTTAGAAGTCAAATATATCTTTCCTAATATATATAATTGTCTGTTTTTGTATAATTTGGATATGTCTCACTGGAATATACTTCTTTTTTTGCTTATCACATTTACAACTATACTATTTATTGAATATTATAATTTCATAAATTTAAATTCAAGAACTGAAAGTATGTAGATTACTTCAATTTCATCGTTATGCATCTTTATACACTAAGCAGAAGTATAATTTGAACGCCAAAAATGGGCCATTTAAAAGCCCAAAAGAACGACCCCAAATGAAAAGGTGAGAAACTCAAATTCTCGGCCATATACGTGCAAGATGACGACGTTCCAATTGTAAGCTCTCTCGGCTAGACGACTTTGTGGCGCTTCAGAATATCTAAAATTACAACCTTACGAGGTTTAAGTTTATCCATAGACGACCTTTTTTGTGTGCAAATATCCATAGACGACGACTAGACATGAAATGTTAGACCGTCCAAAATAATATTGTCGTCCGTAGGATATATCTCTCACAAGTCACAGCCAGTAATGTATCTTTCATTGGACCCATTCTTTTAGTTTTGTTTAGTACATTGCGCCATTCCTCCAAAATCTGATCTAGATAGATCAGACTTATATATTTGTGGAGAAAGATAACAAAATGTTTATTAGATATTTTCCTCAGTATGTTTACGTGACTGTAACGACACGTATATTATAAACAAGGACAACATGTTTTTAAACTTCCTACATAGCGATTACGTCCACTTTGTATGTTTTCCTATAACCGTTTAGATTTTCTTTTTAATTAATAAGTCTGTGAGAGATTGTGCGTTGCTATAATATGTGTACCAAGTTTCAGTATTCTTCGAAAGAAAGTGAAAGGTATTTCTAGAAGAAAAAAATGAATGTATTATCGTGTCCTCATACAATAATGGAGTTACATACTTAAGGGCAAAAATGTAAATAATTTCTAAATAGAATCTGATTTTCATTATTATTTTGTCAGCTTTGGAATTCGATGGACGCCGTTACTTGCGGCCACACGACGCAGCCACCGGACCTGATGCTTACCCTCTCTTCTCTACTCTCTACTGTCTTCAATTTGTTCGTCTCTTTTTTCTTTATGGTTTGATGTCATTTTGTCTTTTCTTTGGAGCTTTTAATTGAAAACAACATATCGATCGATTCTCAACATTTAATAATATTCAAACTTTAAACCACTGAATTCAAATTACTAGCACAATTTCTATTAAGGATATCCTTAATATTTTCAATCATAATTTGCTACAAGAGATGACTTAAACGATCGATAGTAATATGAAAGTATCTGACGTTCCATAGACTCCAAGAGTTAGTTTGTGTTTTGGTCCGGGGTTTCCAAGTTATTAAATACAGGTTAACGCAATGCTATAATCTTAAACATTGTGTATCTTTCTGCTTATTAGTATTTTTATTGATTTATTATTTCCAACTAATCGTGTTATTATATTCTACCATTATTATGGAAAATATAAATAAATAAATAAGAAACAAAAATTATGGAATCCGTGTTTGAGCCGCGGATCACATGCATACTTTTGGTATATAATCTGACTAATGAAAAAAATACATTCGTTGACAGCAGAAAAACGAAAAATACATTAAAACCTTAGAATGTAAGAAATGAATTTATCCGATTGTTTGAAAGTAAAGAATGGAAATTAAATACGTATAGACAAGTGTTCTTTCTCTAAGAATTTTAACCCCCAAAAAATCATAGATTTTAGTTACATGTGGCTCTCCTATTCAGTCCATTTCATAATTCCTCCTATGCTCTCTCTTCTTCTCTTCTCTTCTCTTTTCTGATTTTATATTATTGGTTTAGTGGCTTATTGGTGAAAGCAGATTTTTAAAACAAGTAAGAAACAAAATCTGAAACTCTGGCCGACACATCAGCAGAATTCGGCGGTGGTCGGATCAAGAACTGCCTCCCCTCGTTTTCCGGCGACATTTCTCCTTCTATAGTCATCCGCTTGGTGCTCTCACAGCTCAGTAAATGAAGATATTCAGCTGTTTTCCTGCAATGTTCGGTAGAAAGAAAAACAAGGTGATTAATTCGAATTTCATCTGCTTCAATCCGATTTAGCAAAAAAAAAAAAAAAAATGTTTATCCGATTAGTATCTCAGTGATTGTTATGACTTTTTGTTTGTTTATTGTGTTCTTGTGAATTTTTCCGGCGAATTATCTATGTTTTGAGATTTTTTCCCGTTGACTGAAACAGAGGAATCCAATAAAACCACAGCCACCGAGAACGCAGAGAATCATTCAGATCAGACTTGAAGAGCCAGTGAAGCCTCTGGAGAATGACAAGAACAGTCCTATCGAGCACGATTCATATGATGGTAAAGACACAACCGAAGTAATTCACGAACGAGACGTTGAATCTCTAGAACGCAAGGAGTTAGGTAAAGACGTCACAGATTGTTCTGAAAATGGCGATGACGATGACGATGACGAGGAAGGTGGACACGTCAGCGATCCGGGGTTAGGCAGAGCAAACGCTTGGGTGGCTTCTCCGAAGCTCAAACGATCATGCTCCACTCTCAGCAAGTTCACAACCGGTAGGTTCCAAGGTTATGATCCTCAAAATCTCCATGAGCTGATGAGAGATAGAAACGACGTCGAATCAGTTAGGTCTCACAGAAGCGCAGATAGAGTGATGCTCAAGAAACATTCCTCCATGCAGATACTTCCTTCCGGTAGCCGTCGGCTCTGGTGGAAACTCTTCCTCTGGAGCCACAGGAACCTTCACAAACACCGTCTTTCGCTGAAGTCACAACCTTTAGGTGCCAAGAACCACCAGTCTGGCTACACCTCTGAGCACGACCAATCGAGCCAAGAAGTCAAGCAATCCTCTCAGTGGATAGCTTTCTCTGCGGAGTCCTCTTCGATGAAACGAGTAGATGAGTGGGTTAAAGGACTCGACGTCGAAACCGCAGTCCCAGTAAACGAGGATGAAGACAAGAACAGCTTCCACAACTTCACAGCCTCTCCCAAGATCGAGAGATCACTATCAAGAAACGTCTCGGAGGCTATAGTCCATGCGAACAATCTTATCCAATCGCTAAGCAAAACCTCGAGTGTTGCTCACATCTCGAGCATAGGCTTGAAAGCTGTCCCTAGCATCTCACATTTCACCAGCCTCAAGTCCATTGATCTATCAAACAACTTCATAGGTACACTCTCCAGCCTCAAGTTTATACAAGTATGTGTGTTGCTGTTGTTAATAGACAATGTTATGTTCACTGTAGTTCAAATCACACCTGCATCGCTTCCAAAGGGACTCCACGCGTTAAACCTATCCAAGAACAAGATCAGTGTCATCGAGGGACTCAGAGAGTTGACGCGTCTACGAGTGCTAGATCTCAGTTACAACCGTATCTCTCGAATCGGACAAGGTAACTTGAAAAACATACGATGCTTGTAACTTGTTTGCTCCCTGCCTTGACACCCAAGCTATTGATCTCAGGTTTATCAAACTGTACATTGATCAAAGAACTATACCTAGCTGGGAACAAGATTAGCAACGTAGATGGTTTACATAGATTGCTGAAACTCATCGTTCTTGATCTTAGCTTCAACAAGATCGCCACCGCCAAAGCAATAGGCCAGCTAGTAGCAAACTACAACTCTCTCGTCGCTCTTAACATTCTTGGAAACCCTATCCAGAGCAACGTCGGTGAGGACCAGCTGCGCAAGACCGTCTCAAGCTTACTCCCTAAGCTGGTTTATCTTAACAAGCAGCTAGTTAAGCCGCAGCGAGCCAGGGAAGTGCTCAAAGACAGCGTCGCAAAAGCTGCGTTTGGTGGCGGAGACTCTGTGCGTCACCGCCGCAAGAAAACGGTCTCCAAGAGAGCTGTGGTAGTAGCCTCCCCACGAGGCCGTGGATCCAAAGGAAGAAGCCAACATCAGCTCAGAAAAGCTTCAACTGCAGAGACACCTTCACATTGACTCTCCACCATGTAAACCGAAACGAACCGAGTATATACCATTCGGTTCAATTCTGATTCAGGAATTTTTTGAAAGGGAATTTAGCAAAGAAACCCTCAACTTCGATTGAATTCATTTTCAAACCTTAAGGTTTTATCTTTTATTAATTAACCCTTGCGTTTGTTCTGTTAAAAAGTCTAACCCTTCCGTGTTAATGACGTTAAAACTCCGTAATGGGAAACGTTAAATGAAACGCACGTTTAATAAAACTAAAAAACGACACGGTGTTTTTTTCCTTTATATATACGTCTTCGTCGGAAAAATACCCAAATAGCAGAAAATAAGGATCAACTACCGAAAACTTCGACTGCAGATACATCTTCACATCGACCTCCTTTTTTCTTTGGTTATAACAAAATATGGTCGAGTGTTATGTTGCCCTTATAATTATAACAAAATATAAAAGCAATGATGTATGTCCAATTCTTTAGTTAATCACATTTCAATAAAGTTGAAATAAAGCAATGATAATGATCATCACATTCTGATTCTAGTGTAGTGAGGCCTCATATATTATTCCGATCCGTAGTGAAATCAAATTTAAAATGCTAAGATGTAACTAGTGTTTGAATTGCTTACTCGAGAAGGAAGCACTGGTTTTTATACTAATAAAAATTATATAAAACAAAACAAAGTAATACGTCCATTTCTTTAGGTAACTAAAGTTGACATAAACGAATCCTAGTGGAGAGTGAGGAGGCCTCATATTTTATTTTGACCCGTACTGAAATTAAATTACAAAAAGGTTTAGCATAAATTTCTCAAAGGTTTATTAAAGGACATGTTGTAGGGAATATGACTTATTACAAACTTTAAATACACCAGGAAGGAGAGAAAGAAAGAAAAATCAGAAAAAAACCCCCACTCATCGGATCTTACATCTCTTTCTCTCTCGCTAAGAACAAGAGAATGGGAATATTATCCAACAAAATCTCAAGAGATGATCTGAAGCAAGGAGATCACATATACTCATGGCGCTCAGCTTATATCTACGCCCATCATGGGATCTATGTAGGTGCTGGGCAAGTCATCCATTTCACTCGTGGAGGTGGTCTAGAGATGGGAACTGGGACTTTTCTGGACAAGATCATCGTTAGTTCAGTTCCGAATCATGGAGGAGACAACCCGTGTCCTAACTGTGGAGATCAATCAAGTCTCCACGGTGTGCTATGTTCTTGTCTTGATTGCTTTCTCGCCGGAGGAAATCTCAATCTCTTCGAGTACGGTGTCTCAAAGGCTATCTTTCTCGCCAAGCAACGAGGCGGTACCTGCACAACAGCACCTTCAGGTACTTCTGATGAAGTCATTCACCGTGCGAGCTTCCTCTTAACCAGCAAAAACGGGTTTGGTCTCTACGATCTCTTAGAGAACAATTGTGAAGATTTTGCCATTTATTGCAAAACTGGTTTGCTTGTGTTACAAGTCACCAAGCTGGGAAGTAGTGGCCAAGCGAATTCGTTGTGTGCAGCAGGTGGTGTTTTTTCTTTTACGCTCAAGTTCTTAAGGACTGGAAAGAGTGGTCAAGCCGCTTCGACAACGGCGTCTCGAGCTTCGATGGTCTCTGCTGCAAGCAAGACTCTTTCTTTTACACTTGGATTTGTAGTTCCCGGTTTTGGTGCAACGGCTTTGGCGGGATATGGTGTATACTCTATTGGTCGTCTGTTTAACGACATTGGTATGAGAAGTGATGTTCACAAGGTTCCTGTGGAAGATATCCATCTAACTGTAGCATCCACGTGTAAAACTGCTTAGCATTTGCTTTTGTTTTGGATACTAACCGGCTTGGGATTATGGATGCTTTGGTTGATCACTAAATTTGAGCAAGATTGATTTTGTTTCCGCTTTGTTTATATTGTTTATAAGTTTAAACTGTATTTTAATTTGAGTCTTTGAGTCTACTAGATTGGTTTCACTTTCATCGGAAGATGTGAGACTTTGAAATTACAAAACTTGGGAAATAAAATGAAGAAGAAATACAGTGTCAACAGCTTTTTAACTTATTTCATAAACATCTTCACAAATGTTGGATCATATTCTTTTCACTGTATAATAACAGTATAATAAAAAAAGTAATAAAAATAGTAACTCCATGGTAAAAAAATAAATCTAGATTCTGTAAAATGGGAACCTCACGAAACCAGATTAATAAAAATTTACACCGGCGGTCTTACGTCCCCGGCGGGATATTTTTCCATCTTCTTCCTCCTTTCTTCCCCGTATCGCCACCACAGTTCAATGATTGAGAGATTCTTCTCAACTGTGAGACTTGGAACAAAAATAAACTATAAAAATAAAAGTGGAGAAAACCTGTGTCTCTATCTTCTTCTTCTTCTTCTTGTTCAGCTTGATTGTCGCTTAGCCAATGGTTTTTGACAGATGAGAAGTCTCTGTTCACTGCTGCTCTCAACCTCTATGACTCGAGCTTCCCACTTCAATTGTGTCGTCAAAGCTCTCGCCGTTTCCACCAGCTGCGCCGTGTCTCGGATTATCACCCATCCCTGCACACCAATGTACCATAGCTATGAAAACCCAGAACCTAACCAAAGAACAATGATAATCTTTCTTTCAATGTGTGTGTGTAGTTGTACCTCTGGACGAAGTAATCGATCAACCTCCGTGAATATATCCATAAGCGAGCATTTGCTTCGTCGCTGACTCGTCTGAAGCGACAAAAGATTGTCTGCGTGCACCAGATCATACGTTCTCGGGTAAGTCGGGAATGCTTCACACCTGAATCACAACAAAAGAGAATGTTTTGAGAAACAAAAACAAGTCTATGGCTTAAAAAAGAAGTTTTTTTGTTATGACTCTCTCTCTCTCTCTCACCAGTCATGCAAAACTCCGACAAAGCCACGGTCAAGGATCATGGGGAGGTGGTTAGGTCCAGCCGTGGGAACCACATTCATGACCCAAACCGATTTCCTAGCTTCCAGCAACGCGGAGTTGAGTCCACCGTATTGAGCATTCATATCCAAAACGTTTCTGAGCATGTTGTAAGGCGGCGATGGATCTTCATCTCCTGGTCTCTTTGGATGATCAGAGAATATCAGTGGAGACAAGAGTGACCAGTATTCTCTTACTGTTGCTCTCCAGTTCTCACCATATTCTCCGAGCTCCTCTGGATGAAGACCTGAACCAACCACTAAAATGAGAAAACAAAAACTGGAGCAAAAATGGATTCAGAAGCTAAGGAGACTAACCATATAGAGAAAGCTCAGTCTTGTTCATGTTAGACCGGCCAGGCCATCTTGTCCTGCCTTCAATGGGAGTCCATCTCCGGCTACGTGTTCCACCGATACACATCTGAAGCGGCCTGTAATACGGAGACTCGACGTCGTGCCCTTTGGAACACACAGAAGGCCCCACTCCAGGCTTCCTGTTTATAGCACATTTATGTAAGAGGACTTGATATAAGTAAATTTCATATAATAGTTGTGTGTGTGTGTGTGTGTGTCACTGACCGGGCACTGTAACATTTGGTTTTGACAGTCTTTTTCCAGACGACAGTCTTGTCCTGCTGAGGTAAAAGAGTCCAGCAGATGCTCTCAGCGAAATCACGAATAAAGTTCCATCTTTTAAGATTCTCTTTGTTCCGAGCGTTTGTGAGCGGAGACGTCCAAACAAAGTAGCCTCCAGGTTTCAAAACCCTGTCGACTTCTACAAGAAGAAGACCATCTGCACATCGAATCAACATCACTTTGTTAAGCCAATGTCCTCCCTCGGTTAAAAGGAAATGAGAATATAAACAGTGTTTACCTTTCTGGTCCCAATCAATGCCACAACCTGAGCAATGCAACATATCAAAGGAAAGAGAAGGATACGGCAATTGCTTTGATGTAAAAGAACCAATCATTGCAGGTAGACCCCTCTCAAGTGTTAGCTGGACTTGGCTACCGGAAGCTTCATAGTTTGCTATGCACATTGTTAAAAGCTGCTTGGAGAGTAGATGAGCTCCAAAGCTACCATAACCACATCCAATATCCAACATAGTTCTCACCTGAAACAACAAATAGCCGAACTAAGACACTAAACCGAGAGAAATAAAGATTGAATGTGTAGTAGTAACTTACACCAGCTTCTATGAAGTTATCATTCTTAATCCCAATTATCTGAGCAATCTGATGTGAATAGTCTTCAACCTCATCAGACATAGACGATGCAGACCTGAAAGATATCTGATCTTCCTCCACCATCATCATCCTGAAACCAACAACAACAAAAAAAGCTTAAGCAATTTCACCAGACGAGAGAGAATCAAACAAAGCAAAAACAATTTCACACCTTTTGGTTATACTTCCAGAAGTCAAAACTTCTTGAGCATTGATCTTAACATTATGATACCAAATGATATCTTTCCCAGTCGGCCACCGAAGAGGCACTCTATACTTCACCGGCGGCAAAAGCAAACAATCCATCTTCGTCCCACCCCCACAAAACCGATCACTCTCATCAGTGGCGTTGAAGCAAGGAACGTGATTCTCAGACTCTACAGTACAATACTCGAGCTCTTTCCACCTGTTAGGCCCCAGAGAGATCTCACCAATATCCAACAAATCCGAAACGAGCTGCTCCTGTAACCTCCTATAGTTGTGATATACATGACCTCTCGAAGAAGTCGAAATCGAAACCGTCCACCAAAAGGAACCGGCCAAGGCAAACACCACGATGAGAATCAAACTGATTTTGAGAAAGAGAAGCATCAGTTTGTGCCTACTCCTAGCGCTGCTATAAGGATCACCGCCGCTGAAACCGTTTTCGCCGCCGTGTTTTGAAGAAGAGTGGTTGTTATTGCTGCTGCTGAAGAGGAAAGCAAAAGGAAACCTAAAGGTTAACGTATTGCTCTCCGTGGAACGGCCTCGGATCAAATCGTCTTTCTCTGTTTTGTCCTTCATTTGAGAGTCGTCTCTTTGATCGGAAACTCGTGCTCCGGAGATGCCACGTTGCAGTGGCATTGACATGTTTTTGTGGCTATCAATCTAAGATCCCTGCAAAATCCCAGTTTTGAAGATGATTAGAAGCTGAAACAGAGAATTTGAGCTTCAGGTGAATAAAATTGAGCTGAGTATAGTTTTGAAACTCGATCGTGAGTTATAAACAAATTCGAGCTAAAATCTCCAATTAACATAACCAGATCCACGAATTCTGGGCAGAGACGGAAAATGGTGAAGATCATTTTCACCCAGCAACACATCGAATCAGCTCGACGAATAAAAATCTCAGTAGCTTAATTTCGAATTTTGAAATTTGGATAAGATCAACGACTTCGATTTGTTCTCTCGTGGAGATCGAAATCGAACGAGAAACCCAGAAATATTGGAAACCAACAATCTCAAAATTAATCCAGAAATCAGGGGAAAAAAAAGCGAAATCGAATGAAATCAAGAGCAGATTCTAGAAAGTGAGAAACAAAGCAAGAGTGGAGGAAAAGATGCGAGACCTTTATTGTTTCTTCTTCACCTCCTTGTAGTAGCGTCGTCCTTGGAGAAGAAGATACGCAGTGTATATACAAAACGATTAAATCTGGAGTTATGGAATTACAGAAATCGTAATCAGATTGTCTTCAATCTTCTTCTTCGAGAGCTCTCTCTCTCTCTCTCTCTCTCTCTCTCTCTTTTGGTGTGACTTGGAGCTGGAGAGTGAAGCAGCAGGCGTCGTGCAGATTTTTGTATGGATCCAATCTCGACAAAGCTCGTGAAGAACTGAATAATTAAAGAGAGAAAAAAATACCGAAAATTTTAGTTTATCTGTCAGTCGAATTTAGAAACACTTCCGTTTGTAGGCTCGATTATCATTTTTTTATACAAACAAACGAACGAAAAACTAATTAAGAAAGAGAAAAGATTAGTGGAATCTTAAACACTCTCGCGTTGAATAAATATACGTAAATCTGGTACTCTCTCTCTCACACACACACTCTTGTATTTCTTTTTTGGTTCTGAGCGTATTTAAGGGAAAAGTAAGTAGAGAAGCTTCCCATGGGGTAGATGTTTAATTACTACTAATAATTAGTACTATAAATGTAATTAACTCATGCACTGTTTATTTTAATGTTGACCTCTCTCTCTCTCTCTCTTGGCGGTGCATAAAAACAAAAATATTTGTGAACTCTTCAACATTAATTTCTGTAAGTCGGCTGAAAAACTAGAAGATGCGTAACACAATTAAAAAATAGTGAGCATCTCTATGGATTTAGAATTTTAGAAAATAGAAGTCGCTATTGAACCGGTATAAAAAGAAAAAGAATACTACTACTTGCTATAAGGTCTCACACCAGATTTTGTAAAGGTTATTTTGTCGGTAGTTAATGGTTTTTTACGGTGGATGTGCATAATTGGGTTTATAGCGTCAATGACATTTGTGTAAAAAACATCATCAATTTTAGTGGTACGATAACATTTTTTGTTTCTTTTTAATCATATTATTATCTCTAAATACTACAATTATATCAATCTTAATTAGTATAGTCGTCATAGAGAAAAATAAAATAAAATATGGTCTTCGATTTGCTTTACATGTAAATCCGCATAGATTTGGTCTCTTATCCGAAAAATTGATATTTCAAAAATGATAAAAAGGGATCACGATCATTTATTATGAAACGCATTAGTAGGAGACCAGTTGCCCACTTGTACACGCCAACCACGATAAGGTTAAAACTGGACTAATAAACGGCCATGTTCGTATTCCCACTCACGACGCTATATATTTGATCTAGTACAATATCTATCTGTATAGTGTATTGTATTTTGTATATCTTCATTTTGAGTTTCTGTTTCTATGTTATTCACGACGAGTGAAGAGCTGATTCATGGCTCATGCATGCTAATTCAGTGGACCTATAATATGCATGTACGTAAATAAAAGTGGAAGAGGCCAAGAAGAGAGTGGTGATATGTTTTGCAATTTTGCGATATGTTTGCACTCGTCATAGAGAAAGATACTACGGATGATTTGGACATCTATCACATATAACAACGTACGAAAATAAAGCCACTTAAATATGGTATGTAAATACAAAATCTTGTATATTATGCTTTAATACTAACAAAAAAAAACTGATTTGGAAGATGTTACTATATATATCTGCTGCAGTATGAGTATGACTCTGGAAATTGGCGATAATCATCTTTTTTTTTTGTTTGCTTCAAAACGAAAATTACAAAGCAAAAAGAAAATGAAAAATTCAAGAAAAGGGGATCAGGTTGATTCACAAAGCTCCAATATGCAAACAGACACCAGGTACCCTTAAATAATTATAATTTATTGTGTTTGGAAAAACGTATGATTCTGATAACAAAAACAAACAAACGATAGATAGATGGTTAACATTTTTTTTATTAACGAAAATAATTTGAATTTTGTAAATGATATGTACATCAAATTAATGAAAATTAATTTTAATTATGCATGATATTATACAGTGAAATGATAAGTATATAAAACTATTTCACACACAAAGGTAAAACACACACATTAGACTGATAGTCACTTTAAGCTAATAAAGCATGTTTCTTAATCAGCCAGAAAAACGGAAGTTAATTAATCACACTCGATCGGCTCCTATTGCCGTATCCTATGCCTTCGTAGTGTGTACGTATTTAATTTACATTTAACAAATGCATGTACATATACTGATATACACAGACATATACATGTCTATGTGCTTTAAAAATGAGTGGTAATTATTTCAATATTGCAAAATACTAGTACTAGTTTATACAGAAGTTAATAATACTAATTTTTATGTCTGAACAGAATTTATTGGATCTCCGAAATCACCCTATAGAATTATACTGTGAATAACAAAATATCGAAGTTAACAACTTAACAGCGAAATTTGTGTATAGATAAAACGGGAAATTGTGGGTCCCACTTGAAACGCGGTTGTATGTCGGTGGCTCCTCGTTTCTGACGTGGCAGATTTGACGGTGTCTGTAACCGTACGCCTGTATACAGAGGATCATGTTTTTGTTTTAGCAGAGATGTTTGGGTACAAGGGTAAGAATAAACGTGGTTAAGATAGTGCACGGTGTTCGAGTTCTTGTGTGGACGTAGCGGACCGTGACAAATATAAACTTCACGGATTGTCTAATTTGGTGTCACATGTGCTTGTAGTTGTAGCCATATCTCATAGGTCAAAAGTGTAGAACAAATACGTTTTAAAGAGACTATAACGTTACTTTAAGCATGTATAGATAACATTAGTTATCAGTAAAATATTCTAATTTTGTCAGGCTAATACTATATATGGTGATGACACTTGACACTGTAAAAAGGCTACTAATTAAACTAGAGTTCGTTTTTCTTTGTTAACACGAGGATGATTGTTGATTTGAATTTTAAATCAAAGACTATATGTAGAGCTACGGTCTAACCACCGGTCCACCGGCATGTCTTTAACAACAACAACGAAAAAAACCGGCAGGTCAATATTAACTCAAACCTTATTTTCAATAAAACTTTATCCCTTTCCCAACAAAAGAAGAACTTTTCGTGAAAAATAATTAATATGTTATGTATGATATTAAAATGAATAAAGAGTGTATTTGATACAGAGTCGTCACATGTGACTAATTTTCTGTGCTTCACGGATAAAACTATATTAACATGGAATAGACACACCGACGCAGTTTTGAACTTTGAGCGGACCAATGTCGAAGGACCGAGAGGAATATATCACATGACGTCGTTGTCCATTCGCAATATAGAAAAATAAAACTTTTATACAAGAGTGATACATTTAACAAATTAAGGGAAAGGTCCGATGATTTTAGATGCACATGCACTAGTGTTGTTACTTACAAATGTATATGGAAAAATCGTAAATTTCTTTACTTATGCGCAATTTCTTTTTAATAAATAGTACAGTATGTTGTTTTTTCTCAGTTGTACAATTTCTTGGATTTTTTCGGTAAATGGTGAAAAAGGATGTATAATTGATGCACCAGTCTAATCTTGTAAGTTTGTGTAAATTACGTTAAAAACTGTAAACATCAACCGTGATTCGTGAATGCCTCCAAACTTTCATTTTAGTAGTCATATATTTCCGACTACTCGTGCATCCTTCAAATTTAGTTGACATTTTTTTGGTAGTTACACAAACACACTAAAGAATATAATTAAGAATATGTTCACACGAAGAAATGTGGTAGCTGATTAGTTTATCTACTTTAAGACCAATCACAAACCATAAGTCAAACGTTCCACATTACTTGAACCGTGTGTGGATCTAAACCCGATATTTGACTTGAAGCAATTTTAATTATTTAATAATCCCACAGATATTGGATCTAGAAGTTGTGATTATATAGGTATGTGGAGTCGTTGTCCTTCCATTAATGTCAGTGCCCTATTTCCTAACCTCACTTACGCTTTTTCTTACTCGATATTAGTATTACTGTATACTACTACGTATTACCCACATTCTACCACGAAATACTTTTATTTTAATTATTATAGCACAAGTGGGGCCTGGTTTAGTGCTAAAATACTTTGATTTGAGATCTTTAATTCGATTATATTATGATAGTGTTATTTATAACTATAAACCGTGGTTGTGGACAAAAGTCAAAGTCTTAACGAATACGACTTCGGTAATGTTAGAATTGCCAATTCATATAAGCTGTCCGCTGAATAAATTATACGGAACTTTGAATTTCATTTTGTAATTTTCAAAACATTTTCGAGTTTTGTCGTTTTACTATTCGTCTTTTTATTTTCGTTTCATTTCAATTACTATAAAATTATATCTGTTTTGTCGGCATTTTTGATATGGCTTTGTGATTGACAGATTGGAGGATGACAAAACTTTTCTTCAAACGTCAATACGTGAACATAAAATGGTGCTTTTTACGCGTTTTTGTTTATCTTATGATATCAAGTTTACTGTTAATTATGGTAATGTATAAAACCCAACAAAATTATGGTAATATATATATGGTTTTTACAAGAAAAGTAT